CGGACCATCGTAGCACCCGCCGTGTACCATTGCAGAGCCAATTTGCTTGCATATCATATCTTAAGTACAGTTAGGCAGACAAGTAAAAAATAAACCTGGTTTGAGCTACTACCGAGAGTGGGTACGCATAGGGTCGATACGGTAGTACTCGACACGATGAATTGTACAGGCTTGGCGAGGAGCACCGCAGACGCGTTCGTGAGTTAGAGTTTTCTCTTTGATGGCAACAACTACTCATCTTGAACACAATTCAGTCGAAATGGACCGCGGGAAGCTGCGATATACTGGAAGATATCACCTAATTGTACACTACATGCAGCATTATTCTCCGGATTGGAGGCGCCGTCGTATATGGTGAACGTGGCGGGATTCCAAGAACCCGGCACTCTCACACCGAAACACGATCGAGCTCACTGGTGGGTTACGGAATACGTCTACCTACGACAAGTTACTTTATCTGTTTGTTATTCAGTGTAAGACAATTGCCAACCCTCGGGGCTAAAGATGGTGTTTTAACTTTCTATCGTAGACGAACCACTACATCTCATAGCAAACCAAATGTACGAATGACACCTTCAAAAGTACCGAGCCGATCCTAAGAGCCTCAAGAAACTTTGACTTCTTGGTAGAGACCCCAGGTTGAGTTAGATCAGGCGCCCCGCAGAGGCGCCCTGCCGTGATACTGACAACAGACTATCCATACAGTACCCTCGACCAATCAAAACCGAGATCCTCTGTTTATCGGTTGTCGAACTTCATCTTGTGAGCTTGACGTGAGAAACCACATCTAGTTCAAAGTGTCTCCCGGATCTCTATTCCATTTTGGGATTGTTAACGTTTCAACACCTTAGCCAGGACAAATTAGCTACCATGCAAGACACAGATAAAATAATCGAGAAGGGCGGAAAGAACAAAAGTACAAAAAGAATTCCAAGGCTTTCGTGCTAGCATGTGCCAAAACCTAAGCATACCAAGTCGCAGCGCTTACCAGTAGGTTGTGGAGCCTCTACCGCGTGCCAAGATCTGGCGCCGGCAATTCCGTTATCCACTTTGTCCACCGGCATTTGGGGTCTCCGGTGGGTTCTGGTGTAAGGCTTTCGGTTGATTTAAAAAACCGCGCAGGTGTATCGTGCTTTCGTCTTGAACCCTCAGCCTGACTGTGACACATTATACTGAACCACGAATTTAAGTTCCGGTAGAGCAGTCACGTCACACCGAGCGCTTGATTTTCATGGTTTGATGGCTTCCCCGGCACCTGGGATCTGAAATGGCCGACTGGTATGAACAGTTCTTTACTCAATTGACCAATCAGCGGTTACTGACGATGACGTGACTATTCCACGTGGCCCTTCGGGAAAGATAATGGAAAGAAGTTAACAAATGTACATATGTCCCCAACCCGCGTTTTTAAGTTTTCTAATCTCAAACCTGTGTCGAATTGACGACCATAGCGTGAGACAGTAACCATATCGTATGAAAATTCTCGATGGGGTATATTATAGTTTCATCTCCATAGGAAATGAATAATCCAATGAGCTGCCCAGTATCATGCTCCACAACATCGGAGTGGCGGAAGATAGAGGCAAATCAAATACGAATGACGCTTAAACTTGCCTGTGATATATTAAGGGAATTTATTCCAGGGAGCCGTAACTGAGTTCCCTCCACTGTTCTGTATCCATATTCAGAGTGTTCAGCGCCATCAAAATACCTTCTAAGTCTTTTTATAACCACTAAAATGATTGAAGTGATCACTTCAAACGAGCCTCGGGACTTCGTAAACTCAGTGCTCCGATTCAGAGATGACAACTCCCAATTCTGGTGGGACACAACTGGTCGCATGTTCTCCAAGCTCCTCAAGTACGCTGGCTACAGTACAGCAGAACAGTACCGCGAACTCAATTTCTAGTCTCTTTTTGTCGCTCCTGAACTTGGTCCTTCTCCCGACTGCCATGGCAATGTCAGGAGATGGAGGAGCCCTGGGACGCCAGACTCCACACCGATCGACTTCAGTTGGGAATGGGGTAGAGACAACCAGGCGATCGTGAGGTATAGCTTTGAACCCATCGGCCCACATGCCGGAACGGAGCTGGACCCCCTCAACAGATTTGCAACGAATGAATGGATTATCAAATTGAAACAGCAGAATATGGTACCTCGACTGGATTTGGAGTGGTACGAGCACTTTACAAGGCAGATCCTTCAGCATGACAATCGCACTGCAAAAACGGTAGACCGTTTCGTCGAGGAGACCACGCCCAAAGCCGGCACCGTTGTTGCACTAGATATTGAGAAGACAGGTCCCGTCATGAAGATTTACATTTACCCCGGACTGAAGGCCGAGGAGCTGGGTATTAGCAACCTCGATCTTGTGGAGAGTTCTATCCTCAGCTTGCCTCCGGATCAGCTGAAGTCTCTCAACCCGGAGCCTCTTCTCGAATTCCTCCGGGAGGGTACGAATAAGTACAATTTTGAGACAGGAATCCTCGCCATCGACTGCCTGGTCCCAAGTGATGCACGAATCAAGGTGTACACAAGAGCCCGCTACACCACCTTCGAGTATATGATGGACTGTATAACCATGGGCGGCCGCCTCTACATATCTACGGAAGCCATTAAAGATCTCGAGGACTTCTGGAGAACGTTCCTCGGAGATGCTTCCGATGTTCTGCCTGAAGATGTTCCTGGTAGAGCAAGCCCGGGATTTTACTACACCCTCAGCTGCGGCAAGGCCATCTTACCCAAGGTTTATATCTCTCCGCAGTATTTTTGCAAGAGTGACGTGGATGTGCTGTCCCGTCTCCGAAAGTTCTTTTCCACGCGTCGATCCGATCAGATGATGGATAATTACGAAGCAGCCGTATTTGATATCTTGTAAGTTATCATCACGCACTTAATCTAGCCCCGGCTCACGTTTCCATAGCGGTACCAAGACCCTGGAATCCCGGTGTGGCAGTCATTACTATATTGGCTGTGCTTTGGCCAAGGGTCAGCTCAGAGTAGTCACCTATCTCAGTCCTCAAACCTTCGATTGTGAGAAGGAGAAGGCCAACGTGGATGAGTCATAGGAAAACCAGGAAAATAGATATATATCTATATAGGTGTGTGAGGGGGATATTGATCAAAGTGTGTATGATGGAACAAGAAGATAGTTCCACCTTGATGATCGAATTCCTGACAGACTGCGTTTCTTGGGTTTTGGTACAGCCATTGAGCTTTCTCTGTCTTTATTTGGGGATTACTTTGGTCGTGATAAAACAGCTGTACCAGATGTCGCTGCATTCGATTTGAGACCTGGAAAATTCTTACACGGTTAGTCTCCGTGTGGCAGTGCCTACTTAGTCGTCGATTTACTACTGTGATGTTCTGTTGAACCAAGGCAGAAGTAAGGTAATGTCTATAAGATTTGTTAGGCATAACTTTGCCCACACAAAGGCCAAGTCCTCTCGGTGTGTATGGGGCGAATTATAAGTGCAATCACATATTACTGCAATTACAAGTAGGGATAACTTGTGGTAAATCGGCCTAAATTACTGTATACACGGTCCGATAATCATCGGCCCTTTACTAGGTTTCTACCCCTGTGGCCCGTACAATAAAGTTTTGAGTCCCACTCAGCCTAAGCAAGTTAAAGCTATAACAAACTACCCAGTCGATTTAAGCTTCCGGGATGGAGGCCGGGAACTACCACGGGAGTGGAACAGTCTGCGGTTGACTAGCGCAAGTCCCACAACAAATCATTCGCAAGGAATATATCCTCGCCCCGCCTACAAGAAAGCGTGCAGCACAAGAAATTAGATTTCTGAGATCTGCACCGCAGCGTATCCAGAAGCGAGCATCACTTTTCTTTGGGCTGTTTCTTCGGTAGTTGATCCTACCCTGGAATGCCATACATAAACACATGGTGTAAGAAACAGTTCACTTGTAGAACCATACCCACGATACCTTGATAAAGATGCCGAAAGTTGTCACATCAAAGAGGCTAGCCAGAAAGACAGCGGGAAGAGGTACAAGAGTACTGCCGTCACTGCTAAAATCAGCCACATGGTCAGATCTTGAGATATACGAGTCATCCACCGGAGCGCGCAATACACGGAAGCAACGTTTCAAGTATAACAGGAAAGCTAAACCACTTCCTTGGTTGTTGTCTTCAAGATTACAACTGCCGCTTGACTCACAAGGAGGGACTATAGTAAGGTTTCGCCTGATAGCCGCGCGGTTTAACATTACATGCCACTTTTAGCAGCGGAATAGCTCACTATGAGGCGCACTTTGATCAGCAGCAAAGCCCTTACGGCAGATAGTGCCTATCGTCTATGTCCATAACTTCCGTCCGGTATGCCGTGCTTAGAACCAAGTACTTATATCTTATTTAACGTTTATCTCAGAAAGTACCTTGTTCACATAGAACAACTATGTCCACAACTCCATGCTTTAGCGGGTACATTATGTGGCACTATCCGTGGCGTGATTGGTTTGAGTTTATGGCGCCGAACAAGAGGCCGAAGACCGACACGGCGGACTCAGAAGTCTCCCCGAATCCCCTATCAGGATCTATGAAACTAGCATGTCACTGAACACCAGTGCGTCAACCTTCTCTTTCTCTCTTTCTCTCTCTCTCTCTCTCTCTCTCTCTCTCTCTCTCTAAAGCGGTAGTATCTTAACTAGTATGACCACCGAGTTCCGCCATGTCGCAACTAATTTTGCATAATGCTCCGTTCCTAGCGAACAACTATGACGACCTCAAGTCGTTGGGATTTTTGCTCGTAACGACCATCCTATGTGGTTATCTGGTCTACCAATGGGCACTCCCGAAGCCTATCCCAGGCATCCCACACAACAAGGCCTCAGCGCGCCGGCTGCTGGGCGACATCCCCGATCTGATCGAAACGACTTCGAGTTCAGATTTAACCTTGCTCAACTGGATGCATAATCGGGTTGCGGCCCACAACTCGCCCATTATTCAGGTCTTCCTCCGCCCGTTTGGAAAACCGTTCGTAGTGGTCGCCGATTTCCGTGAGGCGCAGGACGTGAACATGCGCCGCAAGGAGTTTGACCGTTCTCCCATCATGCATGAGTTCTTTAAGGGCATCATACCGAACCACCACATCCACGAGCAGACCAACGCTGTCTGGAAAGCCCACCGACGGCTCCTTCAGGACCTTATGTCTCCTCCTTTCCTAAATAAAGTGGCAGCCCCGGCGATTTACACTGACGCATCAAATCTGATCCGTCTGTGGGAACTCAAGGCTAGCATCGCTGATGGCAGGCCATTCGAGATCACCAAGGACGTCCATGAGGCTGTACTGGACGCCGTCCTTGGCTTCGCCTTCGGACCATCGTTGAAGGCTCGAGCTACGCTGCCTAATGCTGAGCTTCTCGGTGGGTTGAGTACCGAGGAGATCCAGAAAGTGCGTGGAGAAGACCACTTGACTAGCGGCGATGCACAAATATCGTTCCCGAAGGCTTCACCAGACGACCTGATTAGAACACTCTTGGACAGCACGGACTCTTTGGCTGACATCCACGGAAGCCCTGTGCCTCAGCTGAGATGGCACCTCGTGACGAAGTGGAAACCACGTTTCCGACGCGCCCTCAGAATGAAGAATAGGATTCTCGCCCAAGAGCTTCAGAAGGCCGTGGAGAGGATGGGCAGTGCGCATTCCGGTGCGCGGTCCGCGGTGGAGCACATGATTGAGAGGGAACGGAAGCTAGCAGAAAACGACGGCAGAGCCCCCGAATACGTCTCTCCCGTCATGGTAGATGAGGTAAGCTATGCACCGAATATCACTTTATACACCGCTTTAACCGGTCCTAGACATTTGGTTTCATCGTGGCTGGACATGATACGAGCAGTACGGAGATATCTTGGGCCTTTAAGATATTGGCCGATCATCCCAAACCTCAAACTCGCCTCCGGTCGAAACTGCAAGCTGCCTATACGAAAGCCGTCAAGGAGAATCGCAGCCCGTCAATCGCCGAGATTACCGGTTTGCAAATCCCTTACCTCGACGCTATAATCGAGGAGTTGCTTCGATATTCCGGCACCGTACCTATGGTAGATCGCCAGGCTATAAACGATACGGAGATTCTAGGCTTCCCTGTGCCTAAAGGAACTACTGTTACCTTCCTCTCTATGGGACCTAGTATGATGAGCCCCGGGTTTGAGGTCGACGAAAGCAAACGTAGCGAAAGTAGCCAGAATGCTATGAGAGACGGCAAGGGCCGTGCCTGGGATCCCAACGATATCGGCCTCTTTAAGCCAGAGCGGTGGCTCGTTCCCACACCCTCCGGTAATAAGAAGGGCGGAGACGAAAGTTGGCAATTTGATGCCACTGCTGGGCCGCAACTCGCTTTCGGGCTCGGCACTAGAAGCTGCTACGGGAAACGTTTAGCGTATGTCGAGTTGCGAGTCTTACTCACTCTGGTTATCTGGAATTTTGTGCTTTTGCCGTGTCCTAAGAAGCTGTCGGGCTATGCGGCAGTTGCTGGCATAACACATCGGCCGACTCAGTGCTTTGTGCGGTTGCGAAAAGTTGAACTCAAATGAACACTAATGGTTATGTTAAACAACACGGAATACGTTAATCTAGTCTGGCTTCTACTAAACAATGCAAGTCTACGTAGGATTTTATATTTATATGCATAGAGCGCTATCAGAAATGGTACGTGTATTATTTCTTCTACGGATGATGGAGTTAGCTTTTTAGTATGCTGGGAACATAAATAGGCTCTCTCGTCATTGATATGGTGTATTTTAGACTGAGAAGTGTGTCCCTGCACTGCTAATACCCATTCATGCATTCATGACTATTTCGAGCTCCTCAGCTCAAACCACCATCTCGGATGTCCTTGGGGAGACGCCAAGCCAACTAACATCAGAATTAATCTGTAAGGCTGATTTGATTTTGTCCCCGCGATCCTAATAGTCCTCCAGGATCGGCGTGCAGACTTGAAGTTTTTCACCAGGGTTGAACGGGTTTGTAAACCTCCAACTGAAACTCGAGCCGAGGCGTCCCAGAAGCCTCGGTATCAAAACTCGACTCAGAAACCCATTCGGCCAGTTGAAGAGGCTCCTGTTGAAAGCCAAGCGAGCACGTGGTAACCGTGACCTCGTGGTAAACATCGCTGCCAATAGATATAACATTGATTGATTGACCGAATGAACGGTTCAAAGTCATATATCAGTGGTCGCAGATCTTGATTGAAGAATTACTTTTCCAGACGACCGTCTCTCGATATCGACTCGTTATAGTTGATAAGCGCTCCCGGGCGACACTCGTCCTGATCCGGAAGCTGGATTGCCATTCCAATAGAAAGGCAAGCAGAGGATGCCCTTAGCCGGCCGGACGTGCATTGTGTGGTTTGTGGCTCGGGCCAGCCCAGGGACGGGTGGAAAGCGAGCTTTGGAACGGGGTCGAACCAGTCGGGTTTTGTGCAGAAGAACCGTCCGTCAGGAAGAAAAGTCAGCGGGACCCGACAGCCCGAGGCGTTGCAAGGGATCCATGGTGCCCAGGTGATTGCAGGGGTTCCATCCAGTGGCCACAGCGGGTACCCAAGGTGCAGCAGGTGCCAACGCCGCCCCAGAGGCCCCGACAGCCCCCGAAAGGATCCCCCAAAAGGCAGCCCAGGCCACGCTGCCACATGTGGGACCATGCCCAAAAGAGGCGTCGGAGGTGCATGGGGCTAAAGGAGGTCGTGGCCAAGTCGCTCCCGGCACCACGACGCCATATCTGCATCTGCATCTGGATCTGACCATCAGCAGGGTGACACCTTTGCAACATCACCACCACATCTGGAATTGAACACCTTTGCCCGCGAGCTGCCGCCGCCCGCCGCCCGCCGCCCTCCCGTCTATTCGCTCCGAGGACCACCGCCGTCGATGATGGAGCGAGCATTGTAATGATACTAGCATTTACGACTGTTCTTGTTCTTGTATAAGTACGTTCCGCGCCCTCCCCCCTGTTTTGCTTGCTCGCTCGCCTCGCCTGATGCGCCTCGAGGATGTCGGCGCGCCATGCTGTGCCGGTGCATTCACCTGAGGGCCCGACGGGACCTGTGAGATGCCACAGTTCCACAGCTACGGTGGCGGCAGCGCAGCGTGCAAGCCGCACACGATCAAGACAGATCACCGTCTCCTAACACATGCGCGCTTCTAGTACCCTTCCGTCACCCACGGGCTTTGCACTCTCGTACCATAGACCCTTTAATACTACCTCGCCATGGCGTCCGACCCCGTCAGCGCATCATGGCATCCCGCCCTGATGCCAAACTCGGCCGCCCATAACTTCTCCTCGCATCCCCAGCCAGACGTCTCGCCAGATACCCAGCAAACAGAGTCAGAACCCGAGCCCGCTGTAGAACAAGCGCACCCCCAGGGGCCAGAAGAGACCTCCGGCCACACGATACCCAATGACACCACGTCGACAGAGCCGGCGAGCGAAGGCGCATTCCTCGATCAACTAGCCGCCGATGATGATGAAGTCGGTGGTTGGGATCTGTCGAGTCCTGTAGCCGGCGACGCGACAGCTGCTACGGAAGAGCCGGTGCTAGATCCCGAAGCCGCCCTTGCCGAAGAGATACCTGTCGCCGAGGAGACTGCTGTACCCCCGGAGTCAGTCATGTCTACTGAGCCGGACGCAGCACCCGCCGCACCCGCCGCCAATGCCGCCAAACACTCCAGCACCGTCTCCTTCGCGCGGACCGTGTCGCACGAGTTCAACTGGAACGACGACGACGATGCCGAGTGGAATCTGCAGCGCACCGACACCGACCCTTTCAAGTTCATGCCTGCCAACGAGCGAACCAACTCGTTCCCCGTTGTGCCATCCGCCCCGTCGCCCGAGAATGAACAACCACTGGACCACGCGATCCCTGCGACTCAGGCAGAAGAAATCATGCAGGAGGTCGAGCAAGAGGCTCACCACGAGGAGTCTGCTGCGGATGAGCCAGAGTTCTTACGATCCTTCGATGACGGCCCGGCTGCCGGGCAAGAGCAGCACGAGGACTCGTTCTTCCAGCAGCAATCCCTGGGCGGCGACACGGTCGGTCCTGAGCAAGAAGCTTCGGATGCTCGCTTTGAGGAAGGCCTACCTCTGATTCCGCACAACGAAGCCGAAGAACCTATCCCCGCCGAGGAGGACTCGAAACTACCGGGTTTTGATGACACGTTCGCCGATGAAGCACCGGGCGACGACTTTTTCAGTCAGATCCAGGAGAACCAAACCCCAGATGACCCGAGCCCGGCATTGCAGAGAAAGGACACCAGCATGTTCATCGAGACCACTGCCAATGCGGCCGTCGAACCAGATACCCCCGTCATACCCGAAACCGACAATTCACAGGCGGATTTCATGAAGCAGGAGGCTGACAGAGCTGCCACCGAGGCCGGCGCCACCGAGGCCAGTAGCCTAGAAGAATCCAAGCCCGGCGAGTCAAACGAACTGGATGCCAAATGGGCTGCTGCTTTCGAAGGAGACGACGAGGACGAATTCCTCCTGGAAGACTCTGCAGACAAGGAGATCGACCCGGCGGCCTTCTTTGGAAGTGATGACGAGGGCTTCTTGGAGGATGAGGACGACGCGCCTGTGGCCGCACCCGCTACCTCCCAGCCTGCTTCAACTCAGGCCCCGACTGCACCTATCACCGGACGCTATACGCCAGCCGCGCTACCATCTCCAGCCCAGCCGGTCTTGAATACGTTCAACGCCATCCCGGCTCCTTCAGCGACACAGCAAGGCTTGGCAGCCCATCCGCCGCAATATGGAGTTTCAACATTGGCATCCCCTATGGGACAGGCATATGGAGCTCCGGCCACGAGACCTGAAGTCTCCAAAGCCCAGAGCTTCGTGGACAAGAAGGGCGGATATTCTTCACCGTATGACCTGCCGATGGATGTAGTGACTGCTCCGCGAAAGCGCGTTAGTATGCAGCAGCTGCCGCGGGCAAACCTTGCTCCGTCGGCGCCGCCTCCTGGGCCGCCCGCACGAGCAGCGAGTATGTATTCGCAACCATCGCCTACAATGGGGTCTTCGGGATCCGTCCCCACGCCACCGACATCAAGCCATTCTAATCAGCCAGTTCCCGGGCTCAAGCCGGCGCCACAGCTGACATCCAAGTCGGGCTTCTTTGAAGATCTCCCCATGACCTCCAAACCTCGGCCTGCTTCGCGCCAGAATAGCCTGCCCTCTCCACAGCAGACTGCCTACGCGCAATCACTCCAAGGGCCCCCAGTGCGACCTCCCCAGGGGGTGCCTATGGGACCACCTCCTATCCCGCCCCCGATGGCTTCTCCTGTCCAGCAGCAACCTGCCGGACTAGCTGGTCTAGTCCCCCCCGAGCAGATGAGTCCCTATTCTCAGCTTCAATCGAATGGGCCCCAGCAAGCGACTGCACCTGCAAGCAATCGGTACTCTCCTGCGCCCGGTCAGGGGCCGACAACCAATGGCATGTCGCCTCCCACAGCGGCGACCAGTCGATATTCCCCAGCTCCACCGAGCCGCTCGAGCAGCGGCGCGTATTCAGCTGTCCCTCCCCCGATTTTGGCCCATCAACCAAGGACGTCAAGTCCGTTGGCTCACTTTGAGAAGTCGCAAGATCCGTCTCAAAAGCTTCCGAGTCCCGGTGCTGGCCAAGGGGCTCCCTTGGCAAGAAGTGTGTCCTCCCAGTACGAGCCTCGCCTTACGAGGGTGCCATCGTTGCCTCCTACCAGGGAAGTCGAGGAGGATGGTCCGACTGTTTTGATGCAATCTCCACCACCGATGACCAGACCTCATGTTCCTTCGGCTGAGTCTAGATACAGCCCTCAACAAGCGCGGAGAACCCCTCCACCAGTCCTTTCTCCCGCAAGCAGCACTTTGTCGCCGCCGAAACGCATGATCTCAAATTACGCTCCAGGCCCAGTTCCCCAGGCCACCGTTCCTGCTAACCAGGTCAATTTCGCACCGCCTCCTCGCTCCCAGACACAGTCTCCAGGCTCACTCTACGGCAGAGCCTCACCCACGAAACCTGCCGATGCAATTCCTAGGCCGTCTTCCGCGCAGGGGCCAACCTCGCCAAGGGCCCCTCCTCAATCTCAGCCTGCACGGCCGCCAGTTACTCGTGCTCGCGGCATGTCACAGGCCCTGAACTTGGTCGCCCCCACGGACGGGCGTGAGCTTGATCCATTGACACGATGGAGGGGTGCACCGTTAATTTCTTGGGGTGTGGGTGGTGCTATGGTCACGTCTTTCCCGAAAGATGTTCCTCGATATGGCATGAACCAAGCCCTGCCTATGATACTCCGGAGCCCCGGTGAAGTCAATATCAAGCATGCCAAGGATGTCCAGCTGATTGAGGAGCGCATCACCAAGTTCCCCGGTCCATTGAAGGGCAAGTCAAAGAAAAAGGAGACAGTTGCCTGGCTTTCGCAAGGTATTGAAACTCTGGAGAGTGCTCTACCGAATGCTGCATTCCAGCAATATGTATCCCATGAAGACAAGAGAGCCGTCGAAAGAGTTCTTCTCTGGAAGATCCTCCGCCTTTTTGTCGAGAATGACGGTGTGCTCGAAGGAAACCCTGCTGTAGAAAAGGCTGTGCGCCAGGTTTTGTCCCCTGAGCTCGAAGATACAAATGGCGAGCTCGCATCCCCGATCATGACGGCTGGCGATCTACACGGTATTTCTGCTTTGGCAGGCATGCAATCGGATGCGGTGGACTCATCGGCTATGGAGCAAATTCGGAAATTCCTACAGCTTGGAGACCGCGAGAAAGCTGTTTGGGCCGCTGTTGACAAGAGGCTATGGGGGCATGCCATGCTCATCTCCAACACTGTGCAAGGTGACCTGTACAAGCAGGTAACACAGGAGTTCATTAAAAAGGAGGTCAATGACTCAAGCCGTAGCAACCAGTCACTGGGCGCGCTCTATGGGGTTTTGTCGGGTAACCTCGAAGAAGCGGTCGATGCACTGGTACCAAGCCATGCTCGTGCAGGACGCCAGCTGATGTCAACAACCTCTGGTAACTCTACTGACGCTCTCGCCGGGCTTGAGAAATGGCGAGAAACTCTTGGCTTGGTATTGAGCAACAGAAGTGAAGGTGATATCGTGGCTCTGACCTCACTGGGCAAGCTCTTGTCCGAGTACGGCAGAGCTGAAGCCGCGCACATTTGCTTCTTGTTTGCCCGAAAGCATGCCGTATTTGGCGGGCTGGACGACCCTAATGCCAACTTCGTCCTTGTTGGTGCCGACCATCGTCGCCAGGCCGATCAATTCGCCAAGGAGATTGAACCACTCCTGCTGAGTGAAGTCTACGAGTACGGCCTTGCCCTGTCCGGGTCGAACACCCAACAAAGCTGCCCTCACCTTGCCGGCTACAAGCTCCAGCATGCTATGACACTTGCTGAATACGGCTCAAGGGACAAGGCTCTTCAGTACTGCGAGGCAATCATGACTTCCATCACAGCTCAGACCAGGCGGTCGCCCTACTACCACCCTGGTTTAATGTCTTCTGTGGACGATCTTATGGTGAGGCTCAAACAGTTGCCCAAGGAGGGTTCTTCGTCTTGGCTACCCAAGCCTAGCGTGGAAAAGGTCTCTAGCACCATGTGGGACAAATTTAACAAGTTTGTTGCTGGCGATGATGCTCAGAGCTCAGGACCTGGGTCCCCTGGAGAGCCTGGCTTGGAGACCGGCCCCTTCGCTCGCATTGCTGGTGGTACGCCCACTATTAGTCGCTCCCCATCTGCCAGCAATTTCGAGTCGTTTGGAAACACCGGACCTTCGCCTGTCATTCCAGCCAACAAGGCATCTTCCCGCTACGCCCCTATTAGTGGTCAACCTACCGCAGCCTTCGAGAACAGTTCTGCCTATGCCCCAAGGTCATCGATGGAACGTTCATCGGGCGAGTACCAACGCAGCTCATATGAATTACCGAGGCCAGCGTCAGAAGCAGCGTCTCCAATGTATGGCGCCTCCGTCGAGAGTAACTCCATGGCCACCTTTGGTTACCAACCTGTTCCGAGTGCTGGCATTCAGGCGTCTGCGTCTCCCTATGCGCCCAACCCGCCGGCTGCTACCCCTTCGGCTCCTCCGTTTTCTTCGACCAACTCATACTCTCCGTACCAGCCAATTCTTCCGCAAGAGTCTTCACCAGCAAATACTACCCAAACTCCTGAAGACAACCCTGAAATCGCGGTCAACGACGTCACTGCGGATACGGGTTACCAGGCTCCCTCATACGGCTATGAGCCGCCTACAATGAACTCATTTGACCACGCACAGCCACAGATCGATGAGCCTGCCAGTGCCACTACAGTAACGCAGGATAAGGTGAATGAAAGTGGTGGTGGTGGTGGTGGTTGGGAACCCCCAACCTACCAGCCTTTCTCATATGAGCCCCCATCATCGTCGTATGAGCCCGATCCCGAGGACGGCGAGGCAGATTCAGAGAAACCCAAGCCCAAGAAGAGTTTTATGGATGACGATGATGACTTCCCATCGATGAAGCCCGCAGCATCAGCATCTTCGAAGAGTGAGAAGGACAAGGAAAACGAGGAGATGTTCCGTAAGGCTGCGGAGGAAGATGGTAAGTGCTTGCAACCCGACCTGAAAAGATCTAAAAGCTAACTAGTCATCTAGCGAAACGTGCAGAGGCGGCCAAGGCACAGAAGAAAGGCTGGTTTGGCGGTTGGTTTGGTGGAGAGAAGAAGAAGGAGGCTGAGATGCCCGGCGCGAAAGCCGTCCGTGCCAACCTCGGTGAAGCCAGCAGCTTCGTCTATGACCCCGATCAGAAACGCTGGGTCAACAAGAAACCTGGTGCCGACAACGCACCGGCCAAGACTGCCACTCCTCCACCTCCACGCTCTGCCTCGAGGAACGGTACTCCGCCGCCACCTGGTGGAAGCAGCAGCGCCCCGCCTCCCTCGCGTGGTGCCGGCACACCACCCCCGCCCCCTGGTGGTGCATCCCCGATGGGCATTCCGCGCAGTGTCAGCAACCTGACCAAAATGGCATCCAACGATAGTCTGGCACCCCCTGGCCCGGCGCTCGGCGGCCCACCCGCCATGTCGCGAAGCTTTAGTAACATGAGCAACGTGAGCAACGTGAGCAGCGACAGTGCACCTCCGGGGCCCGCTGGTCCTCCAAGCGCCCCGCCGAGCCGTCCGGCCACGAGCCTCAGTAATGCCAGTAGCATTGACGACTTGCTGGGTGCCGCAGGACCCCGCAAGGCTGGCAAGAAGCCCAGGAAGAGCGGGCGTTACGTAGACGTTATGGCCAAATAAGCTACGGCCTGCAATTGCAACGCACGATGGGATATGGGAAAGAGCGACGAGACGCGAGACGATGACAAGAAGGGGCTTCTCATACCTGGGTCCGGGTTGGAAGCTACGGCATACAGTACAGTATACACACAACGGGCGCAACGGATTTCTATCTTCCATCCACCAGGTCCAGGCCGCCGCAGATGTTTTTCTGGCGGCAGGGGGCATGCGCCTACTGTTTGTATCATATAGACTTAGCGACTTTTGTAATATTTCCGTGTGAAACTAGACAGCTACTATATTTGAACTCAAGATTCTTTCCACACCTCCTATTTCTACATTCGCTTTTTGTCGAGACTGGTTGAATCTAGGCGGGCGGTGGAATTGGTGTGTTGCCCGGTTCATCTTCGTATTGTTGTGGATAGAGAGATGGAAGAGATTCGTTCTATTGCAGCTTGCAACTCATGGTCGCAAACCTGTGACTGGTTGTGAAACACCGCAGGTCGTAAGGAAGAGTTCGAGTTCCTCCGTTGACATCGATGCTTAAGTCATTTTGGTCGCAATCGGGGATACCATCAAGCTTGGCAACCTGACCTCTGTTTCTGGTCTTGATAAAACCTAGCTGTCATCTGATGAAGGTTTAACCCGCTAATTTGTTCAACATTGATAATCCAGTCCACCGGTCTTCATAGTGCTACGAGCCTGTTCCCAAGAACTAGACCCACCCGAGTTGTGGTACGGAAGACTGGGCCCATGCCGATGTTGGCGATAATAGCCGAGCTGCATGTTCACCGGAGTTAAGATGAGAACGGTCTCTCGGCATCTCAGCACTCCATGGTCCCTGTCACCGCTTCTGCCAACAGATCTCAGTTCTTTCACTTGGCAGTAATCCAAGGTCAATATGATCAACAGCAAAGATGCCATAAATAGAATGTGATGGCATGTGGGCTGTTATGTAGGAATGACCATTATACTCCTAATGAGTGCTATGCTGTGATATGATTAGACAACGCCAGGGATCTAAATCCATTGGCCTTGGCCACGGCCTGCAGGATCCATGGGTTAAGAAACAGGCAATGGTCGTGTTCCGGAGAGCTGGGTCTGTTAACTGTAGTGCAAACTTCTTCGGGGTCGACTGACGCTGCTGCAACAATCTCATGTGGCGGCACTACCAAGACAGCGCCAAGTCGCCTTGAAATTGCCAAAAGTAAAAGTAATGCCAAAGGATATAGTTTGCTTCAAAGATCGGTGCATGTTGTCCGGATGGACTCGGTTACCAAGCTGCCCAGCCTGGCCTTCAGGATGTAGCTTTAGAGGACCCAAGTCCACATTGTTATTTCTCAGAGCCAAAATGTGGCCTTCGTCCAATCAGTATACTAGAATAGGTGCTGCGGCGTCCTCTAGCCCCTCAAAGAGACCGTTGAGATCTTCTACGAGGTTATCCGGAAGAGGGCCGTTGTGGATACCAGCAGCGTATGTATCTAGTTGTGCCTGATTGCGCGGCCCGACAATCACGCCGTCCCCCAGCGCCCCGTTTAGGGCTGAATGGTTCAATATCCATCGCATGCTTGCCTCGGCCATATCGATCCCATACGTCTCACAATATGTTGCCATTTTGTGTATTGCATCGTGAAAAACGGGCTTATCATACCACTTCCGGCCTACCATGCCCATGACGTTGTCCTTGGATACTTCGAAGCGGGTTCCCCGGAGGTTCTCGGGGTTGTTGTGAGAGAAGGTGACCTTTCCAGTCAGCACCCCCCCGGCAAGAGGTGAGTACGCTACGAAGGCGACGTTGTGTTTTCGAAGAAGTGGTAGCAGCGTTTTCTCGTAGTTCCGGCATAAGAGATTATACTGGCCTTGAAACACGCGGGGCTTGACATAGCCCTGGGTTTCACAGATATCGAGAATCTCCTCAAACGACTTGGGCGACATGTTACAGACCCTAGTCCCCGCGCAGTTTCCCTGACGATATACCGCATTGAAGGCGGCGGCTTGCTCTTGGAGGGGGGTGACGTGATCTGGGCCGAGACAGTAAAAGATGTTACCTAATTGGGTCAACAGCTTTGGCCTAAGACACAAGGCGACCTGATACTTACCTTGTCCGTTTAAAGTTTTCAACCTCTCTAGACTCTCGTTCATTGACTTCTGAACTGCTTTGAAAGTCAGGGTATTGTCACTGCCATTAAACCACATGGCTTTAGTATCAATGAGAAGTCCATCGTGCTTAAGTTCACCAAGGCATTTTTCTGCGAGGTGGGGATGGGTGAAGGGATATAGGGCGGCAGTGTCGATCCGTCGACAATTGAGTTTTTCCAAATTGTTCAACTGTTCGCGCATCTGGTCGATACAAAGGTTGTGACCCCAAGTCCCAGTTCCAACCAAGATTTGAGGGGCCATTTCATGGAATATATTGAAGATGGTATGGATTTCTGTAGAGTCCAAGTTGGGATCTGTGTAGATGCGGGTGGAAATTGGGTAGCACGGGACAGTGGGCACGCATGTAGAAGACCCATGTGTGCATTCCTGGAGTCCTTTGCAGATGAAGTGGAGATTCGATGTCGTATTCCCTTACGACATGGCCCTACCTGCTGTGCAAAGCCGGTGTCGCCCAGAGCAGTAAGTACAGTTACCGCTGTAGGCACATGCCGGGCAGAGTCTCTCCAACTCTAAGGCTCCCCTCCTCGCTCTTCGGGTCCATCCCTTCATGCAAGGGGCCCACAAGGCTGCAAATGTGCGTCCAGTTACTCGGCTCTTCTACCCTCTTTCTCCCGTCCCCTCTCCTCAGTCTCCCTTACTTCCGAACCGAAAAATGCAATCATCAGTATCTCCACCAGTGAGGAAATCCAATCTAGACTTGTGCATAATAAATGTTCCCAAGGAGATCGACCCTGGCCTGCATCTGCTTTAGACCTTCCGTGGTAGGAATTCATCGTTTTGTAGAATTTACTGTAGCTCTTGGGGTCGTAGCTCTTTCCGACTGGCTTCAGCCGAAGGATATTATTGGGGTCCTGGGAGTCGAGACCCGTCTGCATTGGGCCTGCATGGTAGATGCATTCCAAGTCCAGCCTTGTATTCTTGCTCACCGTAACTGAGCGGACAACATCCTGTATCTCCCCGGGAATCTGTTGGGCAGTCTACTTTGTCAGCCAAGCCTTGCCACTCTACATCCAGCGACCACTCTTTCCCATCCCGATCAGATATAAAACTGGTCCAGGTAATAACATAGTATGTGGGTCCCATCTCACATGCAGTTAGGATTTGTGGTAGGCCGAAGGTGTTTCCACCCTTGTTACGCACCCCCTTCACCATGGTTCATGATATGGGCTCCATGACATGGGCTCCATGACATATGAAAGCTGACGGTCATCCCGGTATCTTGCCTTTGCCTTGCTTGCATAAACATCTTGTGGTGCAATAAAACATAGACATTGTGATCGATTCGGGTATCGGTCGTAGCAGTCCGGCGCCTAAAACGCGTCAAACTGTTCTTTGGCTACCTCCAAGGGCATTACATGGCCATCGCGTACCGGACTGAATGGTTCGTGGCATTTAGCAACCCCCCACCCCTGCGCCTCAGGCCTGCAGGTCACAGGGTGCGATGATTGAATACCCTCCCAATCGTGTCTGCCTTGATTTTCCTTGCGTGAGGTTCAAAGACTTCTCTTTCGAAGCCTTATTCTCTTTTCGAAGATCACCTCTTTATTCAAAGACTACTCGTCTCTCCGTTTTAAAACCACCCATCAACTGGCGCTGATGGATCCCCAGATCAGTACTTCGGGCCTGCTGGGCTCCTCAGCCATTCTCATCCTGGCCATATGGATGGTGCAAGTCTGCTACACTGGCCTAGCGATAAGATTGAGATTTCGTCGTATGAAAGACCAGGGTCTTGTAAGCTCCCTCTACGTGTACCCCGTATCAACGCGACCAGTTCACGCGCCATGCTCACAATTACGGATGCAGCCCGTCCCCTTGCCACACTCATTCATGTTCGGCCACCTACCACTAATGAAGATTCTGAAAGCCAACATACCAAAAGATGCCCACGACACTTATATGTATCAGGAGATCGCTTTGAACTGGCGGAAGTACTTTCCATTGGAGAAGTGCCCCCCAGTTATTTATATGGATTTCTGGCCGCTTCTCTCTCAGCCTATCATCTACACTATTAGCCCAGTGACTTGCTCCCAGATTACTCAGGAATCAGTCCAACCAAGGCACCCCATGTTTTCGTGGGCTTTGCTTCCAGCTACTGGTGGCAAAGACCTAATAGCTATGGACGTGGCTACACATCGTCTTTGGCGTTCAAAGCTAAACCCGGGATTTTCCTCGCAAAACGTCATGTTACAAAGCCAAATACTCATCGACAAGTTGACTGTTTTCGCCACAAAACTTAAAAGTCAAGTCGGAAAAGAGGGGATGTATGGGGGGTTATTTTCATTGTATGAAAATACATTAGCTGTCACCTTTGATATTATTACCAAAGTAACCATGTATGTTAATGTTCGAACAAGTTATTAGCATTATTTGCTGATATGTGTTGTGCCCCTAGCGGTTTTGAAAGTCACGAGCAGGATGACAGTCCAACGCCCATTTTTCGCGCTTTCCGAAATCTGATTGTTTACGTCAAAGGCCAAAGCCTCTGGAATAAGTTGGAACGCTGGACACCAAAATATCGGAACACTGTCGGTAAAAATTCGAAGATTCTTCAAGACATCCTGGTGCCTTTGATTGAATCACGCCTACTGGCAGATACAAGCAACTTGAATACCAACAGCCAAAAGACGATCATTGATCCTGCGTTACAAGATTTCAAAAGAAATATAGCAACAAAGTCAATACAACAAGTTCAATCATTCATTAACACCATTTTATGTCAACTTCGATTATTTCTACTTGCTGGTCATAATACAACTGGCTAAGCCTTGTATGTCTTTATCTGTTTACCAAACCTCACCTGTCTACTTCGTCATTTTTTTCCTCCTTTCTTTTTCTTGACCCCCAAATTAATGTGGTCGTCAGATCTTGGCTTTTCTATGAGATATATAGAAGGCCGGAAGTGCTGGACCAACTTCGAGCTGAACATGATGCGGTTCTTGGTTCAGACCCTCAAATGGCAGCTCAAGTGCTTTCCCAGGAACCGCATAAGCTAAATAGCCTGCCATATACAACAGCGGCTATCAAAGAAGCTTTGCGCCTCCACCCGCTAGCACCAACACACCGTCAAGGAAGCCAAGATTTTAACTTCACATATAACGGCACGATTTATCCTACTTATAACTGTTTGATCCATACATATCCCAGTGTGTCCTCCATCTACGGCCCGACTTGTGGCCGCGGGCTACCGAATTCTTGCCACAGCGTTTTTTGGTTGAGAAAAGCGATTATCTTTGTCCACCTAAAGGCGCATGGCGTGCATTCGAGCTCGGAAATACGAGATGCATTGGTGAAGAACTGGCCGTAATGGAGATGAAACTAGCGTTAGTGTTGACTATACGGGAATTGGACTTTCTCTTCGATTGGGAAGGGCACGATAAACTTCAGTAAGTTGTTCTCTTTGCCGCATATCCCTCCCCCCTGGCTCTAGAGTATCATGATCCTTACCTTCCCATTTTCATTACTGATTGTTTCTAGGCGTGGTAGCAAAACATCGGACTCTGTGAATGGCGAGCATATATACCGCGTTGGCAAGGGTATCGGCGAGATCAAAAGCGGTCTTCCTACCCGTGTCAAGTTGAGGTCTAAGCAGGCCTGACGCTGTCGAAACCTGAAGTTCGAGATGTGTAGTAGTATTATCGGGAATCGCAAGATAAGCTACAATCACTGAGCTGTCATTTCGTCCCGAACACATCAAGTGGTGACTGGCAATAATTACTGATAAATATATGTGATTTGCAAGGCTACAGTAAACCCCCATTAGCAGTGCCTGTATACCTAAGACTCTAACATTTCAGCCCGCGTCGACTAAGCTACTATATCCGCACCGCCTGGCTTAGACCATTAATATAACCAGAGCCTCAAGAAGGTTCTAGCGACAGGTTCTAAAATCTAAATCATTCTTGTTTGCTGCTTGTTCCGTCAGCGGTCTTTTCATTTTGACGCCTTGGCCTGTTGGCAGTAGGGTATCAGAGCACCATGGACAAGAACTAGTGGTGCCAAGCGTGGTGGCTGTTCTTGGCTCACCAGCTCTGGTAAACAGGGCGACGATACTTAACTTCCACTAAAATGAGCCACGCCAATCCAGAGTAAGTTCGAATTGCGGTTTGCTATCGCGAAGCCCTTGACGGCGGTTTCCTAGCCTCGGTGAATAATCCTTGATACAGCTAAATCTCGACTAAAAGGTGTTGAGCCTCACAATTAGAGGCTTCGGTTATCTATCGAACTAGTGGCTACTGGTAATATCTGAAATTAGGGCGGCTGTGTTGTACAGCAGTAATTGATTGGGGTTTATCGCTACTGGGACGGACGCAGTGCATAACGTCCACTCAGATCAGGTGCTCAGCTACTGAAATGCATTCAGGCTGCCAAACTCAAATACAGCCTGAATCCTTCAACCCCTGCCGTTACCAAATCATGCTCCAAAGTTAAATTCTTATCGGACGAGGCAGACTGCCTCAAGCTGCGTAGCTTGTTCTCAGCTAGTCAGCCTTGCTCTGCGACCTGCGCATTCACGAGCGAGCAAGAAGGAACTAACATTGATAAGGTTTCCAACCTGTGGCTGGCTGGGTTCGAGCAGCTGCACCAGGATAGATGGGTTCGAGTCTTATCACGGCAGCATGATGCCATGGAATCCCATGCCTCAGCCAGGCACCTATTCGAGCATAAGCTCATTATGGGTAAGACGATATATAGTCAGAGTCGCACGCGTCGAGTGGCATGTATACCTGATCTTTCCACTGATGCTGCTGCATCAAATGGCTACTGCAACTTGATCAACTCCACAATCATCTCCGAGATACTGAGAAAATTGTGCCAATGCCTAGTATCGCCAAGCATGCATGGAACATTTGCTCGTACAGCTGGGTGGCTTGGGGGCGATGCAGGTTGTGTTGAAAGGGTGAGATTCTATGGCTCGAAGCACATCATCACCGAATCCTTGCTTGATTCGGCTGATTCCGAAGGCCCAAGATAAGACACAGGACTGCTTTCTTGCGCCATTGGCTTTCATCATCTTGGAGTTTTACGCTGTGGTGCTAAATGTCTGTGTCTAATCGTGAGGTAGGCGGGGAAATTGGGCTCGAAAATACTATACTGGCCGGTTCGGGGATGCCGAGCGATAGCTGTGGATGGAGGTTGGGGCCGGGGCTTGTCCACGGTCATCGAGTTAAAGAAGCCGATGTCTCAGCCTTACCATGGCGCAGGACTACTGTGTCTGACAACCCACAGATATAGCTCCTTAGCTCTGCCAACCCCCCTTCGATCTTAGTCAATGGAAGTTGCACTTTTCGCCCATGTTTGCACTTTGCGGTTCCCGAACACCAAGCTTTCCCTACATTCACAGCGGGCTGCGAGAGAAACTCGGCAAATTGAGCTTCACGATTGTAGAGATGAGCTGGCCTGCGGTGTTTGATTCTTGCTTTATCAAGAATCGGACGTTGACTTACAATGCTGACATCGAGGGCCCTGGTGTTCGTTCCCACGTAACCTGTTATATCCGTTACTAGCCTGACAATTTTTCCATATAGGTTGTCTTCAGTTTCATCGCGAGTGGCTGGCTGACATTCGGCATAGTCTTGTGCAATTATCTATTTGTCTTCGACCCACAAACTAGCCCCTTCCGACCTCTGGAAAATGATTTACCCACAGCTCGGCCATTAGACGAGAATGCCGATTCGAAATGGACACCGAATCCATTAGATATGCTGATCAGCAACAAATGCGGCCAGTTGCTCGGTCCGGTGAAAGTTCTACTCGGGCGTATGATGCCGTCTTCCCTTGAAGCGTGGTTCGAGCAAATATCAACGAGAGAGAAGGCTGAAGACGCATTTAGGCAGGTAAGCTTCGTTGGAACCCGCCCGACAAACTCGCGTTATATACGCCACTCGTTCAATCATGATCTGATTTTCGGTAGTGTGTTATGAGTCTTTGTGATGTGCAGCTCATTACCGGCATCTCAATGCTGCTCAGCGGTTTTGTCTCACTGAATGATTTTGACTACATGTCCCTTACGAGTTGGCTTATGGTGGCTAATCTCGCATGGTTCTCGAACTTGACACATCAATGCGGGCTTGTATTCCTACGCGGGTATCTCTATCAAAACCCGCGTGAGAGAATGTGGAAGCTCATGCTGATGACTGGTCTCTTTCTTACGCTTGTCTGCGCTTGGACCCCAATGATTGGCGCCATAGTGTTCGATGGATACTTTGGAGCACAGCCGACAACCCCAGCTGCAGTAGGTGGTCGATTTTTCTCAAGTTTCCCCGGTATTTACGCCTGATGCAATTTCCTTACCTCTTTTACTTCAATCAATATCTCAACTCCTCCTCTCTCCATTGCTGGTTTCATTATGCATAAGTTCTAACTACAGTGGACCCAGTGCTTTTATAACCTTGAGGTTGTACATGCTCTCTATGCTGATGGGGGCATCAATCAAGGCTCAATCACTGGCGCACCTTCATTCCAAATCTCGGCAGTCGCCATCGTAGTGCTCTTCCTGTCGTTCATCGTGAGGCTCATTAAGCTCTTCGAGACATCCTCACGATTTGTGAGAAACAGGATAAGGACTCCAGTTAGCCTCATATCGAGGAATCTTCTCTCACGCATCGTAACAAGCAGCCTCACCCAAAGACAATATGGAGCAAAGTTTCAATCTCGGGTATTCTGGTTCGAGAACCCCTTCTTGGCAAGCTATCTATTCTTGCGCATTGCTGCAGATATATTCACGTCTGTGTTCGCAGATGTGAGACTCCCCTTGTCTGTAGCCACTACTCGACTAACATGCTGTAGGTCACCTGGTTGTTTCTTTCCGCCATCTTTGGCACGAAGCAACTTGCTTTCCAACGACTGTCGCTTGCTCAGCTCGGAAACGATCAAATCAAATTCGAGACTGGTCTCCTTGCACAGCTCAGCAACAATAGGTTCGACTTCGGCCAGACCCTTCCCTTAATGCTTCTGTCTAGCGTGATGTTGACGACTAGGCAAGCCTTTCAAGCCGGAAGACGAGCAACTTCATCCTCGCCCGACACGAAAAGGCCACCGTTCAATACCACTGCAAGCTCTAGGCAATCCTCCTTTGCTTCTACACTTGTCGCTGCTTCCGAAAATGTGTCAACCATTGACGCTATCCTCTCTCGAGACATATACCTAGACTCTGCCTGGCTTGTGCCAACGGTGTTGAACATTGGCGCTGCGATATTCCTCTTCTTCCAGCTTATTGCCTCAAGCGGCGGTGGCACTGCGGGAAGCCTCCTCATTTCCATGGTATACTCTTCCGCTATCATTTGTGTGGCCTGTGGGGCCATTATTCTCGTTGGGCTTGCAGTGAGCGAGCTCCGCTGGGGAGCCTGGTTCATTTGGTGTATTGCAGTCCAACCACTTGCTGCCATACTATGGCTCTCGGCGATAGTCATGACTCACGGGGTGTCATTTGGCGACCGAGAGCAGCTACTAACCATGGTCACTCGTCTTTTGGCCTTCTCGGGTATCCTAGCTACGCAATATGGTGTGATCTGCACAGTCATTCGCTGCTGTCCAAACTGGCCTCAGAGGGTTTTCTTCGCAGCAACATACAGCTTCGAAAACTCTAATGACGGCGCGTCGACGGCCGACCGTGAACTGTGAAATCCATGCTGTTGAAGATCGAGGCTCTTCAGGAATGGGGTCTTGACAAGCTGCCGTGCCAAAGCACCCCTGCGTCCTCCCGCTTGTTCCCCTATCTGGAATGATACTGTTCAACCTGGCAACTCCGAGGGCCCAAGACAACCTTGCAATCTAGTTTTGGATTTCTATTCAATTTCTATTCAAGCTACAATAAGCAGCAAGATTTATATCTACCATTCCCTTCACCATATCAGTTGCTCCTACTAGCTTTCTTCCCGTGCTGTTGATCGCGTCGTCGCGGCGATGCACGGCGATGCATTAGGTTTACAGCAGCTCCGGTGAGGCTGTGGGAAATGCCCACTCCATAATCCCCTTCTCGTCCATTTCAGGGGAAGAGTGACAGGATTCAGTCTTTTGGTGAATAAGGCCATATATCGATCCTTGATTGTACCTGACCTCATAGTATCCCGTTGACATGCGTGCTCAAGTGAAGAGACGCCATCTTCTATAAACACGATTTTTTGGCATTTGCATTGGCTGTGGCGCTCTGCGCCGCAAGACTGCATTGGACTACGATGCAAGGGAGCTGCAATTGGAACGGCCGGCGTATCCGAGATGGCTCAATGCTCCCGTATGATCTCAGCATCCATTTTCGTAGCCAACGAGACGATCCTGATTGAGAGGGTGCTTCTAAGAAATTACATTCAAGAGCTACTTTTGCTGTCTTATTGCTCATCATTCGAGTTGAATCGCTGGATTCCTTGCTTCGGCTGAAACCAAGTCTTTCGGTTAGACACCATTGCTCGAATATTTCATCCGAGGCAGCTTTGTTTTCCATGTCTAATACCACCGCAAAGCCGACATTTCTCCTCGTTCAGGGTTCATTCCAGAGCCCAGATGTTTACCACAAGTTGACCCGGGCGTTGGCTGAAAAAGGGTACCCTGCCGTACAGCCTCGCCTTCCCAGTCTGACCAACCCGGAAGAATTCGACAAAGGCTCAAAGAGTCTGACTGACGATGCACTCGCCATCAAGGCTGAACTTGAGAAATTGGTTGAGCAGCAAAAACTCGATGTGGTCGTCCTTATGCATTCATACGGCGGGCTTGTGGGGAGCGAGGCAGTAACGCAGGACCTGACACGCGATTGGCGCGTACAACAGGCCAAAATGGGTGGGGTAACTCATCTGTTCTTTTTCACCGCATTCATCCTCGAAGAGGGTCAGTCGGTACTGGACGTGTTTGGCGAATCTCCGAATAATGATATCAAATCGAATGGCCGTTTCCGCGTTAAAGACGCCGGACGACTTCTCTATGGCGACCTACCCGTAGAGGAGGCGCAGTATTGGGAGTCAAGGATCGTTGACCAATCGTATGCTGTCCAGGAAACTAAGTTGTCCAGAGCTGCTTACCGATATGTGCCATCCACGTATCTAATTTGCGAGGAAGATCAAGCGGTCCCAGCAGCATACCAAAAGATATTTGCCCAATTGGCCAACGCAACAACACTGAAAATGAAGACGCGCCATTCGCCCATGCTAAGCAAGCCAAGCGAGCTTGCCGATGTCATTATTGGGGCGTTGCAAGGAAACAGTTGATCAGATGCGGTGTGGCTCGTCAAGCAGGGCAGCAGGTTATCACGCAAAATTAGAGGCAAACGAGACGTTTGGTCTCTCTATCTCAACATAATGTTGGGCTGCGAACTTGACACTTATTTGTACTGATTAAAACCCATGCGTGAGATTATGTCAAAATCTATAGTCGATTTCAATTTTCGTATTTTTCACTGAAAGGCCTATAGCTTCGAGTAGTTTACAGAGAATTGAACTGAGTTGCACCGCCCATAACTTTTATTCTCCGTGCGTTTAACCCCAGAATTTGATGGCTTGCTGCCCAAGAGACTTCTGTCCTGCGGCATTGGCGTGGCAGCCATCCTGGACCTCGGCTGCGTGAAGGATGAAAGATCCTGGATAGGTAACGTTGACGAGTGTCGTGTCTGCGGCGACCGTCTTAGCAAGGTTGTCGGTCATGGCAGCGCCACCGTTGCCGGCCAGGAAACACTCCTTTCCAGGGTCATAGAGCGGCTGGCCAGTGATGTAAATAGCAGCATCAGGCTGAGAGTGCGTGCGAGCATTGGCAATCAGCTTCTTGACCTCAGCGGCTGTTGCACCCTGCTGGGCAAAGATGCAAATTTGAACCCAGACCGTATCGGGCTTGCCGTACTTGGCCACTTGCTGGTCGTATAGCTTCCAGGAGGCCGAGTTGACGTCAGTCCATGATTGGACTACCTGTCCACTGGTGCCATAGTTGGGCCACATGCGCTTTCCGCCATCGGCAACGTAGCCTTGAGCCACGTTCTCAGCCATTGAGCAGCCGATGAAGCCCATGGTGTGGTCCGCACAGGCCACGGTGCTGACGAAAGCAGCGATTGAAAGTAATTTGAGCTGCATCGTTGGTTGACTTGTTTCAAAGTGTAATTCTAGGACTGAGTCTTGCACTTGCAGTTTCTCTTACTGTAGCCGCCGCACTTGAATATATACAGCAGTTGTAAAGTTCCTAGCAACAATGACATAGTGACACATTCCCCGGACAGCCACAGACCGGCTTCTCTGCTCGGTACTTGAGACAAGTCTTGGAAGATCATGATTGGCTGGGAGTGCGGCAGCATACACTGCGTCGTCCAGATTTAGATTGCTACTTAACTCGGAACCAGTGGTTGTTTTTATGGTATCGGCAGATTCTTAGTCGTGAGAAATGCGACCTTCCGTAGCCGACAACCAAGACCGAAACCCCCACTTAGTCAATGCGGACCAACGGACCTTAATCCAACTACGTTCGCATTGCCACAAGCCTGACCGCAAACGAGCCGGAAGTCCTAGTCCGACATCCAGTAAACGTCAAGCTGCGTTGCATCGCCTACTTATTATGCAAGTTAACTGCCACCATGGTTTATCGCTACGTCCTGAGCTTCCCCCAGCTCATTTGCCAACGCGACATTGAGCAATGGATTATGCGACATTATGATGTTCGCTATAGCCAATCATCCACTACAAAAGTTGTCTAATCAGCCGACTTGAGTTACCGATGGTTTGCAGTTGCATCTTGTTGTCAATTGCAGATGAGCTGAAGAGCAGTAGAACGCGTTGCGTATAATGATTCCAAAGGAACAACTGCAGCGAATGCATCGACTCAGAGACCCCAAGAGTTACAGTAGTCGTCATCTCTTGTCTATTTTTTAATATCCATTGATTGGGCTTCTATTTTTGGGCTACGAAGTAGACATCAACGACAAGCCCAGGCTCGTAAGTGATGTAACGGCATCATGTTCAACAGTTGACTGTACTGACACAAGTAGAATGGCCTCACGATTAACGCCAGTCAAAAAGAAGATCGGATACTTTAGTGCCTAAGAAACAGATCGGGAGCAGATGACGGCAATTGTCTCTGCGCAAACAGTTCACGAAGACGTGACACGAATAGAACAAACAATTGGTACTGGAAACAAAAACGTCACTCAGATGCATCTGTATTGAGGGAGTGTAGACATCGAGCCCGCGCTAATCACGGGTCGCGTAAGTAAGGAGTGTGGCATGTCTCATTCAAGTCCTAAACCCTAGAAACCATTATACTTGAAAACTGTGAGAAATCCATGCCTGAAGATACATTGCCGATAGTACAGCGTCCGAGGACCATGCAGCGGATAGACCACTTGTGCCCAAGCTCGTCAGCTTGGGCTAAATCGTCGCGGGCGATCCAGCCAGGACACCTCTACCTTATTGGGAGTTGATGATCTGCAGACCGATGTTGTTCAGGCCAATGATAGCCTGTGTAAGACCGGTGACGGTCAGTTGAGCGACAACTGATGCTCCAAGAACAGCCTGCACCAAGACCTGGATGGGACCAACGAATGGCGCGATGGCAGCTCTGACAGCGGCGATCTCGGCAGCGACGGCGGCGGCGACGGCAGCTGAGACGTTTTGGGTGAGGATCAACGTAGCTCTGATGTTCTGAAGCAGTGCGATCGCAGCTTGCAGCGCGGCAGTGAGGTTGTTAATCTCGGCCTGTGTAAGAGCCGTAAGCGCGGCAGCAATGCCACCGACGGAGCCGAAGATAGTCGTAAGGATCGTGGCAGCAGCGGTTTGTAGAGCTTGTACGATAGCTTGGAGGTTTGCTCGGATAATAGCGGTGGCATCAACGATCACTTGAGCATCGGTGGAGCCCTGGATGGTGGCGACGGCCGACTCTATGCACATGGTTAAACAAGGGACTGGCTGTGTGCGTCAATCGAAAGAAAGTGCACATACGAATAGCGTCAATGTTTGCCTGGGTAGAGGTTGTGAGAGTCGCAACGACTGACTGAACAGTATCGTCAATGAGACCTCTCTTCTGCAGACCAACTGAACTCTCTTCAAGGCCTCTCTGCTCCAAGTTCGTAACAGCCAAGCTGTTCTCAACCGGTGCAGGGCTGGGCAGAGAAAGGGCCAAAGTGGCGTAGCCAAGAATCTGAAGGAATCTCATTTTGAAAGTTTTGGAAGAGTCAAATGATTGATGAATAGATCAAGTGGGACTGCAAGGAGTTCTGTGTGGCAGGATGAATGAAGACGGTGCTTGGAGCTTGAGATTGTAGTCATGATTGAACAGCTGGGGAAGAGGGGATATATATATACATATGCTAGCAACTCATCCTCAAGGTCAGAGTAGATTCGGATTCTCAGTCCTGCAAGGTGGCAGTGGGTTCGTCTGAGACACATACACGCTAAGGCCGTTCGGAAGTTCAAATTACCGTGTCTTCGTCCGCATATTGTTGTCCTCATGACACAGAACTGGATCTACTGGGGCCTAGGCTTCCCTTTGCGTTACAATTCATCACAACTGACACTTCTATAGACCGCTCAACATATGGCTTTGACCTAGATCAGTTGCTCGTTGCTGGGTAGTAGGTGGGTGTAGAGTTATGCAATCAGGGGCGTTCGACGCCGGCGCCACACGATGATACAAATGTCTTGTAATTGGCCGAGCGGTCTAGACGAACGAATGTCTAAGCTTCCATCGTGGGTGTTGGAATTGTCAGCATAGACATAGATCAAGCCCCAGCTCTGTTAGGTGACGCCGGCAGGCATGACCGGCTACCATGATGCTCAACGCGACCAAATGATTGGCCTTATTGACTTGTAGCCATACCACTTCTGTAGCTTGGAGAGCCTGAACATCTGAAATGGTAACTACTGCGCGAAATAAACTCAGTTCAGAAGAACTGTGACTTGCTTTTTGTGATGTGAGGAGTATACCTCAACGTGTTTGATTGGACGGGATGGGGACTCCGCTAAGCCACTAAGCGTCGTATTTGGACTAGAAAGTTGTGTGTCTCATGCACCAGCTATTGCTGGCAAGGCTGGTATGTCGTCAGAAGTCTTGGCTTGGTACAAGTGCACAAGTCTAGACCACGTCAAGCGGGAACTAAAGTGCGAGGTGCATTTGACAGGTCCGGAGCTGTCCCGATATCACACAAGGCGGAATTCTGGAGTAGAGTGATGCGGGGCAGGAATACGAGAGGGCCTGCCACATAGTGCACTGATGTGTGGGTATTATACACATCTCCTCGTTCCTTACGTTCAGACTCATGGCAACCTATCTATGCAGCAATACTAGCAAAGTACCGAAACGATACCGCCGACCCATATGCGAAACCTGACTAGACTTCGGCTAATCCAACTGCGCAGACGTTCCTCGCTGAGTAACGATCTACAAGACTAACTGCCGTTTATCTCACTATAGCTCTTATTGCCATCATCTTATACGTTGCTAGGTTCTGAGACACTACATCAATTCTGACTACCATATTGTGGGGTGCGATCCATGCTGTCGAAAGTGGCATGGAGGACATACCTAGCAAGGATGGGAGCACAAGCTCGCTACAGTTTCAACCGGTGTAGGGTGCGTGGCGTTGCTTCACGTACGTAAGAAGGAATTGCAACAACCCTTACACGTCTCCAAGGAAGTAAATGGACAATACCAAGCATCACTTGACAATGGTCAGTAATTCGGTACAGGAATAAGATACAGAATTGAAATTCTAGAACCAATAAGTTCGCCCCTTCCCAGTGGCCCATGAAATTGTTCCCTCTGAGAAAGTAAGACATACAGGAACTAGCTGCTGGCACAGCCGTTCCCAACCCGCAAAGAGAGTCCGCATTAGCAGCCTAGAAAAGCATGGTTTCTGAGGTCGGTGACACCTGCGGCTACGCGCGGTTTCCGGCCGGTTCAGCATCACAGAAACCAAGCCTCGCAGGCCTCCGCGAGACAGCCACCGGACTCTCCATGCAGTATCAGGTGATTCTCTATTCATGCGCAGATGTAGTTCTTTTGCATCGGCAATGCTTCGGGTACCACGAAGAGAAGATCTGCGGCGCAAGGTTGGACCTATATGCTAAAAAGATGTTCCTCACAGCTTCACTTTGATGCCGGAGGCAACGTCAAGTGGGGACCTCAAGGGCTATGTAAAAGTCACAAAGTGAACTACTCAGGTATGATCTACCTCGCCAGGCTCCACTAAACGTTTACAAAGAACAATCCCGCGTCACGTCAGAAGCAATGGGCATAAAATCCGAGTCAGGGTCCATCATCAGTGGCGCGCAAGAGCAAGAGTGCCCGCTAGCACCCAAAATGACGGGTTTCACGGGATCATGTTCCCTCCTTAAACCTACCTGGTCCTTGTCTCAGCCTTATTTTCTGGGGTTTAAGTGCAATTTTTCGATTACTGATCTGCACACCTCCAAGGAGAAATATTGTGTAGCCAGAATACTTAAAAATGTAGCTGTGGCTGCAAGCCCTGTATGTAACTTACTATAGAACTGTTCGAGGGCTTCAACACGTCCTCATTCTGTGTTCTGTACGTAAAATTTGGTCCCAATACACTCTCCTCCTTTGTAGTGGGCTTTAGACGCATTGAGCGGAGGGTATCACTAAGGGGTCCGAATTGACGGATTACTCATGATAGCATCCGCTGAGGTTTCAACATGTATACTCAAAATATCGGTCATGGGATCATTTACTTTCCAGCTTGTCATTACCATTTTAGTAAGACGGTTGCGTTGCTACTCTAGACTTGATCAACCCTCGGTATGGGGTGATAACCCGATGGGGCCGTGAACACTGCTCTCAGGTTCGAAACCAAGTCCCACAGAAGGGAATGGCAAGAGGGGACGATTGCTAGTCATCTTGGCCGATCGGCGCAATGCATTCAAGAAGCAGGATCGATGAAAATCTGACCCGCTCCGTGCTGATGTCTTTGCAATTAAGCGCGCTGATCGAGATTAGACCGCTTTGTGCCATGGCTTCTCGTGTTGAGGTTCTAGTCTTGTTCGTCGCGAATGGCTGCATAACTCATCGAACTGATCGTATTACTGGATTTCGATCGTGGATATACTTTGAGCTAAAGTACAAATCAAGTGTCGGCATCAAGTTGAGCCATTGCTCCGGAGGAGTATAGCAGCACCCACCATTGGACCATACTTCTTGGAGCCATCTGAACGCACTACAGTTTCTTTTTCGAACCGTGACATCTTACCAGCATGGTGGTTGAGCATGTGTGAAACCGCGTGCCTAGTTGGAATATATAAAAAATGACTTGTCGCATCACTGACGTCCACGTGGTGTCGTCATTTGATGCACTTGATAACAATGGATTGGGCGGGCAAGTATCCACAGGCTTCTCGAGTACTAAAGTAGATTGTCTACTATGCGAAGTATCTATTTTCATAACGTTCAAACTTGCCAACATGTGAAATGGCCGACTGATCGGGGTTATGGAGCCTGCCAGAAGACGGGATGTAAGTGCGGTTATTCGTGCCTGCCGATCATCTACATCACGGCCCAAGTAGTCGGAACCTCGATTGTTTTGCATTTCACGTTACCAAAAGTTGAGACGCTGTCTGTGTTCAACGACGATTTGTGGGCAGCCATGCAGCATCAGTTCAGTCCCGACCGAACAATGAATCATGATCGTCGCCAGCACAAGCCTTTGCAAATTGCCACTCAAGCCACTCTGGTCGAGACCCAGTGTCTTGGGAAGCGTCGTGTAACCTGATGTCTAGAAAAGCAAGGTTAGATAGATCGTGGCACAGGGTCATTGCCATCACGCTGCCGACATGGAGACGTATTGGAAAACTGCACACACAGAAAAGTAGATTGCAGCGGTGTGGCGGCTCACCGATCTCGCTGTCTCCCGGTTGTCTGGTACGTTTGTATCACATTGCAAGCTGCGCCGACAGTTGTGCAAATGGGCACTTCAAGTCGATCCCCAGAGAACTATTCAGGAATGAGTTTCCGGGATTTCCAGATTGTCACGATTACACAGGGGCCTCCCAGTAACGTCTAACCCACTGTTGATATCTCTATCGTCATTGGTGTCTGCCACAATCCTATCACTATAGGGCGGCTGCGGGCGACCAGTTCTTTTTTGCCTTGTTCAACACTCGGTGACTGTCAGCCGAGGGGTAGTGAATATTGATTCAACAGCTTGCAAAATACGCGTGCAGGCGATTTAGCATGCGTTTATTCAGATCGTGAATGTTGCGCTGGTCGATCTCTTACGCGTTTGCCAAGTATCAGACCGTCGATAGGGAAGGGGGCCTTGCACCAATAAACTCGAATGCGTCCGCCTCATCCTCGCCGCATTTTGACCAAACTGAGACTAAATGGTTTCTTGGATAGACGTACGAAGATCGAATTTACGTCTGCAGGCGGTTTCGGAGATCATCTGCTAGGCCGCTCAGACTCGGCCTAGTTACTCATATCTCACGGAACCTAATGCAGTAGTGGAAACGAGAGTATTACCAAATTGACCGCGCCGAGATGTCACAATGTTCGCCGGGCGTCGACAGATTCTGAATTAGGCATCAGTTTAGATACAGGAACAGGGGCGAAACCCACTTTGAACGCCGTGGAAGGCCATCAGTGTGTTAGTTTGCGAGCGACCTCCCCACAAGGCCCTTAATACTGTTAATAGACAGATAAAGATGAAAGAAATGGAAATACAACAAATAACTTAAAAGAAAAAAATGGGGTTGAGTTCCCAGTATGCTGCATTATGGCGACTTGCGTCGTGATCTATGGGACTGGATGGATGTCTTCCAATCTGTAGAGGAGCTAGTGATTCGAAGTTCTGCCCCCTCTATTTGCATTCCGATAACCCAACACCATTCCGATGCAGTTCATTCTCTCGTGACTCATAACTCGTAATGCCAACCAATATACCCCCAAATGATGGCTATGACAGATGGGCTTATTTTCTCACATGCTGTATGAGGACACATAATACTGCGGCAGATTAGCAAGGAATCCTCGAACATTGTCTTCGAAGAGAAACGGGCCAAGCAGCAAAAAACGTACAGTAACCACGCTGTCCTCCGCGCTGACGTCGTCATACTGCGGGACGTAGACGTATAGGATTAGGGCGTGCTCGTCGGCGAAGCACGCAATGACACGGCCCTCGAGCCGCCCCACGCTGAGGACACGGCTCCAGTCGCGGCCGTCGACGCGGACCGTGGCCCAGCGGCCGGGCCCGCCCTCGCGGAACCGCGTCGACGGGTGGTCCTCGAGCGGGCAGTTGAGCTGGCCCGGGTCGAGCTCCGGGTTCTCCAGGCCGTCCCACTGGCTGGCGACGTCGAGCGAGTCGGCCGTCAGCGCCAGCCGCAGCGACCCGTGCATGTTGGCCGAGATCTCCAGCTTGGGGCTGTACGAGGAGGCGGCGGCCGACGAGCCGTTGGCGCCCGCCGCGGCCGAGGACGAGGAGCCCGTGCGCGCGGCCACGGCCAGCTTGGTGAAGCGGTCCGAGATAGCCTTGAGCGACAGCAGCGGCGGCAGCTGGATGTGGACGTCGGGCTCGCGCACCTTGGGCTGCATGATGGTCTCGACGTGCTCCGGGTGCAGGACGCGCACGGGGATGTCCTGGGTGATGATCTTCTCGCGCTCGCGGTTGAGATCCGTCTCGAGGGGCTCGACGGGGAACTCGCCGTCGTCGTCGTCGAAGGGACCGGGGCCGCCGAGGTTGTCGCGAGCTAGCCCACTGCCACCACCACGGCCGGCAAAGCGCGAGTAGGCCGGGCCGGAGCTGGACGTGGTGGTGGTCGTGATGGTCATGGACAGCAGGGGCACGTTGTTCTTCTTGGTGAGGCGCAGGGAGGCCGAGGTGCAGTTCTTGTCGTCGGCGGACTTGAGGGCGCGATGGAGCGGGCCCAGGGGGAGCTCGAGGTTGATGGTGTTGTGCGGCTCGGCGGACTGGAGCTGGTACGAGTCGAAGATGTGGTCCATGGAGAGGGAGCTGGGTCGACGCCACGTACGTTAGCTACGAGACAAGATGGAAAGGAAGAGCAGAAAAAGCTGGGAGAGACGTACGCCCACACTTGGGATCCCTGATCGGGGATCACGGTGAAGCGGACCGTGTCATCGTCGAGGCGCATCCAGGCCACCTTCTCCAGGGACGAGAGCGCCGCGGTGAGTTCTGTCTCACGCGTCAGAGGGGCGTCGCATACAGCTATGCGTGGGGGGAGCGGCTGCGGGCTTACTGGAGAACGTCTTGACATTCTTCAGATCGGTCTTGAACCGCATCTTGGGCGGAGATGACGGGTGTTCAGTTTCTATCCACTCGCAGATCTCGTGCGGTCTCACATCACGCACCTCAGGCCGAGCTGGGGAAGACGCGTCGGCACACTTGGAGTCGCGGGGTCATCAATTTCCCAGAATAGCGAGTGGGCTGGCGCGTTAGTGGGCTCTTAGCTGGGCCCTCCCGCTGCCAATCCCTGTCGATCGCGGGGTAAGTTGATGCTAGCGCCTGCCCATAGCTCCCTATCAACTAAGTTACCTAGGTATAGCTCTGCACGGTCAACTGTACCTAGGTAGGTGGGCAGGCTGGAGGTCGACAGTTGGCACTCATCCACGGCTATTGCTCTGCTTCAGTCCTGATCTGTCTTTGCCTGGCTTATATTCATACCACCCCTGAGAGGACACTGCGATGCAGGGTTTATGGAAAGCTACAGGTGTTGGTTGCACTTATGGCGAACAATGATCATGTAAGCTGACGAACCAAAGCGAGCCAAAGCCAGGGAGGTGCCGCACATGAACCAAATCACCGACAGCGTTCGACGTAGTAGGAGTGGTAAAGATTCCTCTTGGGGCGTCATTATGATCTCGAGTCAAACGCGAGTTGGACCAGCAGCTATTCTGCCGTAGTCGTAGCCCAGCACTCAGCACTCAGCACTCAGCACCACTGGCCAACGCAGCAGACGCCTGCAGAAACAGCAATGAAAACCCCTGTGTCTAAGTCCAAGTCCAAACCCAACGCCTCAGTCCAGACCGTCGGATTCATCCGGCGCAAAATCAAAATATCGTGTGTTGCAAAACGTGGTATAGTAGTAGGAGGAGGAGGAGGAGGGGGAGCGGGTGGCTGCGGACGTCTCAGATCCAGACCTTCGTCCCTGCCTCCCAAATGCCAAACCCAATGGAGCAAATACCGTGTTCGTGACGTGCCTCAAGAAAATTCTCCCTGTCAACTCCTCTTGCACCTAAATCAAATCCCATCCAGATATCAGTACGCCACTCTCGCCTGTCCATCTCGAGTACGTCTAGAAGCTGGTGCTCCGCCGTGCCGCCATAAGCAGTCCACCTACGGGACCCGGAGTAGGGCTCCGCGGAACTCTCGACACCTCTTCCAGGTTGCAGATCATGCTCCGCCCCCGGATTTCCCGTTCGCCCATGAGAGGACTCGACGGCTCTCCATTCGACCTCAGGGCTCCGACCAGGACCCGAGGAAGCGGCAACATGGGTTTGCTGCTGGACCGGCTGTCGCTGCCCTGCTGTTCTTGGGCCACCGCCGTCGCCTCGATCCGGCTCTTGACCCGCTCGGCGCAGGTGCCGCACTCGCCGACCTGGTCCGCGGTGCGGCGGGGCGGGGTCAGCGACGGCCGGCTCGGATGGCCCTCCCGGCGCTGCAACCTATTGCGAGGTCTCCGGTGCAGGGTGGCAGCCTGTGCCGCCTGGTATTGGTACTGCAGCTGGAGCTGGTACATGTTCCACTGCAGCTCGAAGTCCTGGGTCGGGCACACCAGGTGTCCGCAGACCGGGTGCTTGGCCACGACCCGGCAGATGGGACACGAGGGGTGCGGGTTCTGGGGGTCGTTGCGGTCGAGCGAGTCCTGCAGCCACATCTGGATGCACACGGTGCCGAAGCGGTGCCCGCAGTGGAGCGACGTCCACGACTCTACGGTGCCCTCGGGGTTGGCGATCCCAACGGGGTCATGACAGATCGGGCAGTCCTCGAGAGGAGGTTCTGTCTCCTTCATATGTCTCTCCTTCTCAGCCAGCGCCGCTGACTTTCCGTCCGTGGTCGACTCGATAGTTGTCGTCTCGAAACGCGATCGTCTAATTTTGGGAATGATCTTATGTATGATCCTGAGGGGAAGTCTGACAGGCAGACTAACTAATTTCCGTACCCGCATGTCGGCAGCTTGTGGTTCTTGAAAGTAGTGGACTGGGAAGACGCAGACGATGGGACGTTGGTGTTGGTTGGGATCAGATCAGGCTGTCTCCGGTGTTAGACGCAGCGACGACAGCATCGGCGGGCAAGAGCTGCTCAGATTTGACCCGTTGGCATCGGCCTGCAAAGAAGGTCCCAGTAGACTTCAGTCAAGAAGACGAGGAAAAGCAGAATCGTTCTGCTGGAAAATAGCCGCAACCCCAAGTTGTCGCGGGCTATCTCCAAGCTCACGATGCACCGGGAGCCGCGAGTGGGTGCAAGTGGTTGAGTGCGTGCAGGCAGTGCTACCCAAATGTGGAGGGGTAGGATGGGGGATGCAGGGTAGCTCGTCTTTGATGGCTTGTCCGCGTCCACGTCCTGTCCTCGTCCACGGGGGGTTCTGCCCGATGAGCTCAGCTTCTAGCTGCCGCAAACATGAAACAATCTAGACAGAGAGCCTTTCCGCACCTTGAAGGGGATGGATGGAGAGGGAAAAGAATGCGAGGAATTCCGGGCCCCGGCAACGCCAGCACGAGAGGAGGCCGAGCTTGTGGCCTTGTTGAAGGTCGGGGTTGAGTTTGGTCGCTGGATAAGCTCCCCATGCAGGCAGAAACCTTAGGCCGGAGTCTTTAGGAGCTGCACCAGTCCGGCCCCCCAGAAGAGCTGTACTGGTTGGGTCGCGAGGCAGAAATCCCAAGGGAAAAACGGAGGAGATGCGTTGGTTGTTGAGCTCTGCAGGCTGCTTGCTACCAGAAGTGGAATTAATACCTGGGACTGACGGGCAGGCCGGGCCAGGACGCAACAACATGCACTTGTTGAGAACAGGATAGGACTTATCGAGAGGATGAGGAGCGCAGAAAAACAGACAAATAGAGCCTCTAAACCTACAGCAACCCCCAAGCTTCCCCCCCGTGAGACAGGCGATCGGCCGTTAACGTGCGTTACCTACAGACTTACGGCGCATGGGGGGCCACCACTCGACCCGCCAAGCGAGAGACATTTGATTCTAAAGTTGGCTGGCATGTGGTCGAAGCTGGGTTGGCGTCCAGGTTAGGGGGGTGGAATGTTACCGCCGCAACCATCGGCGGGAAAGTCATACTATGCTATTGACGCCGTCAACTCAGCCTTGCCGGATAAGACTACTACGGCGCCATACCTCCTTGCATCATGTGAGCCATGTGGTGTGGTCCACGGGGACCATGCGAACAGCGTCCAAGGCCGGACTCGCTGGGCTGATAGGCTGGGACACCATGGCCCCGAGAGATAAGACCTGTCCGGGAATGGAGTCGGGGCTGCTCGCGTGGCCATGCACTCTGGACAGCTGCGGGATTGCGTTTTGGATTCCATGTCATTGGCAATAAGGTTATCCGTGACTCGTGCGACTACATAGTACGGTGCTGGAGATACCCAGAGGTGCAGACGGACCCGGGCCATTCCGCCCGCGTCCGGCTTCCTCCCCATCCGAGTATATCGTCTACACGATGGTGGTCAAGTGACGGACGCTTCGACCACGAAACCCGGGAAATGACGCATTTACATCTTACAAGACCGGACTGGAGGGCTGTATCAATCCGACGCAATGGTGGAGCTGGTTCGCAGCAGTTCTTGCGCTTGATGCCGGCCGGGCTAGATCATCGGCGCACGGCTGGCAACGTGATGCTAAGGAATGGCTTCCATCGAAGCTTGGGCAGGAGAGAGCAAATGCGCATAAATCCTTTTATAGGTCCGGCCCCTGGCCTACCGTATTATAGTGGCCCATAACCGCTTTAGCGTGCCAACGAAACGTCGGCCACTGCTAAGTCAATCAGATAACTTGATTCCGTACTATGGGGATGACCAACAAGCCCACCGCCTGTAGAACTCGTCGTTTGGCGCGCAGACATGTGCCTCCTGCAATATTAGGGCCAGTCTTCTTAGTTTCATTCCTCGTGACCTTGTAAGAGATCTATCGGCAGCGCAAAATGATGGCTCTTCGGTATGGCACAGATCCAGTATTCTTTCCCGCCAACCTGTCTATCTCCTTGGCCGATTATCCCCTTCCTCATCGCTGTCATCCATGAAGCCCTCCTCGAGACTACCATTTAGGTCAGCAAAGTGTAATACTCTCCATAGTATCAAGGGGGGTTGCCTACTCCCGGCTCAACCTCCGTATGCTGTCGGTCTGTTCGCGCCGGCCGCTGGTGTCCAGGCTCAGCGCATGCCTGCGGTCGTCGTCGACCACGTCCAGCTCCTCGCCATCGTCCGAGTCAAAGCCCGCATCCGAGTCTTCGGCCGACACGAGGCGCTCGCGCACGCCCATGCGGAAGCGCGACGGGATGATCAGGTTGGCGATCGCGCCCTGGACCCGGGCTCGGAGCGACGAGGTGCGGTCCGAGATGGTGTCGAGCGGCAGGTACTGGCTGTAGCGCTGTCGGTACTGGCGCCAGAGCGGCACCAGGACGTATGTGCAGATGAGGAATATGATCAGGGAGATGACGGCCGGGACTATGAGCGTCTGAACCGTACACACCAGGATGTTAGAATGACGTAGCCTCCCAGGACGCGGGTAGAGGTAGACTGACCTTGACGGCCGAGAATGTCGTGCCCATGGCTTCCCAATGTGTCGCACGTGGGCGCGACTGTAGCTATGCGGGAATCGTCTAGTTCGAGCTCATATGGCTGTAGACATTACGATGTCGGGAGATCGGGCGTAGGGTGCAAGATGACAAGTCGCAGGTGCAACTCCAGCTGGCCCCGCGGAGGTTAGAAGACTGACTGTCCTGCTGCTGGAGGATCGCGGAAGCAAAATGCTGCAAGCAGAGGTCTCACGGTCGCCTGGTGGTCGATGCCGTCCCAGCAAAGATCATCATCACAACCTTGGAAAGCAAAAAGCCAAGTCACTCGCCGCCGATACACTGTATGTAGTTAGTTACTCTGCTAGCTACCATTGCCAGCTGGACCCGACTAAGATTGGAAGCTTGCCGGAATGCCGCTACTGCTGGGGCTCCAAGGATCCAATGCCGCGTCATGATCAATTGCCAAATTGGCCTAGCCGGGGGTCCACTGGACGCTCTCCCCCATGCCCGCCCATATGCGCGTAAAGGGATGGAGCGCTTCTGGAAGTCGCCCAGCGCCAATTGCGAAATTCCCCTAGCGAGGTTGCGGCCTAGTGGGGGACACTAGAATAGGGGTTCAGGGAGCAGAGAGGAGAGACCAACGAGCTACCTAGGTACGGCTCTGTATTACATGGCAGCATGACTGTATTTGCTATACAGAACAGACTTCTCAAGTTAGTAGATCTTCCAGAAGGGAAAACATGCTTTGTCTCGTGGTCTATCGCATGCGCTGTAGGCCAAGGCCAACAGCGCAGAGCATCTTCTTGTCACGTCTGGTGCACCCTGGGCAGATGCTTGTATAAAGAGCCGCACAGCTGCCTCCAAGTCTGCCTCCAAGTCTGGCCGCACGGCTTGGCCACATGGCATCTGAACCGATCGAACAAGACAAACACATTAAAGAATCAAAACGAGTCACATCCAGTTGTTCGTCCTGCTGACGATGCATGTCATGGGTCAGAGTGGTGTTGCTGCATGGTGCTCGGTCGGTGAGCGTTTCCCAAATGTCACAAATGTGCATCCAGGGGTTTCCAGTTGGAGTTTCAAGATGGCCAAGCCATGCGATAGGTAGCCACGGCGACCACTTTTGACTCATCAAGCTGTCTCCCCACGGTCATGTTTCAGTAGCGGGACGGGGACGGGGACGGGAACACGATCGCATCGACGACAGATCCATCGCCCACTTGACTATGATATGTAACCACCGAATCGCCAGCGCCAAAACGTCGAAAGTGAACCTACCTGTAGATTGTGAGAGTGCGCGACTAGCAGGACTGGTCGCATATTGGCTTGGGCGGCAGATGACGGGCTAGAACAACGACCCAGTCAGCGTTCAGGGACCCCCAGGACCCCAGGGAACGATACGAACCAGGGCTATCCGCTTTGGGCCAAGTAGCGCGTAGCGAATGGTCGATTGACTTGTGAATGACCCGAACGGACGGGGGGCGCTCTGCATTCGATCTGACTGGATGCGCATCTTGTCCTGTGTCTGTGTCTTTCGTAGAGAAAGCGACCGAAAGCCAGTCCACCCCGTCTCCCGTCATCCGCAGAGACAAGACACGGACACAGACGGGATCCTCAACCAGACGCGTCGCATCGCAACGCATCGCATCACATCGTCGCCCGCGGTTGCGCTGCTCCTCCGCCGCTACATGCCACCTCGGCCTGCCACACATCAAGGTGCTGTAACGGGAGAGTTAGCTGCTGGATAGGTACAGCCGGTACCTGGTTAGGTATGTCCAGGATCCCCGTCCCTCGCTGGCCGCGCCCATCATGCCCATCATGCCTCCCCTCTGGCGCTGCCAGATTCCTCGTCGAGGCCCCTTTGCTTTGTAACCAGCGGCCCCCCTTTGCCCAGCAGACGAGTGTCTCCATACAAACCACCTGGGAGTAGGGAAGAAAAGAGGTGTCCGGGGTTAATGCTAAACCGCCGACGATTCATGCAGGTCCTTTGCTGCCGTCCGATGACTGCTGCCCCGATCGGATATCGATCATTGATTCACTCAGGGACAACTGGACCGCAACTCGTCCAGTCCGTCATCACCACCGCCGCCGCTCGAACGCAAGCAACACGATGCCATCGGGCCCGGGCCTGAACCAGCTCGACCCAGCAGACTGAAGAAGGTTCCCCTAGGCCAGAGCCCGGCGACGGTGCCACTTTTCCCACACACACACACCCACCGAAGACACACCCATCGCAGACCCCAGGGGATCGATCCGGGGATTTGGAGAAAGCGATTGATACACACACACACACACGCACACACGCACACACTCGCAAGGTTGTGCGGTCCCGGTAGTCGGTGGTAGTCAGTGGTTAGCTGGTTGGGTAGTAAGATAGTGGGTTAAGAGCGTAGCGCAGGGGTTTTTGCTCTGGTCTTGGTCTGGTCCGGTCTTTTGGGCAGGTTTGGCTCGACTCGACTTGAGTTGACTTCACCCTCCGCATTCGATCCCGCTTCCCGCTCCGCAACCTTGCGAGCCAGCGATCGCGAGCCAGCACCGCGAGACAGGACGCAACGCACGCAGCCTCACCCGCTCCCCGCTGCCGACTCCTCGCTCCCTCCTCCTCTCCCACCGCCCGAGGAGCTGAGCCCATCTACGCATTGAACACCCGTCGAGCCCGCCCGGGTAAAAATCCAGGCATCGCTCGCCCGCCGACTGGGACGAGCCATTGGAGCGTCGGCGTTTCAGCGCGCCCGGCTACTCTGCCACCTCACACACCATGTCTTCTGCCGACAAGTCCAGGCAGTCGTCTGGCGGCAAGGGAGGGGGCTTCTTCTCGCGCAGCAAGCACAAGAGCAGCGCCAGCGACAGGCGCGACGACGACGGCTCCTCCACCCACTCGGTGCCGCGCCATGTCAGAGGCTCGTCCATCATCTCGGTCGACCGCCCCGTCACCCCCGACGCCGCCATGGCCATGGGCATAAACCACATGGCCGGCCCCATGACCGCCATCCCCTACAACACCACCAACGCAGACCGGCGCAGCCCCATCCCCGTCGAGTACCTGCCGCGGCCCGACCACATGTCCGTCCAGCGCGAGCCCCTGCCGCACCAGCTCAATAAGTCCACCAGCGATTTCCACCAGTACCCCTCGGTCGATGCTAACCCCCTGGCACAAATGGCCGCCGGCTCCCACCTCTCTGGCCCTCGTCCTCCCCCCGGCACCGCCAACATCACCATGGCCTCGACCGGCCAGCGCAACACCCAGTTCCAGCAATGGGGCCCCATGCTGCAGCCCGGCCTGCCGCCCCGCCCCGGCACCTCCAGCAGCAGCTACAGCAAGACCAACAGCGGCGCCTACAACGAGCGCAGCGACTCCCTCGCCTATTCCAACTGGCAGGCTAGCCGGATCTCGAGGGAGAGCGACCAGGCCAGCATATTTTCAGGTAAAGGAGGACCCCCCGACTCTGCCACGACTCCGCGCTCATCCTTGTTACCAGCACTGCCCAGTGCCACCTCCCAGAGCTCCTTCAACTCGCACCAGTCCAGCCGCGACTCGCACCGGTTAACCAAATTCCCAGGTGGCCCTTACTCGCCAGCAGCCGCCAACGGTGGCGGGCCTGACGCCTTCCAGCTCACCAGACCAGACGATGACCGGGTTACCGAGCAGATGTTTTACGAGCTGATGCAGAAGCGAGGGTGGCACAACCTGCCCGACCAGGCCAAGCGCCAGATGATGGCATATCCGGCTTCGAAGAAATGGACTCTAATCTACCAGGATCGCCTGACTGAGTGGCAGGGCGACCAGAAGAGGCGGCAGACGGCTAGGATAAACCAGTACTCGGCGGCAGACATTGCGACCATTGCCTCGGCCGACGAGGAGGGCTCACCGGAATGGTACGTTCGCAAGGTTATGGACAACAGCTTGGATTCCAAGGGCCTGGGCAGTCTGGAGGTCAACCTGAGGACACAGCAGATTGGCTGGGTCAAGCGCTTCATTGAGTGCCAGGGCCAGATTGCCTTGACGACTTTGCTCCTCAAGATCAACCGCAAGACTGCCATCGGACCCGCTGCACCGTCAGACTCGAAGAGCAGCGAGAAGAACCTCGATAAGGAATACGATATTGTCAAGTGCTTGAAGGCTCTTCTCAACAACAAATATGGTGCCGACGATGCCATCTCTCACCAGCAGGTCATTGTGTCACTGGCGACGTCGCTTATTTCCCCGCGGTTGACCACAAGGAAGCTGGTCAGCGATGTCTTGACGTTTTTGTGTCACTGGGAGCAGGGGCAAGGGCACATGAAGGTTATCGAGGCTATGGATACCGTCAAGACGCAACAGAACGAGAATGGTCGGTTCGACGCCTGGATGCGCCTCGTCGAGGTCACTGTCGACGGACGCGGAAAGATGGGCAGTCTTGTCGGAGCCAGCGAAGAAGTACGCAGCGGCGGCATCGGCATGGAGAACCTGTTGATGGAATACGCCGTGGCGACCCTCATTCTCATCAACATGCTCGTCGATGCGCCCGAAGGGGACCTGCAGCTAAGGATGCATCTCCGGGCCCAATTTGGCGCATGTGGTATCAAGCGGATCCTCACCAAGATGGACGCCTTCCAGTATGACTTGATAGACAAGCAGGTCGAACGATACCGGACCAACGAAGCTATCGACTACGAAGATATGCTTGAGAAAGAGGGCAGCAGTATCAAGGACAGTATAGAAGGCGAGGTCAAGGATCTCAACGACCCCGTTCAGATCGTGGATGCAATCCAACAGCGGCTTGTGGGCACCAAGACACAAGATTACTTCATCTCCGCCCTGCAGCATCTGCTTCTCATTCGCGAAAATGATGGAGAGGAACGCTTGCGCATGTTTCAGCTGGTGGATTCCATGCTTAGCTATGTGGCCATGGATAGGAGACTGCCCAATATGGACCTCAAGCAGAGTCTGAACTTCACCGTCCAGAGCTTGCTTGACAAGCTACATACCGACTCCGAAGCACGACAAGCTCAGGATGAAGCCCTCGAGAGTCGCCAAATCGCCGACGCCGCTATGGCCGAGCGCGACGAGATGAAGGCTGAGCTCGAGTTGGGAGCCGATGGACTGGTCGCAAAGCTGCAGAAGCAGTTGAACGAACAGGCTAGGTTCATTGAAGCGCAAAAGCGACACGCTGATGGCCTCAAAGCTGAGATCGAGAACATGCAGACGGTCAGGGCCAAGGAGGCCCAGCGCTATGAGCTTGAGACTAGGGAGCTATACCTCATGCTACGCGATGCTCAGGACGTGGCCGCTTCGCAGGCTGTCAAGGGCGGAAATGATAGCAAGGCGCCAGCTGAAGACCCTGCCCGAATGCAAGGTATCCTGGATCGAAAGAGGCTCATGGAACGCCTTCAGATGCAGATCGAGCGTCAGAAGACTCAGTACAAGCTCGAAGGCAGAGTCTGGGGCGATACTGTCGGCCCTTCAGATCGCTTGCGGGCGTTACGAGAAGAGATGGACGGATTCTCTGCACCTGAGGGCGCTGGTATGCCACCAGCTGGATTCGGTGGTGGAATCACCAATAGTATGCTTGGGTCGGTCAACCGACAGACCAAGATTCCGAGGAAGCCAATCAACTCCAAGGGCGAGATCATCGAAGAAGGTGAAGAGGAAGGCGAAGACGGGATTGTCTACGAGAAGCCTAGAGTCGTCGAAATCCGGAGGCCGGTTATGGATCCAAGACAAGCCAGCAATCTCATGGCCGAAATTCAAGCCAAGGGTAAGAAGTTCGATGCCAGCGACTCGGAAGACGGCGATGGCGTCACAACGGGTCCATCTCATCCCAGCTTGGAATCGCAATCGCCGATTACACCCAGCGACCCCGATGCCCCCAAGATCCAGGTCACTGGTGCATCAGGTGCTCCAGCTCCTCCGCCTCCGCCTCCGCCCCCACCGCCGCCGCCTATGCCGGGACAACTCCCAGGCGCTCCACCTCCGCCACCGCCCATGCCAGGCGCTCTCCCCGGTGCGCCTCCGCCGCCGCCGCCGCCTCCACCGCCTCCCCCCATGCCCGGTATGGCCGGCATGCCTCCACCGCCTCCTCCACCTCCAATGCCCGGCGCTGTTCCCGGCGCTCCTCCGCCTCCACCACCAATGCCTGGTGCCATGTCTGGACACTTCTTGTCTGCCCAAAGCAACTTCGCACCAACTACTACCACCCTTGGTCTCCCCGTTGTTAGGCCAAAGAAGAAGCTCAAGGCACTCCACTGGGAGAAGGTCGACGCCCCAGAGACAAGTCATTGGGCTGCGCATGCACCCACAGCAGAGGAGAGAGAAGAGAAGTATATTGAGCTTAGCAAGAGGGGTATTCTTGATGAAGTTGAGAAACTTTTCATGGCTAAGGAGATCAAACAACTTGGTATGGGCACCTCTAAGAAGGATGACAAGAAGCAAATCATCTCTGGTGACTTGCGCAAAGCTTATGGTAAGTTCAGTGCTGGTGGACTTGTATGGGGTAAAATACTGACACTATATAGCTATCGCCCTTTCCAAGTTCTCTCAGCATCCTGTTGAGAAGATTGTGCAGATGGTCATTCACTGTGACAAGGATGTTCTAGACAACCCCGTCGTCATGGACTTCTTGCAGAAAGACGATCTGTGCAACATCCCCGATACTGTCTCAAGACAAATGGCTCCCTACAGCAAGGACTGGACTGGACCCGCGGCTAATAAAGAGGCTCGTGAGCAAGATCCTTCCGAGCTTACTCGAGAGGATCAGATCTACCTCCAAACGGCCTTTGAGCTGCATCACTACTGGAAGAGTAGGATGCGGGCTCTAGCGCTAACAAAAACATTTGAGTCTGACTACGATGAGATCAACGACAAGATACGACAAGTCGTCGAGGTATCTGAATCACTACGTGACTCGGTGTCCTTGATGAACGTTCTTGGTCTCATCTTGGATATCGGTAACTACATGAACGACGCCAACAAGCAGGCTCGCGGTTTCAAGCTGAGCTCACTTGCACGTCTTGGCATGGTCAAGGACGACAAGAATGAGTCAACATTAGCTGACCTGGTCGAACGTATTGTTCGCAATCAGTACCCCGAATGGGAAGGTTTCGCCACGGATATTGGCTCCGTCATTGCAGTGCAGAAGATCAACGTCGAGCAACTGCAGTCCGACGCGAAGAAATACATTGACAATATCCAGAACGTACAGATGTCGCTCGACAGTGGAAACTTGTCCGACCCTAAGAAATTCCACCCGCAAGACCGTGTCAGTCAGATTGTTCAGCGCTGCATGAAGGAGGCCCGTCGTAAGGCCGAACAGATGAGCCTGTACCTTGAGGAGATGGTTCGCACCTACAACGATATCATGGTCTTCTACGGAGAAGATCCGACCGACGACAGTGCCCGTCGCGACTTCTTCTCCAAGTTGGCCCTATTCTTGAATGAATGGAAGAAGTCTAGAGAGAAGAACGTGAACTTGGAGGAAACCCGCCGCAGGAACGAGGCAAGCATGAAGCGCAAGCATGCTCAGCTCAAGATCAATGCTGCTGCTGCCGAAGCAAATGGCCAGCCACTGGCCAGTCCCGCTAGTGCCGGTGCTATGGACAGCCTACTCGAGAAGCTGCGCGCTGCTGCTCCACAGGCACGAGATCAGCGCGACCGCAGGCGGAGAGCGCGTCTCAAGGACCGGCACCAAGTGCGCATAGCGAGCGGACAGAAGATACCGAACATCAACGAAATTCCCGAGGTCGAGGCGGCTGGCCTACGATCAGATGGCACAAGTGCCGCTGATACTAATGAGGGGCCAACCAGCCCCGGCCTGTTGTCTCCAACCTCTACCGATGGAGCAGCCGCTGGCGAAGATACGCTAGCGTCACGGGCCGAGATGCTCCTTCGGGATATGCGCGGTGGTGACGGCGCGACCGATGACGGCAATGCCGAGGGCAGAGACAGCCTTAGGCGAAGCGCCGCAGAAGAGCGTCGATCGAGAAGAAGAAGAGTCAAAGGCGCCAGTACAGCCAGCAGCGGTGCAGGGGCCGACGGCGCAGAAGAAGAGGGTGTAACGAGTCCCACCAAGGAAGAAGTCCCACCGGTACCTACTGTTGCGGTCACCGCCGAGGATTGAGCTGGAGTAGGGTCAAAGGACCAGCCATACGTAATGTCTAGAACACGGAAGAAGGAAGACTAGATGAAAGACGGAAGATACGCTGCGCCGAGACATAAGGGGCAGCACTGTACAAGATGGTATGTCGCATTTTTATTGGGAAAAATACCACGCTCCCCTTACAGGAGCCCCGGTCTCCACCCATGCGACTCTGGATCAAAGCACTTTAATTGGAGCGTCTCTGCATAGCATGGTTCTGCTTCTTGTTCTTTTATCACAGTCATATCAGCCGCAGGCCGGGGGCGTTGATTCAGCATTTTATCTCGTGCCTAGAGTCATGGGGCCAGTGTTGAGATTCGGCAGGGAAAAGGAAACTCGGGTGGACAGGGATGGCTCACGAGAGGTGTCGAGGGTGGGCAATATAGTATACTATATGTGTGGTGTAGTTATTGAAGGTATCTTTTGGATGACTGTTCGAATTGTCTATACAGTAATCGGAACACCACCCTAGATGCGACTCCACTATTTGTCACCAAGTCGTATCTCACGTGTCTATACACTAAGTTGTTAGTGTGGGCCCCACACACACTGATCATGTTAGTCAACTTGAGAGATAAGGAGGATCTCGGAACGCTTACGACATCAACCGCGTTGTATTTGACACGATAAGGGAAGTCCTATGTGCCCAGCAACAGCATAAAGACATTGCCATTGGCTTTGATGCAGCTAGCGTTCTGCTCGCGGTTGTCAAGAGACTACACCTCCAACTGGCAATCGTAGATTCCCCGCCTCGCACCGTCTCCCGATGTCGGATAGCTCCAGCCAGCGCCCGACAACTGTGAAGCGATCGCGAAAGTTCGCGAGATCCAGGAACGGCTGCGAGAACTGCAGGAGTCTGAGAGTGAGTGCCAGCGACCAGGACCAGCACACACGGCCATCGCTGACTCTGTATGTAGAAGAAATGTGACAAGTCGCAGCCAGAGTGCGGCAACTGCGTCGCCCGCAATGTCCCGTGTCCCGGGTATCACAAGTCGTTCAAGTGGTCCGAGAAATACCAGTCGCACGAGATCTATAAGCAAGATCGGGGTGCGCCGTCTGCTCGGAGGCGTAGATCGCCAGTGCCAGGCGTGACAGTGTCTCAGAGCCCAGCTCGCGTGCCTGAGGTTTATCAAAATGACCTCTCGCCTCTTCCTGGTCAGGGAGTATTCAACGCCACACATGACTTAATAAGGGATGCGACGACTCAAAGCCAATCTGCAGAGCTTGGTATGGTAGCTCGAATCGGCCAAGAACAGGAAGGACACCGAGTCTGCGATACCCCAGATAATGGCTCGTCGAACCAACTAGATGATGCCGACATCCATGAAGTAACACGCGCGGTCTCCCGTCCAATACATAACGCACATTACCGCCAATCCCGAGCCTTGTTGCAGCGGTACTATGGCATATCCCCTTTAATACCACCCCAGCTATTCAGCCACGAGGGCTCCGTGCTCGTGGAGCACTACTTCAAAGACGTTTGCGGCCTGTACTCGACCTTCGACTCGACACTCAACCCGTTCCGGTCCAGCGTCGCCCGCACCTGGAGCAACTCGGCCCCGGTCTACTACGCGATCCAGAGCATGGCCGCCGCGCACCTCAGTAACACCTACGCGACCATGGAGAGCATCGGGCTGGACATGAAGCGCAAGGCGGACGCCGCGCTGCAGGAGGAGCTGCGCCTCGTCCATACGGGGCGGAAGAACACCGACTGTGCACTCATGGTCACGTTGCTGCTGGGCCTGTCGGCCTGCTGGCATTCGGCGGGAGACCTGGGCCTGTCTTATCTTCGCCTCGCCAGGCTCCTCGTTCAGCCTCGGCTCATGTGCACTGAGTTTAAGACCGCCGAGGCGGAGAGGCAGGACCAGTTCTTCGTTGAGTCCCTCATCTATTGGGAGATGATGACGGCTTTCGTTACGCCACCAACGGATGGCGACTGTCAACGCACAACAGGCGTGGTCGAAGACGAGAGCAATGCGCCGCCCCTTGCTGGAGCCGCGGACCACCGTTCAGCTACGCAAAGCATCCTTCCCCATCCATGGACCGGCGTCGGCTCCAGGGTGCAGATACTGTTTGCAGAAGTCGCGAGGCTGGTCCGGGCAGAGAGGACGGCAGCTGGCGTGGACTTCTTTTGGCTTGGAGACGATACCCAGAACTCAAGGCGGAGAAGAAGGGTGGCGTTCAAGTTGGAGGAAGAGCTCCTCTCCCTGGAGCACCCGCAAGTGACGCGGCTCATCGACCCCGGGGATCAAAAGACGAGGAAGGAGGATTTCATTACGGTCGCGGAAGCTACAAGATGTGCGGCCTTGTTGGAGCTGTACCAGGTCTTCCCGGCAATCCTTCGAAAACGATTGTCTCTTAAAAGCACAGTCCCCACAGTACCAGAGATGGATAGGGATTGTGCCTGGTCCAATGTCTCGAGCACTACCAAGAATGAAGGGACGGCCTTCCTGACCTCGCTCGCGATCCACACCCTGAAGCTCGTAGCGCAGCTGGACGACGACTCGGGTACACGGTTTCTGCAGTTGATGGTTATCGTCGTGGCCGCGACCAAACTGCGGTTCGTATCGTCAGCCATGAACCTTGACTACTTGGACCTGTCTCCCTCGGATGACAACCTCGATTCGGACACCATCATCAGTTCGAGGCGGTTCGCTGAGGGCAGGCTGCGCAGTCACTTGTCCCGGCTGCCGGCGAAGCCAGTCCGGAGGATCCTCGAGTTAGTGAGCGAGGTTTGGCGCCGGCTGGATCTGGGCGAGGATGTGTTTTGGCTGGATGTCATGATTGCGCATCGATGGGAGACTATTATGGGGTAAAGACGTTGGAAGGCTGATTCATCAGTGTTGAGCATATCACTTTTTATGCTATAGAGTTCTCAATGCGGTGATTCCACGGGTCTGACACCAAACCGAGCATCAAGTAGTCGCCCCTTAGAAGTTCTGTGAATTCTAGCCATTCTTATTTGCAATGCTAAGTTCCCATTTCCGGGGACGCCGCTGTGGATAGAGGCTGGGAATCGCAGGACTCCACAATCATGTTATCTCCTCCGCTAGCAACATCTTGTGCAATCGAAATCCTACAAGGATACAAATCCACGGGGTGCGACCCTCCCCCTCCTCCCTCTACGGCATAAGGCCGGTCTCCGAATGCCACGCTGATACCCCTTTTTGGGCGCGTAGTATCCCACTCGGAGTATGCGTCATGGATATCAAACTCCCTTATTGTCATGGCTAAAGTCACCGTTACCTCCAGAATCGACAGCGCCTGCCCGGGACAGCTTCGTGCACCAAATTCAAACGGCCGGTACGCTCCCTTAGGTGGGTGCAGTGGATGGTCGGGCCCGACGAGCCAGCGTTCCGGTCGGAAGCTATCTGGCTCCTTGAACAGCTCAGAGCTACGATGCATTGCTAGGTGTAGCGACCACACATTCCACCCTGCCGTTGGGTACAATTTGCCATCACGGTCCTTCAGCACAATATCAGGCGTTCCAGCCCTCATGGCGGATGCTGGGGGGAACATGCGCATGGACTCTTTGATGCATGCATTCGTATAAGGCAACTTATTCAGCAAGGTTGGATTAGCCGTGATACGAGCGCCTGCCAGCGATATGTCTTTGCCCAGGACCTCGTCATGCTCAGTTCGCACAAGAGCAAGCGTCGTCGGATTTCCATACAAAAGATGGTATGCGTAAACAAGAGTGCTGGAAGTTGTGTCGTGTCCGCCGATGAGGAAGAGTCGTAGTTGCGCGCAGGCCAAGTACTTGAAATACGGTTCCATTGGTCCAGGCTTATCGCCATACTCGGTCAAGTACGCATCGACCAAAAGTTCAGCCATGCTCTTAGTCTTCTTTAACTTGGACTCTTTGGAAAGATCGTGTCGGACGCGCCGTTCAGCAAGGTCGTCTTCGAGCACCGCGCCAATGTACTTGCTGAGCTTACGGCCATGATATGCCACGAGAAGGGGTCGGATGGGGTTCCAGCGCTTGAATGGATTCAAACTGCTCCCAAAGGTTCCCCAGTTGATCATTGATCTGAGATGCCGAGGTATACCTGAGTCTGCCAGTTGATAGTTGAAGGTTTTGTCTCTGCTAACGATTAGTGGACGGACCCTAGTCAGTTAGTCCCCCTAGGACCTGGCCTTACAAAGATATAACTGAGATGACTTCCAACGTTAGGGGAAGCGTATCCTGCTCTAATTGGAACACCAAGCCTTCATGAGCGCGGCGGCGGAGCTTTTGGCATAATTTCTCGCACTCGACCACGATCCTAGGAGCTTGCTGAAGAATGGCAGAGGTGCTCAAGATTGGATTGAACATGGCTCTCCACTTTTTCCACATCCCTTCTTCCATGCTGATCAAATTCGGCCCCCCGGCAAGCTCGGTGAACGTGTTGGCGACGAAGTCTGGTTTGCCAGGGTTGTTTTGCTGCATCATTTGCATCGCCATACTTGGGCTTTTCAGGACTAGCATTGGGCCCGCGATGGGCCAGAAATCCAGGTAAAATGCATCGCTGTTTATCGACCACGCCATCTCAGTCAAGGCATAGTTAAAAAGGGCGTCGGGTGGCTGCCGCATCAGAAACGGCTTGATGGCAAGCAGGTGACCAGTAATCCAGTTGTATGGAGGCATTGGCTCCAACAGTTAGTCAATAACAAAAATACCAACATATCGTTGGCATATACATACAAGTCCATGTCTACGCGCATCCATAACGACTTTACGGCAACGGTAGATATTTGCAATGAAGTAGACTGCAGATGCAGTGAGTATAAATAACGAGAGGTTCACTGGGGCCTGCATCATTATGATTGGCGATACCCAAAGAAAACTGATTGTCTATGATTCAGCTGATAGCTTCTCTGGTGTATGATAGTCGGGCTACCCACCACAATTCAACAGACTTTGCAATGGCCTTAACGGACGGCCATGCTTGGAGAGCATGACTTTTAAAATATCTTTTCATCGCTTACGATGGAGGGAGTGCAGAATTTGCAGTTTTGACGCCAAGGTTTGCAAAAAGGGTCAAGCAAACCTCTTGATTAGGAGGGGAAAGTGTAGGCACAAGGACTAGAGAATGTAATCCTATGACCATGTTTCTTCTAGCTTGGTTGATTTTGGCATGATGGATCTTTTACTATGTTCAAATGGCAAACCTCTTGACCTGGATGTGTAGTCTTCAGCAATGGCAGACCTTGGCAATCTACTAGCGAGTTTACTTACAATACTCGGTGATTTAACGGAACAACAACTCTGACCGGATCTGCCGGACTCGGTCATTTTCAAGGTGATGCGATGCCACGTGGTAGCAAAGATGACCCCGTTTTGTTATCATCAGCCCATTTTGAGTTCGAGGCAATGATTCGTGGTGCTGCGACGTACATGAAGAGAACCACAATGATTATACCACAGTTCACACGAACTTTAATTCTCGCGCATTCCATATCACTCCGCTTTCACCAATGTAAAAATTAGGCAACGCTCACTTGAAACGGGTAATAGACACGGTAAGATACACAGTTGTAACTAGTGACTTTCCGGTGCTAATGATGCGTAAATGTAGACTCGAATGCCATTCTCAACGTATTCGTTTAGGGTCATAGATTTGCCTATTTGTTTATTGAAAGACGGCTTGCTGTACGGTCCCGAATGGGACGAGAATCTAAGTCTAGTTGGAACTGAAGCCACAGCAGTTCAACACTCTTTCACACTGTCTTGTGCCACCAGCTAGCGAACTCTGTCTTCGGTGAGACCGAGGTCCCTTGGCGCCGCCGAATAAGATACTTTGCTTCCGTGCCATAGCTAATGGACGTCCCCCACCACTGGTGCCCAGATCGCTCCGCGTTAGGGGGAAGCTCAATATCGTAATGTAACAACACATGGGACGCAATAAGTTTTATGACATTAACGGCAAAGAACCTACCAGGGCTACATGTTTCGAGATGTCAGTTAGTACGTCTTGGAGAGTATTGGGAGTTTTGAACACTTACCAAACGGTTGTTTTGTATCCGAATGGAATGTAACTTCTGTACATTTCGTGTGTTCCTCCACCGCCGACTGGCATTCTCTGCATGGGTCCATTGTCCAGCCATCGATCAGCTGTCCATTCGAAGGGATTTTTGTATATTTCTCCATCGTGGTGGATCCCCCAGACTGGTACTCCAATCTTGATACCACGAGGCACGACACCTACTGTTGGCACGCTGATCTGACTGCCCCGGGCCGTGGTAGTCTTCATAGCGATGCGTGAGACAAACCCTCGGAGGCGCAATGTCTCCTTGAAACAGGCCTCCATTGTAGGTAGAGACTCTAAGAAGACCTCTCCAGCATTGGGATTCTGATCTTTCGTTTGACAGTATATCCGATACGCATCCTCGATTTCAATTCGTACACGCTCCATCAGAGTCGGTCCATCGAGCCCCTTCTCGCCATGTTCTTTAGAGGCGAATAGAATATCGACCAGCATACTGTTCAGGTTAAGACCAGTACTATGCGTCGAGGTGAAATTCATCAAGCTCAGACGTCGTGTCAAGAAGTCCAAGGAGAACTTCGCGGCATTGCCGCTCTGTGCCGCCTGAACAGCATCTGCACAAGCCCAGGTCAAGAGATCATTCTGCGATTGGGAATGGATTAGCGAAATAATTAGAGTCCAGGAGAGGTAGCTCCTCACGGGCTGAGTTCCAACTTCCTTTGCCTTTCCAGAAGCTATCTCTACGTGGCGATTCAAGCGTTCCCGTATGGTAGGGCTGGTAATATCTGCGCACCTCGCATGGTAGTACTTATCCGTACAAACAATCAGGTAGCCCAGAATCCTTGTTCGTGTTAGCGGAGCCCACGACTGGAGTTGTGCTTGGACAAAAAGACTTACGGTCGAAGAAATGCTGGCAATGTGCCAATGATGCCAGCTTTCAGCATGACATTCTGGTTGAAACGACTGGCATAGTACAAATACGACTGATCGTTGCAAAGCGGCTTGCCGACGAAGATGCTACTGACGGCTTGCACAACAACTCTCTTCCAAAATTTGAACCCTTCAATGAGCTTCCACTCTTCTGGGTCAGTTCCGGCCTGGCCGATAAGCGCGTGCTCAACCTCCTCAGCGAGTGGTGGCAAAAGCTCGTAAAACCTCCTGGTAAGATTCTTGCGGAAGGCGTCTTTGTAGATGCGCTCGTGTATGGTTGTCTGGTCTAACAACATTGTGTAGTCCGCCCGAATAAATTGCTTGTGAGTATCAATTATGCTGAAATTCTCTTCATTTTGCTCATTTAACCTTTTCAGTAGAAAATGTCAGTTTCAGCTATCATCTTCTCACGGTCGAACAACTTTACCAATCAATCTGGGCTGGTGGGATGAGAATCTCTGCACCAGTGAAGAGGTTTGGAAGAACGAAAGGGCGTCCATTCTTCGAGTACTGTATTGTCTCAACTCGCCATACACGCATGGGGGAATGTTATCCAGGTATACCTTCTCGTATCCTTCTCTGATCATCTCACGTGTGCCAAAGACGCTCCGCAGATATGATCTAGAACGCTTAAAAGGGCCTCTATGATCTTGCCCGACCCAAGGAAGGCCATTCGGAATCTCGGAACCCAACGTAGCAATTTTCAATGCCAAAAGGGCAAAAAAGCCAGTAAACCACCATGCGAGGGCAAACAAAGACATTATGGCTTTTATTGGTACAGGATTTATTCAACGATTTTATGGTTATTAATATTACTTCCAAGGGCTATAGCACCAATGCAAGCAGGCCTCGAACATATATAGACAAATTCATTGTTTCTGTAGGCTTGCGGCAGGGCCGTCTTCGTAGCCCACCAATCTTGGAAAACCTGTGCACAGCCTCGACATGGTCTTTGTTGAAACCAGTAGAATTGCCGTCGGCGGCTCTTTCATCGAGTGCTATGCAATAGCCGGCATGTAGATACGGCACGCCGCGGGTTGAGGCGCTGTTCAAGACATTACAGCAGCTCTATCCTAAACTAGCTATGCACGATTACGGTTCTGTGGAAGAGCCACTTGTGGAAGTATCCACAATGAAGACAACGTTGTATGTACTACCTTCGGGTTTACGGACGCTATCTTCCTCATTTGATGAAACAGTAGTTACGGCAATCGGGCTTAGACTCCGTGTCCGGTGTCTTGGTATTTTAGCTTTGCATTTTCTATAGGAAGAAATGGGAAACAACTCGTACAAGGTGGCAACATCTCATACTTGGACAAATAGCATGTCAAAAGGCCGAGTTGTACCGCCGAGAGTGTGACATGCTATCGAAAGCTGGCCATCAGTAGCAATTTTGGTTTGATCCATAATAGATATGAACCTTGATCATCAACGCTCAGCTTTTAAGTTGTCTCATTGCCGGTAATTCGGCAAGTGATACTCGTAACATGATGTGACGGCGCCTTTCCCGCATCGTATTTACCGGTACACAGTTTGTGAGTACTTTGATGTACTGTTGGATGTCAAATATTACTTAGATGCAGAGACTGGTCTGGGTTCCTTCCCACTGGCGCCATTGCATTCCGTACAGAAATCACTATCTCGAAGCTCACTCACTTGAATTAAGAAAACATGGACTCCGAAGTCCCCGCCGTAAGCCCCGCGCAGCTTCTGATGCACGAGTCGCTGGGACGCATTGTCACTATGACATGCCTCCGCTCCATTATCGAGCTTCGACTGTACGACGTAGGTGTAGAGCTATTTCCGGTGTGGTGCAAGTCATAATAGTTAAGAGTTTGCTAACATTTGCCTATCTTCAGCTGGTTCCAGAGACAGGAACAGTCTCGCTCACCCAACTCGCGAAATCAAGTAATGCAAGCGAAGAAATTCTCATTCGGCTGCTGCGTCCTCTTCTCGCGTCCGGTATTTTTGCGTCTCCCAGACCCCGAGAGTATATACATACACCCGGATCCATTGGGTTCAGACAGCCGGCAATTCGCGCTGCGTTCCTGCACGGGTTTGATGAGACTCTACCCTGCTTCTTGGTGCAGCATCGCTGGTTGGCAGATAATGGTTGGAAGTCCCCTGAGTTGCCCGATAATTGTCCCTTCTCCATGACCCACGGAGGCGACTCCCTATTTGGTCACTTGGAAAAGAACCCGGAGAAGGCCGAAGTGTTTAATAGAGACCAGGAAATGGAATTTATTGGCATCGTTGGTGTGTACCCTTTCGGACAGGAGCTCAAGTGGTCCGGCCCTGAGGACGTCTTAGTCGATGTGGGAGGAGGCAAAGGCCAGGCCAGCCTGGCGCTGACCAAGGCATATCCAGAATTGCATAGGAGGGTCGTGTTGCAAGACCAGGCACCAGTTCTGAAGAGTGTAGAGCATGAAGTGCAAGCAGTCGTTAAGGAAATGAGGGCATACAACTTCTTCGACCCTCAGCCGGTCAAAGGTAAGAGCACGCTCTGCCCCCGAACCGGATTATTTCGAGAGCGTCTACTAAGGCAGGCTATAGGGGCTGCTTTTTATTACCTCCGTCGCATTCTCTGTGATTGGCCGGACAAGGCATGCAAGATCATATTGCAAAACCAAGCGGAAGCTATGGACTCACATTCGCGACTGCTGATCGCCGCTTTCGTCGTCCCAGAAGTAGGATGTGATTTTCTGACTGCTGCCTCTGATGCCGTTATGATGACTTACGCAGGAAAGGAGCGGACAGAGGCGCAGTTCAGACAGCTGTTGGAAAGCGTCGGTCTATACTTGACTAAAGTGTGGCAGACACCTGGGGAGCTGCAAGCAGTCCTAGAAGCTCGACTCTCGTAGTAGCAAATAGTTTCCCCGTCTGAAGACAAATACAACCTTGTGATTAAGTTATCGCCATTTATCTACTTCTGCCCCCTGCGCATTTTTTTTTTTACTACGTGATCATAGATACCATTGCCAGAGAGCAGCCGCACACTCCGGATGTGGGATGCACAATTTATATCATACTCGGTATTTCTATAATCTCCTGCCATCTCGTACATCTTTTCTCTGTCTGTTTTAGCTCAAATATCGTCTCTTTTATGAACTACGGATAATCAGTGATATTCACATATGGTGCAGCCAAGGCCGCCATGGAGTACTCGCGGGAGGTACAAATATCAAAGATCCTCGATGGCCGAGATTGCCAGCAGATTCTACATGAAATACCATAGCACGGTAACATTTGACTGGTTTATTAGGTAAATGTGTTCATATTCACCAAGTTAGGGTTGTACTAGAGCTATGCACCACATCGTCCTAGCGTAACGGGAGAGTACGGGAACATGGAATCGAGTCGTAACGTAGAATTCCTGTAGACCCTGAAATATTTCGGCAATGGCGGACTCAATGTAAGTATTTCTCTCCCGAAGAGTTTAAGTGTCGATACGAGAGCCGACCGTCAGCTTGAGCCTATCACTATAATGACACTCTTACTGTGTGGGGCACATACGGTGGATTGTGACTTGGCAAGGGGTACTAAATCGCCGACATCCACCTAGAGGTCAACGTTCCTTCAGGTCACTCGAGTCTTGGTCGATCTAGCGTGATTGCTGCAAGTGACTATCATCCGCTCCCTTGCTCCCGGGGCCTTTTTCCGCTCTTACAACGACTTTATTCAGCAATCCTCAGAAATGGATCAGTTTTGGAGGCTCGTAGGACCGCGCAGCATTGCTGTTGCGTCCGCCTTTTTACTTGTTACTGGTGTGTCCGTGCTCTGGGTTTTTAGCTCATTGTATGTTACAGGATTGTCGACGATACCACTGATCGGGGACGAACTTGGAAACGCAGAACAGCGGAGGAAGGGCTTTATTTCGCATGCTCAGAAATTGTACAACATGGGCTATGCGAAGTTCAAGAATAGAACTTGGCGACTGACCGGTACCGACGGTAGGACTCATTTCTTGATTCTGAAAGAACGCAGAATTACAAGATTAACTATGGTACAGGAGATAGGATTATATTACCTCGTCACCTGTTGGATGATGTGGGCCGTATGCCTGACTCCCATATCAGTATTGAAAAGGCTATAGAGAAGGTCAGTCAAATCGACAATTAATCGCAACGAGTCTTCTCACACCTTCAGAGTAACGAAATAAGATATACTGGCCTTGGCGGTACGCAGGGCGAGACTGAATTCCTGATTCACCTTATTCGCAGCGATCTTACACATGCTTTGAGTGGGCTTCTTCTTATAAGTTGGTAAATGAGAGTGCTAATCCTTACAGATCGCATCAATCCCCGGCTTGAAGAAGAGATCGCGCATGCGACAGTCGAGGAACTAGGACCATGTGAAGATTGGACCCGGGCTGTTATCTATCAAAAAATGCTCCGAATAGTCGCAGTTGCCTCCGGTAACATCTTCATAGGCCCAGATCTTTGCCGATCGGAAGAGTGGATCGTGCCAGCTATTACTTACACTGTCGATCTTTTCACTGCAATTGGCAAATTGAAACAGTGGAGATGGTGGACACGGCCTATCGGACAGTACTTCATTCCTGAAATAGAAAGTCTGCACCAACACCGTCGCAAGGCCGTCGAGTGGTTGGAACCTGTCGTTGCCAAACGAAGACAGATGATGGAGAAGAAGGGATATGAAGCGCCTGATGACATGCTTCAATGGATGATGAACAAGGGCCATGAGTTCAACGTGAGCGATAATTCATTGGCGCTAATCCAGTTGAACCTAAGCTTAGCGGCAATCCATACAACGACACTAACAACAACACTGGTGTGAGTTCGCCATCTAATACAACGGAGAGGCTGGGTATTGACCATGTAGACTTTACGATATTGTTGCCCAACCCGGCCTTGTGCAGGAGCTCCGAAATGAAGTCAGAACGGCTATGGCTAATCACGGCGATAAATTGACAACTCGTGCTCTTCACGACATGAGGCTACTCGATAGTGTCATGAAGGAGTCGCAGAGAACAAACCCTGTGAACCTAGGTTGGTACAGTGTTTAAAATTGGGCTTAAACAGAAAGACTAAGATGTTGTCAGTCCGGTTCATCCGCATCGTGGAGAAACCTGTCACTCTCAGTGACGGTACGTATCTGCCTCCGGGCACCCATATCGAATCGGCACACGCAAGCATCCTTCAGGACCGCAATCTATATTCCAATCCTGAGGTAAGTCCCCAGTTCAATACAGAGGTGACTGCTTCAAAGGAGACAAGGGGGCGAAACACGACAGCATAAGCTAAAGAATGGACAGACCTTCGACGGCCACCGCTTTCTCAACCTCCGAAGCGGCGCAACTCCCGACCCTTTGCAATACAAGAACAAGGAGCAATATCAATTCGTAACCGCTACGAAGGATTTCATGTCTTTTGGATATGGGCGGCATGCATGGTGAGCTCATAAATTTCATTCTACTCCTCTGTCTACGCGCAGCGCAAGTTCAATCAGCCACTGGGACTTGCATGAGCAGCCTTCAAGGAGTAGCAGCTAAGTCGCCTATACATAGCCCCGGTCGCTTCTTTGCCGGCAACGAGATCAAGCTCATACTAGCCCGGATCCTGGTAGATTACGACTTCAAAATGCCCGATGGTTTGACAGAGCGATATGCCAACTTGAATACAGGACTTGATTCGCTGCCGGATCCAACTAAGGCACTTCTATTCAAGCGGCTAAACAGCTGACCATATAAAGGTGGATCATAACTAAATCAATACTAGATTCAATCGCTAGTTCGTTTAGCGAGTAAGCTTGTTAATAAGCTACATTACTTTATCAAATACCAGTACGAACATCATAAAGCGTACTAAGTGATTGATCAAGATCGTGGTCGCCCCCATCTGTGGTGCCCACCATGGCGTACCCATGATGGTGTTACTATATCATTTCTGTTAATGTGCCGCCTGAACAGCTGTTTGTAGACTTCGCAGCGGGTAGAGCTACATTATCTAAAACCAAAGTAAACAACAGCATTAATGTGTTTACTTTAGCCTTTGGGACGTTGGAAAGCTACTCAAGCTTAACGTCGACAATACAACATGTACGTTAGGGGTAACGTCTAGATCAGTACGGTGGCCCTCATTCAGCCCTCGTAGGCGTATGACTCCACATTGTCTTCGTGCCCCTGCTCTTCCGCAATATCCTAGTCTACTGCGTGTTCTCTGAAGGCTCCGTTTTGCTTCGTGTCTCTGGTTACGAGGATACTGTGACGGATCGGTCTGTCTGCAAGTACATGCCAGCATGGCTTATCGCTCAGCGGAGCCTGGACTATACTAAGAGCAGCAAACTGGTACCTTGCTAGGTACATCAGAGCTAAATAAGATATAAAGACGGCCGATTTGCAATGCTTCTGGATGTTCGGCTAAGCTGAAGTCACTAGAGCGGCGCGAGATCGACTTTTGAAACAGACAAAAATTGACATATGTTTTCGTCACATGCCTTGTCAGATCAGTCACTGGCCGTCACCGTTGTCGCTCTAGACTCTGCGCATTTGCCATTGTGGTGCCTCATTGCCAGAATCTGCTATAATTCCTGTATTACGCCCTGACTGTAGAAGGTGGTCGTCCAATACGATAACGACTCGCAACATGGGTTAAATTCCTATCTTAACAAGATCTTCCCATGGCTCCGGGAGTTTACCCAAATCGTAACGTGACGTGAACAAGCCGCAAGCGCAGCGCTGACCGACATTGAGCCTATACTCTACGATTCGAAGCAGAATAATCTGGGGCAGGAAGCACGACTGCGATAGGCAGAAACCACGCAAACATGGTTGGGCTCAGCTTGCATGTGCTACTGACATATATGCAGCTTGATGACTAGACGGCGATACTTCAAGGTGGCCAAGTTAGTATCTAGATACACAAGTCAAGCTGGAGCATGAGGCATACCCACTCACCTTTGATCTGACAGCGTGGAAGTCCAGTCAAGTCACGTGAGGTTCTCTTCTATGCGGTTGTTTGTTTAATAACTGTTTTCATGGTATACTATAGGGACAGTCTTTAAAGTTAGCTTGATAAGATCGAAAAAGAAAGGGGGTGTACTAGCACCGAAAAAGGCAGCCTCATCTCTGGCAGTTTCATACATCGATACATGTGGGAGCAATGTGGTAGATCCTTCTCAGGTCTCTAATCTTTCAGGGCTTCCAGACCTTCTCCACATATTCCTCGACATCGGCTAACAGCTCGTTTGGCCTCTCCAAAGCCGCAAAATGCCCTCCAAGCTGGTGCTCACTGAAAGTCACCAGATTGACGCTCTTTTCAGCCCAGCTCCTTGGGACGGGCACAACCTCATGGGGAAAGTGGGAAAAACCGCAGGGTTTGGCAACGTATGGCAGGTGCAGAGATGCTTTGCCCGCCAGCACGCTGTATCTTGCAATCTTTGGTTCTTCTTTCGGGTCTCCCATCTCACGATTGTGGTACAAGCATCTCGGGTAGGTGTCAGTCAGCCAATAGAGCATGACGCCCTCGAGGATCTTGTCCAGTGGGGGATCTTGGTCCGAGAACTCGAGGAATTTCTCCCCTATCCATGCCAGTAGCGCTAGCGGGCTCGCACTCAATGCCAGGCCCATTGTTGCGGCGCGCGTTCCTTGCTGCATCGCAAACGCCAAACCGGTGTCAATCGCCTCCGTGGCTCGCTGAAATGCACGCTCCTCGGCCGCATCGCGTGTGCCGATGTCGACTCCGGGTGGCGGAAAGCCCATCTGGTTAACATGCATCCCTCGACACTCGGGGTAAATCAGTGCCATGGCCCGGGCAACAAAGCTGCCTAAGTCGCCACCCTGCACGAGATACCCCGATTTGCCGAAGCCCAGGCCGAGCATCAGCCCGTGTATTGCCTTGGCGGCCTGCATGACGCCGTAGTCCGCATCGACTGGCGGACCGCTGGAGAAGCCATAGCCCGGCAGCGAGGGTACGACGACGTGGTATGGTAACGTCTGCGGGGTGTACTTGGCACGGAGCAGGTCCATAATATCCAGGAATTCGCAGATGGACCCCGGCCAGCCGTGTAAGAACACGATAGGGACAGCGTCGGCCCGTGCAGAGAACAGCCCCAGGAAGTGCACCTCAGTCGTGTAGCCTGTTTCATCATCTCGGACCGGGGCGCGGAAGCTCGGGAAGGAGTTGAGCCTCGCCTCGGAACGGCGCCAGTCAAAGTCGTGCAACCAGGCTTGCTTGGCCGTCGCGAGCCATTCGCGGGTCACGCCGTAGCGGCGCCCAGCGTGGGTGTTCTCGAAAGTGGTCGGGCCGATGGGGGAAAGCTCGAGCAGGGTGCGGAAGTGCTGGAGCTTGGCCTCGTCAACGCATATTTGGAACGGTTTGACGTCGGGGATCAAGCCTGGCGGGAGCTGCGCGAAGTCGGCCATGTTTGTACTTTGTTATGATATAGCCGGAAAATGAAGACAAGACGAGACTTAATTATTGATTTTACTGCACCGTTTGGGCAATATGCCTGCTGCTTTATATAGTTCTAGTCTACCTATAGATCTGACACCATGGAAACGGTTCATGTAAGACTGCCATAGGCAGCGGTGGTTGCCTTAGACCTTTAATCTTGACTTGGTTCGGGCAGTGGCTGATTCTTGAAAGTTCTCGTTAATTCTAGTATCAAATCTTGGCTTGGTTTGGCGGTTGATTCCTGAAAGTTCTAGTAAGTTCCACCACCGTGGAAGCGCCATTGCTGTGTCCATGGCATACATGTGTGCCGCATATTTACCCAGCACATAGGCCCTGATGCAACCTTGGTGTATTGAATAGTAAGAATAAACCATACACAATCTCCCTGCCTGTTTGTAGGTTTGAGAAGAGAGTTTGTGGGCCAAGCCTGTACAAAGGCTTTGTGGCGCAGCCACAAATGCCATCAGCCACTTCGTGGCGTATCGGGCCGGCTGATTACCTCCCAGGTCAACAAGGCGAACGAACATCTGGTGAGACGCCGCCCGCAACTGTTGGTTGATTACCCTGCCATACACTCCTCCAGTGCTAATTCTTCTTTCAGTTGCGCGATAACTTACATAATCAGGTCATACGAGCACACCTTGGAAGCGGAGACCAGAACTGTGCCTAGTATCCTTTATCCACTATCTCCCATACTCAACCACATAGGTAGTTAGCGGCGGCCTCGCTGTAGTCATGTAGTCACTATAGCCATCTTTATGAAAAGATTCCCGTATTTAAATACAATGTTACTAAAATTATACATATTCTTATAATATTGCCAGTCTTGAAGTTGGAATTTTTTTTCTATATGCACTACGGGGATTGTTACGAACTCCGAAGTCCCGCAACGCGAAATACAAGTGGAGGACAGGGACATACATACGCAACAGAACTTATACACTCTGAACAAGATCAACGCAATTAACGACCTTGCCATTTTAAAATTCGCCAGTGACTGTAAACTTGGCTGTTTAATAGTTAGCAACGGCAGAAATCACAAGGGGCATGCATGTGTCAGCGCGCAATTGCAATCCACCTTAGAGATTTAACTTCACAATGACGCAGATCCCGCATGTAGGGCCAGTTTCCAAAGCTCATTACAAATATTCAACGGGGGACCCAACGAATCATGGTGATTAGATTCGTCCATTCTGAGACTGCCAGATTCCTTGGGTCGAATTTTCAACACTCGCAGGAATCGGACGACCGAAAAGCGTACATATCCATCGCTGAGCCGGATTGCTGCGTTCACGCACAAACCGATTTTTCTTTCCCTATAACAATGCAAAAATATTTTCTATGTTATTCGTTAATAGAATGCACAGCAAGTATCAAACAGACCGTTGCACGACAGGGGAGGGCGACGTGCTGCGAGTCAAATTGCTACCGTTCCTCGATTAGCAGGCCTTTGAACTCAAGTTCTCCGAGTTTCGCGCAATGCCAACAGTCAACCAACAATAGTGTTTCTCTATAGTAGGCTTTGATCAGCTCATTGACGAAGCAAGGCATTTCAGGTTAAATTTTACCGGTGCGAGGACGCTATACCATGAGAAGGGGACAACTTCAGGAGGTCATTTTTACCAGCTGTGTCAGGGTTCAAAAAGTCAAGCTTCAGAAATGGTCTCATTTGGAGTCGTAATAGCTTTCTTTGGTTATTATATAAATCTTCCCATCGACACTTCGTACCATATTCGGGTACACCTATCACTGGACATGGTATTTCATGACGTCCGTCATGTTTGAGTCATGGACTTACGCTGCGATGAACATCTATTTCGTGTTGGACGCTACAAGTCTTTCATCAGGCTAAAGAACGTCGCTTGGTGGGGTTACAAGTGAGAGTACAATGGCAAGGCAGAATAAATTATGGTACCCGCATTTGTACAACAGAAGTGTTGTGGCTGAACTCGGGCGCAGATTCTGTCCATTGCCACACTCTAAACTTCGCATAACCGACGATTGTCTATAGTATTCAAGTTGATATTTGTCTTCGCGATCGAAGTTCGCCAACAATCTTCACTTCTACGTTAAAAAGATACTGATGGGATATAATATGATGTTTATGACGCTAGCTTATTTCCTCGCCAAGGGTTTGTCATACTATCCAAGTATATGCGATAGGCCCTGAATCGCACTGTCTCTTATTCCTTCCCTGCAAACATCAATCGGTGGTGCAGTATCGTAGCAATTGCATTGCTTCCTTGCATGAAAACTGCCGCCTTCGTAATATTTGGAGAAGCTCTTGATAAGATGCTCGCGAACCCGGGTCGCTGACTTGAAGGAGATGGTTGATGGTAATATGTCCAGCATGAGAAACATGATAGCAGGATGGCAGTTGCTGGAAAGCAAGACCAGCTTGATGATTCGGGTAATTACTTTTAAATGAATCATACTGCCAAGCATCAAGATTGGTATCATCACACATCGGATTTTGCGGTCCATATACGGCATCCGTAGTAGCACGCATGATTTGTTGATCAATCCATTTGAATAGGGAAACTGTCGTTGGCGTATTTAACTCTCTTAAAATGTTGTCGAAGACTTCGAACGCCTTGGCGTTTAAAGCGTCTAGCCCGGGGCCGTTGCTCACCGTAGGATGAGTAGTCTTGATCATGCCGTTGACGAACCCAGCTTCGGTGACCATGTCACGTTCCATGACTGCGATCGTGCGTTTGCTTACACCCATAGCTGCCTGTGCTGCCTTGATCTGAACAGGTGCAAATATCAGAGTGCGCCAATGGCGCTGGACAACGGGTATCAGATCTAGGGAGTTGACGACGTATAGTCGGGAGCCGGGAATCCTCATAGTGTATATGGGCAAGTCCCGATACCGTTTCCTAGCAGCAGTGTTACTAAAGTATTACGTAGGTTTCACCGCAAGTTCATTACAACCTATCGTACTCACCTCATAAATGAATAGCAGTCCATGCTCCATTGTATCATGCCGAGTAAGGGACTGATGAATAGAATACGAGTTGAGACCAATTGACGTTCGCTCTGGTCCTGAGGCAGATGCAAGAGCGCCCAGAAAAAGACGTACGTCGCAGCAATGCCACTGGCGACCATCCAGATAACCATGATTGACATCATAAGCGAACTGACCGAAAAAGACAGAACAAACAACACGCAGACCCCGGTGAGAAGGCTGTGTCGATGACAACTTGAGGTTGCTCTGGGTTGATCAAGTGCTAGGCTATTTGCCGGACATTGAGAATAGATTGGATGCTTGTGACATATCAAGGGCGATGGATGCAAACAAATGTTGGGACTCGGCTGGTACAGCTGACCAACAAGGGGGTCGGGTCGAGCCTACAGTGGGAACGTGATGGCGTGGGGGCCGAATGTTATCCGCACAGGGCTGGGAGACTAGTCTTCCACTTGATAGAATTAAGCAACCAAGTGTGGATAGATTCTTCTGTCTCAATTATCTCTTGCAGTTCTGCTCTACCTACGATTGAATGTCCTATAATGCATGTGGTATGGTAGCTCAAAATGGCTGCAGCTCGTTTTTTGGGCATCACTTCAGGTAGGACACCGTACCAGTACCGGAACGTGAACGGAATTTTGCGCAGTGATGTGGCGCAGCAGTTCCCAATGTTTCTTGCAGTCCAGCACAGCCAGAATCAATTCGCATATATGCTGCGGTACGCCGGATATGCATGCATATGTACCATCTTGATCTTGGCGGAGCCTCTTGCCGTTATCTATTACCCATTCCTTTCAACACTGTTAACAGTTAGCGGTAGATGTGATAGTATGTGAATGGAATATCGTCATTCGGATTTGAAATTCCAGGGTTTTGCTGATCTCTATCAGGGTATAGTTTGATCTACTAACAGTTCATCTACGTGATATGACTATCTGGCCCACCCTCAACAGGCTCACAAATGTATTTTCATGATATAATTAGTACTGAAATATCCTGGTCTGAATGTAGTCCAGCTGGGCAGGAGCCGTGGGAACAGCAGGTTTGAGTACAAAATCGAATTTTTGACAACGCTATAATGATAAAGCAAAGGCTCTAACTGCTTGAACAATGCAAATCCTTCCTACCAGTAGAAACGCATTTACACCTGAAAAAATCAATGAAATGCAAATCAACTCCACATCACAATCCTGCAGCCCTTGGGTCCCTTCCTTTCTATCGCAATGCCTAGTAAGCAGCGAAGCTAAGGCCATTGGGCTTGCCGCCGCCAGGAGTCCACGCGCCTGCAAAATCTTGACCAATGACAACACTATCAAAGTCACCGACTGCGACACTTTCAAGTACAATGGTCTTGCTGACTGGACAAGGGAAGCTATCGGCGAAAGGAGCCGGTACGCTGCGGTCGATGTCAAACTCCTGACCCACTGCAACAAATGTGATGCGGCCGAAGGCCTGGTTTCGCAGGTTGCCGTTCGCCTGCTTGTTCAAGTCCTGTATCTGGGTGCTGAAAAAATCGAGTTGTCGGGAGCCAAGGGCAAAATCCGTGTCGTGACCGGAGACGAACTGGCCAACGCAAGTAAGGCCGACTAGAGACTCGTCGAAGGTGACGGAGTAGAGAGTAGAGAGTTCAGTTCCCTTGACACGTGTGGTGTTGGTGATCGAGGCCAACTCGTTGTTGCCCTTGTTGACATCGTGCGAGGCAAGGGCTGATGGCAGAATGATGTGTTTAGGTTCAGTCTCTTGACGGGCCCGAATTGGGGTTGATCGCGCAGCGACGGCGCTGATCAGGATAGCGGCGACAGCGAATGTCTTCATTTTGGCTTTTGTTTATTCGAAGTAATGAATAAGTGATTGTATATCCGATTGCGACTTGTAAAAAAAAAGAGGAAATGATTGGGAATGAGCTGAATGATGACTGATGAATGATGTTCTGGTCTTGCATTCTGATCGGGCTCGAGACAGACTTATATAACAAATTTCCATGATATCGTCTCGCAGGGCAAATGAGGCTCTTGTGGTGATCTATTTTTGATCCTCCCTTGCCTTACCACCCAGCCTCAATGTGGCTGACCATGTGCTTCAGCTGTCACTAGGTTATGCCAAGCCAGATCATAGAGTTCTGGACCAACAAATGTAAAACGAGCCCTCTAACGGTTAAGTCTCTAGCCTCGAAGAAAGAAGCTTCCACTTCAAGTAGGCTAATGCATCGCCTCCCTATGTCTGGGAGCCCTGCATGACCTCGGAAGAGAACTTGCCGATTGGGCTGTCCGGCGCAGCTGTGCCGGTCCTGAAATCAGCACCATAAGTTTGCACAGCACAGCCTCAGATTATTTGCTCCCTTTCCCAACACAATGGACAGACTAAAGTTTCCTGCCTTGAATTACAGCGTCCACGTGTGAAATTTTGTCGTAAGATGGTACCTAGAAAAGATGATCGGCAGGGACAGATCCGAAATCAGCCTCGTCATGCAACAGGCTCAATCTCGGCCGCTCAACAAGGTTTCTCACACATTTCTCCTTGCTTCTAGACCCCCATCAGGCTCAAGCTTAACCTTGCTTCCATGGCGATGCAACTCTGTGGTCCCAGCGTTTTGGTTCTCTTGACAGCGTCTAAAATTACCGTCCCCTTGCAACTGGTACGGCGCGTTATGTAATCTTTAGATATATATAGATAACGCTAGTGATGCTTAGTACACCATATTTAGCTTAGGTCGAAGTGAGTAACATATTCTGTTCAAATCTGTCTAATCTTTCTTGTGCAGTTTTCTCAATCGTTGAGTCATCTTCTAACACTCCTAGATTAAGATAAATAGCATCGGGCCAAATTGGTAGTGTCAAGCCATACAATGCTTTCGCAGCCGAAAAAGGCGTTGGGAACAGAAAATCTTGGCTACGAGCCCACGCGGCAGCCTCCATATAGTTCGTTTCTGCGACAATGTTAAAGATCATTAATGCGACGGTGTTGAATTGCGATACTTGACCTGAAACCGCTGCATGAATCTAATAGTAAGTATTGAAGTAACAGTCTGGAGTTCTGTGGGGGAGCTTTCAGTCCGAAAAAATGTAAGCCGCACTTTTTTCAAGGGTTTGTGTATAAAATCCCGGATGAGGGAGGCAACCTCGGCGCTCTTTTCGAAGCCAAGTGGCCTAGCCACCAGTAAGGTCTCATAGACGGCACGTTTTTGTAATTGAATCAGATTAAGTTTCCGTTGACATTTCTCATCTCGTCTGCACATCGCAAGTTTGGTGTTGTACAATATTCCAGCGGAGCCGAAGTTGATGAAAACTGGTCCCGTAAAAGACGTAGGTAAATAATCTATTCCGCGGTTAGGGTGAGTATTCGCATTATAAAAGTCGGAAGCGGCAACCTCTGGTGAGAGCAGAGCAACGCATCTTTGCAGTGGAATGAATATTAAGTTTTGCCCCAAACTCCTGGAGGTAGCGTAGCAGAGCTATGGCAGGATTACCACCTGCGCTATTGTCGGCGATAACGGGATGACTAGTCGACATCTTTATGTCGCGCAGAAGGAACAGGTAGTCGGTCAGAGCATCTTGTACTGCACCCGGGAAGGGTTTGGAGCCGGTATAGCCCGATAGAAGGTATTTTTAGGGGAAGGAGATATCTGTTTCGCCTTCTCCGGAATAGCCTTCTCTAGGAAGCCACACTGCCCATCTCGGCTATCTGCCGTAATGTAGGCACCACCATAGAGGTAAAGGACAACGATTTTAGAAGCTGAGCCAATGGTTGGCGTTGCTGGAGACCACGTTCCACTAACAACTGCTGGCTCGACGCCGGAGTCCAATGGGTCTTGATAGGAGTCTTTTGCCGAGGATTCTATGGCCTAGAATCGAGACCCTTTTCTCCCCCTTTTCAAGTATAAGTTCTCTGAGATACCGATGCAGGAGTGAAAATTTATAGTGACATGTGCTAGGCGCGCCAGCAAGGCCTACTTCAAATTCCACTTAGGGTGTGGTCTGCGGCAGTGCGCCGCGCAGACGATGATCCGGGGTGACAGGAGTAACGCATGTGGCCGGTACTGTGGTTGATAATAAACGATTTTTCAAAGGAGTCGGGAAATAGGTTTCAGCCTACAATAAGGATACGTCTAAAAGGACAGAATGTGGTGGGATTCCGGTGTTGCATAAGCATTAACCACGCAAGGCATTCCATATTGCACGGTGCACGAATGTCAAGAGCGGCCACCGTAGTAGCTTGTATGATAACCGGTATGCGAACATGTTCCAAGCGTGATGCTGACATCGTAAGCTGGTAAACTATCACAGAATACCCCTCTTACATCGCCAAGTTCTAAGCTCACTTAGTAGATACCGCTCCACAGGTGCTCAAATTTGCTGTCTGATTTTGCAGCATCAGGTTCTTCAACTTTGCGTACGCCGTTCAAGACTACTCCAAAGGCGAGTTCAGGATCACCAGCTCCATTGTACTGAACGTTTATATGCTAAATACTATAATCCCTCCAGTAACAGTGTTACAAATACTAGGAACACTGGCCACTATGGGCATAGTCCGTCTCTCTATTCGCCATCTTTGCTGTCGGTTCTCCGTCATGAAATGGTGGTGCCTTGCGTAACGGCTTTTCTCCCAAACATGAGAGTATAACATGTATGGGTTTGACAATGGGAGAAGGAATGACTGGAACCGTAGCGCGAGTAATCGTTCCTACAGGCAGCTGTGCTAGGAAGAATTTCTCTAGGTGCTGTCGGACATTCTCTTCGGAACTCTTGCAGTATTATCCCTTCTCCTTTTTCATTCACTTGCATAAGTTGCATCATGAACTGCTTTTGAAGTCTTGTCCAACCATGAATAAGTTGGCAATTGTGACATTGGCTAGATATACATTGCATGTATATATCTGTGCTACTGTTGAACATGACCCACTATATAGCGCTGCTCTCTGCTCAGTCGTTCTGTAATTACTAAAAGGCAAATCGATGTCGGGCATCCTGTCTTCGTTAAAATTTAGGTTATATGAGTGGATATGGATGCGTACAGAGATCTTTCTTTCCATTTCTAACACAGAGTGACCGAGCTGATCAGCAATCATCTGCTTTTTGTCATCAGCAAGCAATGCGTATCGCTCGCAGAGATCCCCATCAATAACGCCCTTGACCGGCATGTAAGAGCTTCGATACATGAGATGATCTCGGCCTGTGACAGGTGGATCTGCCGTACGCATGTGTGCCTCCAGAGCGTGAAACAACTCAGCGTCCGAGCGGGTGACGAGCGGGATCAGAACACCGATCGTCCCTTGCAAACCAGTCCATAGGAGAATATCTTTCCCTCCAATGGCGAAGCTTGCTTTGGAAATGCTAGTTGGAATATCTTGAGTAAAGAAGTGTGATATCAGAGTGAGCCGGTCAGGGGCACCGTGGAGATGCTCCCGTCCCAGGTGACCCACGAAATCAGGGTCATCAGCCTTGGCGCTGACATTCTCAGGACAGCGCAATATCCAAACGTTACCGAACTTGTCTCCTCCAGCGATGGTTTCATAGTCCACCATGGTCGTGCATGTCGTCCATCGAGCCACTGAGTCGTCGACGAATGGGACAAGTATATTGGAGTTCGGCTTGTACACCACCTGTTAACGCTTTTGTTAGCGAGTGTGGTTTCGGGATCACTTCATGAACTTTGTACATAAGCCCTGAAATTCAGCCTTGCATCTCAAAAACTAGCACGGGTGTATTTAAATCCACTCACCAACGTGATACCCTGCTGGATATCTCCAACGGCAATGCGGCTGCCTTGTGCTGACAAAGACACAATCAGTTGCTGCGTAACGACAGCTTCGGCTTTTCGAAGCAATTTTTTGAGACCCAAATCGTAAATCCTCAACACTTTGCCAATCCCAGCGGCCAGACGACCTTGGAAGCTTAAAAGTGCCATCGGTGGTTCCTCAACCTCGGACTTGTGGATGAACTCTAGTTCTCTCCCGTCTTGACGGAACCGGTAAACCCATATGTATCCAGCGGAGAAGTTCCTCGGGTTAAGAACTATATCTTTTCCAGTGCCGACGACTAGGAATAACTCGCCATTCTGACTAGCAAACGAGACTACTGCAGCGCTGACGGCAGCTTCATTGTTCTCAAGGTCAATTCTTTGCAGTGTTTGAGGTTCCTCGCCAAGTGGCTCGATGACATTAATGCATGATGCCCATCTTTTGTGTGCACGGGGATACCCAAAGCTCTCTGAGGGTAAAACAGCCGATATTTCATTGAACACAATGGGATCCTCCCGGAGCTGCACCCGCAGCTGTGGGGCCAGAGTATTGTTTTCGGATTCAATACCGTAAAGGTAGGGTTGGTCAGGGTGCTTGACGAGCTGTTGTGGAGTATATGTGAGAGGCACAGACTCTTGGACCATGTTATCGTGAATGTTCTGAACAGAGAACACCCTGACGATTCGGTCAGCTTACAGCGACTCCGGGGCATTGCAGTGGAAATGAAGTATAAGCTAACGCAGCGCGCAAGCCTATATCTTTGAAACTTACCGCAAGCTGTTCTCTTGGATTCCAATAACCCCCTCCTCAAACTGCCGACTTCTGAGACTACAAGCTGCTTCCAATCCTTTGTACAAGAGAGGTGTCATCATGAAACCCTTGGCGGGGTCGACATAACCTACCCACGGCGTAATACCCAGAGCGAGAACACACTTCTGCCCATTGATTGTGATTTGTGACAGCTTGATACCTTTCAACCCAATGAATTTATGTCGTATATCTGCCAACTCTCCTGTAATCCGGTCCAAAAGTCCTCGACTATAAACGCCAGAATGCAGCCCGATATGTATGTATGTTGCTGAGCCACCATTGTCATGTGGTGGGTTATCCATCACTATGATTTCAACTGCTGAGGGCGGCGCTGTTAGGGCTTGTACGGACTTACTGTCAAGCGTAGATTCCGGATCTAAACTCAGAATTCGAAGGGTACAGTCGTCGGATCCCACTGCCAAGAAGGGGCTTCGCAAATGGCCTGTCGGTAACTGGCCAAGGCTGAGACAGGTAACGGTGCCACTCATCTTTTTCCACCCATCATACTCCGTCAGAGTCCCACTACTGTCGATTTCGAAGTAGACGATCTCTCCGGAACTCAGCGCTATAGCGACTTGCTGTTCATTCGCAGCCGCTGCAAGAATCAATACAGATTGCGGAGTGTGCCAATCGATCATCTTCCCATTTTGAAGATGACGTATGCCTTTAGGGTGGATTTGCACAAGACCGTCTTCTCCCATCTGCTGGACGGCGAGGGTGGGTACTGAAGTGAGTAAACCTGAGTCGCTGATTTGATCGAGCTCTTCTCCAATACTCATTACTGAGGTCGATTTAGACCAGGTCAGGATGATGTATCTATCGTGTTTGTCGTGTCTACTAAGCTTTGTTGCCCACACGCCTGAAGCTCGACCGGGTAACTCGGAAGCACCATGCTCTTGAACCTTCAATCCGTGCTTCAACACCCGGAAACGGCTCCTGGCACCGTTACCACACGTTGCATAGATTCGTGGAATGTGTTCCTCCAACAGATTGACAGTTTTAGAGTCAAGCAGAGGACTCATGGAGTCGATGGTTTGAACCATGGTGAGATTTTCCAAAGGTCGGGGGTGAAAGTAGGTAGGTATAGCAGTGCCAGAAGGGGAGGAATTATCACTTGTAAACTCGGGTTCGTCGTCGTCACCAAGCTTCTCAATTTCATAAAAGTTGTGGTTTCCGAACTCGCAAGAAGCGAAGAGAAACCCAGACTTGAGAATACAAAGGCTGCTTGAAACAGGGATAGAATCAAAATACTTGATTTTGATAACCCCTACCTCGCTAGTAGGGTTCTCGTCGATCCCTCTCCGCATACCAAGCGTCACTTTGAAGATATCTCCGTCTTCTGTTTGCAGTAATGCAAAGAAGGTGCCCGCTCCGCTCTTTAGCTTATGCACCACCCCCGAAACGATACTGCGTTTCCAGTTCGGGTCCTCTATAGTGCCCCGGCGCCTGGGGATGGAAACGCGTAATGTTTCTTGGTTCGAATGGTGATATGTCACTGTATCCTCTGCACAGACAAGTACACCACTCGGGCCATCATTCCCACCGGGGACTTGGAAAAGTAAAGAAGATGTTGGATCCACAGGCTCTGACCACTTGCGGACCACATGGTTTACGCCAAGGTCTAGCTCGTAGTAGACAAGCTCAACGTCCGGATAGGTTTGTCCGGATAGATCCTGGTCCAATTTCGAGTGATGTGTTTCAAGAGACGCAAATACAGGGTTTTCATAACCCACGTCGAGCGCTATCAGAGATAAAACAATGGTGCCTTGTCTATGCGCTACAAGAGGCGATGATATAGTGAGCTCAGCCTGAGCGTTGCGGTCGAGAACATATATGAATTTGCTCCTCTCTACGGACGCGACAAGACAGGCTCGCCCTTTAGGGTCGGCAGCGAGGTATTGACCCGGAACAACACGGCGCACGCCTGATTTGCCAAATGTTTCTAGCTGCACGCGAGAGAAGCGTCTCTGGGCCGCTACGAATTCCACGACGGCGATGCTACCCGAGTCAGCAGTTAGGATGATGTAATCTGGGAGGAGTAAGTTATTTTGTCTAAAGCTGAAGCATTACAGAACTTACCCTTGGTGGTCCCGGCGAGACGAACTGAAGCAACCGATCGGATGATGCTGAAGAGATCCTGTGAGCAAATTGTTATGACTTGGCTTAGGGCCGGGTTGGAGCTAAGAAGGGCCAAACGTGACCCTGAGGCAGTCAGAATCTGTTGTTCCCCAGTGCCTGAAAACTGTCCGACAATCGCTTGGCCGACGGTTGTTGGGGGTTGGAGTGTCAGCGAATAGAGAAACATGTTCGCTGCGAGGTACTCCTGCGATGAAGAGATCAAGCACAGTTTCGCCGACCAGACTGATCAATTCAATAGCTCACTTGACATGGGAGGCTCTAAGCCGTTGTCTAGGTAGTCGGTTGAAGACGAATTCGATCAGTTACTTCCATGCACAATAGATACCGCTTGTTACGCTGCATTGGTTGATCCGGTTCAGAGTAACTCTTAACCAGACCTTGTGGAACAAGTTGGGGAACAAGGCAGCAAGTGGGCCCCCCATAATATCCAGTGCGGGGTCGGCCTGTTTACTGCCGCCCACCTGCCTCTTGCCTCTTGCCTCTTGTCTCCGCCTGCTGTCGACATACGCTGAGGTATTCGGTACAGCACCCTATCAGCACATGGACGAGCCGCCCGAGGGGATGTCGCTTACCTGTGGCCCGAGCCCCTTTTAAGAGGAACTGACCATGGCTTGGCCGGTCCCCCAATCCATCCATGGGCTCCTTAACTAGCAGTAGTGCCGCGGCATACCAGATACATAGCAATAAACACCCACTTTTGGTTTCAGACAGAAATGATAAGTTAGCTTCGGACATAATATATATAACGATTGTTTACAACGACTCGTCGACCGTTAGTCGTGGTGTTTTACTAATTTCCTACTCTAACACTTTTACAAAATTATCGAGTTAGTAATTAGACTCTGCACAGTCGGCCATCCGGCTGCGATTGCCATGCCTCGCTGCCAACCGCCGTTAGACCGTAGAACACCCCAGAAGGATCGTACTTTTTCTTAATAGCTAGCAGACGATCATAGTTGTTACCGTAAAAGACGCGCTGCCAGTTTGGCTGACCGAAATCAGCTTCGTTCAGATATGCGCCGCCATTTGGATCCAGGTCAGCCAGCTTGGGCAGTAAGACGTTTCTTATGAGTTGTTGGTCTTTTAAGTTCTGTTCAAAATCCGTTTCGTTCCAGAAACTAATAGAGAAAGGTGAGCATAATCGATATGTAATGGCAACGAGCACCTCATGACTATGGTACTCACCTTCCGACTACAGCACTGAAAGCTGCAGTGCGCCACGCCGGATTTACCGAGTTCGGTATCGAAGGTGCTTGGTTTACATTGACAGAAAGTCCAGATATGACAGCACCGTTGGTCACGATCAATTGCAGCGCGTCCGTCAAGGACGCTATGCTGCTATCTGACGATAGTAATGATCGCGGCACAAGGCGACCACCAATATTTCCGCCAGTTGCCGGAGGCTCTGCACTCATAGAATGATATCCTTCGAGAAAGGTGGGGAAGTCATTTGCAGCATACTCTGTTGGCTGTATCAGCATCTGGTTCCCTGTGAAACCAATTTGGTGCCAGGAAAATATGATAGACTGGCCAGGCACTCACGATAGGGTATTCCTTCTTGCTCGAGTTTGTCTAGTGTTGGCTGCAACAGCGATTGCAGTTCTTGAGCAGTCAAGCCCGGAGCTGTCAAGGACTGAATCACAAACACGTCACTGGTGAGCAGCCAAATGCATACAGCACCGCTGTCAGTGATGTTGGGCAGGCTTCCTAGGAACACTGACAAGGTGTCGTAATAGGCATCAGATGTTGCGTCGGTGTTCGAGAATGTGAGATTGGCAACCGAGACTTGAACGCTAGGATGTGCCTTGACCGTAGCGGATAGCACGGCGCCATAAGTGCCACCGCCACCTCCGGAGAGAGCCCAATACAAATCTTCGTTGGTAGTCGCACTGGCAGTCAATTGCTGTCCCGAGGCTGTGATGACTTGCCACTCAAGGACTTGGTCAGCTCCGAGTCCAAAGGTCGATGCGAGTGGCCCATGACCTCCACCTTGCGAGTATCCACCAGCGAGGCCAACACTGGACGAGTCACCACCAACAATGACGAGGCCTAATGCATCTGCTGCGACAAGGGCCTCCCGCACTTGCACTCCGGCGCCAACCGTCATTGCTTTCCCTATCATGATCATTCGTTTCCTGCTTCACGTGTTGACTCTGAAGTATGAGAGAAACTTACCAGTATAGGCGTCAGAAACATAGTCATGAACGGCAATGTCTTTTAAGTGATGCGTCCAGATAGCTAGTGCACCAGCTCCAGTTGATTTGCCAAGATAGTCATGACCTGTATTACGGATAACGAGGCGGATGTTGTTCTTTTGTGCGAAAGCCAGGGTGGACTTGAAGTCCTCGGCTGAAGAGGCGTTGACAGCGTATTGAACGTATGTTCCGACGATGCACTGGGCCTCAGGAGGGGTAAACGGGTCGCAACTCATGTTGGCAAAGAGTGGCGCCATCACAGAGGATGAAGATTCAGAATGAATATCTGGGTTAGTCCATTCTGCCCGTAATTCTGCGCACGCGCCGGTATTGTATGGCCCGAACGAACTGTTATGACAGGCGCTTGCAATAGGAACAGTTGCAATCAGCTTTCCATGCAGTGTTGCATTGAATGCCGCCCAAGTTCTTTCGCTTGGCCAGCACGCATCACCAGGGAAGCATCTACAAGATGAGCCATTGATTGACGTATTGCGGGCTAAGCTGGGTGGAAAGGCTCGTGGATGAGATGTGACAGCTGCCATACACGTAGCTGGGATTAAGAGGGCCAAGCGAGAGGCAATCATGATGCCGTAGTTCTGGTGCTGCTACCCGTCACAACGCAGAACTGACAATCATGACGGTTGAACATCCTGGAAAAGACATCAAGGCCTTTAAATGAGGCGAGAAACGCCAGATCAGATCTCGCTTGATGCCTCGTGGTTTGAAGGATTTGCAACCCCGTCAAAACGTGGCAGGAAGCCCGGCGCTAACGAAAGCCTGCAGAGGCGTGTAAGAACGTCTCATTCCTTACTATATACTTTCTTCCCGCCAAGACATAATAAGCGCAATCGGGAATAGATAAATTGGGGGTGCTAATTCGCGGCCGAGGGTTACGAGGCTCGTGTGGCCCTCTTCTGTTGTTCTGAGGTGCATGGTTGTATACCGCTCTGCACAAGCTGAACTGAAGCCAAAAGGTAGCATACGTAAGGAAGCCTCGCTCCACAATACGGGTGGAAGCAAATACGTGCATAAGGGGTGGGTGGCACATGGCATAAAGGAAGTGTGGATCACAGCGGCTGGCCGAGGACAAAGTCCCTCGGGAACCAGCCCGGTCCGTAGCGGCCGTAATGAACTGATGCGATCGTGTTTCGGTAGCACCTTGCTCTGATGTGCGCGCAATAGCTCAGAGGGGTTGGCTGAGGTGGGATGCATGTGAGAGTCGTCAGCCCAATGTTCCTTTATTTTAAGATTACATTCCAAAACCATTGCGGTGTCCAATCGCTAGCTTCCATGCAATACCGGCCCGTTCAAATAGCGCAGTCATGACTGGTCGGCTTCGACCAGCCCGGCATCCCCGCCGTGTTCGCTGGCCTGCAACATGCAATGCTACCTAGTCGAAGGATCCCTTCGGGTTCGTGTCACGTACGCAGGAAGTGTTATATCTACTGTGTAGTTGTAAGCGAAGGATTTCTTGCTCTACAGCTCAGACGATTCAGAATCCCACTAGACGAGGCAAGGATGGGCAGAGTGCACAATTAAAATCCTAGATAGGCTTTCCTGATTACCCTACAACAGGGCTTGCGTGTTGAACTTGAGGTTGATTAGAAATTTTAACTTCAAATATTTAGGAACGTCCGAATATGATTGACGAACAACTCTTATTCTCTGAATTGGTTTATTTCTATGGCTCATGGAATCCTCGTACCATCGCAAAGGCTGGAAGGGAGTATAAAGTTACCGTCCATAGACACCACCACTTCCATGTTCTGGCGTCCTCCGCCGGGGTACGTTTCAGCAATACCCGGCGCATGACATTCAGTCCTGTCAGGCTGGAAAGACCAAAAGCGACCGGACCCGGGCTCCAGAGCCAGGTGCACACAAGCGACCAGAATCCGACGAAGAAGGCGATGCATGTCCGTGAAAACCATTCGCCTACGAAGAGCGCGATGGTACCGCGCCCGCGGCTGCGATCACCCGCCTGATCTTTAAGATCTTGGACCTGCATTGTGGTCAAAATCACACCGCTTATCACGGAGACCCAGGTGAACGCTTCTGGGGTTATGTGCCCACCGACGGCGATTCTTAGGGAGGCCGAGTTGGCCACAGCATACGCAATTGATATGATGGGGTCTCTAAGAAGCTCGTCGCCGCCTCTCAGGTCATTGTACAGGTAGCTCAGCGTTGGAATCAACACCCCTTGCTCCCATACTCCCAGAGCGTGGTTCAGCCACATGAAAATTGGGATGAGCAGAAGCAAAGCGCAGCGGGCCTGATTCGAAGTCGCCTTGCCCGTCGGAATGGGACGCCAGGGCTTATTGAGGACATCCTCCTCAACGGACTCGATCGAGCGTTGGTTGCCCAGGTCAAAAACGAGCACATTGCACCAGTTGAACAATACAACACTAGGTGCTCGCACAAGAATCTCCGTTACTGAAGGCGGGCCCTCCAATTCAGTAGCCGCAGAAAACGCCGGTACCAGGGCCCCGAGGAGGCCAAATGTTGTATTCGGAATGACAAACGTGTTAAAGTTGCTTTGCGTGAATTCCCATATGAGATATGGGAGATGAATAACTGGGCGAATTAATTTCCCTGTGGTGAAAGAAGCCGGTGCTATTTTTGAACCTGTCTGATCTGACGTAGTTGTTGCCATGGTTTATGATTAGCTAGCTGCTTGCGAAGTACCAAGCAGCTGCCACAGGTGGAGGAGGGAAAATACGATTGTGTTGAATATCCACCACGCCTGCCCAGGGCCCAGTTGGATATGGGTATATACGCAACGACCACGTCGTCGCAAGACAGACCTGCCGGCATGGCCAGAATATGAGACCTGAGAGCCCAACAGCAATCGTATAAGCGTACCCCGGAGGTACGGATGTAGCTTATTGACCGACATGGCGGGCCCATAAAGTGGGTAGGGTGGCATTGGCGCATTGCAATCTATTGCTTACTCGCATCCTGCCACGCAACCCACCAACCAGTCTGTAACTCTGTGTCAGCTCATTGCTTAGAGAAGGATCACGCACGCCGTTCATCAAGTGTCACCCGTTGTGGAGATCTGAAATCTTACCCGACACGGGCCAGTTTGATATGCCAACCTCCTAGTCCCCGGCAGCGGCGTGCACAGTGTTCTTTCTTCTTGAGCGTCAGCTCCTATGTGTCAGATCTTTTGTTAGAGTGGAGGGCTCTGCGGCACATGTGTGAAGTGCCCCTCCCAAAATCATGTAACATATGCCATCCTGACCCTCACGCCCAGGTCGTGGACCTTCATCAGAGTTTTATTTCATTTTGAAAAGAAAATAAATTTGGTTTCCTGATCACGAATTTGATTTTTTACAATGGCGACCATCGGGCCACGGGCGAACGCACTTCTGTGGTGGATGGGTGCTTTTACTATCATCTGCTCTATTATACTAGTGCTTCGTCTGTGCGCCGCACGGGTTATGCGCCGGCCATTCCACGTGGACGATGCCTTTATCATTATCTCCTTCGTAAGTGAAAACCGCGATTCTGCCCTGATGAAACTGTCTTTCGTGGTACTCAATAGCTTTGTGCTTTTGTACGGTTGCACTTTACTGATCCAAAGAAGGCGTGTATCCTCTCATTTGAAGGCATCGCCGTCTGGGCCGCCATGAACGGCGCTGGGATGCCCGCGGCCGAGCTGCGCCCCGATGAATTGGCAACATTATTAATGTTATAGTACAAAGAGGCCGGGCTATTTTACGAGGAAACTAACCGGTCGATTAGATTCTTGTGCTTCCTTCCTCGATTACATGGCTAATAGGGACGGTGGCCATCAAGATATCTGTGCTGTGGCTCTATACTAGAATTTTCTCGACACAATCGTTCAGAAGATGGGCATACAGTCTTATGGCATGTGTTTCTTGCTATTTAGTCGCATTCATGGCTGTCTTCATGACCATTTGTCAGCCAATTGACCAGTATTGGAACCCCGTGCCGTGGGGACATTGCCGCGACACATCCATCCAGGAGTTCACTTCGGTCTCTTTCAACCTGGTCCTGGATTTGGCCATCTTCATATTGCCTATGCCATGGCTTTGGAGACTGCAGATGCCACGGCGCAACAAAATTGGCATTAGTGTCATGTTTGGTATTGGTTTCATGTAAGTCCTGCTTCACACGTTGAAAGGGATTACACGACTGACCGCTAACCTCAGCACTATTGGCGTCATGTTGTGGCGAATTGCAGCGACAAAGAAGTCGGTCGATGAACCCGACGGAACCTACTGGATGACTGACATTGCGCTCATTGCTTTGTTGGAGCTTTGGTTGGGCTTCATAGTCGCCTGCATACCTACTCTGGCGCCATTACTCAAAGCTTACGTAAAGCCTGCTGTGAGCAAGCTGAGATCAATCTCAGGGCTCGATCAAAGGTCACAACAGGTATCGTTGAAGATGGTCAGGAACAGTAACAACAATCGAAGATACCATCCCATTGACGGAACTCAGGATTCCAGGAAAGAATATCCTCCAGCAGTACATGGGGATCTGACTCCCGGCGCCGCGATAACGACCCACATCTCGCATGATCCTGTTCGGAGAAGTACAGAGCAGCACGTCGGGAACGATACCATTCATGTTCAGCAGGATATCGAGCATCGTTGGTAGGGGAAACTCTTTCATACAACCGGACGTATGCCTGAGGGGATAGACTACTTCCAGTGAACGGTTGCAAGCGCCATAGAGGGCTTGGAGCATCTCACTCAGTTTACTACATGGCGGGACAAGTGACAGTGCCATTGACAAGCGGCCTTTTATCTCCCACCCACGTACTGTATATAGTAATTCATCAATTGCCAGAACACTACCCAGTACTGGAGAACCAAATTTGCAGGGCCTGGGATGGGATGGATGGGATGGGATGTGACGGATCGTTTTGGGTGGGTACAGTAAGCGCGAGGTGGATATGCATGGATCTTTTGAATCTAGAAACCTGAGAACGCCTTTGGTTCGTATCATATCGGATGAATTAATTGTCAGATTATGTCGTCAGATTGTCAACCGAGACTAGCAGTCTATGCCGCATCACTGCACGCTGTTGGCATGATACTTGCTTTTGTTGAGCTACAGGCCTGAACCCGGCACTGCGACATCACAGCCCCGAAACATTACCCAATATTGGGGTGGAGGGCCGATTGGCTTCCCACTCCGGAGCTTTGCCGCCCAGGAGCCAGATACTGACACCGACTCGATAAGCCACAGCCTGCATATGCAACATTCAGGTGGGAGCTCTATGCTTGTGGGAGGCAAATGACCGGGAATTAGTGATTACCGATCATCAGCTCATGGCTTCGGTATAAGATCCAAGCCCCTTTCTTTGCATGGGTGGGACATAGGACAATTCTTTATACACCCAGCCTCGGTTCCTGGGAGAAATGCAGCCCCCGCTTCCATCTTTCACGGCCACCTGGCACAATGACACCTACCCGGCGATTTCTCCGTCGCGCCCGGAGCTGAGTGCGGCAGGGAAGACGATCGTGATCACGGGCGCGGTGAGTAAGGTCCATGACCATTCTTGGTTGAGTAGGCTCTGACAGTAATACCACTTACAGGGATCCGGCATCGGTCGCGAGACAGCCGTTGCGTTTGCCAGCGCTGGAGCTGCACACCTGGTGCTGTTGGGGCGCACCCAGGCGACCTTGGACGAGACGGCCTCGCTGCTTCCCAGTCAAGTGTCCAAGGAGACCTTTGCCGTCGACGTCACGCAGCAATATGCCGTCGAACGAGTTGCTATGGCCGTTGGATCATGGGATGTTCTAATTGTTGCTGCCGGCTACGTCTCAGCCCCCAAGCCCATGGCCGAGGCAAACACGGATGCCTGGTGGCAGAATTTCGAGGTAAGGAGAGCCTGTTCTTAGCAGGCCGCGTCGCGTGCTGAGCTTGGTCTAGACGAATGTCAAAGGCCTCTTCCTGGTCGCCAAGTTCTTCCTACCGACCAGGAATGCATCGCGCTCAGCCCTTCTTGCACTCACGACTGGTAGTTCAGCCCTGCCGAGCTCGATGTTGCCCGGACTCTCTGGCTACACCGCATCAAAACTCGCCCAGACGAAGCTTGTTGAGTTCCTCGCCGCGGAGCATCCAGATGTCTTTGCAGCTTCAGTTCACCCTGGCATGGTGGAGACGGCCAACTTCAAGGAGGGTGGTGGGAACACCGAACTGGTGCCCATGGATAAAGGTTAGTATCTGGATTCATCACAATTAACTAAAACAATTCACTGGTATGCCTTTGCTGACTGGCTCCAATTCGAAACAGTCCAACTTCCGGCTCACTTCTTGGTGTGGATGTCGAGTCGGGAGGCTGCATTCTTGACCGGTCGCTCTGTTTGGGCCAACTGGGATGTGGATGAGTTGAAGGGGCAAGCTGAGACAATCAAATCGGGCATGGCAATGACAGCTGGGATCAATGGCTGGCCGTATACTATCAGCTAGACCCGCCTAGAATTGTGCAACATTCATTTCATTGTTGACATTCGCGTTCAGTTCCCTCTTTCTCTAGGCTGCGACAGTGGGTCCATGGCATGCGCTCCATCATCCAAATGCTCACTACTGCTGACGCCTTATCCGATATAACGGACGGCATATTGCATCTGCATCGCGGCGCAGTAGACCCCGACACTCATGGCCTGCTGCAACCAACATGATTCTAGTTAGTGCAGATGAAACTGGATGGCTGCGAACGATCGGTGTGCCTGTGTTGGTGCGGGTTGCGTGGCCAAGTGCAGGTACACCAGCGGCAAAGTGCAGACATTACAACCTGGCTGCAGCAGCCCTCCGGCACATCTAAACCAACATCCTCGGACCATTAATGCAGAAGTCCTGCACGCGCCGGCATTTGATTGGTCCCAGAGACATTGAGACTGTAGGCAGCAGCAGTACAGTGTCCAGGTACTGTGTCGTACCGGAGTACTACACCAAAATTGTTCGTAATCCACTTTTTCCGTCTTTCCCGGGCTTACAGGCCCGTGGAACAGGCCTTCATAGCTAGCTTTGGCCAACGCTCTTCGTGGGGATTGTATAGCATCCAACATCAAGATTGGCAACGCAATCCTAACTCAGTCGCTATGGTTTCCACAGAGTTTGACTACGTCATTGTTGGAGGTGGATTGGCAGGCATCGTGTTGGCTGCTCGATTGTCTGAGGAGTCTGGTACTGAGGTTCTCGTCATTGAGGCGGGAAAGGACCAGACGGTCGACCCCCGGGTCAATGTCCCCGGCATGTGGCCTGCTTTGCTCCGTACTGAGTCCGCGTGGGACTTCAAAACTGTTCCTCAGGTATGTCCGTATTCGTGCGTCACGTATATATGGCCTCTAACATTTCAAAAGCCAGGACTGGGTGGCCGGGAGATCGGCTTTCCACAGGGCCGGCTGCTGGGAGGATCAAGTGCACTGAATGGCCTTGCTTTCACCGCAACGTCCAAGGCCAATGTGGACGCATGGGGGCAGCTGGGCAATCAAGGATGGGTCTGGTCAAGCTTCTACGAGTCAATGAGGCAGTCATACACGTCGCCCTCCCAAGATGCAGACGCCCAAGGCCCCATTAGACTCAGTGCCCCTGAAGAGGATTCGGAATGGCCCAAAATCTGGAAGGAGACTCTTATTGGTCTGGGTTTCTCAACAACTGGTGATCAGTTTTCTGGCGACTTCTGTGGCGGTCTGGTTGTGCCAGATTCTATCGATCCCCTCACCAAGCAGAGAAGCTACGCCGGCAACGCATATCTTGAACCGGCGCGATCGCGACCCAACCTGAACTTCTGGACAGAGACTCAGGCCACTAAGGTGTTATTTGATCAGCCAGACTCGGGCACTGTCATCGCCACTGGGGTCCAGGTAGCCCGGGGTGGGGAGACAAAGACTGTGCGAGCGCGCAAAGAGGTCATTGTCACCGCGGGCACCATCAACTCTCCGAGGCTCTTGGAGCTTTCGGGCGTCGGAGATGCGAAGCTCTTAAAATCACTTGGTATCCCAGTAGTGGTTGACAACCCCCACGTAGGAGAGAATCTTCAAAACCACCCCATGTGCACCTTGAGCTTTGAAGCGCATGATCACCAGGGCTTTGAGACCATCGACAAGCTTGCGAGGCAAGACCCAACTGCTATTGCAGCCGCCATGGAAGCTTATGCGAACCAAAAAGGCCCCTTTTCCAGAAGCGGCGCGAATCTAGCTGCGCAGTTGCCAACTCCTCCCCTCAAGCCTGAGGACGAGGCTAGTGAACTGGATACATTCTTGCAGAGCAAGATATCGGACAGTCACGGGGAAGCCAAATCTTTTGCGAAGTTACACGAGTCCTTCGTTCGCTCCATCATCACTTCACCCACGCAGGCAACTGGATGCTATATCGCCATCCCGGGCTTCGCAGGAGCTACTGGCGATGGGTGGATGGCTCCTGCGCCCTCTGGGGGCGAGAATTACTTCACGCTGACAGTGCTTCTCGCTCATCCTTTGTCTCGTGGTTCGGTGCATGTGACTCACTCATCAACGGACGCGTCGTCGCTCTCTATCGACCCCAGATATCTGACACACCCTCTGGACCTCGAGATACTGGCGCGCCATGTACAGTTTGCAGACAAGATTGCAAACTCTGAGCCTCTGGCCAGCCACCTGAAGCTAGACGGGAAACGCAACTCGGGTGCGCCCCCAGCCGGCAGCTTTGCAGATCTGGGCACTGCCAAGGATTATGTACGCAAGACGGCGGTTGGTGCGCACCATTTCACCGGTACGTGTTCGATGATGCCAAAAGACCTGGGCGGAGTTGTGGATGCACAGCTGCGTGTGTACGGGTGCCGTAACCTTCGGGTCTGCGACGCCAGCATCATCCCCCTCACACCACGAACCAATCCCCAAGCTACAGTGTACGGGGTGGCGGAGCATGCGGCGAAGATGATACGCGCAGATTTGTGATCATGATGTAATAGCAAAGCCACAGTAGTTCACAGAGCCTCGCAGTGATTACATCGGTCTCTGGAGAATCGTATCTGATCAGTAGCTGTGGCCAACCAAGGTCCGGAGGAGCCCCAAATGAGATGCAATTTTCACTAGAATGTTTCGCTCCATACTGTGACAACGTGCGAGAAAAACGATGCATCGTCAATACGGCCGCTCACCCACAGCTCGTACTTCTCGCATATGCAATGGACTTTTGTTTGGGAGCAACAACCAAACAGGATGTTTTTGATTGGGCGTTTGCACGGCCTGCGGGTTCACGACAAGCCAGGCGCACTGGACAGTGGTACAAGAGTAAAGAGTGGATTCGGTACTGCGTATCTGACGCACTAATTCGCATTGCCGAAGCCTCGTTCAAGATCTTTCAGCCAGGGGTGGAGGGTGGAGGGAGGGTGTGTAGATATGATGTGGGTTCTTTTCGCGATTCCGCGAATCAATGACGCCGCCGTTGCAAGGTCCATCGCGACATAAAGCGTTGGATGGCTTGTAGCCAATATTAGCATGATGGGGGAGGCGGCCGGGGGTGCCCACTTTTAGTATCCAAGTATGACACGGCCTAGTTCTACTCACTATCTGTGGCGATGTGAGATGCATATGAAATGCCATTTCTCGGCAGCAGGTGAACAACAGCCCCAGCGAACCATTCACTCACGATATGCGTACATGCTTGGTTTGCGCCCTGACAGGTTGATCAACCATGTCTCTCCACCAACAGATGATTATCGCCGCGTTGGCTGGGCTTCTTGCACACAATGCCGTCTTCATTCGTGGTGAATGGCATCTACACATTCCCCATATCATTCTGAGCCATTCTGTGCTTTGGGTCTGGACAGTATGGTTTACCTCATCCCTCCTTAAGGCTACTATTCTCTCTGCGCTGTATCTGATTGCATTATTCACGAGCATGACGATATACCGCCTCTTTTTTCACAGACTGTCGAAATTTCGCGGTCCGAGACTTGCTGCGATTTCCAAATTCTGGCACGTTTACAAGGTTCGAAATTCGACAAATCATTTGTTAATGACAGAGTTGTATAAGAAGTACGGAAGCATTATACGGACCGGTCAGTAATAATTAGGACTCCTGCAATCGGAAATGTGGTCATGCTTGATAAGAGTCTGATTCTCTTTCGTAAGTTACCAGGCCCCAACGAGATTACACTTCTCCACCCATCCGCGATCCACCTGCTAGATGGCTGGGGGAATACCACGACGAAAGGTGTTTGGTACGATATCTTGGTCCCAAAGATGTCAGTCGTCTTCACACGGAGCGAGCAGCATCACAAGGATACGCTGAAGGCTTGGGCACAAGCACTCTCGGGTACAGGTGAGATGAGATCCCCAATGACTTCTTCCCTGTCTATCCTCACATCAAGTTCCCTCCTTATTCACATAAGTTTTCCAATCTCTCTTCGGTACTCATGAAGCTTGCAAGTAGACTAGGACTGACAATTCCAAGCGATGAGCACCTTTAATGTACGAGTCTCTGAGCACGTCCAAGTCCTGACGAACTGTTTTCAAAAATACACTGAGGAAGCGGCTCCGGTGAATGACATCGTCTCCCGATTCGTGTTCGACGTACTTGGAGACGTGCTATTCAGTAAGAAATACAATCTGGTGGAGACCAATGGCTGGCATGAGTACTTCGACCGAAGAAAGGACGCCCTTCCCGTTCTTGGTCCAATAAATGATGTAACGTGGTTAGGTCATCTGATGTTCCTCTTGGCGCCCTTTTGGAGCAGGGTCAGAGACTGGTTCTACATGGTTGACTACTCTGTGCAGACGATGCAACAGCGATTCGAGGTGAGTGCGCATTTGTGCGCATTTATACTATGCCGCCTTCTTTCCGAGCGGTCCTGTACCCTCTATTTATCCATACTAACCGTTGCATAGGATGATTCAAAAGGGCCGAGGATGGACATGGCCGCCTACTTTATCGATGAGTATCACAAACTGGAGGGGGTTTATGATTTGGAGAAAAGAAATCTCCACTTGCAGGGTACAGCCGTGACGGCAGTCATTGCAGGCAGGTGAGTACTCGACTGTCTCCCATTTGTATGATTCCAAAAAAAGACATAAACTCTGGTGATGAAGCCACAGAGCCCTTTGAGACTCTCTTCTGTGTTACGATAGTCGCTGATCTGCCTTTTCACTCGCCCAGTGACACCACGCGGTCTGCCTTGATCGTCGCCCTCTGGTCTCTCGCGCAGTATCCAGATCACGCGGAAAAGATTCGAGACGAGATCCGAAACGTGGACTTGAACGACCCAGTTGCCCTGAGCGCGCTGCCACACTTGGAAGGATTCATAGCTGAGACTTTGCGGCTATTGCCGCCGGCGATGAGCGGCGCACCACGAGACACAGGCCCGGAAGGACTCCTGGTGGAAAATATCTTGATTCCCCCGGACGTCAAGGTGACAAGTCCAAAATATGTCATGGCACGCTGTAAGTAGTGGGGCCTGGTCAGACTTCGCATATTGACCAGTCATTTTTCCGTCTAGCATGGCTTCGTTACTAACATCGCCTATTCGTATCATAGTGCCTACCGCATTTGTCGACCCCAACGAGTTCATCCCTGAACGGTGGTACTCACGTCCCGAGCTCATCATTGACAAGCGAGCGTTTGCGCCGTTCTCAGTCGGTGCCCGTGCCTGTGTAGGGAAGCCCCTGGCTTATACCGAGCTCCGTCTTGTTGTTGCGAACATAGCCCATGACTTTGACGTTGCATTCGCGCCATACTATGATTCGCAGACCATGTGGCTTGATTTAAAAGACCAAGTGACAGCACAACCAGGGGACGTCAAGCTTATATTTAAACCTCGGAAATAGTCAGTTGGGCATGAGGAAGCACTGGAAGAACATGTCTCTTCAGCAGCGAGCTCCAAATTATGATTTCCAGTCACAGTCACGAGGTTATGGCAAACGTCAGCCTGCAGAAAGAGACTGAGGTAGTGTTAAATCCTGTAAGATATAGAAATTGTATTTATGGAATAAGTTGAATTATTATATTGCTGCGTGGTCGCTGGGAATTGTATTTGCCTGTAGCAAGTCCTTAGATGTTCCCGTCAGCGCATTAAACCGAGAACATTGCGTAAGAAGTGTATCGTGAACAAACAGCAAGATATTTTGCATCACAGGTATACTGAACTGTTGCTTCAGAAGGACAAGCTGACTATGTATAATGCCTAATGGAAGCTACGTGTCAGAGGTATACTGTTGGTCGCTGGCTGGTATCTAGACAGAAAGGGAGCCCTGTGTTTTATCGGTATCGGAAGGATATCCCAAAACTTTATTCCGGTGAGCGTCAGGTCATGCGAAAGGACGAGAGTCCAAAGAGAGGATGGAGATCGTAAGGTCTCGGCGGAGCACCCTACCAAGGCGACCTGAGCTCAACGCTGATTAGATCCGCCGAAGCGGGACCCTTGAGTCACTACCGAGTTGCGAGTTCTTGCAGATAGCACACCTGGGCTTTCGCAACATCGCGTACGGAAGCTGCGGCTTTCCAATTATGCTTGTAGAAATCCAGCTCAATAAGACGTATCGCGTAGTCGTGGGCCAACTAAGACATCATTCCCGTACATAGTGTAACTTAACTAGGGTACTTATCCTACTTAGTTGAGTACGCCATAGTCATAACGTTCTGGTGGAGTGCGTGGGAATCTTTCAATTTGCAGGGAATTTCACAATTTAAGTTTACAATGGTTGATCCAAAAGGTGACTGTCCAGCAGTAAAATGAAAGAAATCTAGAATGATCTAGGCAAGTACGGATCAACCTTTGACAACTGAAATTTTGAATCCGCTGGGGCACAGGTGCTGAAAGACACCTTGAGGATCATATGTGCAGGCCGCCTCTCGAACCCTACGAACATTTTCTTTTCCGTAACTCTTGAGAACTTCCTGACTGGAATGGGCGTGTTTGAGGTACAGCCACGGCATGACGCCGTCCTCGATCTTGTTTGCGGCAGTCCGTACTTCATCAACCATCGCGCGAACTTTTGGCCGGGCCCAAGCTTATAATTCAGCAGTGCGAACACTGACGAATGCCTGGATCAAGATAGCGTCGTGAGTGTTTTGCTCAAGGCCAAGCACGTTACTGGTGATGTTATTGGCGTGTGACTGCTCGACATATAGACGCGGTACTGGTTGGAAGGCAAAGTGGGACGTAAAAACCAGGTCTGTAATATGTTCCTGAAGTTCTTTTGCCATCTCATTATGCAACTCGGCGGCTTTGAGCAGAATGGAGACATCATTCTTAATTGTCAGGGTGAACCAGATATTGCTGGCCACGGAGTTAAACATGACTGGCATGAACTCTGGTAAAGTAAGACTTACTAGTAATTAGGAGGGAGTGAAGAATAAGTGAGAAGCTTCTGGAGCGTGGTTGTCTTGTAGTTGGTCATTATTTCGCGCAACGCCAAGATCTTGTGGAGCAAGGCGGGCTTCCTGACAGCAGCCATGTTATTCGCGATGGAAATTCCAACGGCACCGCCGAATCTGGGTTAATGGCCGACTATGAATTGCATGTTCGTATACGGGTTGCTGGCATTGTTACCTGTGAACTCGACCAGGGCTTTCATGCCAGTTGGGACGAAGTTCAAACGGTAGAGAGCCAGCCCGCCCCAGATTGGACCAATGGGCAAGGTCTGCATGGAAAATCGTGTGACGATGCCAAAGTTGCTACCTCGACCTTTCAAGACGCGGAAGAGATCTGTTAATCGTAAATCAGCTCACTACCTGCAGTCAGGGACGATGATGTGAGGCCGTGGTTACCGGTATGTTCGCCCCTTGCGTCAGCAACGATAACCTTCCCATTGGCTAGGAAGACCTCGTAGGCAATAACTTGGTCACAGGCCAACCGCAACGCGGCGTGTGGAAAGTGTTTTCACCTCCCAGGAGAAAGCCGCCTACGCCTACCTCAGCTTCGCGACCTCCAGCCGTGCTGTTCGAGCTCGGCATACACATCTTTCCACTTAGCCCCAGGCCCAATGTGAGCGACCTGAGTAGCATCATCGTAACTGGTTACGTCAAGGAACCCCAGATCAATAGTGACTCCATTGGTGATGTTGTTGCTGCCGGCCCAATTGGTGTGACCGCCAGCGCGCACAGCGAAGTGTTGATGTGCCTTTGCAAGGGCGGCAACCGCTTTGAACACCTCTTCAACAGAGTGTGACTGAACAATACAAGATGGTCGCAAGTTGGCATTGTTGCACCAGTAGGACTCAATGCGGGCAGCATAACTGTCATCACCTGGGAAGAGAACGGGGGATCTCAGTCCAACCTGGACTAAGGGCTCGCCTCGGCGGGCGGGGAGTCCATGAACGCCGGCCATTGTGAAGATGCTCTGATTCAAGTGATGATTTGGCCTAAGTGAGAGGCGCCACAGCTAGGAGCGTGAAAGAGAAGGTGTTTGGCTCCCGTGCATTCCTGATGCCAGCCAGGATATTGAATATATACAACGGCCTAGTTCCTAAATCTGCTCAAGTGATTTTTTCAAGCAGGACAGCGTAAGACGTACGCGTACGCAGGCAAACTGTCCCGTACATATTGTGATAAGGTTGAAAACGCCAACACATTAAGCAATGCGCATCTGGTTGCACCTAGTGGAACAAAACATCCCTTGCAACGCCCAACCACATTTGGAGACTCCACGACTTGTTGTTGTGTGCATCTGGCATGGAAACGGAAGGTCGCGCGGGCGTTAGTGAAGCACCTTACAGGTGGCTGCAAGCTGGCTTACATACTGCACGCAACATACAGGATGCTAGGGTGCGTCCCGCCGGACGTGCCGCTCTCGAGTCTCGCGTGTTCCCTTCAGAGGCTAGGAGCACAGCACGGCGATGCCGTTACGGCCAACAAATAAGCTGATGCAGCTGCCTTGGATCCTAGGTGCTTTGCGTCGGCGCTTCAGCCAGGAAGTTCTACGTACACAGATTTGCTTGGGGTCGATGTCGTGTTTGGATTTGTCAATATATCCAACATGGGTTTAACCTCCAGACGGCATCCTTTGTATTGGAGCCCGGTTGATAGGAAGCCGACCAACATACCGACGCCAGGCTCACCGACTCGAATCCCAGCGCCGATGTTCATACAGATATCTGTCCAAGGCCGTCTTCTTCTGTGCCATCAAAAGAGAAGTGCACCACAAAGTAGTGTCGTTGCCAAATGCTCCTCGCCACTGCCTCTTCTCTACCTTCGTTGCCTTTCTACCTTCATTACCATGGGTATGGTCCTCATCACTGGCGCCAATCAAGGTGGTTCCAGAATGCGGTAGCTAGACTCCTGGCATATACAGTAAAGGTTTTTCGTGTCAATACTGATAGGTCGCAGGCATTTGATGCGCGCTCGCTGTAGCTAAACTGTCTCGCCCGGACTTTACTGTCATCTGTGCTGACCGTAACCCTGAGCGCACCACACTCAAAGGCATCAAGCTGGCGGAGAGTATGAAGCTACTGGTCTGGTCCTCAAGTTGAGGCCACGTCCGAGACAGACCCTGCTTATAGCAGTTGACTAGATGAAAGCAGTCGGTATCAATATCCTCGTTGTCATCGTAGTTTTTCAGGTATCAGCCGACCAGCGCTTTTGCTGATATCAAGGATATGGACGTTGAGACCTTGCGTAGCATCTTTCGCGTCAACACAGTCTCCTTCGTGAGCCTCTTCAAGACCGTATACCCGCTACTCAAAGCCTCAGCCAGATTTCCGAAGCTATTAGCGCTCAACTCCAAGGCCCCAGATCGTGGAAGTGGAGCCTACCGTGCGAGCAAGATGGCCCTCGATTACCTTGTCTGACGCGTACACTTCAAGAACCATGACTGAATGTATTGGTCATGAGCCCTGGATTCGTGCACTTGGCCACCGGGAACGCCCATGTGAAGCTCTGGAGTAGGGAGAACGCAGCACGTGCCCTTAGAAACATTATTCCAGACCTGGTGCAAAGAACCGAAACATCTGGCAATTTCTATAGCTCTTATAGTAATCCGCTGGCGTTCAGAAAACATCGACTGTGTACAACTAGGAGATAACTTCAAAGAAATTGGTGTCGTCAGATTTGTCGTTGAGCCGTCTGTCTTTGTGACATATAACTAAAGGACCTAGGTACCTTCTTATTTCGTCACAGTATGTCGACCTCAGTACGATAAGAACTGGACCAACCTTAACACTGTAAAAATATACCGATTTCTTGATTAGATGTTGCGCTTCTCACATAGTCACTGAAGTACGCGTCAGGGAGGCTATCTGATACCTCGACGTGGAGCTTCTGTGTATCAGATTCCCAGTTCTTCAGCAAGGATGGTCGTATATATTTGCGAGTGTCCTTTTGCTATATCATAAATATCTTTTCAAATCCGGGTCCGAAGAGACAGACCCGTGAGTCCAGTGCGTAGTGTCTTTCAGGGTAGGGACTTCATTATATGAACAAGGGAAGGTTAGTCTTTTCGCTGTTTGAAGTGTCATAGCTAATCCCATTATCAGATGGGGCTATTCATATGGGAATTTGTGCATTTGGAGGGACGAAGAGTTCACTATAGTGGCTCCATTGCTACTTCCGTTGGAAAGCTGTTGATAGAAAACTCGTCTCGATTTCGTGTATTACAACCGTTGGCTGTAAGTCTAAAGTTCTAGTGCTTGTTACCTCCAATCTGCTGCTTTTCATGTTCCCACTTTCATTCTCTCCCCCTTTTTGTTGATACGGCAGGTATTTCTCATGCTCTTTTCCCTCTTTATGCTCTTCCAATCATAATCTGCAGGGTTGAACTTCGTATCCCACAAGTCTAGAAAACACAAACAAGTCAGTGTTCTTATTCTCGGCCAATCCGCACCAGGACCTTCCTCACAATAGTTATGTTTGCAAGTTATGTGACACAATCGACCTCCCCCTGAATCTGTTATGCATAGACACTCACGATCTATAGAACCATCCCAGATGCGCCGCGCTCCACGCAATTTCCCGACATAATCACTGTTCACTGCTAGTCTTCTCCAGATATACTGTTCTGGGTGATTTTCGTTCCATTCGTCGATCATATCATCAAAAGTCTCCACATCTGTCGTTGCGTTCAAGTTATCGCGCCTGCGATGGATACCATCGAGGTAATCATGTGGCACTGTTTGAGATCGACTAAAATCAACCAATTTACCACCCACGTAGGCATCTTTTCGAATGTCTCCACCGAGACATATGCCGATCTTGTGGATCTTCTTAACATCTGCGATCATTCCGATAACCTGTGAGCGCGTGAAGCTAGGCACCCCTTCTATCAGGTCTTTGACGAGTGCTCTTATCGGACGTGGATCGTCCTCCTCGCGGAGTAGCAATGGGTCAAAGTGGCCTGTGCTAGAATGCGACCCTTTCAGCGATGTTTTACTTTTGGTAAGACAAGTCTGTTCTTCTACGTTATTAAAAATGACATATCCATAGCACTTGACCGCTAGCTTTTCATTGTTTGTTTCTTTCAACCTTCCATAGGCTCGACACTCGCTGTAAAATGGATCATTCTGCTGTTTGTAGAGTGATTCTTCTTTGTTCACATCCTCTGGTTCGTCATAGATGGAAGGGTTAAACTGCGGAGATTGGATGTAAGCAGGAACGAGATTAGGCTTCAGATAGCTTACCATCTTCAGAGCATAGAGCCGGCTGTCGATAGAGACCTTCCATACCACGGCATCTGTACCTGCGCCTACATAGTCGATGAATTCTACAACTGTACATTGACTGATGAGAGAGAATGGTCCCAATTTTGGCCCATCTATATTGGGTAAGAGATCCATGTATGTCGTGATGACAATCGGGTTTGTGGAAATTTATGATGAAGGTCCCTAAATCAAAAGCTAGCACGCGCGCTTTCATTTCCCTCAAGGACAATCCACAACTGGACATCAACAAAGAACACAGCCCAGCAAGCCACTCCCCGATCGTTTTCAGCACAGTGGAGACGCATTGTTTCAAGTTGCAAGGTGGCTGTAGGAACCGCTATGTGATAGTCGCCCCGTACTTTCAATACTTTGCGACATGAACCCTCTCTCTAGCCAATGCCTTCGGTTTGCGAAAGGCATCTTGGAGACGCAGGTTGGCGTCACGATGACAGCTGGATACCTTTACAGAAGGAAAGATGGCATGATGGCTTATTCCCTGGGTTCTCCAATAGTCTCAGGTAATGACTCTCTATTAACTTGGAATGTTACAACAAGTTGCCATCCATTTCACTACCCGAGTTCGTTGCGATTCGTGGCTTCGCATATAACAGGCAGCGATCCATCTCAACGTATATTCCATATCAGGATACCAGCAACAATATACAAGTCATTTGGCAGTGGTGCGAAATGGAATGGCAACGCTCGAGCACGTTTGATGCTCTCAGCGGTATCGACGCCGGTTCAGACCTTGCCTGCCTAACATTGAGTGCCAGGTCTTGCCTAGGTTCAATGCTCCTGTTTGGGACAATCAGGATTCTGACAGATGCTACTTCCAGAGCCAAGGTAGATTAAATGAAGTGTGGTTTAACGGACAGTAGTGGATAAATTGTTGCTTCATCGACGTAGTTGACTAGATAAGCTCGCTGCGGATGGTTTCTGGAACGTCTATCACTCTATCAGTTGCTAGAAGCAACACCACTAGTTGATCAAGCAACGACGTTTGGTTGCTTCCCAGCCATGCGTACCGGAGACTAAAGACATGACAATTGATAGATAAACAGGACCTCAGTAGAATCCATCACTCCGTCTTGGACTTCAGCAAGCAGCAGCTACTCTGTACGGTGAACGTGGTTTTAGGTGTAAAAGTTGCTCTCAGGTTGATAGCTATCTTCAATGAACTATATAATGCCAAGCTAAGACTTATTGAATGAAGACTGAGCTGTGGCACACTCTTTCATCAAGAGTTCGTACGTATTAGCAAATTCGTCCTTCATTATAAGAGTATGGCCTAGCCAAATTTATGTCGCCATTTGCAAGAAATCGAGCCTTCCACCACTTTCTCTTTTTCCGAAGTGAAATGCACAATTGGGGTCTTCGGGGTGTTAAACCTCATTTAAACCACTGAGGTTGCAATATGATATGTCAGAAGCAGCCAGATTCCCCGATTGCCTGGTTTACAGCCGACTTCTTGACAATACGTCAAACCTCGCATTAGGGCATATGTTATTATGCGTATTCAAAGTTTACTTCGAACAATTTCCTCGATGAGTCTCAAATTTCCATAAGTCCGTAGTCATGGTGATGCAGCCAGTGGTGGGTCCTTGGAAAATTTGCGTGTGGATCGTATACTAAATTAAACCGGCACCACCACAACTCATTACGCAAAAGCTTCAATCTCGATTAGTATAGTGGTCAGTATGCCAGCTTGTCATCAACAAGTCGCTGGAGACCGGGGTTCAATTCCCCGATCGAGAGGTTACCAACCCATGCGGCTCTCTTTTTTGCTGTGCTTCATGGCAGTATTCCCCCAAAGTGTGGTACGAGGCTGTACCACCCTGTGTCACGCAGCCCAAGCTCAGTACCAAATACCATGCCAACGGATTGTTTTCACTGTACTTAACGATCCATATGTAAAAGGCAATGAGGCGTCTCGAAATGGGGTGAAGTATTCAGCTCTATCTTTGGGAAGCGTGTGCGTGGTCGGTGGACACATTGGACACCTCTACGTGGCGTGCGTAGAACATTTTGGGTGGGGGGTAACGAAAGAATTGAACCCCAAGTGGAAGTTTATCATCACGGGTGTCTGATAGAAAAACATAACATGCTTCTTATCCCAATGGAAGCCTCTGCACTAGACCGAAAAGCTCTTTCGACAAGTCTATATTCCCCATAAGGGGCTTTTAGTTGCGATGCTGTCTTGGCTGTCTAGGATATTGGTTATCGACTGAGGTCACAGTAGTCCATTGCGACGAGCGACAAGATTGTCTTTCGTATTTGCTGATCTTTGTTTCATATCCGAAGCCCATTACCGAGTGGCTTGTCGACTTGTCAGCTGCGCATTCTCCAATAAAAGCGCCGTGCGTTGATCACCAGGTATACTTGACTTGGCAGTCGAGACTTATTTCCACACTGCTAGATCCTAGCTCACGCAACGTTCCGGCACCCCGAGATGCCGATATGAATAAGTCATTGTAATCATGCGATTGTCGCGGTGCCTGGAGAAAGACTTCGGTGATTTCCCTAAGAAAATACGTCTCATTTGAAGAAAGAACTTAAAACTTGGGTGGGATGTACGTGCTGGCTTATACACATCGTTCCCAGTCACTACGACTCCCCATCGCCACTTTAACCCTCCCGATGGCGGGATATCTACCGAACTTTCCATCCCCCGCTATAATGATAACAGGTTCTGAAACTGGTGTTAGGCATTATCGCTTACCATAGCGTATCATTAGTGGTTAATGACGACTGTCTTACACCGTTTATGCTTGCTGTAGAGCTTGTTCATTCAACGAAATGTGTTTCTTCTCGACTATTATTATTTAGTGTGTAAACATAGAAGTATTTCGCTGTGATGCGATATTTGCGATTGTATCTCACTTGGCTTGCAATCTTTGCTTATTATCTATTCTTCTCATATCGTTCTTGAATCTTCAGAAGGAGATAAAATATATATATATATATATATACATATATATAACAATGCAGCTATCGCTTTCCATTCATGCGCTTTCGCTAGCTCTAAGCGCCAGTATCAGCTAAGGGCTATCCCGGTTCGTACCCAACAAAGGATACAACGAGCACGTAAGTGATAGAAGTAAGACTTTAAGGTATTTTGTTCTTCGCAGCATTGACCAAAATTTATGTTGTAGTCGGCAATCATCAGGCTTGTCCATTGGTCCAACTCTCGTATCATATTCCATGCCCCAACCGACCCAAAGCAGCACCAACATCGTTCAGAATCCCGCCTTCGAAGACCCGGGCGACACCCTCACATCATGGGGGGTTGTTACAGGACCAACGGAGGTTGGCCAGCGTGAAAGCTACGTATTCGTCGGGCCACATCAGCCCAGCCCCAGCGACAGTTTCGGATACAAAAGTCGTGCTGCGGAGTTAAATTTCTCGTTCTCCTCCGGGGCCATCTATCAAGCTCTGCCACTCATCCAGGGCAAGACCTATCTATACAAGTACGAGATTCTCATCGGCGGAGAGTTCACTGATTGCCCTTTCAGAACCTAGTTGACTTCTACAACTCCACCCTCCGAGCAAGGGGTCACCCTTGACTCCTTCAACACGTATTACAACATTGACGGGAATATGCCTGCTCCAAAGCCACCAAAAAACGGAACCGTCTTCGTCGCCGACGCACAGAACCACGTACGGGTGCTGGGATTGCAATGCACTCCCGGCAGGACCTACATACGATTGGATAACATTACTGTGACTCCGCTCAACTGAGGAAGTGTATTACAAGGGAATAAACAGTGTACTTATCTGCATTTGACTTTGTGGACACGGGTTTGGGACACTGAGCGCATCCACTCGAAGGTCTTGCATGGCGTGTGAAAGAGAGAAACAGCCATTTGGGTATCTCATCACTTTTGTTCCTGTCCTGGAGGCAGTCCATGGTACTTTTTGTTGGGTGTGTATTTGCTGTCTGACCTGACGTCAAGAACTGTTCTATCCTTGCAAAATATGTATTTAGCATAAAGGTCCCTCCAAAATCTTACGTTCTGAATGATAGCATGCCTAGCAGAAAACTCCTGCGTGCAATAAACACTAAAATTAAGAACGGATACCGATTTGAAGATTCCGCGGGTGAGAGGTTCCCTTCTGTCCTTGAGGACGGTACAGTATCATCAAAGACAAATCAGATGCCCTCCCCAGTCCACCGACTAACCTCTACAGGAGAGACCATGCATGGGGTATTTTCTTTATACCAAGATCCAGGCTATGCTCGCCCCAGTACAACGCGTTCGTAGTGTCAGGCCCAGGATTGCCCAGTCGTCCCAACCACCTTCGTCTGGCCTTGTCCCCTGAACCATGTGCTCCATCTTTCGACGCCGAGGTCACGGTCAATAGGACCGTAAGCCGGTGTTTATAGAGAAGTTCCCTCCATTCTTCGGCGAATTCGGGCAGCTGGAAGTCATCTACCACCCTGACACAGGACGCGAAAGACGATCCATTCCGGCTCGTGCCTGACGCAGTGAAGACGACGCGTGCCACCTGTCATGCGATTGAGGCAAGTAGTTGGGATACTGGCACACGCTCCTCCCGAGGAGCCCAGTTGACGGAAGTTACAAAGTCCAGCAGCCCGTCTCGTCCATCATCGGGAGCATCAAGGCTTGGGAGCTCTATCAGGCGGCGCACAACAGCGACGTGCTCAGGTCCATACAGCCCGACCACGACGTCACTATGGGGGTGTTGTGCGACGTTATCTACCCGACCATAGGACAGGAGTATCCGCCCGAGGCCATGAACTTTACAAAGCACAGCTGGAATATAGGACAGGTCATTTTAGGCAAAAGCAGTCATATTCGTGGCCAAGTCTAGCCGACGTTGGTTTCACTAGTATCACTATCAAGTAGCCTGTAGCCGCAAGGGCAGGCATGCTGAGAACAACCAATCCGTTGACTATAGCACTCTTGACATTGGGATGAAAACGTACAGTCCTAGTGTACATGTTTAAACTGCCATAAAAGGGGCTGTAGTATTCTGTATCGGGTATCCTAGAGCTTTCCGACCTTGCCCGCAATTCCTCGCATCAACACGCATAACAGCGCTATGCCCAAAGCCGTCTCTTTCGCCTGTATCCCACTGTGTGTATCTTTAATACAAAATAGATCGCTTGATGAATGTGTCCAACCAAAGGTTCCGCCGCTTGGAGGAGAGAAAACGCCATTTCCCATGCCATACGTACGTTAAGGTATTATTACAACAAAATAGCAAATGCCCACGACGAGTCCGAAGTGTGGCCCGTCTTGAGGTCGGTCTTCATCCAGCACGTGTGCTCGTAGAGCGAGTCTCCGTCGATGTATCCCCATCCGCAGCCGGTGCAACCCGAGGTGCCGGCGCAGTTGATCATGCAGTCGGCCATGCTGTCCGTCTGCACATTCTTCAAGTCTTTGGCCTCATTGTCGCCGCTGTAGTCGACCCCGCATAGGTGCAGGAACTTGGCGGTGGACCCGGGGACGTTGTAAGTCGTTCCATTGCCAGCCGGGCAGTCTACGCCGCCTATCGATGTGGCTGTGGGTGATGCTGACGTTGACGTCGTTGTTGTGGTCGTCGTAGACGGCGATGTCGAAGAGCTTGCTGTACTGTTTGCCGAGACGCCAGAGCCCGCGTTGTGTGACGAGCTGCTATTCGACTGGCTGACTCCCACGCCGATTCCGATGCACATGCCCAGCAGTATGACCGCCGCGACGGCAATCAGCGCCCAGAACCATCGCTTCTGCAGGCCGCATATCCTGCCGCCTGTGTATCTGTCTCTGGCATTCTTGCCACCTGGTGGGATGGGAAATCGGCCGTCACCGCCGCGGAATCTGGCGTCCTCAGGGTCCGGCGTGGCAGGCGGCGTGGGATCCCGCAGCCATGAGTGCTGCACTGGCGCGGGCTGCTTGACTGACGGGCTGCTGAAGGACGAGAACGAGAAGCGAGGCGACTTGAGGTTCAGAAGCTCGAACCGCGACTTGAGGTCTTGTTGGAGGTGCAGGTCCTTCTCCTTTGCGGCCCTGATTTCCGAGGGGAAGGCTGTCGGGATCAGTGGCTGCCCCTGGAGGGTGGAGGACCTGTACGGTTTCATTGCGCTGGGCCGTCGGTCCGACCGGTCGATGGGGGCGAAATCAGCGACACGGCGCCATCCAACTGGACTTGACTTGACGACGACGATGGGCGGCCGGGGCGGAGAGCACGGCGTGTGCGGGCAAAAGCGCGAACGAACGAGCGAACGAAACAGACGATCAATCAGTCAATCAATCGAACGAGTGAGGAAGAAGAGGAGGAGGGATGACGGCGAGGACCCGTGGTCGGAAAATCTCACCACACCACCGACTGTGCCATTGATGACTGCGACTGCAGCCGCCAGCCTACAGGAATCCGGCTGCAGGTCTGCCCATCCTGATCGGGACGCCATGGCATGCAAGTCATTGCAGCGCAATTTCTCGTCGCAGTCGTCGGCGGGCGCGCTAGCAGCCAACGTTGCCCCGTCGTGGTCGCACCGGCGGCGTGGCTCGTGGTGCCAGGATTCTCGGCAGGGGTCGCGGCGGGAATCCATGGGAATCCGTGGGCATCCAGGGGCTGCCCGCCCTGGGCTGCTGGGTCTCTGGGTCCGTCCTGGGTCTGCCCTGGGTTTCCCCTGGCTCGTCTTGCTGCTTCGGGCGGCCATGAGCTCATAAGCGAGGGCCTAGCCGGCGTAGCGGCCAACACTATCGATCGGCGGACCTGAACATAGTCGCCCTCGATGGCCCCGTTCCAGCCGAGCCCCAGAGGTTTCCCACGATAGCTTCATCTCATGTCATTAAACTACCGGTAGCCTCAGGGTCCTCTCCACGTGTGTCTCCTTTTCGAGAGACCTTGGTGCTGCGTTTCTACACGCTGGCAGCCTGAACAGAGGCATTTGCGCCATCGACTGCCGGCACTCAAGAGCTCAGCTTCTCCCACTCATCCCGCACGGTAACTATCCGTGCGGGCAGGACGCATACGCAGCACCGAGGCACGTGCGGCTTTGCACCCCACGATAGGAAGCGGTAGCCATGCCTAGGAGGCACACATAACCGAAGCAACCGATTGTATTCTCGGTGTTCCCCTTGGCTCTGTTACCTCGTAAGTTGTGGGCATGTAGATTTAGATCGATCCAGTCTCTATAACCCGTCGCGTACCGCGCTCGAGCTCGGACATTCCTATCAAGGCCAATGACGTTCACTGCCGGCTCCTGCATGGATTTTGGTGGGTCCCATCACACTCCAGGAGTTACCGGCCATTGGACGTGTTAGGCTTGGCCAACCGGGATTTCTCGACGGCATGTGTCCCTTTACTTCACTTAGCTTGGTCATCGCGAAGTCTAGGAGAAGTACAAGTATAGCTAGTTTCAATGCCAGTAGGAGCTGCTGCGAATTTAAGAGCTTTTGATGAAAGTTGTCTAGTTCTCGTATTCCCTGATATGGCCCAGGGCAGCCAATCTGTTTACCAGAACTTCAAGACAGCTGCGCATGTGGTATCCACACTTGCATCGATGAATTCTCTAGTAGGCACAAAGCCATCCCAGACTTGAGCATCCGAGAGCCGCATAGGAAAGCGCGTGAGCATAGCATAGCCCGCATAGCCCGCATAGCCGTTTGAAGATGATAACCAAGGTCAATTACCTAACACCTCTGGTCCAACATGGCTATTCCACTTGTACCACGCTGAGATTATCAAGTTCCACCTCAAACGGACCATCATTAATGCACGTGACGCTCAGCTCAATGGTGTAAGGTCGATTGAGCGGATTGTCGGCATAGAACGGAATGATAGTGCTGAATGGCAGGTAGCCATGTGTTGCCGTTGGTCTAAAGGCGTCGAGATAACGTCCACCGATTTTGCTTTTGAAGATGCAGGCGAATGGAACTCCGGGCGGCGGTACAGCCGATATTGCCATGTCGTACGAGATGTTATACATCACGTACTCAACTACCGGCAGTGCCTGGCGGATCAACGCAAATTTCTCTTGGTTGCTGTCCCCACGAAGAACGGCAGCATATATTCGTGCGGCATTGGCAGAGTTACTGCCAGGCTGTGTGAAGCCAGCGAATGACGAGCCTACCGTGGAATTGGTAGACGTGGCAGTATCCCACGCGGAGAGAGAGCCGCCATTATTCTCGAAGCCGGAGTTTTGAACCAGATTCGTAAATGTAGGACTGTGCTAGAGTTAGCTACAAATTTCTACAGTCTAGAAAATTGGCACAGGACTCGCCGCGATGTTTCAAACGTCGTGCTAGGGGCGGAGGGTCCCGTTGTTGAAGATTCCGAGGCCGAGGTTTTAGTTGAGCTTCAAGTCGAAGTCGTGTTAGTGCGTAAAGCTAGAGGGAAGCTGATTCGGTAGACTGACGAGATTGTTGAGCTGCTGTAATCTGAAGTGCTCAGCGACGTGGGCTGCATGCTGTCGAGGCTGGATGAGTGCTGTGAGGATGGCGATGAGCTGGTTGGGTGGACGCTATAGGAGGACGGAGTAATTCTATTTTGATATCTAAGTCACGCGGGGAAGTGAATATGAACTTCATTTTCCTACCTAGTTATCGATTCGCTTGTTGGATGGGGGGCTGTGGAAATCTTGGTCGGGTATGCGGCTGGGGATTCATGAGTGCCATGAGACGAACATGGCTTGGCCACGGCGAGCACTAGCCCGCAAGCAGCAGTCAAGAATAAGGGATACATCATATTCACACTCTTGGACGAAAAGAATGGAGGGAGAGATGACGCAGGATCACGACAACAAACATCCAAAAGATAAGAGCGATGTAAAATATTCTCTGTTGATATTGCACGCACCGTATTGTCAGACCACTTATTAAACTCTGATGGAACTGAACTACCATTCATTGGCGGGCCATGTCCTCCCTGTCTTACATGTCACATATGTTCGCGGAATCTGTGGCGAAAATTACCACACCTGAAGTCTAGCGCAAGCCGCAAGCCTTGGCAAGCTGTTTGAACCCTTTGCCTTCCACCTTCCCGGCACCTGGAACATATGGAGGGAATATAACTTGTGATAAAGGTTTGCGGTCACGCGAGCCCTCTTGCTAACCACTGTTGGCCTTCCGATATCCTCTCTCGCTTACCGAATTCCCCTACAGTACTATTGTCAAACGACAAGGCGCGAGGACAGGCACCGCCAACACTAACGACATCTATATCTCAGCGTACCTTGTAAAAACGCCGGTTTAATACCCAAGGCAGCATAGAAAATAACTATAATACTGTAATAAATATGATTATATATTCTTAATTAGAATGTATAATTATACAATGTAAATGAGGTGATTACGTGGTATACGAGTGATGTAGGGATGATTAATCTCGAGTCTTGACGTGAACTCTGTCCTTCATATGGTGAGATCGTGACAAGGCGCGGATAGCTGTGCGACCGTAATGTGCTCCGTTGCCACCTCCTTCATAATGTAGGAGCACACTGGTCTCGCTGTTGGTCGGCTAAGTCGGCCTGACCGTACTTAGGGTCACAGGCGAGTTGTTGGCTCCCAGTGCTGTGCCAATTTCCAGTTGATAAGTGCCGTCTGCTAAGACAGCGATCTGCGGAGTGCGGTATATAGCACTGATCGAGATCGCATTTATAAAGCACCTCAACACGCCACTGCCTCCGGCGACGAGACTACATTGTAGTGGGGCAGTATCTGTGTCGCCCAGACTACAGGTGGCGATGGAACAAATAGCGGGATTGATAGTACCAAGTACGTCGGAACGATAAGTACAACAGATATCCCGGTTACTATCGATGCCAGGCGAAAGACTAACCTGCTTAGTAACCGGATTCAGACTATACGTCACTGGCGTGTTTGACGAGCCAAATACCGCCATGGAACCGCCAGTATTAGTTGATTGAGGTAGCAGCGCCAGACCGTTAGCAGCGTCGATACCTGTGTCCGCGGCAAAAATGGCGAAGGTGGTAGAAGGAGGCGTAGTCACTTGCGACATGGAACTGCTGCTCGTGGATGTAGAAGCAGGGAAGAACGCCGATAGACCACTTGAGTCAGCCAACAAAGTGACATCCTTGTTGCCTGGCTGGAGGGTACTACCCACTTTGAACTGCAAAGCGTCGTCTGGAAGTAGAGCAACTTGCTGGACGCCATAAATCGTGTTGATGGATGTGGCGTTTACCCCGCAGAAGAAGAAGAAATGACCCTTCGGGTCTATCCAGTTGGTGCACTCCAAAGGTGCAACAGAATCACCGCCTAAGGAGCAGGTTCCTATGAAGCAAGAGGCTGGATCAACTGGATTGCCGGCGTTCGCATAGGTGCAACAAACGCGCTGATCAACTGAACCATCTTTGCTGTATGCATGTAGCACTCCCGATCTCTGACCCTCGCCGTACGCAACGCGGTACACAACGGTTTTTGGGCGCGTGCTGAACACGACAAGTCCACTGTTGCTGAGTTGAGGCTGCAGCGGCAGGTGATCTGCATCAGTGCCACTGCCAAATGCATAGATATAACTCCCGGAGGTAGGTTCTGCAACCCGACCGATTGTGGATGACGACAATGATGATGATGAGGAGAATGAAGGCGCAGCAGGGCGCTGAGTCCGTAAAGTAACTGGGCTGTATCCTGCACCCAAGGTGGTGCCCACAGCCAGTTGAAAAGCAGGCAGTTGAGAGGAATATTCGTCGTCAAAAGGGATGATCTGCAATACTGAATAATCGCCGCCGACTGTGGCTACATTCAGAAAGCAACTCAGTGCATCCGTGTTCGGGTCTGGAGCGCACTGCAATGGTAACTTTCCGGCGCTGTTCAAGTTGCAACTTGATATATCGCAGGTTGCAGGATCCTGAATACTTCCAATGATGCTGTACGTGCAACAGAGTTTCAGATTGACCCGAGCAATGTCTGAGTACGTCGTCCTGACCTCATTCGTGGTAGGGTCGAGACTAAATCCTTTGGCACCGGAAACGCCGCGGAAAATTGCTGGGCCGTTGTGGTTAATATACATTTGAGGCCCCAGTGTGAGACCATCGGCCGCACCACCCAAGGTACCCGTTGCGTAGAAATCAAATGTCTTCAGAGGGTTCATAGAACTTGTCGAAGAGGGGCTGGAGAGGCTGGTCGACCCTGCGCTTTGTGAATCAGTGGAGCTGGGCCCAAGTGTCGTAGGCGGTAGAAGAGTCGACGTCGATTGGCCGGAGGATACTAATTCGGTGGAGGACTCTGATGCGGTAGGCGAAAATGCCTCCGTGGAAGACTCGGACGCAGTGGGCGATACGGTCTCTGTTGAAGATTCGGACAGAGAGGATTCGAGCGTAGAAGATTCAGAAGCAGTAGGTGACACAGTCTCTGTAGAGGACACAGAAGTCGCAGGCAAGACAGTTTGTGCAGAGGATCCAGACGTAGAAGTCTCGGAAGTAGTAGTTGAAGCTGTATCGGTGGAAGATCCGGAAGTACTAGGCAACAACGTCTCGATGGAAGAACCGGACGAAGTTGTCGTGGAGGTAGGCACATTTTCCTTAGTTGAAGTGATAGTAGCACTCACGGTCTGCGGTGAGACCGTCGTGAACGTGGATATACTTGTGAACGTTGATACCGTGATAAATGTGGAAATGGAAAATGAAGTCACAGTTGCCGTGTTGTTCTGGAAGATCGTGGTGGGAATGGCCGTGGTGATAGTGAGCGTAGTCGCCAATGTGACGGGGACGGAGGTGGCGAACGTCGCGGTCTCGTGGATCGTTGAGATCCCCAGAGGTTCCTCATCGCTCTCACTGGTATGGTAAATGCCATGACCACCATTTCCTTGAGTACCATGTGGAGGATGTGCGGAGTGGCCAGAATAGTGGGAGTAAGCATCGTCAGTTCCTACAACGTACTCTATGCCCTGAGGGTATTTGGGCCCTTCTGTTTGATAAGGGTCCTCGATGCTCTTGAAGGGATAAGGACGAATAGTAAAGACGGATCCAACTTGAGAACTCGCAGAATACACCTCCGAGTTCCCTGGGTGAGATGATGTTGCATAACCGTAACCTGAAACGTGTTGATGAAAGTTCGATACTCATATTGTCAGCATCAACTTACCGTTTTCGTAAGGATCCACGCCATTAGTAGTATGAGTGGAATCACCTGTGGCACTCGTCCGATGTGCAGGGTTGTAGCTTGTCAGGTAAGTAATCGTCCGTATACCACATGGCTTCTTGGAGTCTTCTCCTTGCTGTAGTACTCTGGCAGCTTTGTAGTCTGCCTGATGGTTTGGATTTCGTTGCACTGCCTCTGAAATTACCGAGATAGCACAGAGTGCTACAAAAAAGATATTCTGCATAATGAGCGATGACGAGTTTGAGAACCTTGTCCCCTGCTGTTGATAAGGAAAGTTGATACTTATATTAAGTGTGTCACTAGCTAACAAGGTCCACCAAGAGTCTTAGGTAAAACCCTGTTACGGCTTAGATTCGCTCGTTAACCAAACATAATTTTTCAAGACATAAGACTACAAGAAGTACCACTTCCGCAATCTTTCAGCCAAACAATAGACAGCTTGCGACAGACATATGTCTTGCTTTTAATTATGCACTAGAGGGTCGAGTGCGGACCGACCCCACACACAACAGCGAGCTGTACAACACATGCGCTGTATTTAACTTTAGATAGACGAAAAATCGATAAGCCACATCAAGTAGTGCTCGTAGATGGTTCCGGAGCAGGCTGGCATGTCAAACACTCAACCAGATTCTGAAAGCCAGACATCGCGACTGTATAAGGACCGGCTGCAGTCTGGCTGGCACAATTGGATGTCTTCAATTCATTACAAGCATGAAAACATAGGTGCGCCACTAAATTATATTCACAGTGCGGAGTTTAAATTTTGCTTATCTTCTCTTCAACACGCTTCTTCGTACGGTAGAATTCTATCCACTTTAGTAAAGCCTGATCAGAGTGTGAGCATCATCACCATATGTCAAACAGACAATGGGCTTGAATCAGGCCCCAAGTGATATGGCGTTTGACATAGTTGCAAGATGAACAGAGCCGGACCAATTGCACCGTCCGTGTCTGGGGCGCACTTGAGCACAGGAGCCGACACATGGCTCCTTATGCATGTTTCAGGTGATTAATTTCCGACTGTCTTACTGGCTGAATGAGCCGCAGCAGTGATCCCTCGACTATGGACCGCATGTGTGCAAATACCAAGCCGTAATGAGTGCACATAGTACCAATAAGCAGACAGCTCGGATTCGGGTGCTTCGGCCTTCTTTAGTCGGATCATTGACCACCACCTCTCCCAGCCGGGTCGGCCCCAAGCTGTGACCCCAGGTAGCGGTACCGTAGTTATGACCTACAACAGCTGGTGGTTAGGCTGGATAAGGCAATTGAGTCACTTGGGTCACCTGGTGTGGTATGTATGTATATCTGAATCCCATATTTGACGCCCTTCTAAATGCGTACTTGATACATCTTCAAGATGGATTGTACGGTAAGAAATCATTCTTAACCACGCCTTGCTTTTCGATTGCAACAAGTCGTATCTCGGTACCGTCAATTCAAAAGAGTCAGCGGTATCGTTTAAAGTACTGTCCTAAGAAGGCAGGATTTCCCAGTTACCAATATATCTATTTATACGTCCTTCGGCCCTGGCTGCGATGATATGATGATAGCGAGCTTGAACATTCACACAGTTAACATGCATAATAGCCCACGAGATGCAAATGCGTGCTCCAGCGTAGTGACACAATCTCCAACGCCATAGAATATAAAAGCAAAAGAATGTGATGCCGGACATTTGGCTCCTCTTGGCTGGAGGCCTAAGGGCCGGCACGTGTTCGGACGACACAGAAGGCACTTGTTTCACCAGATTAACTCTTTTGGAGTGGACGTGCAGATGTCGACGGAAATTGACTCTTGGGTCTCTTGAGCAGGCAAACTACTGGATCATCAAGTGTATGATTCGTCGTCTGCGTGCAACTCGTATTGGCATCTACCTGGCCCCCCGTGCTGAGAAGTTTTATTTCCATTTCACGGTGTATACACACTAGTTCATCTAGTTCCAAGTAGATCATCATGCAAGAGCGCGCCTGCTACAATCAACGAGTTGAATTGTCACGGCACCACAGGTAAGCTGAAGCTTTGCCCAAATCCTATAATTTTGCGAAACTCTGAAGCCGGGGAGGAAAGGAAAGAAGAGCTCAACCTGCCTCAGCCAGTCCAAAAGTCATAAGGTTATAAACGAGAGCTACGCAGCGCTTCGTGCTGCTCCACCCTCTATAACAGGATTACGGGCGTATATATCTAACGGGGTATAAATACTAAATCTTTAGATATATCTATTTTCCTTCGTATATCCAGTCTCCTTTATATATCTATTCTTTTTTGTGTATATATTTTCCTTCGTATATCTATTCTCTTTCGTATATCCGTTCCTGGCACCTTTAACAATACCTCACCGCACGGGCCTTATTTGAGCTACACGATCTACGCCCCTCGTGGCGCAGCACCGCAAACTCGTAAAAAACGGCGCCAAGAGGTCGAAAAACGGCAACTTCGAGGTCCGATATCTCGACGCACGGCGGTCGTACGGGCTCGAAAACAGCTGGGTTCCGAGTTTTTCGGCACGAGGACTCTAACGGTGTAGGTGTTACGGGGCGGCGGCCAAGGTGGGAAAAAGTAGCAAAATCCCTTTATATATATCGAAAGCTACCCTAAACAATTCTATAAGGGAGGACGATGCTAGCTAGCTGTCACGTGATTAGTCGGTCCGGAATGGAGACTGCGGGATTTCTCAAGATAGAACAAGCACAGCACAATCAACAGGCAACGAGGCCGAACCGAAAAAAAGGACGTACTAGATAGGTCGCTGTGAACCTATCTCCACCTGACTGTCTGACAGGAGGTCTTTACAGTATCTCTATTCTTATCTTATCTGTGATAAGCTATCTTGGTGCGCCCCCAGGCACACGCACCACTCGGGTTAATCTCGGCTATTCTGGGAGAGATAAGTACCTAAGTATCTAAACGTGGTCCGTATAACGCTTTCCTTCGCTACAGGTCGAGGCACGGCCACCAACCTCATGAAGCGTTGGCTCCACGGCGTCAACGTCATTCCAACTGGCATACCAACTGGCGTAGCCAAGAATGTAACTTCGCGTTATTTCAAGTTGTGTGGTTTGCCTATCCGCGGCTGTTTTGGATTCTCCATAAGGACTACTTATTATCAAGGTGCCGCCCCATTCGCAATGGTGAAATCCCAACTGAACTACCAGGCCAGCTACATTGACTATTGAGCTCGGGCTGGTGAGACGTGGTATAGAATTGTGGTTGAGAAATAGTGGCTGTGCTTTTTCACGTTTCACTTATTTAATTTCCTTCTTTTCCGTAGAATTTAATACACCATCGCACTTTTTGCCTTCATTTTACGACTGTTCGGTTTGGCGACCGTCGATTCATACGTCTATTTTGGCCACACGAACAATGTACGTTCAATTCGTCGGCACTGACGAGGAGAACTGCGTTGGCTGAGGTTGTGTTACTTGGGGAATATGGCCCAGGAGCACCACTCCAGTTCACTATGTCTTCACCCGTGGGCCGACCACCGAGCCCACCGACACTTGTAGTTCCATATGATGGACACTACTATGATGAGGGCAGTATGGAATATAAAGCCTGGAGACAGTCTGCTCTACGGCCAAGTGTTATTGCTGAGCTAGAACGGTTCGTCGCCAATCGTATCACGGGTCGTGGCAGAGCAAAGCATGTACACACGGCTGAGGGTTCCTACAATATTATGTTCCAATTTCAATTCTCAGCAAGAAGCGACGTCGCGCTCCGCATTCCAAAGCCCGGACACACGCCGGCTGCTATCGTTGCAAAGAAGGTACTGAACGAGGTTGCGTGGATGAAGTTTCTAAAGGTACGTACGCGGATCCCTATTCCATGCGTGCATGACCACAGCAAGCGCGCCGACGATCATGTACCGCCACTCAAATTGCCCTTCATCTTAATGGATTTTATTCAAGGTCAAAATCTGCGTACCTTTTTGAGGTTACTAGGGAAGCCAGGGGAAGACGCTGCGAATAACTCGAAGCGTACGACCATTTACGAACAGATTGCCACCTTCTATCTTCAGCTTCATCGGCTGCCTCTTGAAGCTATAGGTTCTATCTCAACACACCAATTACCAGGTCAATGCATTGTTGAGGGGAGCCCGCTCACCATGGATATGCATCAGCATCTTCTGGGCATTCCTGACTATCCAACCAGTAATTGGCCGGATAAACCCTTCCAGCATACAAGCGACTATTTTGATTTCGTCAAGACCTTACAGCGCAACGAGCTTTGGAGCCTCCGCAACATCAATATGCCATGGGGATGGCATCCTGAAACACGGGGGCTTATGCAACTTAAATGCGGGGAGGACGTTGATTTGGAACAAGCTGCTAGGATCGCTCGGCTCCGATACAAATCCCGCCAGGGTTTCTCCCAGCTAATCCCACATTTCACCAAAGGAGAGGATGATGGTCTCTTCGCTCCCTTTAACCAAGATCTTGACCCGCGCAACATGCTCGTTAACCCGGATACCCTCCAAGTCACTGGCGTGATCGACTGGGAGTTTACTAACGCCATGCCCATTCAATTTGCCCGTCAGCCGCCTTTGTGGTTGCATTATAAGGTGCTGCCTGGCCCAACTTTGGAAAGAGGCTACTTCCCTTGGTTTCTGGCAGAGTACGAGCCCTTTCTGAATGAATTCCTGGCCGCCATGAGACGTGTAGAGCAATCGGGCGGGTTTGGGACCGGGGGAAAACCACTCTCAACTTTGATGCTCGAGTCCTGGAAGAGTCAGCAGTGTTGGTTCAATCATGCCGCAACTCACTCAGACTGTGTCGATTCGATCTACTGGGCTGTTCTCCACCAGCACCACCCACAAGATTCTGAAGGTCTTAAGGCACCAGCCGAGACAGATCCTGAACTGGACAAGTATATTGAGCACACTAAAGTTCAAATCATTTCGTACGAAAAGGCGCGGGATAGCCTGGTTTGACATAAGGCGGCAATGGATAGTTCAGTCTAAGATTTGCTTGAGCCTCATAGAAGTGCCTAAGAAGGCTGTCAAGGAACGATCTGTATCAAGTACCTTGTCAAATTGTTGCATAATTCCCTTAAATTCTTCTGCCTTAAGAAATGAGAGTCTTGTTGCCTGCAGGTAATTCTGTTCTAGCAAATGAAAGTCTTGTCCCCCGTAGGTATTTCCCTTCCAGCAAATGAGAGTATTGATTCCTTAAATAAACCCTCCCATCATATGATACCCTAGTCCCCTTTCAAGTAAAGAAACACCAAAGTCGACTTGTGAGTCATCTCTAAAAGTCGGACGGTACTCTCCTGGAACGCGCTAATGATCATTCCTTCCTGTTGCCGACAAGTCTATGCAATGTCTTCTGTCGCTCTCTCTCTATGCGTTCTTGTTCTCGGCGCATATCCTCTTTCAATCTTTGTAAATCCTCGCGCTTTTCTTGAGGACTTTTACCCGCTTTTTCCATCGCCGTCGAATCATTGTCAGGAGCTATCTTGAAGGAGTCGGCCATTTTGTGGGCTAAATTGAGTGAGTTGGGACCTCTATATAAAAATCACTGTTGAATATGACGCAAAACGTGTGGGTGAAAGAAAGTAGGTTGATGGGGATGATGGACGTGATTTCATCACGCGGGATGGGGCTGCTTACTTGGCTCGTTTGCTCAAATTTAATCAGCAGGTTGATATCGGTAGTAGTGGGACTAGAGTTGATAATTGATCAGAAGGTATTTAGAGGATTTAGAGTCAAGACGACATTCGAATATATATGCATTTTCACTTGATTATTTCCTCCCTAGCAACACATGATCGTCACCAGACTGCAGCACTGTCACCAGACCAACTTCTTTGTTCTGCCTTCGAAGGACTCTCGGTTATGGGCCTAACAGCTGCTGTTATCTTCTAAAACAGTCCTTCATGTATGTTTATAGCGATACCCTTTGCTTTAGCCAGCCAACATAGTGTTGGGATGATACATAGTTGGGACTTAGGTTTGCCGTCCGTAAATATCCAAGGAATATTGAGCCCAACCAACATCCGTAGCAATGCTCGTTAGCTATCGCGTACGGGTTACAGTGTTGCTTGCACTCAAGTTGGTTGGATGCATGAACTTCTCGGCATACATAGTCGGAGTTGCTCATGGCCGCTTTACTCAGTTGACATCATTAGCCGCAGCTTGTTGGAACTGATACTTTATACATGCCTCTTGTAGACAAAGCCTGAGTAGCCAACGAGAAGCATACGGAGTTTCTCGATACAGCATAAGAACAAAGGAATCGATTCCCTTGCACGTCTCCAATTTGCCCTTGTGAAATCTCACTTTTTGGACGCTTCCATGCCTAGGGGACAGTGGTGAAGAATACGACACCACAAGATGGACGGGTGGCAGTCAAGTGAGTATCAGCTCCCAAACAAACTGTGCAAAAGTTCTTCACTCATATGAAGTTTTTTATTTCAGACTACCAAGTGCGTCGACCCCGTCAGAGCTAAAAGTCATGGCAGGAGACAGATACTAGAAGCTTCATACCTTCATCCTCGAGAGCAAGAGCAGATACTTCAAAGGGGAGCTCGAGGAGGCTAGATTGACATCCCCTTACTCATGATTGAAGACCAGGAGCCTGAGCACGTCGATTGGGTTCTCTACTTTCTCTACACCGGGAAAGGTGAGCTGCTCTCAAGGTTCCAGAAGGTATGCTGCATCACTTTGCTCACCATTCTCAACAGTTACCCCACATCTTGCCCGTCTACTGATGAGTGAGGACACCATCATCTCCACCTGTGTCGATGTCATCGAGGTCGCGGCATTCGTCAGTAAGAACACGCTATTCAATCACTTCGTCACTCATGCGAAAACATTCAAAGCAGATAAGACGAGAACATACAGTGGCGAGGATCTCATACTGCCGGAGGTCTTCACCGAGCAGTTCTTCAATGCAGCCCAACGAGCTTACAGTTACGACGGATACCCCGCCGAGTTGTTGCGCAAAGCCCTGCTGTTCTTCATGAGCATCACGCGCCTTGGACCGATCCGGCAATATTCCTTCCAGCAGATTTTCTTTGAGCACAAGGAATTTTTGGCCGACGTCCTTAAGCATATGGTTGATACGGAGGTAGGCATCGTGATGTCCTCTTTGCCTTCAGCGTGCTCTGTATGCAAGAAATCTGCGAGTCTGTGTTCCGACACGTGGACATACATGTGCGGTCAGGACATCTACACTCTGAGTGGTGTTTGCCAAGAATGCGACGGAGATCTCCAAGGAAACTACGACTATGACGAGGAGAAATGTCTGCTCAAGATGGACGAGACTACAGCCCTCAATCCTGAGTAAAGATGAGGGTTTGTGTTAGCAATACTGTATGAAGTTCCCAACGAAGCACTTGGAAAGGTTTGTGATTATTCGTCCATTACACTGAATATTCCTGGTTATCCCATATCCCCAATGGATCAACACTCAGGGCATGCTATCTCATTATTCTCGTAACCCAGTTCATGGGCCAATCCTATCAATTCACCTCATGTATTCTCATCACCGTCTCAAGCGTACCTCACACTCCCCTTGCCACCCCCAAGCCCGCCCTCCTTCTCCTTCTCATGCGCAACGCCATCGGTGCCCGCCAGATCTCCCGGCGTAGGGCCAGTGCCGACCTCGTCGACAACCCTCTCGTCGGCCTTCTCGCCCTGCGCGCTCTTGAGCACCTCGACCAGGTGGCGCGCGCCCTGGGGCCACATGACGACCTCGCCCTTGGCATTGTCCACGGCACCGACACCGGCACCGCCCGCCGGCGCGGCATTGCTGCTGCTGCCCCTCGCGATCTCGCCCCGCAGGATCCGCTCGGGCGTGACGCCCTTCTCGCCGTAGAAGGCGGCGTTGGCGTCGGGGCGCTGGACGATGACGGTGCCGTCGGCCTGGACGCCGGCGTAGAAGCCGCGGGACTTCATGTAGCTCCAGACGGGCTTGCCGGCACCTAGGGCGGCGTCGAGGCTAGCGCCGGCGCCCACGGGCCCGGCCACGACGGCGATCTCGCCGCCCAGGCTGAGGCGCGGCCGCGTAAAGGCGCGCACGGCCTCGTCCGTGTTGAGCACGCACACGCAGTCGTAGATGTCGAGCCCGACCATGAAGCCCGCGCCCAGCGTGTGCACCAGGAAGCCCGAGGGCGGGCTCCAGGAGCCGTCCGGCAGCCGCGCCACCACGACGCCCGATCCCGACGCCCCGCTGATGTGCAGCCCCGTGCGGAACACGGTGAAGACGGCCAGGCCGCGCGCCTGCTTCAGCGCCGCCGCGGGCACCTTGACCAGCGTCTTGGCCTTGGGGTTGGGCGTCGGGCCCGGGTTGGTGGCGTGGCCCGGCGACGGGGGCGGGTGGTTGGCGGGTGTGGTGTAGAAGCCGTCCTCTGGGGAGTGTGTTAGTGGGTTTTGCTCGTGGAAATATCGCCTATGAACAGGGGGGTCACATACTGCAGAACGACTTGAGAATCCGGGCCGCCTTGTCGCACTCCTTGTCCATGCTCGTGGGCCAGAAGGCCTCGGAGCCAAGTTTGTTGGTCACCTTGTTGATGGGCACGCCGGCCTTGACGCTCCAGTCGTAGAAGCGCTCGCCAAAGGTCTTCTTCTTCTTGCCGCCCTCGGCCTCCGTGGCACCACTGCCGCTTACGGGCGCACCGGCGGCTGCAGTCGCCGCGCTGGCCTGTGCCGCATGGTGCTCTCCTGAGGATGGACCTGCCTCGGCTGCTGTGGGAGGCGGTGCAAAGTACGGAGCTGAACCTTGGCTGGAGCCAGGCCGTGATCCCGGGCGTGGTGGGAGGACGGGTAGCTTCTCGTCGCCCTGGACGTGAAGACCCGGCGTTTCCGTGTAGCCGGGCAGTGTCTCATTGTTCGTGGGGTGAGACTGCAGAGGGTGATAGGCCTGATACGTCTGATTTGGCGGCGGACCAGGTGGAGGCGGCGGGTAGTAGTCCTGGTGCGCCGGTTGGTGTTGTTGTCCCCCTGAGGGTGGCGGACCCGGAGGTGGTGGCGGGAAGACCTGCTCCTGATACTGAGGGACTTGGTCCTGGTACTGAGGCGGCTGGTCTGCGGCAGATGTTGCATGGCTACCGGCTGGGTGATGCGGAGGCGTGCCCCCTGAGAGCTCGGAGGGACCGGCGCCGGCGACGCTGGATGTCTCGGCGTAGTAGTCCGGGTTACCGCCGGACGTACCGGTCGGGTGGTTTGGATGTGCGCTCATTGCTTGAGGTTGCGAGACTGTCTACAGAAGTACCGTTGGGTTGCTGCGGGTCAAGATGAGGAAGTAAGGTGTGATACTAATGGGCTCAGAACTGAGTATGAGTTTAGAGTGAATGAAGTCTAGAAGGGTGTGTGATTCAAGGCACAGATTCAAAATAATCTGTTCGGAGAAGCTGTGAATAATTATTATATACAGAAGAAATGAAGTGTAGATGGCCCAGCTCAAGTTGGATATATACTAGCAAACCTGCCACCCTGCATGGAGCAAGCTTGTCAGGCTTGCCTGCAGCTTGCCCGCAGTCCCTCACATCATATGGCACCCTGCAACGCGTACCGGCGTGGCTGAAATCAATTCCGAGAGCTACCCCAAGGCAATCTGGGCCCGTACCGGGTGCATATCTCACACCCATTGGTCTGCCACCAGCGAACGCCATGGCAGCGGCGAGATGAATGGGCTGGCCGCCTGGATAGTTGCAGGATAGAGGGCGGGAGGGGTGACGACTGATGTCATCGCCACAACGGGGCGGAGCACAGGCTAGAAGTCGCCTTGGTCCCCTGCCGAGCTGCAGGTCGAGGCTAGGCGAGGCGGAGCCCAGCGATTCGGGCTGAAGGCTAGACCGATACGGCTTCTTCTTGATACTATTCTAGACATTTCGTTCTTGCAAGTCATATCTCCCAGTTAATTTGCCGAGCGAAACCATGTGAAGTCAAGAGTCACGATAGTTGCGCGACGTTCGCGAGCTGCAAAGCATGCAGAAGGAGCTGAGGGGCTGAAATGCCTGGTACATGTCTCACCAGGAGCGGGCCTACTCATCATAGAACCTGAAGTAAATAGGCGATGGTTCAACATGTGATCTTGGGAAGATACGCAAATACTGGTAACATCGCGCTCATCTATTACACCTCCTCCACGTCCACGCCTGTCCATAACGCTAGAGTACACTTGTCCAAGTCCACCACCTACAAGTACAAGCCCTCGGGCTCACCCTCCTGCTTGGTGCGCAGGACTCTCTCCCTGGCAGCTCTGAAATCTGCCATCTGCACTCTCATACGTCTCTCTCGGAGGGCCATCAGACCAGCCTCGGAGCAGATCGCCTTGATATCGGCACCAGACAGATCGTCCTTCTGGGAGATGAACTCGTCCAGCTCGACGTCTTCGTTCAGGCTCATCTTGGAGGTGTGGAGGTTGAAGATCTTGCGCTTGGTGTTCTGGTCCGGGTTCTCGAAGAGAATCTTTCGGTCGATACGACCGGGTCGGATCAAGGCCGGGTCCAGGCTCTCAATCTTGTTGGTGGCCATGATGACCTTGACATCACCACGGTCGTCGAAACCGTCGAGCTGGTTGAGAAGCTCCAACATGGTTCGCTGAATCTCGCGCTCACCACCCGAGGTCGAGTCGTACCGCTTGGTTCCGATGGCATCGATCTCGTCGATGAAGACGATGGAGGGAGCATTCTCGGCGGCGGCCTGGAAGAGCTGCCGCACCAGCCGAGGGCCGTCACCCAGGTACTTCTGGATAAGCTCACTGCCCACGATACGCAGGAAAGTGGCCGAGGTCTGGTTGGCGACGGCCTTGGCCAGCAGGGTCTTGCCTGTGCCGGGAGCACCGTAGAGAATGACACCCTTGGGCGGCTTGATACCCATCTCCTCGTACAGCTCGGGATGCAGCAGAGGCAGCTCTACCGACTCACGAACCTCCTGGATCTGCTGCTCCAAACCACCAATGTCCGCGTACGACTCGGTCGGTGCCTTGTCGAGCTTCATGACGTTGACGGCGGGGTCCGTGTCGTCGGTGAGAACTCCGACGATGGAGACGCTCTTGTGGTGCAGCAAGACGGAGGCACCCGGCTCGAGCAGGTCCTTGTCGACGAAACTCATGATGCTGACATAGTACTCGGGGCCGGTTGTGCTCGAGACGATGGCATGGTCGTCGTCGATCATCTCCTCCAAAGTACCGACACCCATGGGGCTGCCTCGCATGTCGTCGACGCGGCCACGCTCGTCGGCATTTCTGTCCGTGGCAGCGTCGAGGTCGGAAGCGGCAGGCGCAGCGTTGTCCTTGGCGGTCTTGGCCTTGCGGAGGCGCTCCTGGTTCTCGACGTACTCCTCCTCGAGCAGCAGATGGTCGTGGATGCGCTGCATACGCAGCAGACGCAGCTTGCAGCGACTCGTGGGGTAGATGGCAGGGAGCTTGGCGGCAGCCGAGGCGCCGGCAGCCTTTCTCTTCTTGCGGCCGATGCGGGTGGTAGGTCGTGGCGGGGGCTCGTACTTGGGCTTGTCCTTCTGTTGGTGGGAGAGCGGATCAGCGATCTGGCGTTTGTGACGATGTCGGGGTCAGACCCGAGGGAAGCATATCATACCTTCTTGTCCTTGTCATCTCTCCCATCGGCGCCGCCGCCGCCCATGCCGGACTGGTTTTGACCCTGCGGAAAACGTCGAGGTCAGCAGACTGCATCGTCTTGGAAAGATGCGTCGATGAGGGCTCAAGCTTACCATCTTGACGGGTTCTATGCGCCGGACGTTGTGGAATCAGTTCGAAGGGTGTGGTTCGAAATGCAAACGCAGACTTGACTGCGGCGAGGAAACGGACGACGAGCCGCAGCTGGCGCCCAGTCGCAGGAGGTGAGACTTGTTGATGAAGCCGAAGGCGGGTGGTGGAGGTGGTGGAGGATGATGATGATATGCAGTTGTTGAGGTGTCGATGAGGCGAAGGCGCGGACGAGGACGAGGACGAGGCCACGGCGCTGGAGCTCTCTGATGTGATGACCTAAGGTAAGGTTAGCGGACCTGGGCGCCAGCTGCAAGCTGCTCCAGGCGCCAGAGCGGACGCGGCCAGGCTGAGCTGTCGCCCTGAGACGGGTATCTAGGTACCCAGTCGCTTGCCTGGATATTGACTAGCGGGCGATTTAGGCCCGCAGGTCGGCTGAAGATAGCGGAATGGAACAATACAGCACCCGGCGTTCTCTGCATTGGCCACGCACAGGGGGCTTGACTTTAGTTATGCAGGCTGCAAATGTGCATCGCTCTGTTTCATAGCGCCTCTGCTCCACAGTTGCTTCAGACTGGTCACTGCCAGGGAGCCACGGACGCCAGGAAGGGATGGACATCGAGTGAGGACTGGAATCGGGATTAACCGGCAAATCAGCTGCCGCGATGGCACATGTGCACCCGAGCTAGCGTCCCCGTTCGCTCTCTGCCAGCCGTGCGCGTGCATTTCTGTAGCGCTGCAGCTGGCCCCCGGGGCTGCTAGGGGGTGCTAGGGGGTGCTAACTTAGGGGCCCTGCTGGCTGCCCAGGTGGCTTCCCACGGCTCGGGTCTGCCAGCGCCGACGAAAAAACGGGCCGTTGCACTCGAGTTTTCAGTGCAGGTGGACGCTGGGCTGGGCTGGGCTGGGCCGGGCTGCCAGCTGGAGGTGCGAAAAAGAGCTACGCCAGACTGACCACTCGGGAAACATCGTCAACACCGCGAAAGCTTGTTGCTTGCTGTAAATATCTCTTTTCTGCCGCCTCGCCCTCCACCAGCTGATCAACGGCAACCACCACCGCCCGCGCCGTCTCCCTCCTCTCTCTCCCATCCATTGACGGTCCCCGCCTCCCTCCAGATTAATCACATCACACAGCTCTCAAGATGCAGGCTTTCTCGAGACAGCTTCGCGTGCCCGGAGCCGCCGCTCTGCGCCACATCTCCCGCCGCGCCTACAGCTCCAGCTCCTCCCCCTACACATCCACCATCGACAACCTGCGCATCAATGGCGACACCAAGGTCCTCTTCCAGGGCTTCACCGGAAAGCAGGGAACGTGAGTCGTGCCCGCTGCTCCCCCCATCGCGGTTGCGGGAATCCCCTTGGCTGACCATTGCGGCTTTTCGCCTTCACAGTTTCCACGCCCAGCAGGCTATCGAATACGGTACATACACACTGCTCTCCGCACACGAATCTACCGCTTGAGGAGATATCTCTAACGTCGTGTCTGCGAACTACAGGTACCAAGGTTGTTGGTGGCACGAACCCCAAGAAGGCTGGCCAGGAGCACCTCGGCCTCCCCGTCTTCGGCAACGTCAGTGAGGCCGTGAAGGAGACCGGCGCCACTGCCACCGCCATCTTCGTCCCGTAAGCCCCTCCGTCGAACACTTTTTTACCACTGAGTGCATAGACTGCCATCTTGTTGGAACCACTGGAACTGACCGTACACCCTGATACACATAGTCCCCCTGTGGCTGCTGCTGGTATCGAGGAGGCCATCGCCGCCGAGATCCCCCTGGTTGTCTGCATCACCGAGGGTATTCCCCAGCATGGTAAGGAAATTCGCTGCCGACCCCAATTCTTCCCACCGACACCCGTATCTAACTCTCGTCCCTGTCAGACATGGTCCGCATCACCTCCATGCTCAAGTCCCAGTCCAAGACCCGTCTCGTCGGCCCCAACTGCCCCGGTATCATCGCCCCCGGCCAGTGCAAGATCGGTATCATGCCTGGCTTCATCCACAAGCGTGGCCGCATCGGTATCGTCTCCCGCTCCGGCACCCTCACCTACGAGGCCGTCAACCAGACCACCCAGGAGGGTCTCGGCCAGTCTCTCGTCGTCGGTATCGGTGGTGACCCCTTCTCGGGCACCAACTTCATCGACTGCCTCAATGTCTTCCTCAAGGACGAGGAGACCGACGGTATCATCATGATTGGTGAGATTGGTGGATCCGCCGAGGAGGATGCCGCCGACTTCCTGCGCGCCAACAATATTGGCGGCACCGACGGCAAGGGCAAGCCCGTTGTCAGCTTCATCGCCGGTATCAGTGCGCCCCCGGGACGCCGCATGGGCCACGCTGGTGCCATCGTCAGCGGAGGCAAGGGTGGTGCCGACAGCAAGATCTCGGCCCTTGAGGCTGCCGGTGTTGTTGTGGAGCGAAGCCCGGCTGGCTTGGGCCGTGCCATGCGCGAGCAGTTTGTCAAGCGCGACTTGTTGTAGGATGGCGCGAGACATTAGACGCGGTTGGCCGAGCCTTTGGGCAGCAGCTGACGGGGGTTAGAAGAAACATGTGTATATCCGAACCGAAACCGGGGAATTATGTTGGTGGGAAGGCCTGATTTGTATGATGCATGACGTTCCAGGCTTGGTCATGGTCAGGCAAGTTGCATGTGTTGAGCTTAGTCTCGCTTTGTTGGCGTATCTTTCCTGTTCTGTTGACTCTCATAGACGGAGGTGGGCAACGGTAGTGCATTGTAACCTACTTTGTATTCATCCACAAGAAACCAGCATGTTTGGCTGTCCCAGTGACTTCTCTCTCTTCCTTTAGCAAAGTACCTACTGATCCACTGGTCTAAATCAAGTTTCTCATTCCTCCATGAGACACATGCAGCGGGAAGGACAGACAGTCTGCGGTCTGTCGCCAACCGCATGGCATCCTTAGGGCGCAACCTCCGAGACGATTTGGCAGGAGTCTTGAATCACAGATTTTAGGCAGTCCAGGCGGTATCTCACATGAAATGACTCGAATACCATTTTTCCCCTTCAGCAGCGTCAGGCACCAGTCTCAACCTCGCCACGATCTGACCGCAGTGATGCTGCATACCTCCGCGACCTAGGCGGCCGGCCGCGAATGGCTTCTCCGGATGCTTTGCCCGAGCAAACGGACCGCATGGCAATGGGGCTAATCGAAGCGGTCTGGCCCGGAATGCGGAGCGTGGTCGTGCTGCGTACTCCCGTGCCAATCACCTTGCCTAGCGAATGGCTGTTCAAAGCATTCAATCACCACCAAACGGACTGCATTGACATGAGCTGAGCAAATGTTTCCGACGTGGACCAGACAGAACGAAGCCCTGGCTGCTTGTCTCGGAATCTCCTCCTTCGGACTCAACCTGAGGAGTTGGGCACCGGACATCTTAGTTCCCGGTGCATATTCCCCAGGCAAGGCGGCCCGGGATGGCAAACAGAACATGGGGAAAGTCTAGGCACGATAGTCATCATCAGACACGGCGAGGTACACTGTAACGTGATGTATATTTACAGATACAAGAGGCAGGATGTATACATTGGCTGTCGAGGTGCTGTCAGGGGCTTGGACAGATACTTCTCATGCTTGAGTACTGAGAAGACTATGGGGCATGATCTCAGATACTGCAATACATTCGGGAGGGTGCAGTGTCATGGAAACATTCGGAGAATTCAGAACAGCGGTGAGCTATGGGGGAATTTGTCATCTCAAAGTTGCGGGCGTCGATCGAACCCTCCGTCTTCGGTCCCCAAGTATATCATCCCCTGCATCCATTGCTGCTCTCCATTTTCTCTTCAACTTTCATTTCTCCACAGACCAGCCTTCCCCTCTCGTCATCCTTCTCCTTTTTCCCCTGCACTTAGATTCCGGTGGAACCGGTCTTTGGTCCTTGCCACCGGCGAGACGGTCTAACGATTCTGCTGTAAGCTCCTAGGTACGTCACAGTATACACTGTCCAGACCATATTCTGATACCTCGCAACGACAAGCAGGCCTGTCACAGCAGAGGCTTCATAAGATCATGTGATCCAGTCGGGACGTCCGTTTCCAGGACCCCAAGCCAGGCATGGACCGTCAGCAGAAACCCAGCACTTCCCGATACGATTCCCTGCATTAGTTGCCAGACGTTAGGACGCAAAGTGGAATCCTGCCCTATCGGACAACTGTGACCACAAGATATAGTACGCGGCGCGCATCCTGCGGATGAGAATCCAAAGGCGGCGAGATCCCCATCCGGGTCTCGCATACCTGTCTTGGCCGCAACTCGCTCTTCTTCTTCTATGGGACCTTCGCCTGCCACGAACTATCGCAGAGTCCTGAGAGTCTCATGCAAGATTGAGCTTCGGCATAGGGGCAGAGCCTCCACCCATAGTCTCTTCCACACCACCTTGAGGCGAGATCTGCTGGCATCCTGACCCCTGGGGCGATATAGCAGGGCCGGTCGGCTAGGCTTGTTCCCGAGCTGACTCTTGGGGACCCCCGACCGGCGCAACACTGCGTGCCTGACCCTATCCCCAGTATCTTAGCTCGAGTTTTGCCCCCGTTGAACGTTTGTGGTGCTTTGTTGTTGGACATCGGTACTTGCGCCGCCCCTCCCGACAGAACAACATCTGCACGGTTGCCAGTGTGGAAATTCCGTGGGGAGTTCGGATGACCGTGGACTGGCGGATTCCACGAACTTTCCCTCGCTCTAATCTTGTGGACCCCAAGATGGCCATGATGTCTAGAAGCAATCTTTTGAGCACCAAGTGGCCGACTTATTGTTCCTTGACTGAAAGAAGCCGACGTCATGCCCTATGCGAAGATTCAAACAGCATGTCATCGGGAGCACTTGGGCTGGTCTAGCTTCGCTCGAGAAGAGGAACCCCATGACCTGTGCTACTTGGAGGCACCGAAGACGACAGACAGCTGAACCCGTCTTTCACCACTTCGGCAAAGTTCAGGCAAGACGTCGACGCTGGAACTGGGGTACCCGCGTGCCGGTTTCGCTCAATGACCCGGACGACATGAAGGAGACGCTCCAGGAGCTACCCGACATGAAGAAGACACTTCATGAACAAGCATGGAGCCAGGCCGCGACTGAAAGAGTTGGCTTGAAGCCAACTTCCCCAAACGTCGTGCTACTACTTACCTGCCTCCTCGATCCACCAGCATGCACGACTTACGGCCCCATGATCGGGTTGAAATATTGCGCTTCGAAGGTGGGCAGCGCATCGACATGTTACGCTGGTACGTTTGCAGTCCCCGCGGCAGAATTACTATTACTGATAACTTTGGGCAAGGCTGTGATTCTCCAGGAGATACCAAACATGTCACCCCATGGTTCTGTGATCGAGTTCTCAAAGGCACCCAGACGATCTGGGTTCTGTTCCGCGTTCACTTTCTCGGCAATGGCGTCCGCAGGAAGATGATCCGCAAGCCTCCCGCGACATTCCCGAAGGCACCCCCTCTCTTGGCGACGACAGTCGGCGCACTGAAGCCGGTGGTGTATCTGCCAAACACGCAGCTCAGGGTAGAACCCCTGCGTCGCGTTGCGAAAGGATGGTACGTTACCCGATGACTATCGGTCAGGGCGGAGTTGGTTGTGGATGCTATGCTGGTCCGTGGCGCCAAAAATGACCGCGCACTACGCCTTTGCTACTGTGCCCTGTTACAGGCAGCACGCCGCTACGCCCGGCGCCGACTCATGGGTGGTGGACATGGTTGACAGACTCATAGTGCCCGAAGGAGATCTTGTAGAACAGGACTCGGCCGGGCTGGGCTAGACAGGACGTCTCTAGTCTCCCTCGAGCTTACCGGATCGTCCCGAAGTTGACGAGGCCAGGCCGGGTGGGAGTTTGACGGGGCATACGAGTTCCGCAATTGTGTCTCGGCCTCCGTCTGAGGAAGGACACAAAGCCGGCCCAGTGGACTCCCACGGACGGGGACCCTGGATGAGGGACCTGCGTCCGGCTTTGTGAGCGGGCAGCGTAAGAAATGCAGGATGACGACCTTCGCTTCATGATTAACTGGAAGGAATTGGGTATACTCAGATCAGAGTACCAGACCATTTTTACGAGACTGGTATGTTCAACAGATTGGTCAGATTTCCCTGAAGCCCCTATGATTGACTAAAACGTTTCAAGGCTTCCAGTAGACTCTGGCCCATGACGGAGGAGAAGACAATGGGGCACGCCAACTCTGACACTCGGGCCTTCTGAGGCATCGTTGGATGGCATCATCACCGCTCAGCTGTGAACCTGGCGCCTACATACCGCGACCCAACCAACGCCATTGAAGCCCTTAAGAAGCATCCGCCTCAGTCATGGTTGGCTTTTGAGTAGAACTCTTATGAATCTCTCGAGCTAGGCGACTCTCACGTTTAATCCACCCCAGCTGGACTCGTTGGTGGAATCCCGGCAATGGGCATTCACACACCGTACCCAGAGATGTTCCTAGAAAACCTACTCTGGCCATGCCAGCTGGAAGGAAGGAAGGAGGATTTGACATGTCCCAGTGCTTCCGCGTTCATCGTGCTTGCAATTCCGGTGCGTCGTTAACAGGTTACACGAGACATCAGCCAGGGAGGTATTATCCCGGGAAATTGAAAGCACAAGCCTTCCACCCGCATTGTACCAAGCTTCACCGGTTCTATCGGCAATGTCTTACATATTTTCTCCTCTTCTGCGGCCGCCAAGAACCACCGCACTGTCACGTACCTAAACAATCAATGTTCAGTCCAAACTTATCAACCAATGGAGCGTATGCCTTCTAGGTATAAATGATAACAATGTCATCGTACCGAATGGAATCCTCAGGGGATGGCGTCAGGCCCTCTTGTGCTATGAGAGGCTCTCGCCGTTGAACGTGCCCGCGTTGCTGACGATGCCAGCTTTTCAACTATGCTCTCTAGCCAGCCAACCAGACCATCGACCAAAGATGGGCACGGCTGAATCGCGTCTATTTTCCCGATGGCCCTTCTGCGCTTGGGTATTCTGGGAGCGCCGCATTTAAAACGTCAACAACCGAAACATTTGAACTCTTGGGTAAGCTTCGATTCTTGATGGTAGATTTATAACCCCAATGAGCAGGAAAACTGACTCGCCCGTGATAGCTTAGAGTGAAGTCTTCCGACATGTTCAGGAGAAAGGGATATGAGATATCTCCCAACGATTCAATCAACTGTACGTCAAGATATGTTGCGGCCTGCCTCTCCAGTAGTCACGATACTCAGTCCGGCGAGACTTCTATGTTCAATGACGGCGGTCGACTAGGCCTCATCTGTGCAGTCCATGTAATATGGCCCAGCAGTTTGCAACCTTGATGATGCCCAGGCTTTGCAGCTGGGCGAGGAGGAACTGTTTGGCGTCATAGACCTTGACGGTCACCTTCTTGCTGCTGCCGACTACTATGTTGATGTTGGCGTGTACACCACACCAGCCGCTGACGGAGCGCTTATCCGCAACAACCTCGACGTCAGCAAAAGTGCTCATGGCGGGAGCAGCCAGGGCGGAGCTAACGACGGATAAAAGGGAAAAGAAGGTGGTAGAGAACTGCATTTTGCCGTGGCCTGCGGGTTGAACTGAAATGAGTGGCGTGAAAATATGGTTCAAAAGTTAAGGGGAAAACAGGTATAAGGACCTTGGTCTGGCGATGTCTCAAAATCATAGGACTCCCCTAGCACAGGCGGGTTTATACAGAGATGAGATATTGACCGACGATCACTGAAATAAATATTGAATGCAGGCGTGACTGTGACGATTGGGCACTGAAACCTTCGACATTATATTAAGGAGTAGTTCCATGATCCTACGTCTCCAATTACAGCGACAAGCCCTATACTGCCAGATCGAGGTGCAACGTGATGGATCCGCAGCTGTCTAAATCTCAATATTTCGTCGCCTATTGACTTGAGTTTAATCTATGAAGGCTGCTAAAGTCCACATTTGCCATTAAGCCCTAGTAACCTGCTTCGGGCCTAAGATACCAGTAATTCGGATTACAAGAGATCACCTAAGTAGTCAGTGACCTCTATAGAGTTCTAGCTTCTTGTGTCTGGTTAGCAATGTCTCGTAGGCACTTTAAGGAGACTCGGCCCAGAGAGGCCGGAAATGTGGAGCAGGAGAAGCCGGAAGTTGGATGTGACGCACTTGGTACAAATCCTTCTGTGGAGCTTACGAAACCTTATTATTATTCCTTGAAGGCCTCTGAACACGAGCACCATGTCTGGCATGATAGGTAATTTACCACACCGGGGCACGTACCGCGCTAGCAAATACTCCACACCACTACTAGACTTAAGCAGATTAATACTATTATTATGATAAAATATAACAAGTAAAGTTGTGGTTAATAGCCTCCCGACGGAGGGGTATGAAGCACGTGGTGGCGCCGAAAGGGTCAGTCTATCTGGAATTGCCTCTGAGGTTTGAAAACCGCCAGAGTTAGCCTCTATTAATACTTATCAAAAAGTCGCAGCGCTGGAGAAATATGTCCCTCACGATTTCGGATTGCTGAACCTGCTTGACCGCCTGAGTCTAGCACCGTATTTCCAAAATAGCAAAGGTGCGGGTATGCCGATGACAATTGCAACGAGCACAAGCACTGAGCCACCCCAGCCGTAGCCTAGATTTCCGAACAAGGCTGGTACAAATAAAGGGAATGCAAACGCCCCGAGAGATCTAAGGAAACAGCAGGCAGCAGAGGCTGACGCAGTGTAATTGTCGTAAGAGTCAGCAATATAAGCGCCTATGCACTGATATGAGATCATACTGCTGCCAGCCATGATAGCAACGCCAAGCTGAGTTTATTATTAGTTAGTCACGCAACCTGCTCGTGTGTCGAACTAGCTTTCTTACATTGGGAAGGATGAAGTGTGCCCTCACCTGGGCACTCCAGGAGAAAAGAAGGATTCCACAAGGTGTGATTATTGAAGCGGGGATCATGAGTGGTACGCGAAACTCTGGAACTCCGGGTTCATCTTCCAGAAGTCCATGCCTCGTTTTCAGTTTCTTGTAAACAGGGTCCGTCAGAAGGCCGGAGACGTTGACACCAATTAAGGATCCAGCTGCGAGCGAAACATAGTTCAGCGCAGCTTGGCCCTTGGGCATTCCGTAACTACCCTCCCAAAGGCTCGGGAAGCTTGAGATGATTAAATACATCATTCCGTAGTTGAAAGCTTGGTAGAGGGCCAACGCTTGGATGATTGGCTGTGTGGCAAGCATCAGCCACGGGCGTGACAATGAGACCTTCAAGAGTTTCGGTAATGTGCGATGTTGCATTTCGAATTCGGTCTGGAATGATGAATGACCCGTGCTTCTGCGAAGGGCTTTGGCTTTTAGGCGGAGAATCCGTGGAGGGTACGTCTCATCCAGAAATAAGAAGGCGATGATCTGAATGGCAATGTTGAATATGACAATGGACCAGAACGACCATCTCCAAGTCGAATACTGAGCTATGTAACCACCAGCTGTTTTACTTAGCTCGTGATACAACAGCTTCTTCCAGATGGCTTACCGATCGGGCCAATCGCAGGGCCCAGTACAGGCGCAAGCTGGTACACAGCCAGGCCCTTGCCCCTTTCCTCAGAACGCCAGCAGTCTGCCAATACTCCACTCCCCATCTTGTAATGTTAGCAAAAGTCCGCGGCAAATGAAAGGAAAAGTCTTACCCCCATTGTTGCACTGCCTCCAAGTCCAGCAAAGAAACGGAATGCGGTTATTTGTTGCTTCGACTGGGCAAATCCGCAGAGTGTTGTAAATAGTATGAAAACAATGTTCCCGAACCTAATGATTCTTGTGCGCCCCCATATCTCGGAGCATGGGGAAAGGATGAATGGCCCAAGAGCATAGGTCAGCAGAAATATCGACAACACCATGTTCAATTCCGTTTCTTTTGGTATGTTCAACTCTTTCCCAATAATATCAAGAGCAGGTGCTGCGATTGACGACGATAGAGGTGACAAGAATGCAAATGCCGATATTATTAGAGATATCTGATATATTGTGTCAGCAAAAATGCCCTAAACTGTGGCCAAAGGTGTACTAACCGTCCATTTTCTGCCTTTAGTCCAATTCTTTGGATTACTAGGATCGTCTGGGCCATCCCAAGTTACCTGTGTTCTGCGTCAGGGGCCCAAGTACAGATAATACCAATTGTAGATTCAGTGACAGCTTACTATACAGGCGCCACTCGTTTTCTCCTCCGTGTTCATGGAGGCTGAAGAGTCTGTCTGATATCCAAGGGTGCTCTTGCGCTCATCATTATCGTTGCTGGCTCCAACGCTCGTCGTATTAAGTAAGTCCGAGCTCCGCAATTGATAAACACAACACGTAGCCGCCGAGTCATTTGGTTTTAGAATAGACATCGCTCATATGTCAGACGCCGCAATGAAGATCAAATGCGATTAAGACTTGAATTAGGCCACTTAACTTCGCTCAATTGAAGGTTTGGTGTCATTCGTTACGCAAAGTGTCGGATCCAAGTTCTTATATGCAAATGGTCGGGCTCTTCTCGGACAAGTGTCTCAACAGGCAACAAACATTGCCAAATCACACAGGTCACTTCTCAATGTTGCTATGTCGTGACACGAGGGATTGAGATTACATGATCCAGCTGGCTAGTAGGATCCACCACCGGCCACTGGTCTCAATCCAGTCCAGTGCAAATTCGACTATAGACCTAGAACGAACATGGTTGCAATTACTATGACAGGAGGAAATGCTTCAGGCAGCTGAACCCCAGTGCACGGTACCCACTATGTCACTTGCCGGCATCTTAATCTGATCGTGGTGGTCTAGACCATATCATGAAATTGCGGGACGTCTTGGACTATTTCTCCGTCGAAGCTCCAAAAGTGCAACAATTGACTTTCGTATTCCGTCGCATGACTCTGGTTCGTCGAATATCTCAAGTTACGGCCTTCTGCTGGCTAAGTCGAACTCACACAGTCGGGAACATGCACCTTGACATTTATTGACCAACCGGGTTCGGCCACTTTCCGGGTGTATCAACGCTCAAGCATACATTTCGTACGTCCTTCTACGGGGTTGTAGTCGAGATCCACATCGTGGCTACCAATATTGAGGTGGCCCGGAGTGACAGACCCGGCAGTCTGGAATTCTGGACATGTCGCTTTCCCATGCTTTAGTACAAAAGTGGCGCTGGCTGCCAAGACGGGGTGACCCGCAACGCTGGGCTAAAATTACGGCTGTCCGCTACCCAGTTGACCGGATCAACGCCACGGTATTCGGGCTTTTATATCATTGGTCATAAAATGCGCTTTGGAGATCTCCTTCGACGTAAGGAGAAAGGGGTCGCGTGACTGCCAGCGCAATTTCAAGGCACGAAAATTTGCAGATTCTTAGAAGAGCTAGAAGGAAGGAATCTCCGAGACCTGGCTTGATTGATTTGGTTCAGACCACTGCCGACCCAAGGCTGTGTTGTTGGCACTACAAATCAACGTCATCCACGAAGGATACCTCTTCTAATGGTTCCGCAGCATTGGGGCGGGTACAAAGCCATTGTGTCCCGCAAACACGGGCGGCCGATGAGATGGTCCACACATGCCCAATCAAAAGCCGAAGGTTTCGGGAAACCTCAAAAAGAAAAGTCACATCAATTGGCGGATCTGTGATCGTGAACGTGTCCCCTGGGGAGCGATCTTGCGCCTCTGCAATTACGCGACGGCCAGCCAACGTTCGGCATCATATCCGTAGGCTATTCTGGAGCCTGCCAAAACGTGTCCTCGAACTTGGAAGCTCCGAGCACGCCTAAACGGCGTACGTTTGCGACACTCTCTGCCCAACACGTTGCATGAGGCTCAGCTATCCGCGAGATACGCCGTCCTACGCTGTGGATATATCCCCTGTTAATCCAAGTGGTTGCTTTCTGAAGTAGCTCATCAGATGGGCATGGGGAGTGGTTCCTTCAAACCCGGTGCACCGTGCTTCGTAGCACAATTGCAATTTGATGGCCTGAAGGCAGAGTGCCATACCTGACGATGATGGCAACCGTCAAGAGGCGCTGCGAGGGCATTATCAAGTTCCACCTCCACCAGAAGGTCTTTGTACACTTCTTCAAGGACCGGCGAGATGAGAAATGGGACGAGGATAATGCCCTTTGATCCTCACATAGAGTAGGAACACCACCAATAGACAGTTTGGAAAGGGTTGTTGCAGTTGTTTTTCTGCTTTTTTCATTTATCTTAGTTGTGATAGATAACAGACAAATAGGGTCTCTCGAAAATCGCATAGTAAATCATTCCAAATATCGAATACAATAAGCTGTATGTCCTTGTACTCAGAATGACGAGTAAGCGAAAAAAAAAAAAAAAAATTTTTTTTAAAAAAAATTTAAAAAGTTCTTTTTCCCCATATGGCCCATATGGGGTAGAATCTAACCTGAGAGCCGCTACCGGCCTATTCCAGCGTTTCCAATTGTCAATTATCTCCTTTTTTATCTATTAGCAGTATAAAAATGTCTCCCGGTTTCTGGGTACCACGTAATTTGCCCCAGGTGGGTCTGCCTGCAGCGTCACCGCGCAGGCAATGCCGTACTGCACAAGCCCATTCGAAGGGACATGCGCTCTGACCTGACCCATGAAGCCAATCTTGTAATTATGAATGCCTCTCCGCATATTTTGGAATCAATCCATGCATGATGAATAGTAGCCGACTTTCTGGATTTTCCAGGCGTAGTGCGTGAACGATGCTTTTCACGTGGTCTATGACATCACCGGTCTTAGTCGCAATTACAAGACCCTGACGTCGGGAGCTGAACAATCCTAGCCATTTACATCTTCACAATGAAGGTTCAAAACAGCAAAGCTCATACCTATCTACTTCTGACATTTTTTATCTCTGTGATAGTCCATGCCTATTCTCAACAGCATTCTCTGAACGACAACACCATGCCAAGCCTCAATGGTAAGAAGAATCGGCTCAATGCAGCTCTAGACAGCAGCTTACTAACCACGTGTGAATAGTCTTGAAACAGCCTCTGAAGCTCTTCTCAACTCAGCCGATGACCGGTTTCTACAGAGATGGTTACTGCCACACCAGTGCGCAGGATCATGGCAACCACGCCGTCGCTGGGATCGTCAGCGATGAGTTCTTGCAGTATTCGGCCTCTCAGGGCAATGATTTGCGGCAAATTGGCCTGAAGGGTGGCTGCAAGTGGTGCCTGTGCACGGCGAGGTGGCTTGAAGCTCTACAAGCTCATAGGGATGGCAAAATCAGTCGCGAGGGGGTGCCTCAGGTTGATCTGGATGCGACCGAGGACAGTGCCTTGAGTAAAGTGGACCTGGAGACCTTCAAGCAGTTTGCAGTGAAGACGGACGAGATCAACGGCTAGGAAATCTATACAACAGAGTCTCTAAGTTGTTCGAGATCTTCCATGTGCGCTCCGAGACAGCAGCGTAAATCTGCGCGGGTGCCTATCTTTCTGCCGACACAGCTCCATCTTCTTGACAAAGCTTTTCCATCAACTCGCTGTCCGGCTTGATGCCTACACGTGGTATACATCATGAAGATATGACTTTCTCTGTTCAGATTCTATCCGTAGTGCCTCACTTGGTTTATGGTGTACCCGTCTCACTTGCAGGCTCCATTGCACTTATACTGTCAGTCAAAGCGGACTCTAAGCCCACGACTGTCCGCTTTAGGGATCCCAACATCGCTATCATGGATCGGGACAATGTCAGACTCGTCGCAATCGAGGCTCATCTTGAACCCGCCTGGTCTGAAAAGAATACCCAAGACGACGTACATCTCTGCCCACGCAAGACTAGCACAGCGTTAGCGAGCGGGTGCAAATATCAGGGGCTGGTGTCATACTTCAAACCCAGACAATTGCGGGATCCTTTGACGAATGGCACAAAGTTCCGGTTCACGCGAGGATCAACATCCCCGATCCACCTCTCGGGGATAAACTTGTAGGGCTCGGGGTACACCTCCGGGTCCATGTGCATATGACATATAGACATGCCAACCGGCGTCTATTCGGGAGGGTCAGTAAGCCTTTCAACTATAAACTAGAGCTATGATGAGTGACTGAACTCACATTCTTCGGAATGGTCCATTGTTTATACTTGAGGTCCGTGTCAGGCGATATACGGGGGTTGCGCCTCATGAAGCGTGCGATACTAGCACTGTTAGTTGATGCCTAATCAGGTGCGAGGGTATTAGCAAACCGTAAGCCTTCTTTGATGCAACCTGTCAAATAAGGAATTTTCTCAAGGTCTGTCCATCGGGGCACCTGATTGGGATAGCAATCTGTAACTCTCTTGAGCTCCACCCGTAGGCGCTTTTCAATCTCTGGGTTTGCGAGAATGAAGTAGGTGATTGTCGTCAGAGTCCCAGCTGTTGTGATCGTACCTGCGGCGAGAAGGGCGAATGCCTCTCTCTTCAAGCGGGCGGGGTCTTTCTCAGACTCAGGCAGGTCGCTGCGAAGAATATGATGGAATATTGAGGTCTTCTCATGGAACTCGTCATGGTCCTTCTCCTTGGATATTTCGTCTTTGATCTTTTCAATCCGTCCTTCACTGAGCTGTCAGGGCTTTGATCAGTTGCCACATCAACAAATTATGACATTCAAGGTGATAGAACTTACCAGGTGGAACATCCTGAAGCCCGCGACGTGGGGGTTGATTGCCTTCAGCACTGCCACTGGAAGCATTGCAGCGATACTAGGCAGTACATTAGCATTATGATCTACAAATAGTTTAAAACAATCGTGGGTTACCTGTTTATCCACGGAAAATTTCTCACGAACGGCACCATTGTCAATATACCCATTAGAGACTTGAACCTGTGTGGATCGGTGAGTTTGCTGTGAATTATACGGTCTTGAGGCAACTGACCACTCCGGGTTGAATTCAGACCCTTCGAGCAACTCTGGATTCTCGCCACAGGCAAATTGCCCCGCGAGGTCGCCCGTGACACACGAGAAAGCATGGTCCAGACGGACGATCGTGCCTGTCCCTGCATAGCGGAGTAGTTTCTCATCCAAACTTCTCGCTTCATGGTGAATTCTCGACTCTAGACGAGTTACACTCTGTTTTGAAAAGAAGTTCTCTACGGCCTTTCTCCTTAATTGGTGTAGCTCATGTGGAACGGTCGTAGCAATCGCATCTACCGAGCTAATCAGTCATTGTAAATGGCGACGCAGTTAGTTAGGGGCTTACCAGACATGCCGAGTCCTGCGCGATTCCCGGCAATAAGATTTGTTCTACGTTTTCCCCCCAGAACATATAAATCGTTATAATACTCGGCATCACGAATGGAAAGCTCTGTGGGGCTGACTCGGACAATAGGGCCTGCCGACAGTTAGCCTCTATAATCTCGGTGGCTATATAAACGCTTATACCATATACGTCGTGCAGATCAGACAGAACGTCAGGAAAATTTTGGCTCCAGAGATCGAAAAATGCCTCATACCATGAGGTAGCCGCAGCAAGTATGGGACCTGGAAACTTGGCAAGAGGGGAAAAGAACAGACGATAGACAACCACAGAAGCGCGGTACACAAACATCAGAGCGACCAAGCCCGCTGCGACATCTCCAATGCTGCAGCCCGTTTCGAATATTGATGGCAAAGCCTGCAGCTGGCGGCTGACATTCTGTGCCATATTCGCCTAAGTAGCTGGTGGTGTAAAGAGGGCCTCGTAAGTTTGCAGATCAAACAGATTGCCTTGGAGAAGAGGACCATGAATCCAAGTATGCACAACAACGGCAGTTTCTTTCAGGATATTCGACAGCTAATGTGAGATTTGCTTGGGGTTTACTGCATCGAAGTAGGTATGTACCTGGGTAGCTCGTAGGCAGAAACAGTAGACCAGCTCCATGCATTGTCTCAATTAGATATCCCGAACGCTACGACAGCTTTCAAATGCCTGCATACATAGATTGTGTCTGCCTGACCGCAAAATGACGGGCCAGGCCCAAATGGTGCATATCTTCACGGGGTGGCTGAATCGTAAATTATGCCCATTCATGTTGGTACAATAAGCACGAGCTGATAATGCAACTCCACTCTTGTTGCAGCGGATAGGCAACCCTAGCGCGGAAGTCCGTGATCCTTTATGCAGTTGAGCTGATGTTGACTATCTGTAGGATCTGGCCAAGCACTCCATGTCACATAGTCTGACCTAAGCGGATGCTGATACTGAGACAAGGGTGTACAAAAAAGTGCACAAGCAGGCGGGTTACGCAATCGGGTATCAATCAGATCAGACCCTAACCACTGACATTAGACTTTTTAGCTGCCGTCAGCTCCATAAGGAACGCCCCGGCCCTTTGTCAGCACTAACTCGGTGGAACCGAGCCAGACACCCCACCTCCGATGTAACTTTCAAGCAGCCGTGCGGCACTGTAATCTAGGGTCCAGATCTGGTCCTCAAGCCTCCTGAGCTCGGAAGGGAAATTCTGTTCTCATAAGTTCCGCTGCTCAGTAGGTGATCCAATCATGAAGACTTTGTGTCTCTTGGCCTCGATCCCATATATGTAGAGCTCCTATGCTGTGACGACATATGGGTATCGGAACGCCGTCGCCATGTAACCTTCCTGTAACCCTGTCAGCATTAAGCCAGTCAGCTGATTGTAGCTTGTACGTTACTATGCCGCCCCGGCGTTATGTAGGCTCGCAGGACCTGATGATAGGACCGTCCTCGAAGACGTGATTGGAGCGCCGCTTGGAGATAAGAGAACAACGGCCAAGCTGTAGATCACTCCTACTTTGCAAGAACCTTTTCACCAACCTATCAACTCTGACCGACCTCGAATAAGAGCCTTGTACATACCCAGAGGCCAATTCTCCTTGCTCTGTTGGCTTGTGTAGACTGTTTGTCGAGTTTTGAATTTCAGAGCACAGTTTATCCAGAATGACATCTAATTTCAAGGCCCTTGTATTTGACCTAGGAGGTGTCCTGTTGAACTGGGATCGTTCCAGCGTTGACATGATGACTCCGAACCAATTTCTGACCATCATGAATTCGACAACCTGGCACAATCTCGATAGAGGGTTAGTTACGCTCAAAGAAGCTTGTGTGGTAAGTCACCACAGCTGTGGCATCTTACAAACCTCATCATGCTTATATGCGAGTGCGGTAGGAGTTTGGCCATCTACTTGGCCTAGATGCGTCCACCGCCGAGGCTGCCCTGGAGCAGGCCCAGCTATCGCTCACACCTAACACCTCGCTGATTGAAACAATTCATGATTTGCGGGCGTCGAACCCCAGCCTAAAGTTCTACGTTATGTCCAACATCTCTCGCGTAAGCCAATCACTAATGTCGTCGAGGATGAGAGCTATATTTACAACGATACAGGAGCACTTCGAAATAGTCCAACGTCTCAACATCCCATGGTCGGTTTTCGACAAAGCTTTTGCGTCCGGCGTCGAGGGCATGCGGAAGCCCGACTTGTGTTTCTTCGAGCACGTTATCAAACAGACAGGAGTTCCTGCAGACCAGATAGTAATGATCGATGATACGGCTGAGAATATTTGTGCGGCTCGATCAAAGGGCATGCATGGCATTCTTGTCGATAAGGCGCTCCCAAACGTCAACATCACTCTGAGGAATATGCTCCAGGATCCCCTCCCACGGGCCCAAGCTTTCCTGAAGAACAACGCCGGGAGCCACCATTGCACTGTCGAAGGCCACGAGGAGATTCAGCTAAAGGACAACTTTGCGCAGTTGATGATCTGGGAGCTCACCGACGATGAGGACATAATATACCTCAAATGGCCTAACGGCCGAATGCTTGGGTCTCAGGACACTCATGCCAATGGCAACACCTGCACGGCATCTCAAGTTGAAGACGGTCTCTGGAACTATTTCTTTGAGGCTCCTATCCTTACAACACGTCAATTCCCTCCTGACGCCGATACAACGTCGACGGCATATCTCTCCCTTCCTAAGCGGTACCTCTCCACGGTGCCGCCCGTCGAGCTCATCTTGGATGAGATGGCAGCGAATTCGGATTCGGATGGAATCATGCAGACGTATTTTGACCCGAAACGGCCTCGTGTCACCCCCGAGGTTTGCTGCAATATACTTCGAGTCTTCCACAGCTTTGGCCACGGCTCCGATCCCCGCATCAAAAGAACTGAGGATTATGTCGTAGAGTGCCTAAACAACAACGCCTGTCTCAACGGAAACCGGCACTACTCGACGCCCGAGAGCTTCCTCTATTTCGTGGCTCGGCTATACGCCGAAACCAACTCCCTGTCGCTAAGGAAGAGGCTAAAGGCAATCAAGCCACAACTCCAGAAACGGCTTGATATGCCCGCGAACCCATTGGCCCTGGCACTGCGCTTGTTCGCCTGCCAATCAATGAGGGTTGATCCACTGCTCTATCAGAAAGACCTGGAAAGGCTGCTGTCCCTGCAAGAGGAAGACGGTGGGTGGCCCGCTGGACACTTTTGTTGCATAGGAAGGACTGGTGCTCGCATAGGCAATCGTGGCTTGACAACGGCCCTTGTGGCAAGAATACTCCAACATGAGAAGGCTAACGCTTAAAGCGTGCGACGCGTGCGCGGTTTCGCTCATTCATGGATGTAGTCATGTCACCCCACTTTCGCCTGTAGAGCCTGTGCACCAGCCCTAGCGCGAGAGTAGAGTAACTTAGTGTCTGAGAAACCTTTTTCCCCCCAGCACAACAATGTATAGACTTGCGTTTTTACTACTATTCGTATACTTCGGCCTCTGGCATATGTTCAACAATTGACTTATGTTCGTCTCTCTTCGAAGTCCCTAGGACGGCAAATGACATGTCATTTCATCAGGTGCTCTATGAACATGACACTGTGTCAAAGCCAGATTGCTGCTCATTTGGTCCATGTGATAGTCCCTGCTAGTACTGCGCAACTCTCCATGGTGGTAATCCCATCTTGGTTGACAAACATTTCGCCTAGATGGACGGAAGCCTGTTGGGCCAGCGACTACCTGATAGGATGACTGCATAGGTATTACCACATCAAATCACACTGCGCCAGTCAGATAGACAAACCTTGTTATTTGATAGGTGGAAGTGGTTCCGACACGCCTCTTCTGATAAGCGAATGGCAGGCACTATACTGTGGCTGCCGAGAAGATGGCTGCTTACTTTCCAGGTACCCGAGAGGAAGACCCCGCTACACGTGGTCAGCCCAGGTATACGGCCTTTTAGATAAAGTGGAGCGCTTTTCTTATATCCGGCGCTTTGGTAACCGTGCATGATGCAGCTGCAATCCTGAAGGCGCCATCCTTTTGCCTGTCTTGGTACAACCAAAACTGAGACCAGGTCAATGGTTCGGGCCCAAGATGACAACACGAGTGGGATTCTGCAACCGAGACCGGGTTGCCACCGAAGACCTGTGAGCCCCGTTGTCAGCCGAGGCCAGCTTTGGGTTGATGAATGAAAGAATCCATGCTGAGTCATGGGTCCTAGTGGCACAGGGGCCCACATTGCTCTCATATATCTGTTCGGGGGCATCCTGGCTATTCTCTGGAAGTGACTCAGCTTAGCTCTATGGAGACGTTCGGTATGGGCACCTGTTGGAGGATCCCAACTATTGATCCTCCCTCGCAGCCTCCATCGTCTTCTGACCGATAATTTGACAGCCCAGCTGACAGGCTGAGGTCGTGATACGTTGGCTGGCTTAGAATCCAGTCCATACAGATTCGTGTAGGGCTTTGAGACACACGCGGCCTCCCCGCTCTAACCTCCTTCTAGGGGTTTAAAGTCATCTGAAAGAGGCTGAGCTTCAGGGAGGCGTTCCGATGTCTGGCCTCTACAAGCACTCATTGTAGGATCCTAAGTTTGGATCCTCCTGGCCTTAGGTGTCTTGGGATGAGACTAGTGGTTGTATATATCAGTACAGCTTCTCATGGCTTACAATACAACAATATGGGTCGAGGAAATTCTTGTCTGGACTGTGATTGGGAATAATTAGCACTTTTGGTCATAGCCTTGTCTGCATCGACGTAATGCTGCTTGAATACAGCCTCGTACAAGGCCTGTTCGGCGCGCTGCTCTTGGCTCCAACTACTGTCGCAACACCATACTCACGAAATCACAGGCGCCGGGATGAATATGTATGGCCGACCGAGGTAGCTGACCAAGCTCATGACTCTTCATGGCCAGATTTCGTCAACAAGACGACCCGGTGGTCGACGTATGAGCCCCCATCATTCAACGAAGTGTTCCTCCCCGAGAACGTTGAAGACCTGTCTATCGGGGTAAGCTCTTGCCCTTGGTTGAACTTGTCTCGATTGTTGCGACGCTAACAGAGTGCTCAAGTTGAAATACCTGTCTGGAGCTGGAAAGACCTTCCTAGCCAAATCCGGCGGCCACGGGTATTCCCCCACCCTTCATGCTATACAGGATGCCGTCATGATCAACCTGGAGAACTTTGATTACGTCACCGTCAACGAAGATCTCAGTGTGACTTTGGGAACCGGGGCCAAGTTCTCTGAGCTGGTCGAAGTGGTTGGCAATGCTGGCCGAGAGTTGAGTTGGTGCACCCTGCCCCGAGATCTCAAGCACCGTGACTTGATCAACCCCACTGATATGCGTCCCAGCGGTTGGAGCGTGTCCTTGCGTCGGGGCGATGGGCGCCATGCTCGGCGGCGGCCTCGGTCGATTCCAGGGTCTTCACGGTCTGACCAGCGATGCGTTGAGAAGTGCACGTGTCGCGCTGTGGAATGGCACCATTGTTGAGGCCTCTGCGGACGTGAACCAAGACCTGTTCTGGGGCCTACGCGGTGCCGGTCAAAATTTTGGTGTCGTCATCGACGCCATCTTCGAGACGTACGCTGCGACGAACGGAGGTCAACAGTACAGCTCCGACATGACCTTCAGCGCCGACAAGCTGGAGGCTGTCTTCGATGTGACCAATCAACTCCTGAGCGACGGACTGGATCCAGCCCTGGCTCTGGCCATCGCTATTGGATCCAACCCAGTCACACTTGAGGTAGGCGTCCTCCCCCCACAGTGTAGTATCTCCATCTTAACTCGTAGTCGCAGCCTTTGATTCTCGTCAACGTCGTCTACCCGGGCCCCGAGGAAAAGGGCCAGGAGTATGCACGCCTCTACTCGAACTTTAGCGACAGCATGACGGAGCAGATGACGGCGTGGACCAACCTGGCCAACGTGGCCCTCCCAAGCGTTGTAATCTCTGGATGCCCTACGGGTAACCAGCACAATCAGTACAGCATCATGACCAAAGACCTAAAGACGGAACATTTCCGCGAGGCTCTAGAGTCTTACCGGTCTTTCGTGCAGCAACACCCGACAGCCAACAACAGCGTCATCTTCATCGAGACGTTTGGCCAGGCGGGCATCAAGGCGTTCCCCGACGACTTCTCTGCCTTCCCCCACCGCAACCAGTTCGACAACGCCGTTGTCTTCTCCATGACGTACGCCGATGTCAGCGTGGCCGAGGATGCCGACGCGTGGGCGCTGCAGTGGCGCGATCACTTTGCGCAGCCCGAAGTCTCAGGATACGACAAGATGGTCATCTACCAGAACTATGCCCACGATGACGAGCCGCTTTCGGCGCTCTATGGGTACGATGGGTGGCGTCACGAACGACTGAGTGCTTTAAAGAAAAGCTATGATCCCCAGGGCCTCTTCAACGGATACCATGCTGTACCTGCTGACTTAGCAGGTTGGTCTTGAGTTCTGTTGATCATTGGCGATCCAGGAATTCGCCACGCACGGCCTTGGTGAGTGCAAGTTGTTGTTGGTCTCTGGGACTGAACTGCTTTTATTTCATTTCCGTCCCTCGCATTGCAGCTATAACCTCATGTTGCTATCTGCCAAGAATTTTACTTTCCATGTACCAAATTAGAAGTTGTCAATTTTAGACGATCCTAGAGATCCAACAGAAATGTTTTTTTCAAGCTAGCACATGTATTCTGCAGAACTCGTAGCGCAATGCCGCCAAGTATGCAGATCTTCCTTGTAGTTGCAAGATTTTATGTCGTGACCGTAGTGAGTGAGAATCTTAGATGTCACCCTTCGTGCCAATAGTTGGTCTGGAAATTCCTCCGCTGGCGACTGTTGGCCATTCCCTTGAGCGTGCCAGGACTTTTGGATACGCTATGTAGTATCCCCACCAGGCTATGGTGTGATTTTATGCAGTCAGAGGACTTAAGGTCTGCATGTCCGGCGCCATGCATACTCCCATGCGGCACCTGTGGCACCCCCTGCAAAGCTGATATGCCGGGGCGGGCACTAACTAGATGACATAAGCCTCTGGGTACCACACTCTGGTATTGCCGCTGGTATTAGTGTCTTGTGAGCGGAAGTGTCATACGTAAGCTAGTGTAACATGCAAGTCTTTGGCGGTCGGAGTTAATAGGTGGATTTAGCGCTGCTGAGGCTCCCCATGCAGGAGGATTTCTTCCAGCATCAACATATCAGGCTGTGCTACAGGACACTTTCTCATATAAGGACTCTTGTTTATACTGCTATGTTGTGAGCAGTACAGGCTAAGGTCCAGGTCAACGAGTGCATTCAACATGGAAGGTCCAAACACAAAGCCGTACAAGCTGCCTTCGGATGCCGTTTGGTTCAGTGAGTAGCACACATGATATGCGCCAGACCAAAGCTAACTTGAGGCAAAAGTCACTGGCTGCTCTTCAGGAATCGGTCAGGCTCTGGCTACGCTAATCGCCAAGTCCCCAAATCGGGTCGTGGCGACCGCGCGCAACACGTCGGCCCTCTCGGCCATCCCAGGCGGTGATCGAGTTCTCAAGCTCGAGCTCGACGTTACGTCAGTTCCCTCTATAGACGCCGCACTCCGTGCCACGATAGAGAAGTTTGGTCGCATTGATGTCGTCGTTAACAATGCCGGTTACACGCTAGCCGGCGACGCGGAAAGCACCGAGGATGGTGAAGCTCGGGCTGTCTTTGACACTAACTTCTGGGGTATGGCGGACGTGAGCAAGAGAGCTTTAGGCATCTTCAGAGACGAGAACCCCAAGACAGGTCAACAAGGTGGTGTGATTGTTAACGTTAGCTCGGTTGGCGGATGGTCCGGGTTTCCCGGTCAGGCATTTTACCATGGCAGCAAATTCGCCATGGAGGGTTGGACAGAGGCCGTAGCCAAGGAACTACCCACATCGTGGAATAGTAGGTCTCCGTTTCATTGCCAGATCTATACCTCTTTGCCAACGCATAGGCGACTCACATGCGCCACTTTCTAGTTCATCTCACCAATATCGAGCCTGGCGGAGTGAAGACCAACTACGCGACCTCTTCACTGAAACCGACGGCAAAGCGACACCCCGCATACAGCGATCCCAGCAGTCCTGCCAACCAGCTGCTGGGCTACATACAGAGCGAGCAGGGCCGCAGCATGTGGGCGGAGCCAAGCGCCTTGGCTGCCGCTATTTACCAAGTCGTGAGCCGTGGATCCCGCATCCCGATCCGTATTCCCCTGGGCGCTGATGCGCATGGCTTGGTCTCCATGGACCTTGAGCAAATCAAGAAGGACCTGGATGAGTTCAAGGACATTAGTCTGGGCGTTGGTGATCCAAAGCAGATGGATACGATTGATTTCTTGAAATAGTCAGGGTCATCAGACAGGGCAGGACACACAAAAGCTCGCGAGGCTATGGAAGAGGTCAACATATAGATGCTATATTTCTTGACGACCCACAGTTTTCTTGGGACTCTCCTGCCCTGTGTACAAATGGCCATAAAATTCCGCAGAATCCAGAGAGGTGTGGGCATGAACGTCAAATTAGGCTCCGTTTTGTGACATGGCGCATCGGTTGATAGCCTTTTGCTTCGAGCCGCGTCATCTTTGTCTTATATCATATGGTTTAGGATTTCATCTATTTATGCTCATACATGCCTGGTGCCTACGTATGCCAAAGAGCCGATGTCTGTTTACGTACGATTCATAAAACAAGTCTTGACAGGTCTCACGTACTGCAGAATTTTGACGATTGGTAATCATCCCCGTGTGAATGGCAAGCTCGCACGCGAATACCCCATGAGGTCTGAGTTGGCATTGAATGTATGCTATACATATGAAACGCAGCCAGTTCCCTTCTGTACGACGCCTTGTGTCCCAGCTTATCCATGTATTTGCCCTCAACCGATGCTTCTACTGACACCCTCCCTCAGAGGTGAAATCGTACTCAGTACATTTCACACATATGCCACCCTTGTCCTGACAGGCACCATAGCAGTCCTGTTTGTCAGGTTTGGCACCAGTACTCCACTCGTAAGTCAAAGCACCATTCTTAAACGTGACATGGTTTCCTCTCTCGCTGAGGGTCAGTTCGAATCCCTGCTGACATCCGATAGTCCATTCTTTCTTATCATTCTGCTTTAGCATGCTGTTACCGGAGCCGTTCCCGCAGAGGACCTTGTTGGGATATATGCCGAGTTTGTCGTCCAGCTCAGCCGAGGCCGTCCAACCCATAATCGGGTCATCGACGATAGAGCCCTTCAAGCTATAGGAGCAGGTCTTCGCAGCAGCGATAGAGGCGAAAGCTATTATGGGAAGAAGAAGCATATTGCTTGGTGTGCCCCTGATTACGACGATGCAATGCGTTCGCTAAGTCTGGTATAACAGGATAAAATTTTGAAGCTCAGACATCTGAAGCGACTGCTAGCTGATGACATGTCTGGGTTGGAGTCTTGTGTGATATTTATATTCAGTACTGAGTCCAGATCTACTGACGCACTGGACCAAAAGGTCTGTTTAATTGCCATGGTATACTCTGGGCTGACTTGTGCACGAATGCTAGAAATGAAATGCGTTGTAGTCATCCATCTGATGTCAAAGGGAAGCGCGCCCCGGTTCGTTCCAAATCCGCTGCCGATCAAATCAGTTGAGCTGTCAAAGAAAGGCAACAGGCAGACTGCATCAGCCTCAGCTTGGGAAGCGGCGCTACAAATCGGATTGTTGCTCAGCCTCACCGCACATCCTGCCTTAATGGCCAGCAAAGGATATCTCAGTGCTTGATCTATCACAAATGCCAAGTCCGTGCATATGGCTATTGTTGTTTGTTCTAGCTGCTGGTTGTTCTTCGCAATAATACCGCCTGTCTTCTTAAAGGCAAATGGAATCGCTCAACTATGATAGACAAGGGCTAAGATTCTCCCGTTCATTCAGCACTTCTAACCTCTCCCCCGTAGGAAACATCCAGCGTACCATTCGCCCCCAAATTTGTGGCATTCCGGAAACCTACCTCAAGGGTTGGCCTGATAGGATCAAGAAATCTTGATCATCTTGTAAGCAGAGCCAGCCAGTGATTTAATCTGTCAGGCATTGGAGGTAGAAGAAGAGCTGTGCCGCTCAAGTTTGCAGGCTATCATCAGCGCTGTGCCGCTCAACCCGTGGCGCTGTTGTTGCTTCGATCGCCACTATGACGCCTGCTGTAATGTTGATCACTCTTTAATTAGAAAGTTAGCAATCAGCCGTTCGTAAATTTCAGCCTATAGCAACACAACTGACCGCTGCATCTGGGGCAAACTGTATCATTCGTTTCTCAAAGACGCTGCTAAGCGAGTCGATGTTCACATTGATAACAGGCCCGACGCTTGAGAGCATATGGCAAGTCGAGAATATTATGTGACGGGCATTGTACAGTCATCAGCATTAATATATTTACACAGCAAAGATAACTTTGACGACAATGGGCATGACTCCGAGAGCGACACCGGCCTTTGCAGCCTCCCTTTTGCCCATCATAGCTCCACTGGTTGACGTGGGTTGCGCAGCCGTAGTGCTCAGGAAGCTGGCGAGCGAGGCACTACGAGCGCTTGCCGACGACGCACTGTAGATAGAATAGGCTTCAGGAAATGCCGCACCTTCGTACCTGGCGCAGCCGTCCGGCAGGTATTCGTTCAGTGCCTCTTGCGAGTCCAAACCCAAGTCCTCAGGGGCGATTGTGAGTGATTGGCCGCCGACATCCGGACAATAATTCACCACATCGTCGACCCCTTCACATTTGTCAATGCAAGACTTGGCCATGTCGACATCGATGGACGTTCCCGACCAAGCCTCATTAACACAGCTCCTAGCGCACGCATATGCACGGCATGGAACCTCGTGCAAGTCAAAGCTCGGCCAGGCATGGCTATCGGCTACTTCATACGGATAGGAGCCATCCTCATTGGTACCCTCCTGCGCCTGCATCCCCGTCAGGTTGAAACCAGACCAATTGTTATCATAGTGCAAACTCGACGCGTTGTTTGCATAAGGAACGGTGCGCCACACGCTCGTTGTGAAATCTTTCGAGTCATGGTGACGGTCGAACATCGAGCTGGCAAGATCGTACCAAGCTCCGTCCGGGCCCGCACCGCCAGGGACGCTGACGAGCAGGTCGCTGATCAGCGAGCCCCCATCGTTTGTCGCGCGACTGGCATCTTGAGACAGAGGGAAGCAGTCGATCAGCTTGCAGACGGGCCCGCTCACGGTACAGAAGCTCTCGTCGTCTGGGCACTGGCGGTTCGTCTGTTTTGCCAGCCAGACGGCGATACTGTTCCAGTTCTCGTCGGGGTCAAACCTGCCACCGCCCAGGTCATCGTGGTATCGAGTGTAGTTGATCGCTTTGACCAGGAAAGGCGTGTCGGCGTTCGCTACGATTGGGGAGCATGTTCGGAACGGGCCGATGGGATCGTCGATTGTACAACACTCAGCGGAGGCGGCGGGGACCAAGGCGCTGAGCAGAGCGGCCACCGAAGCGTAATGATTCATTAGCGAATGACTAGTATGACCACCGTGAGAAGAGGGTAAAAGAGTGTATAAGATGAAAACCGGCAAAGAGCGTGAGGGGCGACAAGCCCAGGACAGGAGGGACTATGTATGTATTCAGCAGATTGAAGCTACGGATCCGCATGAAGATGCCTGCCACCATGTAAAATTAAAGCTTGGCTGGCACTAGGCATTCTACAGCGGGGCTCCGGCCAAAAAGTTGGCGCGGTCACAGGCTTAGCGAGCACCAGGAACGACAGCTACGTTCTAACAGTCATTCATTCGACCGTGCGCTGTCGCTCAGAATCTTCAGCCATCCTTGATCTGAAAGTCGAGTCTTGGCAATCGCCCATGACTCTGCCTCGGAATCCTTCCATGACAGTCATTTGGATTCCGGTATATCGGTAGCCCACCGGATCCCAGGATAGAATATTAGAGACGACAGCTGCCCATCTTGTCATCAACATTTGAAATTCATCTGCCAATATAACGATGGGAATGATATGTCTTATAATATTCATTCTGGGTCTTTGAGATATCCAGTGTGGCGGCCCTGACGGCGGGCCCACGATATGTCAATGTAACGGTGCGAGGTTCCACAACCTGAAGGCCGCTGAATGCGACCCCGCCAAAGGTGCTACATACTCCCCGCCTCCACTTAATTTTCTGTCGCTAAAACTGATTTAAACTTTCATTTCTCACCTCCAGAAGTTTATCTGTTGTATAGCTACTCAGTTTCTCAACCATCTAGGTGCTACACGACGAAATGCTTGTACTTGACACTCTTCGTAAGGCCCAGCGTCGAGAGCAGGTGGAACCAAAAAAGTCCAAACCATACTATGACGATGAATGCAATGGAAATGATGACAACGTATATCGCTGAGAGCGAGACACCATAAGATACGTTCTGGAACTGCGCACTATTTTGTAGCGCGTCAGTGCCTAAACCAACTTGCATCGCAGATAGGATCACGGATATGTAGGCGAATGCTGCCAGAAACCAGCCAAAGTGCTGCTTGAAGAAGATCTTCCGCCTGTTCGACGTTGACATAAAGCCAATGACCAGTTTCCTGGCCGAGATGGGCGTCGTAAAGCGGTATAGAGTGTTCAGCCGGGATAGGCGCAGTTCGCCGTAGGTATAGCGATTGCTGATATGATGGGTCAGGCGAGGCTGCACCCGAGCTATGAAATCCCTCATGAAGTCTGTCCACTGACCCCACGAGATATCATCCGGAATAATCCCAGTGTTCTGGGCTATGCGAAAGTCGCTCTTGTGCCCAACTAGCCAGGCATAGCTGAAAAGTAGCCCACAGGCACATTTGTACAGCGCAACGTCGCCGCATATTCGGGATGTCCAGAACTCGAAATTCAGGAGATATTCAGGGACTGGTTTAATGAAGATAGACGATTCGTGCCAAATCAGATGCTCATCAACGGACTCAGTGAGATGAATGCTTCGCTGTAGCTGGAGTTGGCGGTGAAGTGGTCTAGCGGGACGGGGGAGCCCGGCGAGCCAGAGCCATTTGGCCATTTTATCGAGCCTGGGAGTGCTGAGTTCCACTTCAAGGGTCTGCGCCGCATCTTTCATCGGGTTGAGCAAGCCGCTGTCGTGCCGCACAAGGAGTGGTACCAAGGCGGCTTGACCCGGCGGTCGAAGAGAGTTGCCCTGGGAGAATGGCGGCGACAACATGGTGTTCGATTGAGTGCAAGACGACTAGTCCGTGTGTTCAAGCACCGGCGGTAGACAGGCTCAAATATTTAAACCCAACGATTCTCATGTGCCCCATGATGCTGTGAAATAAACTACAGTGGAAAGTTGACGCCTGGTCCAGATCGTGCGGCTGGGATGCGGGCGATCAGGGTGGCTTGCGTCTAAGCACCATAACTGGTTGAATGTGGCCCACTGCTGGCTTGTCTATGCCTAGATAGGCCGCCGGCCGAAGAGGTCACCGAACTTGACCTCATGCACGCAGAGCTGTGATTGGATAGCCGGTGGGCTGAACTGCCTGCCGATTGCCGCCCTCATAACGTAGAAATAATGAGGCTGAGGTCCATTGCACCTTTGACGACGGCCTCAACTTCATGCCAGAACATGAGCGCCGCGTCTGCTGTAAACCATGGCAACGCTTTCCAAGCCCATGGTATACCGCCTACGCCGACTGCCCAGCTACATTGACAATGACTTCGCTGCGTCACAGCTGCTCAGCCATGCAGTTCACCTGCCGTCAGCCGAGATCAAGATATGCTCCCTGGCGACTGTGGCAGCAAGCTCCTGGAGCGCATCCACCAAAGTGGCCACCGTAATGTTTCACAACTTGCCCCAGCTTATTCAGGATGCTCCGCGGAAGACTGAATGGAAGATATCGGTCAATGGCCTCCCTGACAGTCTGATCCTAGACAGGCACTTCTTTGGCATGACGCCACTTTACGATATAATGCCACCTCATGAGCATCAGTATAAGTCAGTACCTGAACGCCGTAGGAATCACTCGTCAGGCTAATTTGCTAGCAGCTGCATTGCTATCTCGGGTCTTGCAAGTCACCCATTTGGTTCATGGCAGCCAAAGGGAGAGGAGAAAACATTCATGTGGCTGAGGGATGCCTTGCCACGGGAGCATCCCACTGTTAGAGCATGGATCTATGGCTACGATACGTCACTGACGGATAAGACCTCCTTCCAGTCTATACCGGATCTAGCCACTGCTCTCATTGATCACATGAAGGCTAACGATTTTGCTTCACCGACCGCTCCCAAGATGATCATTATTGCGCACAGCTTGGGAGGGATCGTCTTGAAACAAGCTATCACACGTCTGGCTATCTGTGGAGAGAGGGAGCTTCATGCTTTGGATTTGATCAGAGGCACTGTATTCTTCGGTGTGCCAAACTTGGGCATGGAACAATCGCACCTGCATGCGTTAGTTGAGAACCAACCCAATCAAGCCATCGTAGATGACCTTGCGGTAAATTCCAAATACCTGTTGAAATTGAACGAGCAATTCATGGGACTCCTCTTCAACCAGAAGATGAAGGTATTTTGGGCGTATGAAACAAGAACGTCCCCCACAGCTGTGGCAAGTAAATCTCCGACCAGCCATACTTAGTCAACTGTTAACAAATCGAAAAGCGTACGGAGACCGGTGCTATTGTAAGATCCGAGACTCATGCTATTCTCGTATCGCCGGAGTCTGCTACTTCGAACTTGATCAACGACGACGAGGCGCCGATTTCGACTTTTCCGATAAATGAAGACCACTCGAACATGGTCAAGTTTGTGGACGATGACGGAGTCTGCAAGATAATTCTGGATAAAATCGGAGAGATAATGGTCTACAAAGCACCATTGCCCTCTATCACGCGTGCCCAATGATGGACTTCTAACTCGTCGACATCCGACACACCAGCCCCCGCTCAAGATGCCAGGCCACAACGCTACGGTTATACCCCATTGCGATTGCATCTTCCGCCTCCGATTGACTTTCAACAACGTCAAAAGCCTAGACTTAACCTTGCACCAGTAGACCGTAAGAAAGCACCAGAATATTAGCCATTGGCAACCTCTCACTGATCATATTAGAAATTGTTTCGTCCTTGGACGTCCCGGAGTTGCATCGAAGGTTTGAGGATATCGAAGCCAGGTCAAAGCACACCTTTGAGTGGATCTACGAAAATGATGAGCTTGAGTTCTCAAGCTGGCTCCGGTCCGGCAAAGGCATCTACTGGATCAGTGGCAAGCCTGGTTCTGGAAAGTCGACTCTAATGAAATTCATTTTTGACGACCCAAGAACCCGGGATCTCTTGAAGCACTGGCGAGATGAGAACGACCCAATTATTGCCGGCTTCTTCTTCCATCATCGGGGCTCTGTTTTGCAAAAGTCCCTTGAGGGGCTTATTAGGAGCATTCTGGCGCAATTACTGCGACAGCGTCCTGGGTTGGCTAATCTCTTAACCCCACTCATTGAATCGTCCGTGGGCAAGAAGTTCCCAATGGAACTGGATGAATTTCGGGCTCTGTTCAAGAGCCATACTTGGACACAGCAGCACCTCGGCCACGCATTACGTCTTATGCTCCGCCAGAAGATAGCCGACTTGGATATGTGCTTCTTCTTTGATGCCCTAGACGAGTACGATGGCTCGCCGGAAGTCATTCGGGACTTTCTCGCCGATCTCCTTGAGGAGTCCAAGGAAGGCCAGATGACAATTAAGATCTGCTTCTCTAGCCGACCGTGGGAATCCTTTACACAGAAATTCCAGAGTGGACCCGGGTTCCCCATACACGATTATACGACATCCGATATCAAGCAATATTGTTACCAGACGATCAACAAAGATAGCACAGTGGCTGAAATGTTGAAAGATCTGGTCCCGGATATTATCGAGACTGCTTAAGGTGTATTTCTCTGGGTACGGCTGGCTTTATCGGACTTGTTCGATGCTGCGGTGTCTAGTGAAGGTAAAGATATGACAGCACTCAGACAGCGACTACGCAAGCTGCCCAGAGATCTGCATAAGTACTACGAAGACATTGTCAAGCGATGTACTAAGGCACTCAAGGAAAAGGCCTATGCATTACTGGAGATTGTCACTCGCAGCTTTGAGATCCTCCCGATCCATCAGGTCTTACTTGTTCTCGTCTGTTCCTACTTCCCGACCTACGATAACTGCTACCAGGCCGTGAACACGGACAAGATCAAGGGATTCAATCTTTACACCGCCAGACGACTCATTAATAGTGCATGCGGTGGACTGCTAGAAATCACCGAAAGCAAAAGGCAGTTTCGAATCCAGCTTATGCATCAAACAGTCCGAGAATTCGTACTCAGCCCCAAGTTCAAATCCCTGATCCTCGGTGATCTCGCCAAATACCAACATGAGAACGGACATTCTTTCTTTTTCAAGTTCATGTTTGTATTCAGAAGGATGCCTTCAAATAATGTGTTCAAGGCCTCTAAGTACCACGACGATGTGCCCAAGTATACGGACGAAGACGTGACGAAGCATTGCAAAGGCGCCGAGCTAACGACTGGCAAGAGCCAGATTGACTTCTTGGAGTCAGTACCGTCGTCGTGGCTACTCGCCCGTACTAAGACCGAAAAGCCTGGCACGTCAAACGAGAACCACGATAGCCGTCCTCTCTCAAGCATGCCTCACCATGACCTTGTCTTCATCTTCGCAGTTCAGAATGGCCTCCACTTGTGCATCATCGATCTCGTGCAAAGGTACTACCAAGCCTCGGAGGAGAAGGACCGGCTTATTTACAACTTCATTCGCGCGATTAATGGCTCTCAACTTGGCTCTGACGACCTAAGGACGTCGCTCGACATTCTGCAAGCTTCGGACTTTCGACTCCAAGGCATGTCAAAGCAGCTTTTCATCGAGCACCAGGAGTGCTTCTGCAGCGCCGAGGTCACCGTCTCGGTGCCGGACGCACCGGACTTCAACTTAGTGGACCTTCGAGAGGATATGTTGGAATTGTGGATTGGACTTCTGACTCAGGAGGAGAATCCCATATCGACGATCCGAACTTTGGTTGACGCCTGCGGTGTCATGACGCACGTCTGCAGTCCCCAGCTCGTGCTGTGGCTCCTCGAGCACGGCATGAACCCGTCGGAGCCTGACATGGATGGCCGAACCCTCGTCGACTACCTGGTTTTCTTTGCCGCCTTTACCGGGTACCACGCACACCAGACGGCGGTCTGTACACAGTTGATTGAATCGAGTGTGATGACGCTCCAGCAGGGCGGACTACCGCATCAAGCCTCTCGTAAGGTCTGGAAAAGGGTGCGGGCCCGTCTTGCCGCTTCTAAAACACCGATTCTATGCATTGATCCAGAGACGCGAGGCGACGCACAGCCTAGCAGCTTAGTTCAAGTATCTGACGCTACGATGATGTCGTACTTGGATAGGGCCTACGACTCCCTGGACATGGCTTCCGAATTGCAGTGGGTGCCGCCGATAGCGGCTGCCAGGACCGGACGTCGTCTCATTGTGAAACTCAAGAGGCTGCTGAAGATACGCTCTAAGCGATAGATTACACACCGACGTTCGTCATGTTGGTGTTTCCCTGCACCTACGCCAATGCTGGATGAAGTCCAGAGTGGAGGCCATGTTTTTTAATCAGTGACGACGGTGTTCGGCTGTACAACACGGCAGGACTTGTTTATTGACGGTTTCATACTGTACATACTTGGGAGGGCTTTAATCTTTTTATCCGAGTAGGATATGAGACCAACCATTGTATAGACTTGATTCGGCGCAGTTAATCGAAGAAATGATCTCAAGAAGACTTGAACCCATGTGAGGACCAGTATGATACTCTGTGAGCTAATGTTGGCGTGTTGATCGAGGTTCTACAGAGCCATACCGAACAATACCGTCGCAAAGCCCTGATATGCCAAAAATTAGAATACCATCACCCCGGAACTTACTGTACTTTCATCTACTATCACATGCTGAGCTACAAGGCTAAACGCCAAGAACAAGCCAAAAGTGGGTCAAAGGGAGCCGCGAATACCTTCATCACTACCTAGCTAATCGAGTGAATTCTAGTCAGGTACGGAAAATGCAATGCTTTCTTATCGAAGAATTACGAATATGGTCCTCCTCAAGTGCTGAGTTTCTTCTTCACTCCGCGAGACGAGCTTGCGAAAGCAATGAAAAAAAAAAAGGGGGAGGGAGACCGCTTTGAAGAGAAGAGTAGACAAAGCTCGTTCTCATCTGCGACTCCGTGCAAAGACTAATGTCCCGCACTCGATGGGTTGGTCGACATTTTAAGTCATCACCGCACGACCAAGGTGATGTTTCTTGCAGGTCTTTAACATCCGGCATCACAGATGGAGCTCCATTATTCGGCCGCTCTAGCCCTCCCCCGCCCTCGGATTCGAACCGAGGATTTCCGCCCATTGCACTCCAGCGTCTTGTCCAGCGTCTTGATGCGACATTGTTAGACGACGGCCCCGAGCCCATCTCGGGCGGCAGCAGGATTCGAACCTGGCATCTCTGGTACATGCGGGCGTTGTCTTTCCAACATTGTTAGACGAGCGGCTTGACATGATTTATTTGGCTTATCCCCACAGACCAGGGTGCGTGTAGGAGAGCTTTCCCCTCCATAGAAGGCGTCTTCCATAGAGGGCGTCTTCTGTACAGCTTGACATGAATGGTATGCTTAGACTCCCCACATCAGGGAGTTGTTTGGACTGGTTTAACGTCGTGCTCCGAGTGACGGGGTTTTGACGGGAACTCTCATCCTCACGGGTTCTTTCTTTAACGTAGGATTTTCCACCACGGGGCCTTTAACGTCTTGCCCAAGACGGGAGCCTTGGGTCCCGTTATCCATGGTGCAATGCCTGCAAACGCCAGGTGACCCCGGCCGCAAGGCGTCAGAGCAAAGTGGGCTCACCGAAGGACTGTTGGGAGGCTGCCTGAGTGGAAGGAGGGGAGAGAAGGAGGAGGGGAGAGAAGGAGGAGGGGAGAGAAGGAGGAGGGGAGAGAAGGAGGAGGGGAGAGAAGGAGGAGGGGAGAGAAGGAGGAGGGGAGAGAAGGAGGAGGGGAGGGAAGGAGGAGTGGTGGAAGTTGTGAAATTGTGAAGTGGCTGCTGAAGAGGCAAAGGATCAATAAAGGTGAGGTTGTGGATTGTTGCGCGCCAGTCCGCCTGTGAGCAGAGTGACGAGGAGGGTGGTAAGGGTGAATGGGGAAGAAGGAGGGGAGAAGTCCAGAGTGGGAGGGGAGGTGAATAAATAATTGGATTTTGATTGTTCGGGTTTGAGGTTGGGACTCAGGGTGCCCACGAAAGGGAAGTGAAAAATTACTGAACGAGATGAAAGAGAGTGAATCGATTCACTGACGAGTGAATATCTAGCTCCTGGGGCACTCCGTGCAAAATAACAGGGACCACCCGAGTTTGCAAATGAGTGATTCGCGAAGTGAATGGACCTTGCAATTGTGCAAGCGTCATAATCCAATGTTGAAAATAGACACAGGCAACCCAAACAGCGAATCAAGATAGGAAACTAGCGTTTCAATTCTACATTTTACAAGCATCTACACATCGTAGTTGCACCGGATGTAGCAAAGGACGCCTGGTGCTTCCTTGGCTGGCTATTGACAAAGCCTGACGTGAATCTCAGTCTACGCGCCTGCTTCACGCAGCTGCCGGAGGGTTTGTCTACCATCATAAGCCGCTATTGACCAGTGCGGCGGATATTCCTAGAGTTTCCTGGATGTTCCTGTTACGACTGGGCCTCATCAGTCTTGCCCTTCTCGCCTTCCTTCTTCTCGGGCCTCCGCGTCAGAATCTCATCAATAATGCCGATATCCTTGGCTTCCTGAGCACTCAGGTACCTGTCCCTATCCATCATGTCCTCGACATCCTTCAGCCCGTAGTTCTCGTGGCCGTGCGCCTGGTTCAGGTGCTTCCGGAATATCTCGTTCAGCTGTTCCCTTGTCCGCTGTATTTGGTTTGCGTAGATCAAAATGTCGCTCGCCTGGCCCTGAGTGCCACCCAAAGGCTGGTGGACCATGATGCTGCTGTGCGGCAGAGCATAGCGTTTCCCCTTCTCGCCACCCGCTAGGAGAAGCGAGCCCATGGATGCCGCCTGGCCGAGGCACACGGTCGAGACGGGCGAGCGGATATAGGACATGGTGTCGTAAATGGCAAGCCCGGCCACGACGGAGCCGCCTGGAGAGTGGATGTACATGGTAATGGGCTTATCGGGGTTGTCGGACTCGAGCCATAGCAGCTGGGCCACTATGGAGGCTGACACGGTGTCGTCGACGGCGCCATTGAGGCAGATGATGCGCTCCTGCGCAGCGTTAGCAGCGGGAACCCCCCAGGAGCCTGCCCTTCGCAACTCGGGCTGGTACATACTTGTAAGAGCTTGGAGAATATGTCGTCTACCCTCTCATGTCAGCTACGAAGATCAATTGCAAGTCCCTGAGCCACCTACAGGTTTTCCAGCCGCCAGACTACATGGTTAGCATTGCGACAGAAGGTACATGATGCATCGAGCTTACTGAGACCTCTGTGATGTACGGCAGCGGGATGCCTCCATAGGGACTCTGGCCCGGTGCGCCGGGGAACTGGGAGAAGGCCCGGGCCCGCCGGGATGGTGCCGTCCGGAGGAGTCGCCAGAGGGGCCGCTGACAGTTCATGGTGGCGGCGGTTGGTGACTGGGTTGGTTCACGATTCGGGGCTGTCGTCGCGTTGAGCTCCGGAAACAGGACCAGGAGATGGAGCCCGCCCGGGGGGCTGACGTCGGAGGCCCACGGCGCGTTTCCAGAAGCTCCCTGGCGCGTTCCCGCTAAAGGCAGGCCACTAAACGTCGGCTCAAGCCTTGGCGGCCGTTGGGAGCTCGGTGCTGGGACCTGGAGTCATTTGGACATTTGCATTCCCTCAGTGATTGCTTGTCGCTTGCCACGGGTATATCTTTCCCAACCCCATTCCCTCCCGCGACAGGACGCTTCAGCAGCCCAGATGCGGTTATGAGACCATGCGCGGCGCTGCGAGGTAGCACTGCTATCCACAGCCCCTCACGTATCTTGCGTACACAATGGCAGCCCTACAGTTCCCGGGCCGAGGCGTCGCAACAGGCGAGCCCGGTGGCCACGGCCGCTGACGACCAGACACCAGCTGCGCCTTTTCACATAGACCATGAGTCGAAGACGATCAAGACGGCGGTTGGCGACCTTCCCCTGTCCCCTGTCATGGATCCGACGTTCTGGGAGGCACGCGACCGCTTCAAGAAGATGAAGCCGAAACCGGGCAAACCACAGAACGTCTTCGAGAGGGAATTCCGGAAGAACCCTTTTGGTATGAGGGAACAACACCCGCTCATGCCGCGGTGCTATTGCTAACAGTCCGTCAAGCACAGGCTCTAGCCACCCCGGTGCGCCATGACATGACGACACAAACACGCCTGCCCAGCTTCTTCTTCCAGGACTTCAAGCTCATCACACACCCGGAGACGGGCAAGCCGTGGTGGGTGCCGCGGAGCCTTGCGCTGCACGAGCCCCCGACGGCCACCGAGTCCCCCGAATATTCCGAGAACATGGGGGAACCGGCCGAGGAGGACACGGGAGTCACGGGCAGCGGCGACGTAGCTCCCAAGGCAACGGCTGCTGCGACAGGCCTGATTCCGAAACCCGGCAGCGCCTTTGCGCCCTCGGGATATGTCCTGGCCAGGCAAGACTTGATCAAGTCCGTGCTCGACCGCAAGTCTCGCAATTTCAACCTTCACCGGCGATTGCTTGCACAGACATCAACTAGACACAAGCCTGTAGGAGGCACCGCTGTGTGGCGGGAGGACATGGATACACTGATACTCGACCAGATGCGCCAGCAGATCGTCCAGAATGTCCTGTACCTCTCGCAGATGTGTGAGACTGCGAACCGGTATTACATTGTGCGGTGCTTTGGCTGGGACGACATCAAGTTCAAGCATCGAGGTGCGGTCCTGTGGTTCGGTCGTGAAGCCGGCGAGGAGACCGGGAATGATGTTGTCAAGCCTGGCCGCTTTGCCACTTATGACTTTGAGACTTCGGGAGGTGCCGCCAAGACCAGTGTTCTAGTTCACAACATGCCCATGCTCCTGGGAGATCAGTACTCCGAACAGCTGCGACGGGAGGCCGGCGTCTTCAAGGAAGGGTCACTCTTCATGCTTGCGGGGCGGAGAACCACAGACTTGCAGTTGATGCTCTGGAAACTTCAGGGGTACCTGTCGGACTCGAGCAAATCGTGAAAGAAGACTTGCATCAGTTCGTGGTGGTTAGAGCCACAGACGCCAGTATTCATGTGTGGTTTGGACTCATCATGGGCAGAACACATATGTGAGGACGACTGATAAGCATAGTAGTAGTCGGCAACCTTTTTGCTATATATAGCTATCAATCGACTTTTTTTTTTTTTTTTTTTTCGCAAACTACTAAGGAAACGCTCTTGTATGTTCCCCATAGCCGTCTATTTGCTCCAAGGGTTCAAGCCGCTGAGGATGCTAGACTCCTGCTCCTGTCCGGCCACGCCCTCGTCCTCGGGGTTGAAGCCGCTGCCGGGCTGCTTATTCTTCATGGCCTGCTTGCCCGACGCGGTCGCCTTGACGCCGCCCATGTCCTTGGGCTGGCCCCGCATGTACTCGGTCTCGCGGGTACCCGCGTGGGCCCCGGCGCCGCGCTGGTACTCGGACATACTGATCTCGGGATTCATCGTGGCCCCGTGATGCTCCGCCGCCATGTGGTGCGTCTCGTGGATCGGGTTGAGTGTGTGCACCACCTCGGGCTGGATCGTTTCCTTGTTGATCACGGGCTGGATCGTCTCGTGGATGTGGCTGATCGTGCTGTGTCAGTGATCGATGCTAATAATCTTAGGAAGAGGGGGGTACTAGGTGACGGCTCACTGGTGCATATGCTCGCCCTGCTGGGTCGGTGCGTTCTCCTTGGAATACCGGGTGCCTTCGACGTTCCGCTCATCGTGGAACTTGGCGGCCTCGCGCTGGGCCCTCTCGGCGGCCTTATTGTCGCGGTAGTCGAACTCGCGGTTCTCGGTCTGGTTCTGCTTGAACGAATGCTTCTCCGGGAGGACTTGCTTGTCCTTGATGGGCTGGACGGTGCGGTGGTAGTGGTCCTTGTGCACCTCCTTGTCGACGGCCGTGTTGACCTCTTCGTGCTGCATGGGCTTGACCGTCTCGTGCTTCACGGGCCGCTCTTCCTTTCTCTCGACAGTGGTGTCATGCTCACCAGCCTGCGACATGAAGCCTTGGATTGATTCTTTGGCCTTGCCGAGGGGGTTGGAGGGGAGGTTGGACGCCATTTTCTTCAAGGCACGTTTGTGTAATCGGTAGAAAGAGGTTATGAACAAGGATCAATCCTAATTATGTGATGTTGGATGAAGGCACTGGTGACCTATGTTGTGGTTGTGGCACTATCCCGTCATTATAACTCCCAATCCCCCAGAGTTCTAGGCATGTCAGCGTGAACTATAAAGCTCACGTCACTACCACTATACATTTGAAGACAGGCTCTCACTTGTAGAGTGCGGCCATGATGTATACGATTGGGAGTAATCGCAACCAATCTGAAAAGAGTTCTATGCAACAATTTCTGTACACTGCAGCCATGTGTCGATGATGAAGACGAACCCGGCCATGGCAGTCCACCGCCATCATCACTGCCGCATTTACCTTTGCCGATGTCTGCTTATAGATCGCATGGCACTTGCAGCCGGCAAGGATGCATTTATTTGCGAAGACACATACCTCCTACATCATGAACCAACAAGAGAGGTTCGGCCCTTCCAAAGCCTTTTCGATCTGGAGACCATGAAGGGCGAGCCCCCGAGCGGCCGCATTCGACTGCATAGTATTCATTCGACTTAGCTGATTAAGAAACCGGCAATTGTCTCACCCAGGCTAGCAGGCTAGAAACACTGTCGTTAAGCGTTATGTGGGGAAGTACTGCGTTAAGCTTTCTGCTCTTTTACTGTGGCATGAGAGGAATCAAGTTTCGCATGGTGGATTGAGTTAAGCCTAGATGGCTTCAGGGGCAAGATGCAAGCTTACCTGAATCACGTTCTTGAACCAGCATTCCATATGGCTAGTGGAATCGAAGTGCGTGCGCATGGCCGATTGACTTAGGCTTTGGGTCCATCCTGCCCGTTTTCTGCAATGGCTGAGTCTAAGAAACGTCACTCAGTTTGCCATACCTGCCAGGCTCGCCAGGTTTTGAGGTCCATCAAAGCTTCAGACCTCATGTTGTCGGATGCGCGCCGTCATTGACTACAGACCGTCCAATCATGGCGCAGAGATTCGACCTCACCTGGTTCTGGTGTGAGCTAGTAATCGGGATGGCATTACTTCGCATGCTGCTATGCGCTGACAGCACCAGGTAGATGGACAGTGAGTCAGGCACGGTTCAACGCTGCAGTCCTGCTGCATTGCTGCGTACCTCAAAGTATGACGCAGGTTCGGACTCATTAAGTTTGACTGCAGACTAGCCGTTAGTTGGCTGCAGGCCACACTGACATAACCACCGGGCCACATGTATTTGATATGGAAATGGCGCGTCCAACGCCGCCGTCATCGCACAAGCCGGATATCCGCAAAAACGGTTGTTCGTTGATAAACTATGTGTTCAACACCTGATGCCAAGATAACCGTGCCAGGTTAATCGAGATGGTCGAGCTCAATAGCGACGTATTGTGTCATCTTGGACGCGATGCTCGTTGCTGATTGGACAGTCTAGCAATTAGTCCCACGGGCCGGCAATCTTGTGCCGAGTGCCAACACCCACACGTGCTGCACAGCCAATCAGCACATGCTCTCAAGGAATGCCTAGAAGCTGTTCTTGGCTCGTTCGAGGCTGAGGCTCTGTTGATGGTGGGATGTTTTCTCTTAAAGGGCATGTTCCTCCCCTTGGCTGCCAAGTATGGTTTGGTTTAATCTTGCATTCCACCGTGAAATCCTGCATAAATCTATTGTATCTGCCGCATCTACATTTTGAAGCAGTTTGACTTAAGAATAATATTCTATTTTACTCCACGAGAGCGCAATATGGTATTTCACACACCCTTATTGTCCTTAGATCGTATACTAATGTTCCCAGATTTTGCCCCGCCAAGTGTATAGTGGCTACAGAGGCCCATCGCAAGTCCGCAGGATAGGAGGCGGTGCGGTGGCCGGAATTGTCATTGGTGTGATAGTCTTCGTACTGTTCTGGGCGCTGTTGTGTTGTCTGTGTTGCGTACGGGCGCGCAGGAGAAAGCGAAGAGAGGCCGGCTACGTCGAAACCGGGAACGGCGGACTCTTCTCTCGCTTCGGTGGAGGAAGAAGGAGTCAAGCTGAACAGCCAATGGTGCAGCAGGGAGGTCACTATCCGCCGCCAACTCAGGGAGGTTACGGGCCAGGACCTTACCAAGAGTCCGGTGTGGCCCCCCCTCCGCCGGTTTATCGTTGATCTTTGAGAGAGCATATTGCCAGAGAGAGTATATATTAGTTTTGGGTCGAGATTTTGATACTAAACCATCATTTGTGCAATTCATACAGGAATGTTAATAGTTGTAGCATCATATATGAACCGTGTGGGTGAATTCACATTATCCAAACGTCTTGATAAGACCCTGAGGGCTCGTATTCTTCCTTCGGTTTGTCGATATAGTACCTCAGCCACCCTAAGCGTTCAAATGTCTTGCAGCCGTCAAGGTCCCTTTCCAAATTACGCAATAGAACACCACCTACCCAGCAGTATGAACTGGGTGTTTCTTCGAATTGAGGAGTCTGGTTCTCTATCCCAAACGGCATAAAGTACGATTCTTCCAAGACACTCCATAGTTGACTCTCATCCTTCCAAAATTGGTAGTCAGTCCAAATATTTCCAAGATTGTCTGGATTTTCTGGATCATCGATGATGTTGATTTGCAATTGGGGTGGCTTGTTCGTGGTCAATGGCCCTGCTAAAGACGTCGACCCGGGATTTGTAACGTCAGCGGGTCTTAATTGCTTGTATACATTACAGGAGCGGAACCCAGGATGTGTTTTTTCCATTTCATCTTCAACCTTGCGAAGCGAAACAACAGCCAGGTTGCCATGAATCATTACGCCGCCATAGCTTTCCACACCTTGGTCGACGTTTGGGATTTTCTTCAGCTTCCATCTCCGGTCGATTAATTCAGTATTACTGGACCAGGAAACGCTTCCTTCGGCGGCTGAGATCCAGGACCAAGATGGTGCTTCACATTGGCGATAACCAGCCGTCCTGTCGTACCAATCGTTCGACCACAACAAGTCATCTGCCAGTGACTCCGCCCAACTCCCGAAGAGATAAGTGTCACTGATCCCTCGACCGGTGATGGCGCGGCCTATGACCTGGCGTATACCATCGAGCGCCGGTAGCTTGTCAGACGGGAAGCTAATCTGTCTCTGGCTATAGGCCTCGACCATATCACGCCAGAAACTGAACAGCTTATTGTCATGTAGCGTTGACAGATGTGCGAAGAAGTACTTCGTTGCGGCGCAGTTCAGTAAGGCCGGCAATTCATGAGTGAATCTGGCGTTGAAGCCATGCTGACTCGTTGAGCAAGAACATGCAACATCATCGAGGCATTCCCACATGATTTCGTTCACGGCAAAGCATAGGAAACGTCTGGAGAGCAGCCTCTCCTGGAACACCCATCCACGAGTCATAAGGGGCATGACTGGACCGCCGGGCCAGTCCTCTTCATCAGGATGCGGCAAGCGTATCCGCAGAAATATCTCATATTCACAGTTCGAATCTGCGATCTTGAAAGAGTGCGGCTTACTAAACCTGGGAGGACTCTCCCGAAAGAAGCCTCCATCGTCGTCAGAGCTGGCACCGGCTGCCAGTGTGATATACGCATTCGCGTAGATTCCCGCCATGATCTTGACATGATGCTCCCAGTCGATTTTATCATCCTGGACGATACACATCGAGTCAATCCATAGATACCTCACGTGTAGTGCACGTGCAACCTCAATGGCGTCCTTGAACGTTTGTGGAAGCTCTGATAGCGTAATGCCCGTGCTATTCGCTTCCAACGTTTCTTTAGTGGTGATGCGCTTGGAACGCGTCTTGCCCCAACAATGACTCAGGCATGCATATTGCGGTCTCGACAAGGACGTCCCCGAAAGAGCTGAGTACTCAACAAGACGAACCATTGTCAACGGGCTGGCACCAATATCTAATACGCGCTTAGGAGATTCATTGCCGCGCGCGTGACAAGCTTTATGACCCCGTTCGCATCGGCTTAGCCATTGGCGAATGGTTCCCAGGTTATCCTTCAACTTAGTTGTGTGTGGAATTAGGCTCCCTTGACGTACATGCTTGAATCGAGGCGTAAGAGGAAGCGTGAAAATGTCGACATCGATGACCGTCCTATTGTCCGGGAAGACGTGTAAATACAGATGACCTCGTCGTTGATTGAAATATATGCTCTGGTCTCCGGTCTGGTCTACCCCTTTTGTGGCGTAGCTCCATCCCTCAACTAGAATCCGGCACCCCACGCATCCGGATTCCGATGATGAGAGTAACGTGGCATAGTTATCGCACCCGATCTCGAATTCCTCGTTTTCGCGATCATCGCTTGTCCAGTCTGGATATCGGCACACTCCGCATGGAGTTGCGTCAGGTGATAATAAGCTAGTTGCATGCGCCATGGCACATTGAAGCAATGGACTCCACCGGTACAACTTCAACAGACGGCTGGACGGGAAAGAATCTCATATATTTCCAACTAATATGCGCGTGGGGTGAAGCGATATTACGTTGTGATCATTGGCCCCTCAAAGACAAGAAGGGTTAAGTAAAACACGCAGTGTCCCCGCGTCTCCATGATCGGCTGAAGGACGACCTGATTGGCTGGGTGGAGCACTCAACACATGCTGAAGCTCGCAAAAATATAAATCCTTTCACTGATCGATGTCCTTGAGTGGGGAATTACAACGATGACTAATCATTGGTATACTGAACATCTTGCATTTGGTATGTTCTTGAATGAAGGCGATATTTACTCGCTATGGTCTTCAACACTATCACCTGCCAAGCTCTTGCATGAAAGTCAACTTGATTTCTCCTCGCGCCACAACCTAGGCTATGCTTTCCACCTTCAAGTTGCAACAAAGTCCTCCAGGCAACGCGTCTTGCGTGCCCAGCTGCTCCATGGTCTTTGAGTTGGTGAAAGAAGCCGGGTCCTCGGATATATGAAATGTTAACAGGAGATACGCAACCTGGAGCTAGAATCAACCTTATCAAGTGCCTTCCCTAAGCAAACGCGAGCTCCATGCCCAAAATTGTAGTAACGCTCCATGTCGCGCAGTTTCTCGAGGTTGGCTTGCATCCGGGGATTCGGGTTGTACACTTGCGGCTCATAGAACACGGTTTACCGTCATACTCCTTGCGTACAAGCACTACCCTTTTGGCTCTGCTATTAGAAACGAGAGGGTGACAGCGTGAGCCGGAAGGTGCTCTTCGTCGAGAATCTGTCTTTCAATCCCGCTTCAGACCAATGACACCGACCCGACGCATTCCCGTGATACACACTAAACAGGCAAAGGCCATCCATCCGAACATGGTCCAAAATGCGGTCCTATAACCCCTCATTAAAGAGTCAGGCGAGGACTTATTAGGCAAAGCATTGGTTACCGACGCGGCAATAACCTGAGTAACGCTTAACCCAATTGCACTCCCAAGCTGGGCGCATGTATTGAACACGGCTCCGCTAAGAGCCTGCATATGCGGAGGAAACACATTTGAAATAATCAGGAGGCCGATGGTGAATAGCAGGTCACAGCTAATAGGAGTAAGGATCTATAAGACGAGATACATCATTAGTAACTCATAGACCTGAAAAGTGTGGTATCTCCCGAAGGTATGTTTGCAAGAATTACAGCCTACGTACCTGTGCGAAAAAGGCATTCCCCCAGTATAACTGGTCAATACGGACCAAGCCCATGAGGAGTGGCGCAACAGTACTCATCACGGACCCGATTGACAGCATCCATATGACAGGCATACGGTGCACGAAGATGCCCGTTGCAATACTGATCAATGCACCAGCGACGAGAGAGGGCACAACTTGGAGTGAAGCCTGAATAGCCGAAGATCCTTGGACCTGTTGGAAGCTACGAGCAGCAAAAGGTATGAGTAAAGGAGCTTGCCCAATTGCCCTCATGAGATAAATGGTACAGCAGTGGAATGAAGAAGAAACACTCACAACAGACTACTATACAGCTCCATGCAGTTGGTCAGCCCATTAGTAAGAAGCACCATAATGCAGCAACTGGTAAATACATGGCTGCGCCATAACGAGTTTGGAATTAGCGAGGTGCGATTCTTCTTCTTCCGGTAGTGCATCCAGCCGATGAAGGATGGAACCGAGAGGGCGCTAATAGCAAGCAGGACGATACTAGCGACTGAACGGATGTTATGAATGTCGGCTGATAGTGATCTGCAAATACCTCGTCAATGTCCCCTCCGTAATTGCGTGTAGGTATACGCAATAAAAGAAAGTTGTAGCGTGATATAGTCAATAATTGTGTACTACTTACGCCAAAACATAGGATATAGAAGCCAGCCCCGTGCTCGATACGACGATTCCTATGCAGTCGATATCCCGAGCGAGTTTCTTCCATACCGGCAGACCAGGCTCTAACCGAGGATCTCGCGGTAAAGCCCAGATACTCGCTAGAAACAAGGCACCTGTAGCTGCTGCCGCGAGGTAAAAGGCCGGCCGCCAGCCCAAGGTATCAGTAAAGACCCCTCCTAAGATGAGACCAAAACAGAAGCCAATAGGTTGGGAAAAGCCCATACAGGCAAAGCCAATATTGCGAGGTTTCCCTTCATCTAAGCTCTTAGAGACGATAGAGACGGACGAAGGTGTGACAACGGCATACGCCAGTCCTTGGAGGGCACGGAAAGCGATAATCTGGCCACCAGTGCGAGCCAACCCACAAGCACTTGTAAATATGGCGCTAAGGAATGATCCGGTGAGATTGACTCGTTTGTTGCCAGAGACATCGGCCACGGAGCCGGCTAACAAGAGACACGACCCTGCAGCAAGGAAGTAACTGGAACTGGGCCAGACGAGCAGACTCTCGTCCAAGCCCAGCTCCGCCTGGATAGCGGGCAGAGCGATCACGATGATACCATTACAGTAGCTGCTGAAGAAGGACTGGCCGCAAACCTGAAGAATCACAAGAGCCGTCCGGCTTCTAGAAACGACAGGTGTCGCTACTGCCGCTGCCGCCACATAATGCTCCTCCTCAGATGCTGCACATGCATTGGTTCCGGCTACGGACAGCTGTATCTCGGCTGATGTTCCAGAGTGATTCCGGAATTGAGTTCCGACTGATGATGTAGCAGGTTCCAAAGTTTGCAACTCAGTCACCGTCTGTGCTGCCATTTTTTGAAGGACTCGGTATCCGAGGCAGTGGAGTTTGCGAAATGACTGCACGATATGAGGCGACTCTGGAGAAGAAATTGGCGGATACGGTATTGAGATACTACTGCAAAGAGAAGGTAGTGACAGATCTGCGGAGTATTAAGATCATCCTTTTGGTCGTTATTTAATTCGGTTCCGGGAGACTGCAGTTGTGGGACAGGGGTCAGGAAGTAAAACAGAGGCACAGTTTGGGAGAAAAGGCTGGTGGGGAGAAGAGAAGGCTCCCCAATTAATCAGCGCCTGGCTGGCCCCACATGAGTCGCAATCTGAACTCCCAGAAGTCTGAAACCTACGGGAATTGGTGTTATGATTGAACCATAGCATTGAGGATGAAAAACTCGGAATAGTGGAAACCTCCGCGTCGACTCAATCTAGTGGTACGCCGAGTGACAAGCTTGCAGCATATGAGGTGATCGTTGGCGCTTGCAGAATGAAACGGAGTTGATGTCCTCCACAGACACGCTCATAGATGATGATGGCGGTTGCATCCGAGCTATGATCACGTGCGGAACATAGTAGAAAAAGGGGGAAAAGAGAGAAGAAAAGAAAAAAAGGAAAAGAAGGGTGGTAAAACAGCATGACCTATTTAGTAGTATTGCTTAGTTCACGAATTCTCTACAAAATTCGTAGAAATGTGTGCTACTTTGCTCAATTGGCTCAGGTTTCTTAAAAAGGCAGCCAGCCGTAGGTCCGTATTTAGACACCAAGGCCCAAGTGACAAGTCTGTATCTTCCATATCATGCGCTCGGTTAGCTGTTTACGCTACAGATACATTCTTGTTGACTGTTATATAGACACTAGGAGCGTCATCCGAAGGCTACCATGCGTGGACAGATGTATCACCCTGGTGGTGAAGGAACTACCCAACCGTTTAATAATCTACTTTAATATCTTATGGACGCAAGTCCATTGCACCTGCAGGTGGGATTTTGGTATGAGCGTGAGGTTTGGCGGGCGCTATAGGGTATGTGACATGCATTACTTATTACGTCTATATACCTCTCTCCTTCATCCTGTGTTACCAGCCATCGCCCAGGATACGTCTTTTTCAGTATCGTAATTGTGCACATACTATCACCGAAGTAATTGCTGTTGCAATTAAAGCGTAGTGGGTAGCAGGTACAAGTTTGTACTGTTAGTCTAAAGTCTAAATCCAATACTCAGCGACCATCCTCGGAGATAAAGGAACACAACATGTTATCGTTAAAACTCGGAAGACTCGCACAATGGCTTACGGACCAGCTCCCAGACATAGAAGTAAAAAGTACTGACCAGTCTTTATTATATGGGAAGGCCGGTGATAGCGAGGAAAATAGAGACCATTTTAGGGATAGTAAGAAGTTTCTTCATTTGATTAGACAACTTGCGGTACATGGTCCGCGATCTATTGTGCGAATCTTCTGAGTTTTAACGGTATCCTTGTACTGAATACCTACCTCGGTTGTTAAATAACTCTAACAATTGCCCCACCTTCGGCCGAGACACCGTCGGCGGAGATAGGGGTTAGCGGATCGAGTCATGACCGGCCTCCGGATGACGTGTACGATAATACATGCCTCCCTTAACGAAACTGTATGGTAATCGAAGTGACTATTGCTATGCCAGGAGAAAAGGCATAATAAGATGCCTTGCGAATGGATAGCCCCGATGAAAAAAGACTTACGGACTCTAACTTCGGCTTCGGCTTTAGTGGACTGCTCATGTCACTAGGAAGTATAAAACTCGTTACTGTTGCCAAGCCAGCAAGCCATGTAGCCCATGTAGTTGTATGTCCTAAGTAAGACAACTGATCACCGCTTCAACTTGACATTCAAACCTGACCGAGACAAGGCTGCAATTTACCCCGATTTCTTCCTTATACTCTATTAAAATTCCAAATGTCGTTTTCTGCTCTCCCGGCGAGTCTGCCCAGTCTCAGCAACCACGAAGCCATCGCTGACGCCCTATACCGGGCCGTGCTGGCGTTCGACCACGGCGATGAGGAGCTATTACGCAGTGCCGTTACCGATGATATAACGGCCGAGATGCCGGGCAGCCCACCTACTAGCGGTATTGCGGCGCTCAAGGCAAGCGTGTTCGACCGCGTGGCGTTTGGAATAGACACAACCCATTTTCTCTCCAATATCAGGGTGAATCTAGCGAGCGCGAGCGCTACTACGGCTCAGGTATCGTGCTCCGCTCTCGCGCAGCACGTTCGTAAAGGCAAGGGGTACGAGCCTGGGAACAAGTTTACAAGCGGTTGTATGTATTTATGTGATGTAATCAAGGAAGAATCCTCGAGTTTGTGGAAAATCGAGAACTGGAAAATCCATATCATCTGGGTCGATGGGGACAGAAGTGTGATGACAGGTCAATAATGGGATAGTTATGCCTTACGACCTGGTTCAACCTCATAGATAGTCTGTACGTCTGGCACAGGTGGATTGCTTGCAATAAACCATGTTTCTCCCTCCACTGTTTGTTTGAATGCGTGGAGGTGGTGGCAAATGTCTTCCTATAAGTTTTAGGACTGCTCCTACCTTACCCATTCCTACAGAATTTCTTCACAAGTTGGCCAAGTTCTACGGCACTTGATGAGACCGTAAGTGATTCCTAGGACAAGTCGCTCCTAGTTGCCCATCTCACGTCGACGAAGGTTGCCTGGACTGGTATTCTGTCCCTCTTAGGAATTAGTGTTCTTTGCGCGCCAGTCCAGTCAGAAAAGTATTATTAGTATCTCAAATTCAGCAGCAGAGTTTCTCAAACGAAGTCAGACATAAAAGATCATAGAAAGATTCTAGTCACCCTACCCCTTTCATCTCCTACACTCATATCCGTCTGCGCCGCTCGGGATGCGGCCTTGTAGCGCGACTTCTTACCATGTAAAGAAGTACCCAAGCCCCAACAACTTTTGGCCAAGATATTTGAGTCACTTGGCTTTTTTGGGATCCAGCCTCCTTTGACGTCCTTCAAGTGTGATAAAAGCGTGGCAACGTCAAACATAAAGGAGCTCTTGCGGCGGTCAAACTTTGCAGCCCACTCCTCTATCCCATTTTGATTTCTTCCAGAAGTAACAGACCTGTGATCGCTGTCTTAAGACAACAGATCTGTCTCGATTGCCTCAAACATCTAAGCGCAAAGTTAATTCGGTTTAATTATATACCCTCGTTTTATATAATGAAGCTTGTTATCTGATTAATTAAAAGCAACCTAGTAGAAGTAGTTAAGTAGGGTTGCGGGTTCTTAACACGCGATATCTTTATATGCAACGCACCTAACTTATGGCCTAGCCTTAGTGAGTCATACGCGAATTTATAGATTTCTCGGGCCGTTACTGTTTATACTGAGTAAAGCGGTCTATATAAAGGATTAATCACGAGACAACATGTTTACTCCACAAACAACCTAACGATAAGGGAACGTTAATTAATGAAATAATTAAATGATTAATAAGTATTTTAATTATTTTACTTATAAGTTTTTAATTTAAATAAAAAAAGGATTGTGTAATAAAATGGTTATAAGCCTCGGAGAGGACACTTATGTGATTGTAATATATTTTTAAACTTAATAGTTATTATAAAAGCCTGCATTTTCAGTTCCATACCCTGAGCTTTTAGACGACTTTATATTAAAGAGACTATCTCTTTTTACAAGAACGCTTGACACTAGGATACCATGTTTACCACTAGAATGCCATACGTCATAGTGAATTTCGCGATCTAAGAGTATATCTTACTATATTGATATTTTCTACTGAGACTTGGACCGTGATTGCTGGGTTTAATATAAGAGTCAACTATTATGTGAAACTGAATCCTCTTGAAAGGAAGAATCATTGCACGTGAATCGAAAGGGGAAGTGTCACAAACTTAAAAGTACATCAACGAGCTTAGGGAAAATAGGCGTTCTGTTTTTTTTTTATCAGTAACTGAACAATATGATGGAAATGACTATTTGTGTCGACTTACCCAAGGCCTGTAACTGGATCCCACCCCTTGGCTGCCAAGAAACCGGTTGAATTACACCCAGGGTTAGAACCCTTCGTGACATCTGTGAAAACCTCAGGGTGGGAATACTGTCAAAACAGTTAGTATGTAAGCCCTCAGTCGTTAAAGTTTAACGATCTTACCAAAGTAGGTTGAATGAAGCCGACAGTGCTTTTATCGGCCGCGAGGCGTTGCTCGTTAACAAGTGTGAGTACCGCCGCCCATATTGGCGCTGAAAGCGATGTGCCACCAACACGGGCCCATTGGCCCTGGGTGAAAACCACGTAGAAGTCACCAATGGCAGATACGTCGGGGTACCCACGTCCACCAATCCTGTAGACGCCGTCGCCCACGTCACTGAAGTTCGTGCCAGCATCTTCGTAGCCAGTGAAGCCGAGGCTGACCTCATCAAAGTAACTGGAAATGGCGTCTGTCTGCCACTCAGGTGCGTCAAAGTAGTTGGAGAAGCCGCCGCCACTTGGGAATCGTGCGGTAGCCGACTCGTAGTAAGTGGTGCTGCCGTTACTAACATGGTTGAACTGTGTAGAACCAATTGCTAAAACATACGGGCACGTCGCGTCAGCGGATGGATAGAAGACTTTCGCGTCAGGTCCAGCGCAGCCGTTCTCCAAGCCAAAGTCTCCTGGGTAGGACGCAACACCGTAGTCGCCAGATGACTCGATGACAGTGACGCCCTGCAACCCAAGCTTCATAATCTCGTTGCATTGGCGTTTCAGATAGTTAGCAGGTAGATCAGACTCTCCGCCACCATACGAGATAGAGATGACATTCGTAGGCTGATAAAGCCCGCACTGCAACTGGCCCGTGTAACCACCAGGGTTGGGATCGGGATACACAGGATCAAGACAGTCAGGCTCAGTGCAGTCACCAGTCTGATTGAACGCCGAGTATGTACAATATGACCCATCAATTGCGTCAAAGAAGGTGTTGTAGAAGCCGAGGTAGGGCGTGTCTGCGGAGGTTTGGTTGATTTCATAAAATTCGTCGTCCGTTTGGAATAGAACTGTCTTCTGTGGCCAAATCAGTGGCCACGCGGCTTCAAAATCCAAGTCTGACTCAACACCTGCGTCGGACTGCGTATATCCTGGAACGTCTTCAACAGCACCAATAGCACCATCAATGAGCCTCCCCTCGGGATACGTTGCCTCGGGCACATACGGGTAGAGCGCTGCGAAAAAACTGTCGAGGTCTTCTCTACTATAGTGATCATCCAGTGACTCAAAGATGCCGAGCTCGTTCCCAGGCGTTGCGAGAGTGTTGTTGGGAATACCGTACTGCTCTCTGATGCAAGCAGTGGTAAGTCGGAGCACCCACATATGGGCCCCCCCTGCATTTGGGTCCCCTGTTCACCAACCACCCGATTTTCCTACCATACAACAATTTACCTCACTGTTCAACCAAACCTTCTTCAAATCTCTTCAAACTTCGTGTATATATTAATTTACTAGCTATGAAGTCGTATTCTAAACAAGACCTCTAGGAAGCCATCGCTGCCATAGCTAATGGGGTAGGGATCAAGGAATCCTCCCGGGAATTCGGTATTCCCAAATCGACACTTCAGAATCGAATACGAGGTCACTAACCAAGATTAGAAGCATTTGCGAACCAGTAGAGGCTTCTACCAAGTCAAGAAGAGTGGTTGTTAACGTGGATACTGGCCCAGGACGCTCTAAGGCTTGCCCCAACGCACGCCCAAATCAGGGAATTTGCCGAGCGTGTCCTCCACGCCCAAAGAGACACTCAACCACTTAGGAAACGCTGGCTACAAGGCTTCCTACGCCGGAATCCTAATATATTGACCCAACGGAGTATTCCCATTGATTTTAAGCGTGTTAATGGTGTTACCGTCGAGGTAATTCGGCCGTGGTTTAATTATTTTTATGTCCCGTTAGTTAAAACTATTAAACCAGCTAATCGTTATAATATGGACGAAGCAGGACTCTTAGAAGGTGTAGGGACTAATAGATTGGTCCTCGGTAATACCTAGAAACGCTCAATTCGAAAGAAACAGCCTGGTTTACGAGTTTAGACTTTTTTTATCGAATATATCTCTACCCACGGTCGTGCCCTCCCTCTATTAATCATTTTTAAAGGTAAATCGGTTTAGTAATAGTGGTTTCCTATCGATTTGAAGGACTATAAGGACTGGCACTTCACGGTAACTGATAATGGGTGGATATCAAATCCTACGGTAGTCGAATGGTTATAGAAGGTCTTTATCCCGAATACAACACCTAACAACCCTAAAGACTTCCGTTTTCTAATTATAGATGGTTACGGTAGCTATACAGCCATAGAATTTATATATCAATACTATAGCTATCGAATTTTGTTTATATATTTACCTCTATATACTTCTCACGTCCTCTAACCTCTCGATTTGGCCGTATTTAGTGCTTTGAAAACGGTTTACCGCAAATACCTCGGATACTTCAATTAATTAACAGATAACACGGTAGTCGGCAAGCGTAACTTTCTTAGCTACTACCGTAGGGCCCGTTTGGATGGTTTGACGGGCCAGAATATTAAGAGTGGCTGGAAAATAAGTGGTCTTTGGCCCGTTAGCGTGACCAAGCCTCTGATGAGTCGCAATTTGGTCAATTCAGCTCCCATAACACCTGGAGGCACGCAGGTAGCTCCGGGACATCAAAATACGGTAAATTCGAGGCCTATATAGTGTATGGTAGATTCTGAAGCCATGTGGTCGACCCCCAAGAAGACCTCAGAGTTGGTAGATTAAATACGGTAATTTAACACTATACATCACCACACGACTACACAACGTTAACTCTTTAGGAAGATTCACAAGGTATTCGACGATAAGAACATTTAATTAGCTATTAATTAACGGCAAATCGAGGCTCTGGAGGCAAGGCTTGAGGCGGTCAGACCAAGGAAGAGGAAGAAGGTAGAATTGAGCCCAAATTCCAAGTTCGCCAATATCGAGGACATCTACAAAGCGCAAATCGCTGCCGGTGAAGTCGAGACTAGTTTAGATGAAGAAAGCGACGGTGAAAGTACTAGTTCTATTGCATCCTGTATCGTGGTAGAGGTCAATTAATTTAATAATAATTGTTGAGTTGTGGTGTTGAGTTTTGAGACCTATTAATTACCGGGGGCCCAAATGTAGGGGGGGCCCATATGTGGGTGCTCCGACTTAACATATGTGTCGCAAACACTTGAGTTCAATGGGGGAAGGCTAGTGGCAGCACCATTGTCGTCTGTGAAGAACTCCAAGTTGGTGTACATGGGTTGCGTGCTGCGCCTTTCAACTTCTTCTCGCTCCTGGCGACGCTTCATCTTCTTCAGCTTGCCAGGATCTGCTCGTAGCCTGACACCAGGAGTGATATAGTCAACATGCTCACGCAGCTCTAAAGGGAGATGATACTCTTCGGTAGCAACTGTTCTACTGCCCGAAGCATTGTGCTCATACTCGAAGTAGTCAGTGACTAGGAGCTTCTCTACATCCTCCACACGCGCATCAAACTGAATCCACTGTTTGTTGGCCGAAAGAGAGATCTTTTCAGCTGCGATTCCAGCGTCGGTCAGCCATTTTCGCACTGCCTCTACAGATGCCTTTGGTGGTGCGAACATCTCTATGACCTCTTCAGACGACATGTGTTTTCCGTAGTCTGGAGATCGTGGGTCGGAGCTAGAAAACCACGTTATGATGGGTATTGCACAGACGATCGGTGCTCTTCTTACATCCTCTTCAGATGGCGCGCCCCTAGCTCTAGGTTCCGTTGAACAAGGCCGATTCGCATTGGTAACAGCGCTCGAGCAGGCGCCTTGTCCTTCTTAGCCCACTGTCGCGACCAGTGCGCCTGCTGCCGCTCATGAAGTCCATGGGTAGCCGGTAAAGCACGTTTGCGACTATCACGACCCAAACCGGTAAGGGGACTTGCCAAGGCGCCTACGGCAAGGCCTCCGGTAAGAGCGACAACAAACTGTCCGAATAACATGGTGAAAAGGCCTAAGATAATAGTCAAGCTTCAGATGGTTGACTTGCCAAGCTTCAAGTTCGCCAAGCTAACTTGGCGGCCTCCACAGTCGGTATTTATACGCAGGCATCAGGAAGTCCCTCAATGGGTATCCTAGTCTAAGGCGGTTCCTGTTTACGTAGATGGCTGTCAAAAGTACCGCACCTATCTTCCCCATACCCTGTGCATCGCGTGCTTCATGACGCGGAGAATTGAGTTGTTCCAGCAGTAGCTCGGGCAGTCAGCCGAAAAGCTTCGTTGTCACCTTCCTGAATGAGAAAATTTGGCGATATGATCCCTGTTGGAAATGTCACGCTAACCCTCATATAGTGATGAAGTGGAGTCAATCCCTGTTGAGCGTCGTGATATAGCGAACCTAAAGTAGTAGTGAAATTCATGGTAAACCTCCCACTCTATAATACTTGCTTGATACTGCTTGCCTCATAGACGAACTGTATAATACGTTGAAATATCTCTTCAAACGTGAAAGCTTCTTTAAACCAGCTTAGGTACCAAACGGTTGGTCTATTTGGTCACGGAGATCATTGTGAAATCTGTGTATGACTTGACAGGCAGCTCAAAGGCGTTCAATGAGTGAACATTAAGCAAACAACAACAACTAACAGGTCACTATGTCACAGTGGGTTGGCATTAATAACTTGATAGATTGATATTACCAGATCCGGTTGCCGAATGTGCCGGCCCGCTATCGTCCTTTGTGTAAACCTGGCAGTAACTAGATGATTGGTGGGTGAGGCTTTGTCGAATGGTAAGGGGTAGATGCTAACTCAGCTGTTGTGATTCTCTTTGACGATAGTTGCCACCGAACATCTTATATGAAGGGGGTAATAATTGCGTGGTACTACGGCATTTCATTTCGACCTTCAAGGCGCCATGATCTGATAAGCCGAGGAGAGGAGTATTTCAGTCGGTACTCCAGAAGAAAAAAAATTTATCATAAGGCGCAACTCCCAACTGTTTCGAAAATCGACCATCATGCGTTTCATCAGCTCCATTCTCGCAGTGAGCTTTCTGTTGACGGCAAATGCCGAAAACTGGGAAGGCGTTCCTACTGTTGGCCAGGATGTCAACGGACTGAAGTATATGGGCTGTGCTATCGAAATACCTGGTCGTGTCCTCACTGGGCCGTCCTTCTCAGACGATTCGATGACCATTGAGGCCTGCTCTCAGTACTGTACCAACAACTTCTTCACTCTCTCCGGTGTTGAGTACGGCCGAGAGTGCTACTGCGGCAAGTACATTGCCCCACCAGCACTCTTGCCAGGCACCCCCAGTCAATGCGATATGACTTGCAAGAACAACAAAGCGATAAGCAAACAACGCTGTGGTGGTTACGGCCGCATGGCTGTATTCAACAACACGAACTATGCAGGGCCTGGCTCAATGAAAAACTACAATTCCTGGAGTTACGATAGCTGCTACATGGAGCCGCAATGGGGTCGTGCCCTAACGAACCAAGTCAAAGCCGAGGACACCATGACAGTTCAAAAGTGTTTGGATGCCTGCACCAACGGTAAATACAAATACGCAGGACTTGAATATGGCCGTGAGTGTTGGTGTGGCAATACCAAGGCCGGCAACCTTGAGGATGCGAGCGATCCCAGTTGTGCAATGCAGTGCGACATGGTCTGTGGTGGTAACCATAGTCAGATGTGTGGCGGGCGCGGCGCGATCAATCTCTACAAGACAAGCCAGGTGTATCCTAGAAACCAGGATTGGGAGGATTATCACGACTACGGCCATGGCCCCACGAAGAGAGATGTGGATGTTGCGGCAAGAAAGGGGCGCTTCATAAAGGTCAGACGCTCATCGCGCTTATCGATGAATATCTGAATCCCCCTCGCCCCACGTGGTCTTGCCTTCTTTCTGTTTAGAGTCCCTTTGTCTTAGCTTTATCCGTAAGCTTTGTCTGGTGTGAAAGATTGAATGATAAAGAGAATGGGATTTACCAAGCAGTTCCTCTACTTGGACAAGTGACTGAAATCGGGGTACGAGAGGAGAAGAAGGGATTTAAGGTTCTGAATCAATGCTGGGTGTCTCATTATATACGAAACCGTAGGACGAGTGAACAACCAAGTACGAGAAACTAGTCTCGATAATGCGTACTTTACTAGTCTCCCAGATCTCTGAAAGTTCTCCATCAGTTTACGGTGTATATGATAATACAACACATAAAACAAGAGATCTGGCCTTTGCAAGGCTTTGCTGCTGCTTTTTCTCGTATTATGAACTGTGCAGCCGGTAATTCTACTCTTCGTGCTTTGCATACTGCTCGGTGATCTGAATGATATGTCTTCGAACTATTATATTCTTCGTGAACAGAGCACTAAGACCCGTGATTCGCTTGAAACAGGTGAAGTTACGTGCGAACAAAATTCCTCACCAATTTTGCCCCTCATCCTCTATGCAGACATCGTATGGGGCCACAAAAGTTTCGCACAGGCTACGGTACTAAGCGAGCCTTACTGCACAGAAGAAATCCCGAGGCTGAGCACATAGGACTCAAGAAAACATGAATGCGCCCTAATAAGGACCGTTGCTAAGACCCCATGGGTAGTTCGGATTGCACATAGATATTGGTAGTACAATTTATCTTTTACAGCCAAATTCTCAAGACTCTACACTTGTCTAGAGTGACAAAAATGTTATATTTCTGGCGAATAGCCCTTGTCTGAATCTCCTCGCAGCATTCTGTGATTGGCTGCTTTTCATATCTCTAGCATCGGTGAGCATGGCAAGTCATTGCGGGGGCCACAGGCTATGGACCCTTCTTAATTGGCCGCAACAGACAGTCCCACTTTGCCAAGTGAATAAATGATGAATTAGTGGATTGCCGCTGGAACTTGATGGTGACCGAGGGTGCGATTCTGCGCTGCAGCTTCCGTGGTAGAGTTCTCTAGCCCTGTTGTGTCAACGTACCGGGTGAACTATCATTGGGCGAAACTGAAGAAACATGTGTACTCTTGCCAATGAGCAGATCTGTAATGGATCCATTTCCCCTCTGTTACCAAGCACTAGGGTGGCATGCATCATGTAATCTACGTATCGTGGCTGCAGCGACACATGATGCATGAAGTATGGATGAGGGGCAATTCTACGTCACAGGGTTTACTTCTTCGTGATAATAAGATGCCGTAGTCCCAACATTATCTATGTCGATCCGAATAACATTGTGACCTTTTAATTATCAGTTCTTGTTCATATTCTCTAACTTGGTGCCGAAATACCGTGAACATGAGCCTTGACAATAAGCCCGAGTTCAATTCCGCAGATGTCTTGGATCAGTCAGTCCAAATTGGGGACGACCAGACTTCCTCGGTAACACTTGTAGAGAAGCAAACAAGAACACGTCGCTTATTTTCCACGACGCAGCTGTTTGCGTTGAATATTGTGTATCTGGGAACATGGTACAACACCGCCAAGTAGGTCATTAGTCCCTTAAATAGACAGTTTCTCACCTGCTCAGAGTCCAGGAGTCCACCAGCAAATATGTTGGCAGCTAACGCTTCAAGTAGTAACATGTATTTTGCTCTTGCCAATGGAGGCCCTGCGACATGGTTTTTCAGTTATCTCATAGTTGCTATCGGTTCGCTCTTACAGGCTGCGTCTCTCGCCGAGATGGCATCCATCCAGCCAATTGCTGGGGCCCAATATTACTGGACTTATGTACGTTTTTATGGACATGCATATCGCAGCTTGGTACTAACTCGGGCTACTAATAGCATTTTGCTCCCAAGTCGATGAAACTCTTCCTCACCTGGGCCCAAGGTTGGACTACTTGGTTTGCCTATATTGCGCTTCTCGCGAGTGGCTTCAATGGTGCAACGGTTCTGTTTGAAGGGGCGATCCATGTTACGCATCCGAACTACGTAGCTGGTGGATGGCGGACGACCGTTGTCATTCTGGCGACGCTGGTGTTCTGTGCAGCTGCGAATATGTACGGATTCCGACTTGTACCGTGGTTTGAGTTGCTAAACGGAGTTCTAAATGTCTGTTTGTTCATTATATGTTTCGTTGTTCTCTGGGACAAGTCTTCTCGAAACAGTGTTGATGTGTTTCTGATCACAAATATCTCTTCTGGGTGGGAGAACTACTTCATATCTGCACACTTGGGTGCGTTATCTAACATTTTTCTTTTCATTGGTGAGCCATAACCTTCAGAATGCAACCCACCACTTGACCTGCTAATTAATATCCAGGCTTCGAAGCATCTATACACATGGGTGAAGAAACACTCAATCCGAGACGAGCTGCTCCCAGAGCGATGTTTTGGTCACTGGCAATGAACTGCAGCCTTGGTCTAATCATGATTATTACTTTTGGGGTAGGTATAAATACTAGATGTCTAGTCTAGCTCACTGACAAATTGCGCTGTTCAGATATGTATGCCCTCGCTCGAGACACTTCTTAACTCATCAAGTCCTTTGGTCACCATTCTCGTCACATCGGCTGGACCCCAAGCAGCAACCGCTATCCTCTGCTGTATGGTGTTGATGGGAATATCTTCAAATGTTGCTCTCGTATCTTCGGTATCCCGTCTTACATGGGCATGGGCTCGTGATGGCGGTCTACCACGGTACTTTGGCTACGTCGATGGGAAGCATCAGGTGCCAATGCGTGCAGTTATACTGACGTGTTCCATCGCCACGGCCCTCTCACTTTTCAATCTCGGCAGTGCTACATATGTGGCTCTTGGAGCTATCGTATCAATATCTTCGATGGCTATGTACCTGAGTTATTGCATCGTACTATGCTGTATTCTACATGCTCGATCAACCACCGGTATCAAGCTCGGAGAATGGAACTTGGGTCGGGCCGGCCCAACTATCAATATCTTGGCGCTCATATACACAGTGTGGGTAATGGTGTTCCTGCCATTTCCAAATAATTTGCCGGTCACGGCGTCGAACATGAATTATTGTGGGCCTGTTTTTGGCACCGTTCTAGGTGGCACTGTTGTTTTATGGTTCGTGAGGGCGAAATGGCACTGGAAAGGCCCTAACCAAGCCATTGTTGAGTATGTTCTCCGGGACGAGCCATGACTCAGTTCAATACTTTAGGCATGTCAATGTCTTTATTTACCCGTTGGTATGATGGCACTATATTCAAAGGCGTCAATGCTCCAAGTGGCCTCCAATAATACAAGCCGTTTGATAGCAATCCACAGCTTTATATATGTACATAGCTTCTCGCTGAAAGACCGAGGTCCGCCCATATAATACACACGATTCATAAGGTCTAAACTCCCTAGCATTCAGGTTCGCTACTCGTAGCATCAGGACTGAACTCCTCGACGCACCATCTCTGGCTGTCCACCCTCTCCCCAAAATACATCTGCTTGATGTCCTCGTGAAACTCCGTCCTGAGCCTCATGAGCTCGTCGTTATTAGTCTCCAAACGCACCCAGACCCTGCAGATGGTCTCAACCCTCCAAACGTCACCGCAGGCCAGGGTGCCTTTCCTCTTGACAAAGAGGCCAACTTCCCACCGTTCTCTAGTCTTTTCCGCGTTGAGGATGATGCAATGCTCATCAGAAGGCTGCAGACGTTTCTTGAGCTCCTCCACATTCGAACCCGCATCGTCGATCCATACCTTGAACCATTTGTGGAGTGTCTGGCTCACTGGTATCCAAAAAATCTTCTTCTTAATGACTGGGTTGGGACAGTGGAGGATAAGTCCGGGGAACTCAACGTGGAGTCCGTAAGGCATCATATACCCTGTCTTCTTCAATGGTCGGAAAAGAGGATATGTATGGAGCTGCCTCTGCATCCAAGTTTTAGGAGCCCATCCGTATTGTTGAGTCTCCAGCTTTGGCCGGGGTAAAAACACCAACCCGGAGGGAATTCCGAGACCAGGTGTCTCATCGACCGCTTTCAGGAACTCAATCATTCTTGCGGACGCTACGCTCTCAATAGTCGGAGCTGCTGTGCCGGTGTAGACCTCGGTTGGGGTCTTGATGTTCAAGAACCTGCAAACGTTAAGACCCAAGATGCTTGCGAGGACAATAGTTTCGTCTTCCTTCACTGTCGCTTCACGGAACTGCAGCGCTTGCCACGCCCTCTGGACAGGGAACTCCTTCCCTCGCTCGTGTATATGGGACCGAATATGTCTGATTGATGGATCGAGCGGTCTACCAGACTTCCACACGAAGTGATGGGGATGGCGAACGTCCAGCCTTGCTGCCTTGCTGGCAGAATTCACCTTATCCAACTCCAGATACCCCTTTTTGAATGCGACATACAAATGTTTGCCCAAAACTGCCTCCGGCACTGTCCAGAGCCTGCGAGACCAGTGTCCTGTGTCAAGCCGGACGTTCATCTCGATGTAGTCTTCTTTCGCTGGCTTATCGCGTTTCAGAAGATTTCTGTCCCATATTAAGACTGCCGTTGCTTTTCTATAGATAGTATTCAGTTTATTGAGTAGGGTGACCTTTCTATCCCAATCACGCGGCAGACACAGGACATCCACCCAAAACCAGGGCTCTCCATCTCCCGGATTTAAGCTGAGGATATTTGCGAAGGTATCTCGGAGACGTCCAAGTTGACACTGAATCATACATCGGTTGTTTCTTCCGGCGGAGTCTTCGCCGCAGTTAAGTATGTTCTCCGACCAGCTGTGGGAGACGGCCCCAAATTGAAGTGGCGATTCGATGTCCAAATCAAAGCCTTTACAAACGAGCTTGCCGTGGTTCGTCCATCTCACTAACGGAATATGACCGTTTTCTATGATGGCAACCAGCTCGCCCTCGTCCACTGTCTGAGCCGGCGATTCGCAGTAAACTTGTTTGTGAAAGTGCAACTCTTGGAGAGGCAGAGTTTTTGCACTATCGACATTGCATACCCAGTCCGTGCAACAGCGGACAGTGTGTTCCGTTTCTCGTTGGCCCATGGAACAAGCATAGTAGATGTTGTTGACGTGGAACATGATGCCTTCCAGTCGACGGATCTCAGGTTTGCACCATCCATGCTTCTGCATTTGCTCGCGACACCAGAGGCTGTATCCCCAATTCCTCTCTTCGTCCTCTGGCTGCTTCCAGAACTCGACGCGATCTTTCTGCCTGGGAGGCAATCTTGCCCATAGTTCCTCTTGGAGGATCTCACCAACGCTTGCAATCGACAGAGTTACTGCCTTGTCGAACATACCGTGGAGATTGCCGTTCCCATGTTTGCGGTCAAAATTCCCCCGCCACGGTCCCGTGTTCGCGTTGTAATCGTCATCCTCAAAAGGCCTGTTCGCGATGTGTTTCCAACAAAAGCGCCGAGCAAATTCGAGCGCCATCGAGGCTTGAACATAGTCATTTTTCAGTGCAGAGACCGACTCTGCATCGGTTTTGTTCGCAGTTTGCTTCCAGCGTTCGGCCCATTCAGACACAAGGCCAGCTAGACCTTTGGTGGTCAACCGTGGGTTCGGCCCTTCAATCACCAAACTCTTGAAATGAATAGGTGTACCCAAGACTCGTGCTAATAGAGCAAAGAACAGCCATGATTGGATGAACTGATTCACTTGGCTTCTGGCGGTATGCTTTTTGGTGTCTAGACCACGGTAAATGAGGTCCTCCAGGCTATGGTAGCCTGCACTCTTTGGTATGGCAAAGAAGTCTTCAGGCTTGTAAATGCGTCGTTGGGCGTAAAAAGGTACAGCGGGGTGCTGCCAATCAGTTGGCGCCGGCAGGTGATCCATCCTCGCCAGACCCGTAGCTATACTACGGGCTTCCAGTATTTATAATATCTCTGATAGGCCACTCGTGCAAATAGTGCTCGAAGATCAAGAAACAAGCTTTCACAGTGGCTCGACGATGACGCGCTCGAAGAGCACTTGAAGATAGCCTAGCGTGTATGTTGATCAGCGTCAGCAGCTGAAATATCCCAGCGTCTCCACTTTTCTCTGTTGCCAAAATGAGATAGTTGAATGTCATTGGCTGAGCCGTAATTAGGTGTGCTCTATTATCGCTGGGAGCTCAATGATAAGCGTACCGGGATAAACTCAGACACTTGATCCCAATCTCAAAAGCGGGCATATGTATCTAAGGCCTGCATGATCTTTTATCTTGGGAAACCAACAATCATGAGGCGGTCGTGACTCAGGCAGAATATGCGCCTCGAAGCTGCGTGGTTCGCGGCCGGCATCGGATGACGGTCACAGCCTCCGCGCCAACACCAATCCAGACGTCACTAACGGGGCACCACGCATCAGCCACCATCGTGTCGATGCTATTCAGGTTTTGAAGAATACCCAATGTATCCGATCAAGACTTTGCATCACGATCGAAGGCTTATGCAGAGTCCATTTGTCACAAAACCCTGATGATAGCTATCTGCTGATAGCTATGGGGCGAGCTCATTGCCTCCCTCATGTGGCCAGCCAGAGTAGCCTGGGGCGGCCCAATCGGCCAGCGCACCTGGCTAGCACTACTCCGATCGACTAGAGATCTCGGTGGCCCTGGATGCTGTCAGAGCCTTCGGTGAGAACAGGAGTAGCTCTCGCTTAAGTAGCCTGTGTCGAGTCTTTCTGATACCAAAGTTTGAGGCAACGGCGTCCGAGCGGTCTTTATCTTGTCGCCCCGTAGTGACCTGGACGCGGCTTGCATTAAAAGACAGGCTGTGCCAACGAAGACTTATGCTCAATCTGCCTAACATGATGCCTCGGAAATGCTCATGAAGCCAGCTTGTTTCGCCTACCAGGGAAGCGAAGTGTGATGCAGGTCAAGTCCAGATGAAGAGATGGTATTGGTCAGATTTTGGGCCGATCATTACAAAAAGACCGCGCATCGGCACCCTCCGGCGGCATGGCGGCCAGGTCCAGTCAGCCTCACCTTCATCGGCATGTTCGGTCTGGATCAGCCCCGCTTCTGCATGGGCTGGGCTACATATGTACTGACAGTGGGAACAATCACCCTAAATATGACCTGTGAAGGCTTTCTGTAGTTGTGACTATGCATACTAGCAAAATTTGACTACTTCCAACTGCATGTGTTTAGTTGACCGTTTGATTCAGAGTGTAAGCAAGTGATGAGGTGAGCTACGGGGAACTACCCGCCAGTCATCCCTGCAACTTACCGGCTGCATACGCTTGAAACGACTTGGGGATACAGATATTTGCTCGATATGGACCCCATTGACGCCACAAGAAGAGTCAATAGAACAGAAGGACCACCCGAGGTCGAATGGAATAAGCATCGTGCTACGATAGAAAAGCTGTACATGGGAGATGGGAAGACACTTGCCGAAGTGGCACAGTGGATGCAATTAAATCGCAACTTTAAAGCGAAGTCAGTGAAACCCACCCCAGTATAAATATGCCAGGAAGATCTGCCCATTTAAGGACTTCTGATACTGATCAGGAATTCAATAGTACTCGTATGTACCGGACTAGATTCCGGGCTTGGAAAATTTACAAGAATTTAAAGTCTGATCAAAAGACCAAAATGCTTCTACAAATCATTGAGGGCCAGCCCCAGTCAACTACGCTCAGGGGGATGCAGCTCGATCCCAAGGATCAGCGCAGACTTAGTCGACATTTGAAGACTATGGTCTCAAAGTTTCAAGAAAAGTCGTTGGACGGTAATGAAAATGATGATGAAAAAGTACATGCGGAACTTAGTCAAAAGAAAGAGCCGGATGACGACGCAGATTCACTAAAGACTGCTTCCCCTGAACCAGGTGGTCCAAGTTCTGCAATGCGCAATAGGACCCCAGGAGTAATTGAGCCTATAAGAATTGCAAATCGTAAGCCCGAGACTTTAAAGTACCGTTGAATTGTATGCCTTTATACTGATGTCTACCCAGCAATCCAACCGGGTCGAGAATTCCGAACGGCAGAGCTCATCTTCAAGACGATATCCGAGCTCTGCTTCGCCACGAAGTCATGCATCACATACAATACCACGGAGAGTACCTTCTGGAGCAACATAACACATGGCATATACTTCTTGAAGGTAGATTCGCCGCACCTGGCATGGCCCGTGATCAACACCGCCTGCCAGGCCGCGACGAAGGAGATCGCGGACAGCACCGGCCTATTCATCCTCGGCCTGGTCACAACCCTAGCTCCAGTCAACATGGCTCTATGTCAAGACCTGCGGCTCAGCCTGCTGAAGTACATGGTAGAGCTCGCCGAGTCCAGCCTGGGCGCCCGCCACCCTCTCAGCATTCTCGCGCGCGAGCTGCAGCGCCTCGACGAGCAGGACTGGGTGTCGGACTGCGCCCTCTCCTGCACCATCGACAGCTTCAAGAAGGCGCTGGGTCCCGGCCACGACCTGACCTTCGCCGCGCAGCTGCGACGCATCGCGACCCTGCGTCGCCTCGGTCAGTATGAACAGGCCCTGACATTCGGGCACACGGCCCTCGCTGCGGCGAAGGCCTCGCATGGTGATTCGTCGCTGCAGGCCCGCCGGATCACACGATACCTCGCGCACGTCCACATGGACATGAAGTCGTACACGGAGGCGCTCGCGCTGTGCCTCAGCGTCGTGGACGAACTGGGGCCCCGCGAATGGGGCGCTGACGAGAGCCGGGTGGACGAGTGTGCTTTGTACGCCATGGAGGACATCGCCAAGATCCAAGAGGCGAGCGGCGATGCGGCGCAGAGTGTGGCCTGGCTCACACAGGCAGCCATGAGCGCCGTCCGCCTTGGGAAGAGCGGGTCAGAGGCGTCCCATGTTGTCGAGAAACTGGTGCGCGTCCTGTCTGAGAACGGGAGGGCGGATGAGGCGGAACTGTGGAGGCGCTTTTCACCCGCCCCCTTGTCGGTGTGACTGTAGGTACGTTAATTAGTCATCTAATGTAGTGATATCATGTGTTCGGATGGGGAACTACGATGCCCGATGGTCTCGGCCTCCAAAGAGTCTTGTGCGGGTCAGGAGGTGAGAGTGAATAGCCTGGACCACCACTTCCACAACGCCGTGCGGTTGCCGTGGGGGACAAGATTAGAGTGAATGAATAAAAGGACAAGGCCCTATTCACGTCGCCGATTCCCCCATAGTCCAAAATACGCGCCCAACTCGGCAACAAGAAGATCAGTATACCTGCCGGGGTGGCCAAGTTGGTTAAGGCGCCTCACTTGCTGGCATAGCTATTTGCCTTCACTCCCTTGCTTCCACAGCCACACACAGAGGAGATCCCGGGTTCAAATCCCGGCCCCGGCATTCTTATTCCTTTCATTTTTTTTCCCCTCTTTGTTAACGTGGCCAGTGTCATGTATGGTCTTTCACGAGTTGTTGGTATACTCAACCCTCACGACCGAACGCGCATACCCCAACAAGACAAATTAGGTAGCAGCATCATATAAACATGGATATAAGTCAAAGTTCAGTGGTATATTACTTGTCAAGAGTTCGTATTGTAAGTCTACGAATATCTCTGGTTTAGTCCAGCATACTCTTGCAAACCCTATGAACCATGGTGAAGGGGTATTCATATGAGAAACGCCTTTTCAGTAGCAAACCAGGCAGTCCGATTCTTCGTATGGACGTCAAATCCAGGTTCCCATACCCGCAGGACTGTTTTTGTCCACCCGTGCTCTGCCAAACGCTGGAAACCCGCAGAGCCCCACGCCCCAAGACATCAGCATGTCGATCAGTTCCTGGGCTTTGCCATACTCCAAGTACGCCTAACGTTCCTTTTCGTAGCAACCTCCAGCAACAACAAGATTCATTCGCGTGAACATGACTTTCCTCACCGGCGTCCGCTTAGTTGGGAAGGCGCTGATCTGATCTGGGGTGACCATCACATCCTTGCCCTTCTTCTTCCCAGTACCACTAGATCCTGCACCAGTAGTTGCTCCTTGCGCACCGGTGCTTGCCGTCTTCCCATCGGTACCGGCTCCACTACCAGCTGCAACTATGGTGCCATCACCAGCATCTCCGGGAGCGACAGTCCGTGATCCCTCAGCGGGCATCTCGACATCCCACACCCGGACGGTGAGGTCTGCACCTCCGGATACTAATGTGTTGCTCTCGACGTTGAAACTGACGGACCATATTCCACCACGACCATGTCCACGCATGCGCTTGATGCGCTCACCTTTAGCAATATCCCAAAGGAAGATGTTTCCTCCAATGTCGGCCGAGGCGAGGATCTTGCCGTTCGGTGCACACTCAAGGGCGGAAATGTAGTCGACGTGGCCGGTGAAAATGCGCACACAGCTACCAGTGGCCAGCGACCACATACGGATAGTCTTGTCGGATTCGTCAGAGGCCGAGAAAATGTACGCGCCGTTGGGGTGCCAACAAAGCGCGGATATCGGAGTGTCATGTCCAACCATGAGGCGTACAGCTGAGGCACGGTCTTGCGCCCAAACGCGGACCGTTGTATCAGCTCCACCAGTTGCGAAGTAGTGTCCGTGAGGTCCCCATGCCAGTTTGAAGACCGGACCATAGTGCCCCTTGTAGACACACAAACATGTCCACGTATCAAGAGACCAAAGTCGTACGGTTCCGTCGAAGGAACTCGAGATCAGGTACTGTGCGTGCGTCTCAGGTTGCTCGGCGCTATCGTCGTAGAGCTTGCGGTTCAGGTTGCTGATTGCGTTGGAGAATTGGACAGTGTAGATTGGTCCACTGTGACCAAATAGCTTGCGGTTGTTGACCTTGACGCTCTGCTCACCAGGCTGTCGCGATTCCAGAGGGGTACCGTCAAGAGACCAGACACGGATGTACGATTCCATGGTACCAACAGCCATAAGCTTTTGGTCCTTGGAAAAGTCCATGCTTGATACACTGAGTAGTGTCAGCGACGGCGAATTTCGGCGCCAGATCAGGGGACAACTTACCTTCCCAAGTCGTTATGGATGGTGTACATGAGGACGGAAACACCTGGACCGACGCCGCCAGTCCGGCCCTCAATCTTGAAGCGATCGCGGTTCTCCCGAACCTTCTGCATCTCCATGACTACGTCTCGGGCTCTAGACGGCGGTAGAGGGATAGCTTCTTTTGGTGGCGAGTCTCCAGCTTCCTTCTTGATAGGTTGCATGGTATTGAACTCGTCCACAAGACTGCCTACGCCTTCACGAGGCGGGTTCAGTCTGTCCTCATCCTGCAGCTCAGACAAAACTTCCTCCCGAAGCTCAGCATCCATGGGAGCTTGACCCAGCTTGACAGTTGCATTGTTGCCATTGTCGAGGATGTCTTTGTTTAAGGTGAAGGAGCCGCCAGTCTGCAGACCGGGGATGCCTTCCTGCGCATCAATCTCGTCCAAGTCCAGGTTCTGAGCCTGCCGGTAAATAGCCTCAAAGCTGAACTGCTCAATGGGACCTCGCTCGGCCGTCTTGACCTCACAGAAGGTAGTCAGAATGTAGCCAACAATGTTGCCACATTCCTCGCTGTCGCGCTCGAGGAAACTGAAGAGGTTTCCAGCCGCGAACTGACTGAGGTAAACTCTCCATGGAGACTTCATGAACAGCTGACATGTGGCGTTGTCTTCAGCTTGCTTCCACGTTTTGATGAGCTTCAAGTGATTGATATCATCGTGATAGCCTCGCTCGAAACGATCCTTGTGTTTCTTCATGAACATGCTTGCTTGCTCCTTATAACCCAGCTTGAGCAGGTCCAAAAAGGTGTACACGAAGACTGGATACAAGACCTTGTTCAACTCGGTCTGCCACGCGTCAGTGATGGCACTTCTCCGAGACGGGGAGTGGAGCTTTTACCTTGTAAATGTCTAAGGAGCCTTCCACCCATTTCACAAAATGGTCATAAGCTTGGCCATATTTAGCAGGCTTCAGGCGCTTGTTCTCCTCTTCCTCTGCTTTGGCATCGACGCCGGCGATCTCCTTGCGAAACGTTGCCTCAGTGGCAGTGTACCCTCGCTTCAAGAGATAGTCCGTAACCTGGAAATCATCAGCATCTTATGAACTCGGCGGAGCAGTGTGGTCAATACAGTGTCCAACAGGCAGGACTCTGTGAACTTGGCGGACATCTTGGCATTCCCGCTTGGCAAGGTGCAGTGTCAACAATGAGGCGGGGCAAAAGAAACTTGTCTTGTCGTGAAAGTCAAAAAGGGAGTGTAGGCTGAGAAGTCGTGCCCCAAGGGTTGATACTGTTGTGTATTGGAGAGAAGGATCAAGTGAACTGGGACGGCGTGGGGCAGGAGTGGTCTTCTGTCTTGAGGTACGCAATCCTGACCCAAGCATGGGCCGGCATTTGGGACTGCAAGGAATTGTGAATATATTCACTTTGATGCGCAAATGGACAAATCGTGGGCAGCGCGAAACGTCGTAGGTCAGTTGATCGTTGCTGGGACTTGAGGTTGGGCAAGTACACCACTGCAGGAGCTCGTGCGAGTGCCGTGACCAGCTCAAACCGTGCAATCTCCACGACAATCGACTGACTTACAGCATCATTGTCTTTCGGGAATGGAGATATGCTGTTGTGATGCTGGTCTTGATGCTGGTCGTGCTGCGGCGCAACGTCGCTACTTTCGGGGAGTGCAACATACTCCCTCGCAGTCATGCGGATCAAGCGTGCCACTAGTGACATTGGGGCATATTGCGACGACATGTTGAAGTACCATACCATACTCTAGCAACTGCAGCGGCCTCGCGGTTTGCACAGAGTAAGGGGGCAATGAACTTGTGATGGCAGGGTGGAGGAGACGGTGGCAATGGGAGAGGCGGAGGTTCAAAATGACCATAGACAGCCTCCGTGCAAGATGCAAACGGAGAAAGCAGCGACAATTGCATTCATGATTCACGTCCCACTTACAATCTGGTTGAGATTCTGATTGCTGGGCGGTGCTGCCGCCGAGGAAGTCGTAGCCGCAGTAGTGGTGCTTGCTCCAACGCCGGGGGTGGGCGGTGGGACCGGCGTGAATGTGCCGCCGGTCTGGCCAGGCACGCCACCGGGCTGTCCTGGGTTCGCCATGCCGGCAGGTGCTGCGTGTTTGGTATCCGATATGGATTGTCGAGTCTGCGTTTGCCCGGCTTTGCTCTCTCTGGCTTGCGATGCGGACCTCACTCAACGCGCGTCGCGCTGACCTGCATGCCTTCGCCAACGCGATGGCTGGTCGCAGGGTACCGCTACCCTTGGGCACGGAACGAGCAAGCAGATGTTCCAGTGGCCCTAGAGAGAGTGGGGCGTATGAGATGCCGTGTAGCGATGCAACTTGTTAATGGTTGATGGCGGTTTAGGGATGCGTCTTGATGAATCGTCGTCGCCGTTTGCGAGGCGATTGCAATGCGGCTCAAAATGTGGATGCAGGCTCGACGTCCAGGCGGCAGGGCGCTAGGTCTTGGAGGGGCTTAGCGCGCTCTTTGCCCCTGGATGCTCCAGATTCTCTGCCCAACAGCGCACAGGCCAATCTGGAGGGGACGGACGTCAGTACAACCTGGAAGTGGGATGGTTTGGCAGCTGTCAGATTAAGTTGCATGTAGCAACATCAACTACAGCTCGAGCAGTGTCGTCTCAATAATTAGAGGCAGGCGTTGGTTACACCCTACTTCTCGAAGGCTTCTCATCACATGTGAGCCTCACTCAGTCGTCGGAAGTTTGTCTCCCCCACATCAAGCCACGAGTTCTGGTCCTCCGAGGCCGAATGCGCTGGGCGCCATGGCAACTACTGGCGATGGGGAAGACGCTCCCTTTGTGCCCTTCACCACGGCCGAACGGATTCAGCAGCTCGGCGAAGTCGATGAGGTGAGCAATTTCTAGCGGTACTCACTCTGTACAATCGGGTTCTAATCCTACCCAGAGTATTGTCAGCCTCCTCAGGACGGTAGGCGCCGCAATACAGAGTCTTGGCAAAAAGGATGCTGGCAACGGCGACGTGGTTATGAATGCCGGCAATGAGGACTCGGATGACGACGAGACCGGCGAAGACGCCGCCTTCAAACACCACATGAATGACTTTCTACGAACACTGCGTTCGGTCAACGTCAGAATGAAGCGCCAGATCTGGGGACTCGAGGAGGCGGGGATCATCAAGTCGAGCGACGCCAATGCGGCGGACACGACGGATGAGAATGGCAAAACCCTGGAGCCAGACGGCAATGGTAAGATCGGCGGCATGGACGTCGGCTGGCTCAACAGCCGGAGCAACAAGGTGGAAAGGGACATGGAGTCGGAGCTGTGGGACCAGGCCGAAGCCTTTCTCCGTGGCATGCTCAAGAAGGACGGCGCCGGCGCGGGAGAAGATTCGAAGATGGACTAATGATGCAATTGCACTGCGGGCGCTGCCAGGTGATCAGATCACTTGGGAGCTACTACAGCATGGATTGAGATAGAAAGCGAAGTTCTAGTAGATGGCTTCGAGTGCAATGGGGCAAGAGACTCAGCGAAGCGCCGCGCAATCGCGGCCATCAATGCATTTTGAGATCATGTGTCATGGAGATACAATTACGCGAGCTACACCTGTGGCCACTCTCCAGTCGAATTCCTGAAGAAAGCGAATTCACAACTGTTAAAAATGGCCAAACTACCCCACAATTGGGAGATCTCAGATGCATTTCCGCGAGTGAAATGGTGTGGATGCTGCATTGGAAGTTAATGTTGTCCAGCGTCGGTGGTGTTTTATTTATCTAGGCTACCGGCGTGCTGCTGGGGATTCTGGGGTCTTGAGTCTTGGGTCTTGGGTCTTGGGTCTTGGGCATTGGGAACTCTTTCGTCACTGCCGACAACCGGGCGATGGCCCGAGCTTCTGACCGTCATCCCAACGCCGTCAACCCCCATAGCCCAGAGCCCATAGCCCGTAGACGCAGCCGGTAGCTCTGACGGCACGACAGCTTCACCTACGACCTGCCCTGCTATCTGGTCACCTGCCCCGGTAGAACACGATCAATCAGCCCAGCATGGATTTGGGAGAAGGTGACTCGCCGTGGGGCGACGTCCCCTCGCAGTCGTCCAAGGCCCCCTTTGAATCCGAGTCGGAACCCTCGCAAGGCGCCGAGTCGTCGCAACCATCACAGCAGCAGCAGCAGCAGCATCAGCCGTCCGTCAAGTCGCCGACTGCCCGTGGCCCGCGCAAGCCCATCCGCCGCCTCCAGGCCCAGCCGACCACCATCCAGTCCGACGACCCTCTCGGGCCCCTGGGACCGCTCGGCGACAACAATGCCGGCCCCGCCGCCGACGCCCAGGCTGACGAGCCGCCCGCCCCGCCGCAGAAGGAGCAGATGGTGATCCGCACGACCATGCCCTCCCAATCGGGGCGCAAGACGGGCCCCAAGGACCCCCACGGTCTGGACGACGAGGACGACTACGACCGACCGACCGGCCCCCGTGCGCCGCCTCCCGTGCAGGCCGCCCAGCCGAGCCCCATCCGCACCAGCACGCAGCCCAGCGTGAGCGTCGAGCAGGCCTCCAAGCCCAGCTTCCAGATCACCGTGGGCGACCCGCACAAGGTCGGCGACCTCACCAGCTCGCACATTGTCTACTCGGTCCGGACGAGGACCACGTCCAAGGGATACAAGCAGCCCGAGTTCGAGGTCAAGCGCAGATACCGGGACTTCCTATGGCTGTACAACACCATGCATGGCAACAACCCCGGCATCGTCGTGCCGCCGCCGCCCGAGAAGCAGGCGCTCAACCGCTTCGAGACAAACTTTGTCGAGTCCCGTCGACAGGCCCTCGAGAAGATGTGCAACAAGATCGCCACCCACCCTACTCTGCAGCACGATCCCGACCTGAAGCTGTTCCTCGAGAGCGAGTCTTTCAATGTCGATATCAAGCACAAGGAGCGTCGCGAGCCTATCCCCGGCGAGAGCAAGGGCGTTCTGGGTTCACTCGGCATCAACGTTGGGAGCAGTAACAAGTTCGTCGAACAGGATGATGTAGGTCGAAGACGTGTCGCAATTGTGATCCACACTAACATACCTATAGTGGTTCCATGATCGCCGTGTCTACTTGGACGCGCTCGAGAACCAGCTCAAGTCCCTCCTCAAAGCCATGGACACCATGGTCAACCAGCGCAAGGCCATGGCGGAGGCTGCGGGAGACTTTTCGGCATCTCTGCACGCCCTCTCTACAGTCGAGCTGAGCCATACCCTGTCTGGCCCTCTCGACGCCCTCTCCGAGCTTCAGATCACGATACGCGACGTCTACGACCGACAGGCCCAGCAGGATGTGCTCACCTTTGGTATCATCATCGACGAGTACATTCGCCTGATCGGCAGTGTAAAGAAGGCCTTCGAGCAAAGACAGAAGGCCTTTTACAGCTGGCACAGCGCCGAGTCGGACCTACAGAAGCGCAAGGCGACGCAGGACAAGCTCCTTAGGCAGGGCAAGTCTCAGCAGGACCGACTCAACCAGGTCAGCGCCGAAGTGGCCGATGCTGAGCGCAAGGTCCACCAGGCTCGTCTCCTGTTTGACGACATGGGACGGCTGATGCGCGCCGAGCTGGACCGATTCGAGCGGGAGAAGGTCGAAGATTTCAAGAGCGCTGTGGAGACTTTCCTGGAGAGCTCCGTGGAAGCACAGAAGGAGGTAAGTCTCAACTTGCAGGCATCCCTTTCGCACAATCTTTCAAAGTACTGACATGCGCGCAGCTGATCGAGAAGTGGGAGACGTTCTTGATGCAATTGGATGCCGAGGACGATGAGACCGTCTTTTACAGGCCTCCTGTTATCGAGACCGAGGCGAATAAGAGGGGCGGAGACACCGCTGTGGACAGGGCCAGGGCGCGGATAGATGAGGACTCGGATTAGGCGAAGTACCTCGGAATCCTAGCTGTATGCGCGCAACGTTGGCTGGCGCGGTCTTGTAATGAAGTGGTTGTGCGCAGATGTGCATGAGGGCTATACCCGATACAATCAAGAAAGCTGTTCCATACCGACACTTGCGTGCGGTCATATAAAGGTGACTGCTTGGTGATTTGATTCCTCTTACATGCAGATACAATGGTACATATGATACAATGGTGTGGTATAGACAAGACAGCTTCGTCCGATGCTCTCGTCTTGGTCTGCAGTCGGACTCTCCGCGGTGTACATATCTCCTTTCGGCCTACCGCAGCCGGGCAGCGTTGCGATCCCTTGTGTCCTCCAGCGGCAGCTGTCCAGCGTCTATACAGAAAACTCGCAGGTAGGCCATCTATTGCCCTTCGGAGCCAATGCCCCTTTTCATCATTTCTTGCCTCCCTTCTCCGTCTCCTTCATCGCATACCGGCTGATCAGGTCGCCAAACGGATCATCGGACTCTTCTTCCCCAGAATTGACCGCCTTCTTCTTCTCCTTCTTCTTGCCGTCAGCACCCTCGACGTCTCCTCCATCAACCGCCTCGCCCTCGTCCTCCTCCGCGACCCGGGGGGCGGGGGCGTCCCAGCTGCGGCCGAAGCGGCCACGGAAGGCGGCGAGCTTGCCGGCCTCGTCGACCTCGACGTTCTTGAGGCTCTTCTCGGACGGGTTCCACAGCACGTGGTTGCGCGTGTCCTTGGTCGACTTGTACAGCGCGTGCGGCGACGCCGTGCGCATCGTGTACGTCGACCCGTCCGACAGCTGCACCAGCTGCGTGAACAGGTACGGCCGCCGCGGCCGCCGGATCAGCCGCGCGTTGCGCGTCTGGAACTGCGACTGCACCGCCGACGGGCCCTGCTGCGACGTCGTCGTCGTCGTCTGCGGGCTCAGCGACGACAGGCTCAGGGCGCACGTCGGGCGACGGGGCAGGCGGGCCGCCATTGTTTCGGTGTCGGCTGTGAAGGGTTATGGTCTTGGGGGCGTGTGGATGCTGGACCCGAGAATGGCCGACGGTGGCGTCTGGGTATGTCTGGCCCGGTTGGGTGTCTTGTGCGTGGTGCGATGGGCGGGCGAGGGTATCGACAGATGCGAGCGACAGCTTCAATGTTTCAATGGGCAATTCAGAAAAATGTTAGCTCGGGACTTCGTACTTCAGGGCTGCCGCCGGGTTGGCTCCAATTGGATCCCCCAGAGGAACCAAACCGGGTGCCAGGGGCCCGGGCCTGAGCGCTGGCGGGCTTATCGTTATCGCCGGGGCCTAATTGGAAGCGGCATGGGCGCCTGTAACGCGCTGGGGAATTTTTTGGCAGGGAGAGCTCCAAGTGCGAGCAAGACATATGAGCATAGTAGACGAGCATAACAGGGACGCTGGGTGCGCCACTTGTTCGCCGCCCCGCTAATCATTAGAAATTCTACACCAATGACTTTCTTGAGCATTTCCTGCTGGCTTTCAGCATGAATCGTCTTCACCTTATATCAAGGTGCGGGCGCGCCTGTAGAGTGCCGAACGGAACCGGCGCTCTTCTTCGGGGGACGGCCCGGCTGAGGGCCCATCCCCGAGCTGGCTACAGCACAACAGGGCGGGACTCGCAACAGCCCGCGGATATCCATAAGAAGGAGGCCATCCAGGTGGGACAGAAATCTGCCAAGCAAATTGAGCAAGAAGCCCCTCGAGAGAAGGAGGCTGACAAGCACCAGGGGCCCGACAAGAATAATTCGGAGAGAAAGGAGGTAGGCGCGAATGATTCTGAGAAGACAGGGTCGGAAAACCAGAAGCCCCCCCAGGAGAAGAGATCCAAAAGCAGGAAGAAGCTTGAGCGGTTGCAAACATGGCGGCGTGAGTCCCCCCACTTATCGATCACTTCACTCTTCTGATCCCAGTGTCAGTGAAGATGGCGGAACGTATGGGGGAACAGGAGGGGAAAAGGGGGTCTGAGAGCTCGTTGAAAGGCCCTCGCGTGTGGGACAAAACGGGGAAAGGACCTGATCAGATGAACAAGAACGCGACCTTTTTGGAGCTTAATGAGGAACTGCTTAGGGCAACTACTCAGGTGCTCGGCGAAGGGTTAGAGGCGATGCAAGACTTTCAGCATCAGTTGGAACAAGAGTCAAGGGCGACAAGGCCCAAGACAGAGAACAGTGAACAGGAGTCAAACACACCAAGCAGTGGGGACGATGAACGGACGTTCGAGTCAACAAGCCAAGCGTCAGAGGCCATGTCACGGAAGTCGATATCAACCGGGAATAAGGACAACGAACCAGCTGCAACGTCGACATCTGACGACTTAGAAGCCACATCACAGAGGCCGACGACAGTCCGGAGTAATGACGGCGAACCAGCGGAGGAACGGCTGGTTCCCGACTCGAAAGCCGAGTCACCGGGTTCAAGCATAACACAGAATACGGGTTCTGAAGTGGTAGAGCCAACAACTCCCAGCTCCGAGCAAATCTCGACGGAACCAGGCACATCCGGGGATAATGACAGCGACGAAGCATCGGAAATGAGAGAGATTCCCGTGCGACCGTCATTTTACTCGATCAAGAAGAGCCGAATGGAGGATTGGGCAACAGCTCGCCAAAGTTTGATGAAAAAGGCGATACAGAAGGCCGAAAATGGGAACGTGAACAGCGTCCAGTTGGGCCACGATCTCCTGAAGGCCAAGTTTCTGGCCATGATGCGACGGGTCCCCCAGTCTGCCGTCGTTGTCACTGCACTCCATATCCTTCCCGTCAAAAAGTCCTCACCTGTGGCCGACGTCGAAGACGCGGCTTCCTCTCCCCCACTGGTTGACGAGGACCCTACCTCCTCTCCCACAATAAACCTCGAAGACGCCGCCTCCTCTACTCAAGTCGCTGATGAGGACCCTACCTCCTCTCCTGCAGCGTATGGCGAGGGCCCTGCCTCCTCCCATGTCGATCCTGTCACAGGATCCTCGTCAACTGCGGCCGGCGGGGACTCTGTTTCTTCTCCCGCGATGGATGAACAGAATTCCGTCTCCTATCCCGATATGGATAGCGAGAACTCTGTTCTCTCTCCTGCTATAGATTGCGAGGACTCGGTTCCCTCTCCCGCTATTGATGGCGAGAACCCTGTTTTCTCTTCCGATGCGGACGGGGAGGACTCCGCTTCCTCTTCCAGTGCGGACGGCGAACACCCTGTTTCTTCTCCCGGTGCGGACGGGGAGAACTCTGTTTCCTCTTCCGGTGCGGACGGCCCGGACGACGCGGACTCCGCCGCCGAGACCGGCTCCAAGCCAGTCCCACGCGCCATGACGCTTGGATCTTTCACCTCTCTTACACTGACCCCAGAGCCCACCATCATGTTCAACATAAGCCTTCCAAGCCGGACGTATGAAGCCATCAAGAGCTCTGGCTACTTCAACCTCCACGTCCTTAGCGATACAGAGGACGGCGCGGCTTTGGCGCAGCATCTCTCCAAGCCCCAACATTTGAGACCGCCGCCAGACCGGCTGTCGGAGCAGGTGCGAGATTGCTTGGCTTCCTTGGAGAGCGAGCTACCATGGCCGCCCTGGATGAGAGACGGGGATGCGCCACCGGAGGAACTGGGCCTCAACGGGGTCGCGCGTATATATGGCAAAAACACGCCTCTCATCCGCATACCGCCCGTCCTCTATGTCCTGCGCTGCTCAGTCGCGTGGCATCGTTTCGACATGGGTAGCATGATGGGCAAAAGAGTGGTTCCTCGGTTACCCGGGACACTGGAGCTACCCGAGTTGAAGACGGCCGTCGTCATTGGGACCGTCAAAAGAATTACTGTCTGTGATTACGCAGCACTCAAGAAATCAGGACATCAAGGCCTGATGTATCAAAATGGGGCATACCACCAGGCGGGGCAGAAGTTGGAACCAAGTCGTTCAGATGAGCCTTCAACTGAAGATGAGAGTCCTCTGACTGAAGATGGGAGTCCTCTATCCGAAGGTGAGAATCCTTCGACCGAAGATGGCAGCGCCTCGTCATAGCACTGCTTGTCTGTGTACGTTGGGCGACATTGGTTGCGACCCGTCGACGTTGTATAATAGTACGTGGAGGAGTGGAGTGGTATGTAAATGTACATATATCATCCCCTGTACCATAGTATGTTGGGATACATGTAGATTAGCACTTCTTGGGCGTTATCCCCTACTCTTCGCCAACCAGCCTCTCGTGGGTCCATAGCGCTGCAGGTCGGGTTGGCCCCAACAGCCGACAACTTAGCTCCGGTGCGCACGTGAACATCTACTTAAAACAAAGCTCATAAACCATCTGAAACGGAACATTTTTATAAATTTTTCATATTGAATCAACGTAGATTGCCAGAGACAGACGCCATTAACCGAACGCCGTCATAGCTGGCACCCCGCTGAGTTTAGACGTGCTTGTGATGCTGTTAGAAAGCGCCCGGCTAGCTCTCGATGTGGGCACCCGTCGCCTTAGCTCCCATGCAAGGCTCTACCATTGCCAGACAAGATAAAGATATACAGTCTTCAATTCCTTTTTTTCAGGCCGTGAGCAATAGTAGGGAAGGCTTCATTGTCCATGATGCCAGACATAGGCATCTCCAACCAAGGAGTGCAGCCACTCTAACCAGCCTATTCCGGGTTGTGGTGTACCTAAGCCTCGTTTCTGTCCCTTGAGACACTGTAACTCCTATTGAACACTATAAGTGGCACACGACCACGGGAGCCTGCCACTACCTCATCTCCAGTCCCTCATCTAGTCGGCTCTACACCGACAGAGTTGTCGGCATGGCAGATACCAGGCTGCCGTGCCTGACTAATGTGTTAGAATGGACCAGAGATTTTAACGCCCTCGGAGCTCTCAATGGATGCAGGTGATTTCTGGTGGTACAGTGCTAGTTCGGGCATACGCCGTGCTAACCGAGTGTAGTGGGAATATCAGCGACAACCCCACTATTGCTGGACCGGCTATCACTGTAATTGACAACTGAACAACAACGTCGGATAGAATCCATCCACTGTAACACACCTCTGATGTGGCCGCTTGGGATAATCAAAGACAATGATAATAATTCAAATTGCACACCGAAGTATTTCACTGGAAACGCCGATACATGGAACCTAGAAGCAGTCAGGGTCCAAACGCATCCTATGGTCATGTCCCGTTGGGACTTTAGCTAATGTGTACGTTCCCGCCCACTGAAAAGTTCCCGCTCCCTGCATTGTGAATTCCACGGCCAACAAAACTGGAATACACAGTTGACTGGTCTTCAACGCCTGTCGGCGATTTTGTGTCTGTAACAGCATCCTCAGAAGCAGTGGGCTCTATGTAGGCCAGAAGCTCTTTGGTGCAAGCGGCAGCTGCTGCAGCTGCGTAATGCTGCCAAGTGTCATTTTTGTGGGAGTCTGCATAGTCCGAAATGCCTCGGATCACGATGCAAGAGAACTCTGTCGCTAGTCCGGCAGCTTCCATCTCGAAACAGAGGATGTCTCCTATGTTATTCACTTCTGAGCTTCGCTTGATTGAAGACCGCATCACTCGGTCGCCAGATGCAATCAATCCATAGTGGATTTCGGGGCCACTGCTTTGGCGGGCTGGCCTCATGCAGATCTGCGGTCCATCGTCTGTATCATCAAATAGAACGTCTGTCTCAGCGGGCGGCCGCTGGTAGACTTGAAGCCGCCTATGTCGTTGTAACAAGGCTGAGACGAACTCTTCCACTTTGTTATCAGCAACGAGATGATCTGACTGCATTTTGACAACAGCGGCTCTCATATGGGATAGCGGCGCCTTCAAGAAGCCTTTCAGGATGAAACCACTGTCTGTGTCCTTTCCCAAATCATACTGCACCACACCGCCATGCAGTCCGTCGGGCATGCTCACGACGACATCGCCCAGGCGGATATCTCGATCCACACTCGGAACCCCCCCTCCGATGCCCACCATGAAACGCCACTGCAGAGACGGAAAAGTTCGTTGAAGATTTGTGGCAACTACCGCAGCGGCACTCTTGCCCTGTATAGCTGGAAGCCACGCAAGGACGACATTGTGGCCGCTCATCTGGCCAAGAATATACTGGTTTGGGTCTCCAGGCTGCCGCGGGAGGCCCGGGTGTTCGTCGCCGTCGAGCATGAAACGTACGGCGCTCATTTCGAATCCTATGGCACATATCGCAGCAACAGTGTAGTCTTCGTACGTCTTCATTGTCAACGCCATGTGGATCTGATCGTATGATACGCGAGGATTAGATTGTGAAAGTGTGAGCGAAGAGAAAACAGCTGTCATTCCCCGCAGACCAGGGGCGATTGATAACTCGTCAAAAGATGCGCCAAGTGACCCATGGGCTCATAGGCGACTTGCGTTCAGCCGCACAGTTCTCTCGAATTGTTTGGGATGACGCTCGGCGCGGCGATTCTAGTTGTTTCCCAGCGTCCGGCAGGAGTCTAATGAGAATTGACTTTTAGATTTAGCCTTAGCTGGCTGAGCTTTGTGAGGGTCTCTTGCGACTCTCCATGTTTGCAGTTGACTTTTTGTAATCTGTGCTCGCCAGTATTCCACCTTTGCATATATGATCAACGGCTTCCTTGCCATAAGGATTGCATTCCTACCCAGGCTCTTGTCGAAATGGCACCAAATCTGAATTGCTCTTTTTTTGAACTTCAAGGTTCACTGAAACTATCCTAATGGATGGTTTGTAGTAACAAAGCTTTCACCGACGTATGAAATGCCAGAGGATCAGCCACATCGCATTGAAAGTAGTATTTAGTCTCGGTTCCAACTTGGGACCACATCGGTGCTGTAGCATCTAACTGTTGCTGTTCGTCACACCCGTACCACCGCGCTTACGTAGTAGATTGACTATGTCCGCCTGGCCACTTGATGAAGCTACGAGGAACGGCGTATTGCCATCCTTGTTGGCTACCGACACATTAGCACCATGCTCAAGCAGTAGACTGACTATTTCCACGTGCCCGTTCAAGGAAGCCACGTGCAATGGTGTATTTCCGTCGTTATCGGCAGTCGATGCATTGGCGCCGCGATTAAGCAGTAAGTTGGCCAAATTTGAGTCGTGCTTTGAAGAAGCCTCGAGTAATGGCGTCTTTCCCTCCTTATCAGTAGCAACTACACTGGCACCGCTATCGATCAGAAACTTCGCCATTTCAAGTTCACGTCCTTGGTATGACTTTGCCAGGTCATGTAGTATTGTGCGTCCGTTCTTGTCTGTAGCAAAAACGTTGGCTCCACTACCGATAAGAAGTTGGGCCATTTCAATATGACTTCCCCGGGCCGCTGCCATATGCAATGGTGTCTTGCCGGCGTAATTGACAGCCAACACATCAGCACCCCTTTCGATAAGGAGCTTGATTACTCTATCTGCCTGCGCCCAAGATCCTGCCGCTCTGTGCAATGGTGTTTCTCCGTCACTGGTAGTAGCCGACACACTGGCACCGCTGTCAAGTAGGAGTCTGGCCACAGCAGCTGACTGAGTCCGGGTCGCGTGGTGTAATGGTGTTGTTCCGTGATTATCAATAGCTGATACACTGGCACCGCTGTCAAGTAGGAGTCTGGCCACAGCAGCTGACTGCTTCGGGGCCGCGTCGTGTAAGGGTGTTTGTCCAAGAATATCAGTAGCTGATAGATTGGCACCGCTATAGATGAGGAGCCTGGCGACCTCAACTCTATTCTGGGAAGATGCGACGTGCAAGGCAGTCTTTCCCCAATTATCAGTAGCTTCAATGTTGCTACCGCGATCGATGAGTAGCTTAGCTACATCAATAGATGACACGCGATGTAATGGTGCCTAGCCGTCCATATCGGTTGTTGGTACATAGGAATTGTAGTTGAATAGCAGCTTCGCTACCTCGTATCTTTCATGTTCCAATGCTAGACGTAATAGCTCATTTCCCTGTTTTCCTACCAAGATTGTATTAGGTGATTCTGAGGCAAGATAGAACATTGAAGCGAAATCGCTGCCGTTTTCCACGAGCTGATGAAATAACCCTCGTGTTTTCCTAAACTTAAACTCCAGCCTCGAAACATTCAAATCATCTGCTCGTGGTGGAAATCGGCTACAGAAGTCTTGGAAATCAAACTCCGGGACCCTTGCCGCCTGGAGTTCTAGCATCGCTAACACAGTCGGCCCCTGCTTCATAGCACAGGCTGCCAAAATTGGAACCCCGTAGCGCTCGGCTTCGATCTCAAAACAGGATTGGCGGGTCGAGTGAGCTTGAATAAGTATTGGAAGCCCTGCGTGAGCCAACATGTACAAGAGGGTGACGTCAAGCGTGTACCGACGTGTCGCAAATTTCTGGAGGATGTTGTAATGTCGCACCCACTCAACCCGTGGAAACGTGGCTAGGAAATGTTGTTGATTGATGCCATGACTTCCCGCTTGCTCCGCATGATAAAGGAAACCTGAATTGGCATACTCCAGTAGCGGAAACGCTCGAATCGCTTCTTCGCGCCGGGATTGCTCAGATGACTGCTCGATAGCAAGGACTGCTTCCATGGTCATATATGTTAAGCAGCAAGCTTTAAGCGTTTCGTGACTTCGTCCCGTGACATTAGGGCCCAGCTCAGGAAACAAGCCAATCATACCATTCTCTTTCTGTAGGAAGTCATTTACCGACTCATGTATGAATTGGATAGTTGGGGTCTTGGATCTTGTCACTTCAGCCAGTCCTTTTGACTTGTCTAGTATATAATTTGTGGCCACCCCATTCCCATAAGCACCGGAGTGGCAATTGGACAGGTATTCCGGTTCCAATCCAGTTAAGATGGCAAGGTATAATTGTTTCGGCGTTAAAGGCTGCTTGGCAAACAATATCCATTGAATACATAGCAAGAGACCTTCACGGTTCTTAGTATCGCGAGTTAATATGTCGCGGAATAGCGAGTGAAGATCCCCGGGAAGCTCCTGGATTCTGTGGGCAAGCTTGTGCGCGTCCCCGGTATCGTAGTCCTTATTTAGGATGCCTACCACAAGGACAACCCACATAAAAACGCCCCGTGCCTTCTCCTGCAACTTGAATCGTATGTCTTCGGCACCCTTGCTGTGACCAATTCGTAACGCGCTACTAAGATACGTCGTGATGTCTTGGTAGTGGCCATCGCGCTCCTCGAGAACGATGCTAAGCCTTGTTTGTATCGTGATGCGTGGGTAATGTCTACTAGCAAAGCAGACGTGTAACAAAACATGGATATTGACAAGCGACTCCAAAAATAAGACCATGTCTCGAACCTGGTCCTCATCGCACTCATCCAATGCGTCAATGAGACAGATAATTGGAGTCTCTTCGAGGTCTTGCATAGCTTCCTCTAGGACAAACTTTAGCGAATCAATAGTCCAGTGGTGACCCGGTCGGAACTGGTCTAGGATATGCTGTGATTCGGGCTTCATGTCTAGCAGTTGGAGTACTAGGGAGCGGTACAAGCCAGCAGTTGATTTTTCTAATCCATGCCCTCTAGCATTGAAAAAGAAAGAGATGAGAGCCTCTTTTTTGCCCGTTCGGCGGACTCTCTTGGAAATCTCGCTGAGAAGAAACTTCATGAGGGTTGACTTCCCAGCTCCGGGTTTGCCCTTGATCCACAGAAAGTTACCATCCTGCGAATTCTCCTCCCACTTCTTGAATGTATCGGTTTGTAAGAACCAGCGACAAGTGTTGGAGTGGGCAGTCTTTATGCTCTGACGCCGCGCATCGATCTGGTCGAACCGTAGTGACTCGAGAAGTGTCCGCCGGGTATCCGTTGGTGTGACCGAAGGCGAATGGATGTTGTTATTCGTAACGAACACGTCGCGTCCAACATGGAACTCGCCGTGCGAGTTCGAAATACCGGTACCGTCAAAAATGCTGGACAATTGACTGGGAAATGCAGCCCTTGGTGCATCGTCTGACCTCCTGTCCTCCGAATTTGCGAGGGACTCGTCCACCCTCCGTCGCTTCGGCGGAGGCTCCATGCTTAGCTGCACCTTGTTCCATCCAAAGCAGAGACGCCGTGTAGCAGCAGGCACTTGACAGCCCGCACTGACGTCCGTGCCCGCTCTATCGGGGATCTGTCTGCGGAGATGTAGACTTGAGGTACAATCTGGTCAAATCAGAGCTCCCTTGCACGGGTCAAGGCCTCTGGTCGATGTCGTGGCTCGGAAGCTCGCTTGAACGCGCCTTCCAAAGTTTTCAATTGTGGGAGGCTGGATGGAGGGGTGAGATGCGGCTGAACTGCAGTGACTTTGGGGGTTAAACAAGACCCTGGGACAGATGTGTCACATGACGCGGGCTTGATGATAGGGTCGCTTGCCTGGAGTCGCTGCCTAGAATTCTTCATCGCTGGGTAGACGGCCTTTGCAAGGACGGTTTGACGTCCTCTTCCGAGCAATGAAGTGCGCCGAACAGTTATCACTAAGCCTTCGGTAGCTGGATATGTGGCAAACACTCTACACTGGCTGACTGACGGCTGCTGTTGGCAATTCCAGATCACAGACGCGTTAGCCAAAAGTCCGCATGCAATTAGGCTTTGCTACAACTTCGATATAGATTGCATTCAGTATCTGCATCCTCCCCAGTTGCCACTTCTGCGTAACGGAGACCTGGGACCCTCAACGCGAATCACAAAAGTCAACAAGGCTAATTTCAGACCATGTCCTGCTACCGTGATGCCAGTGAGTGTGGTTTCCAGATCTTTAGAGTAGACGCGTGCTTCCACGGATCGTCTTGGGCCAGAGTGGCGCACCTCTGGCCGTCGCTTTGGGCCTGATGCGGTGTGCACTGGACGTAGTCTCGACTTCTGACTACCTTGCTCACCCTTTCTATCGGATGAATGCTTCGTCAACCTCCAGTATCACCCGCCACCATGTTGCCGTAGTTGCGACTGTACTTTGCATTTCCTGTCAACTTGAGCAGGCTCGTTCTATCCTTGCAGCCCAACCTGTGAAGTCCGCAAGATAAGTAGTAGTCTTATACTCGATCCTCTGTAGCCGACGATCTCCGCGTTGTATTTTATACCTCGATAGCTTTTGTGACCCAGGCCCCTGCCCGCGGCATCCTGTAAGTTTGCCGAATGAGTTAAATCATTAAGGCCTTGTTTGAAAGTGTCTCGGAGCTGGGGTAGATGTAGCTATTAGTACCGAAATCGCTGTGGAGTACCGTCAGTGTTAAGATCTTACCCCTTCGGCGGTGCCAACTTAAGAGCTTCAGTTTGGTTCTTACACACGCTTACCCCCTTCAAAGGGAAGGATCTCTCCAGGGGGGCGGGCTCAGGAGTCCGCCAAGAAGATCGAGACCTGGAAGATGATTCTCCAATTCGTCAACTTCGGCCTTTATGAAGCGGCCTTCGTAGGTGAACTTAGCGACGATTCATCGTGGCCCGGAAAGGATACAGAACTGTCGGTCTAGGAAGGATTGCAGAACATTTGGAATACAATCCAAGTCTCTGGGAGAACAGTAGCCTTCAATGCGGTTAATGCTGACGATGAAGTGGCTGCTGTTGGATTAGGCGTGATGCAGGGTGGGGCGGGAGCGCTGGTGGTGAATAAAGCACTAACTCTGCATCGTGACTATGCCGTCAGGGCGACGAGTCCCAGAGACGTTGCCCCAGCGTAGATATGCTAGTACATCACGAAGTTCTCTTCATAAAAATGAATCATGAAAATGAAGTCAAAGAGCAGTGTGTAGTACACAGGAGCCCATTGAAAAAATACACTATAGCATTCTTAGTTCCTTTTCTGTGTTATGGACTGGCTGATGCAAACTTAGGCGGTTGCTGCGGTGGGGTACGAGAGGGTGAAGAGTGGCCCGTGTACAAGTAGCAAACCCGACGGCTTAGCTTTAGGTCTTCGCAATATTACAAGACTTGCGGCAGAGCCTCAGCCCACCTGTGGTGTACGTTGGTCATCTAATCATTTTCAATACCAACCGCAGTGATGAGGCAGTATGTGGGATCAAGGTGGAGTGGGAAAGCACGTTTTCAGAATCGAGATAGCGGCGAGGTGGGGCTTGACGGTATCGAGGTTGAGTTGAGTGTTAGCGACCGACGAACGGGGAAAGCTCTCTGTGCCTTTGATATAGATGCAAGTACTACGCGACACGAATAAATTCGATTCTCTCGAGAACTCATACGAAAGTACTTGTGCAGAATTACTCGTATCTCAGATCTACATAAACCTGCTAGCATCTAAGTCCACTCTGTAAGAAAATTGTATTCGATATGCACTATCGACACGGCTTGATCCATCTAAACTTCTAATCAACGCTAACAAATGCTCTCCATCGTAAACAAGAGTTGCGCTACGTCCAAAACACAACGCAATCCACCAATACCCCAAGCATTGCCGCAGAGCCTTATGCAGCGACGGCATCTATCGAAACTTCCCATCCCCATTGCAAAAGCTGAGATCCCCATTAGTGGGGGCTGGCTTAATGCATGCGGTAATGAACCCAGAGATCCATTTCGCGTTATCATAGGTGCCATCTTCGTGGGAATCTGCCGTCCACGTCCCAGTCTCAGCCAATGAACCCGGGCAACCTTGGAAGGTACGACCATATCTGCGCGTCACCCACGGCCTAGTGATCCATGTTCCAGCCTCGCCGGCCTTGATGGTGGTCTTGTACATCAAAGAGGTAGTCGTAGTCCAGGTTCGGGAAAAGTCAACTCCAAGAGTGCTGCCCAGCCTGTCCTTGACAAACTTGATGTCGAGGCCGGCCGAAGCAGAGACCGAGTTGCTAACACTCCATCCAGAAGAGACTGTGACATCAACGCCGCTTCCAGCCCCGAGAACGACAGGAGACATTTGCACATCCCAGTCGACGAACCTCTCAGTCTTGTCTGTCACAAACGAAGTTGTGCTGCCGCACGAGGTCTGACGGGCTGAGAGTTCCTTCGATGACGGTTCTGGCGCGGTGAAGTTGAGCCAAGATTCATCAAAAGGAGGTGCCTCAGGCAAAATGCCTTCAGCTGCCAATAATTGTTTGACTTGGCTTTCATCCATAATTGTCACTAGAGAAGAGATTACAGGTCAACTCAGTTGTTCATATACTTCTTGTGTAGTTGATTTCACAAGTGTGTTGAAAGAAGCAAACTTACTGTTTCCTCCCTTAGTGCACAAGAATTGGCCAGGCTGTAGGGTATGGTTCTGATAACGAGGAGGGAAGCTCATTCTAGGACTCAAAACAGCAGCAGCGGAGGCACTGATCAAGGGAAAGACCCAAAAGCTTGATTGCTTCATGATGCGTAAGACTTGTAGTAAAGAGTGTAGTGAGTTTTGAAAGAAAGGGATGCGGGCATGTATGGTGATGCTTGAACTTGTCCGACAGACTTGAGGAACAAGCCAAATAATCCAGGAGTTGCCTTCCAACTTTATACTCCGCGGGGCGATCTTGTCACCATACCTATCCCAACTGGAATCTTTTTAGTATGTCATTGATCCAAACTTTTACTATCAGATACTTGGTCGCGCCATGAGCGAGTCAGGTCTTTAGCCTTGGCGATGGGGCTGCTGTGAAAACCCCCTGTCCGTCAGTATTATATCCTCTCTCCTATATGTGGGTCCATGCGGCTGATAGCGACAATCGCAATGCGTTGACTCTATTTGGATAAAGTTTTAGGCTCAGCCGCTGCGCCTCACCCAAATAAGGTTATGTTTGTCATGCAAAACCAAGCAACGTTGATCTTCTAGGGCCCATCGCACTTTATCTCTTTCAAGCTTAAAAGGAGTATTCCGCACGGATGCAGCCGCCCCTGGACCACGTTTTCGCCCATGACGCTGTGAAACAAGGCACCGCGCGCTTGTCGGCAATCGGTTCTCGGATCCTTCAAGCATCACTGACTCGCCATGACCTGAGCGCATGACCCAAGATCGTAAAGGAGAGTTTGCACATCCCCCACGAGGCGATTATGCATACTCTTTGGCAGCGCCTCTGATTGGAGGCATAGCACTACGCACCTTATAGGGGAATCTCCACACAGCACTCAGGGGCGCAGTGATAAAAATACCCCATCCCATGTGGGGCTAGGATAAACTGGATGTGCTCACTTGGCAAGCCTGGGCTTTCGGGCATGCCTTTTAACGAGTGTTGAGTACTATAAAGTCTACGATTTTCTCAACTGTATTTCAGGTTATCTACCAACTCATCATCCCAACCACTGTTCTCTCTCGCCAATCAACCTTCTTCAATAACTTTCAATCAGACATAAAGAGTACCTCTCGTCCTCCAATCTTCAAAATGGCTTTCCTCAAGTCCTCAGTTCTGAACCTCGCCATTGTCATTCTGGCGGCTCCAGTGTAAGCTTCAAGTCCCAAGCCCACCCCCTTCACTGTGAATAGCTGCTGACAGCCAGAATCAGAGCACTTGCCGATTTGCACAAAGTCGCAGTATGTGTGACAAACAGAATCAGCTCCCCAAATGGTGGCACTCCATACAGCGTCAGCTATGATTGGGCAAAGAACTACGAGATCCTCCCCGATGCTACCAAGTGTGCATGCGATCTTTACCGCCAGCGCAATACTGGAAGCAAACAATGGGACACTTGCCCTGACTGCATGTTTGTATGACAAGCCTCAATGACACATTCCATGTGGAGAACTAACTGTCCTATAGGACGGCATTGGCTGCAACTCCGCTGCTTCGCACATTGGTGGTGACGAGGTAAGTCAACAGCAAGAATTTTACCATTACAGAGCTAATACTTTGATACTTAGATGACATACTACTGCGAGAGCAAGTGCGGTGCCCAGGGAGCTGAGGGCAACTCTTGAGCTATTGGTGGTTTCAGACTTTCTTCACTGTGAATAGACAAATAGGCGGATGATTGATGTACATAAAGCGAATCTATTTCGCAGGTCGCTCATTACTACAAAACCTATTTCTTTTTTGATACCAACACCGGCCAGGAGTCAGGCACCATAGTGAAGTATGCCTTCCATTTCCACTCCTTAGATGGATCTGCAAATTTCAGGTCGTAATCACGAATTATCTGGTATTGGGTTGATCAGTTGTAGCTCGTAATGACTTCGGCGGGCACTCACCGTGGAACATATCTTCAATAATTCCATGCGAGCGACATGCTGGCCGGGACATCCCATCCAGCCAGCTCCGAACTAGAGAGTTTAGTGTTTTGAAGAGAAGAGCAGTGCTGTATGAGTGCGCGCTTACCGGTATCCAGTTCTTCTCCAGCACCGTAGTATCGTCCCCTAGCCACCGCTCTGGTTTCCACTCGTCTGCGTCGCCTCCCCAAAGCTCAGTTGAGTGATGTAAAACCCTGGGAATGAATGTCAACCACATACTCTCGTAACGTATCGAACTGCTCGATTATCACCTACCAAGGATTGATAGAAAGCGTGGTGCCTTCAGGGAATGTCCGGTCGCCAATCGTCACGCCTCCTTTAGGCGCCACCCTCTGAAGACCCATAGGAACCGGGCTGTGGATACGGAGGCCTTCTTTGATACAGGCTTGAATGTATGGCAGCTGCTGCGCATCCTCAAGCGAGATGATTTTGCCAAGGCATTGTCCCTCCCTTTGAGCCTTCTTGATCTCAGCACGGGCTTTCTCCCAGGTTCCAGGGTTACGCGTCATATGGTAGATAACGCTTTGGAGGCCACAGGCAACGGTGTCTGAGCCGGCTGCAACATTGGTTGTTGTCTGTGCCTGGACGTTGCGCAAAGTGGTTCGATCTGGGTGTTGCTGAAGATATCGGAACCAATGAGCGACGACATCAAATCGTGCATCCGGATTCTTCTGGCGCTCGTTGAGAGCTACCATCGCAGTGTCCATAAGCATCGACCCTGGAGACAAGCCAAGATACGTGACCAAAGGGTTTCCTAGTAGAAGTTGGGCCCATCGGAACTGAGCTACTGGAGTGCCAATGGCTTCTTGGGCGAGGTTCTTGGCAATACTGTTGCCCAAGTCTTCCCCCTTTTCGATAAATCCAAAAGGTCTGGAGAAGAGAACCTCTCCAACAACATCAAAAGACGTGTAGATCAGGTATTTGTCTAGCTCCATCGCCTCTCCAGACCGTGCATAGTGATCCATCCAATTCCCAAGTTTCTCGATCAAAGGGTTGATGGCATCTTCGTACTTGATTACATTAGACTGGGCGTAACCAGAAGCAAATGCCTTGGATCTCTCGATCTTGTCTTTGGGTTCCAGTGATGACATGGGCGTCTGATAGCGCCAGTCTGGAATGGCCGAAATATTGTAGAACATGCCCTGCCGAGGTTAGTAGGTTCAATCAGAAAATCGCCGTGATCGCCATCACTGACCTTCTTCATGGGCTGCAGGAGTATCTTCTTGACGGCATCAGGGTGCGTGACGCTGACCTCGTTCGGGGCCATTCGAATGAAGTGGCCATGTTTCTCGTGAAGGCGACTCAATTGAACATTCTGGTCACCGAATATTATGACTTTGACATGCCATAGACGAGTTATAGAGGCCCAAAATGGTCCAGGTAAGTCGCTGAGGGGCGAAAGATATCGACGCCAAGCAGCAGTTGTGAAGAGTAATAGTAAGAAAGCGGTCGCCAAAGACGGTACCAACGACTTGAACAAGTCGTTACTGGACCACTCTCCCTGCGTGATTTTGCTCCCAATGTCTACCATGTTTGGATGAAGAGAGTCAATCGTTGAAATGATCACACCTAGGACAATCTAAAGGTTCCATCTGCTTGCGCTGCCTTAGGGCCGACTGCTTGCTTTAAATTCTAAATTTCGGGTAGTATGGTCCGTAATCCATCCCATCTTGCCCCATTTTGCGGGTTTCCACAGGGCGAATCACATCGATCCTAGTATACACCCTGCACTGCAAGTGCCAGGGATGATCAGTGGAGGCATTCGTAGTCCTCTTTTCGTTTCCCCCCGGCCGATGTGAGAATCATTGCTAAAGGAAAGGAAAAGAAAGAGTAGCCTCATTACAGAGTCGCATGCAGCGATAGGGTTGCATAGAGACTCTACGCCTGCATGACAAATTAACCGTCACTGATCAAGTTACTGATGTCCGAAGTTTGGCGGGCAAGTATTCACTGCGGCGCAGTGTGATTATGCAGCCCAACACCACACTGCTGCGCGCATGGTGGAGTCGCCAATTTCACTTCCAAACGATTGCAGGGTGTTGACCAGTCATGACCGGCCCGAAAGTTTGGGGAGCCGGGGACGGGATTGAATTCCCGGCGGACTGTACCCTTTTTAATTTCACAGAACACAATACGCCGCGTCAAGAAAATTTCTGTGCCTCTCCAAGGCTGACCTCGGGCCTACTTGTTCCACAATTATCAATTGCGTCTTGAGTCCCACAAGAGAGCGAGGAAATATTGCATCAATCTTCTCCGTCCCCTGCAGCCAACACAGTGTAGGAAAGATTGTTACAAGGATGCAAGGCTGCCATGATATGATTCTCATCAGAGAAACATGGTGAGCGGAAGATTGTCCTTCAGAGGACTTATTCACAGGAGGAGAGCTTAAATTCGCTGGTCTCCCGCCCTCTGCCTGGCACGGGAGAAACTTTGTCCTGCGACTGCCCCCGCTCAACGGAGTAAACAATCATCGAGTATGGCACACACTCTGCCTATCAAGAAAGCACAGCAGGTCAAATTGATCGTTATTCCTTTGGTTTTTAGCTGTATTTCTATCATTGCAGTAGGACTTCGAGTTGTGGCACGCCGCATTGCCAACCGGGCCCTCGATTCTAGCGATTGGACTATCTTGGCAGCATGTGTATGTTTCGGCCATGGGTTTCTATGAAGATTGCCGGTTGACGTTTGTAGGTAATATCTGTCGCATTTACCGGGATAGTCATGGCGGGTAAGCCTCTGTCTTGAATTCTAGCATATGAAATTCAATAGCTCGCTTGCTGACAATTTAAAGAGGGCCTTGTCGGCGGAGGTGGCTGGCATGCGGGAGAGATTGTGCAATCATTCGGACCTGAAGTTGTCATTCGCTTCCTCAAGGTAAGTAGTCACGCATGACCCTCAACTATATGGCTCTCACTGACGTCTATCTTCACGCAACCAGATTTCCGTCGCTGTTCAGATCATGTGGACACTCAGCCTTAGCCCGTGCAAGCTGTCTATCCTAGTCTTATATTGCAAGATTTTCACAATTGCCAGGTTTCAGTGGACTTGTTATATCACTGGTGGTGTCATAGCTGCGTGGTCGCTGTCCACGATACTCAGTGCTTTGCTTATCTGTCAACCTATGTCAGATCTCTGGTCAGCAGTTCCGAAGGGCCATTGCGGGGATCATACTTTATCATACACGATCACTGGTAGCATCAACATCGTGACGGATGTCATTGTGTTGCTTCTTCCGCTTCCATACCTTATCCATCTGGAGATGGCGCTCTACAAAAAGCTAGTACTGACAGCCACGTTTACTGTTGGCTTGTTGTAAGTCACCATAAGCAGGCATCTTTGAGCCTTAAAAAAATGAAGAGACTGACAGGGGCATCATCGGTACAGTGTCTGCGTGGTTAGTGCTTTACGCCTACATTCAATTCGATCGATCGACTTCTCCGACATTACCTATACCGTTGCCGAGGCTCAAATTTGGAGTGCTCTTGAGCCAGCTCTCGGCATTACTGTGGCATGTGTCCCTGTCCTCCGTCCACTCTTTGGTGGCCAGCATAGTCCAAATGGGACTTCACTGGAAAGCGGCCGGAAGAAGGCGCACGCACTGAATCGAATATTTGAATCGGTTTACGAGAGTTCGTCCGAGTATCAGCTACGCCCGTATCATTCGAAACACGGTGTTGAGGTCACATCCCAGAGGCACACCAACAGCAATAGTCTTGACGGCACGGACTGCAAATACATTGGGGTACTACAAGAATGGAAAGTTGACACGCGGTAGCCTTCATGAGACGGCTTTTTCGATAACAGCACAGGGAAGTTTCGCTCGCCTAACTGAATAGGGTAGAAACATAAACATGGTGGTAGCCCTTTCGAGCTAGTGCCGTGGGCAAGTTGAGGCTTAGACAAACAATAGTAGTCAAGGCCGCTACAAAATAGCTAAATTCACTTTGCTAGTCAAGTCCTCCAGACCAGCAGACCCAATCGCTTTTGTTAGCAAGAGAAACTCTGCCTGGAATTGTGGCAGTTTTACATTGAGCCCTGCGTCGCGTCACTCTGGTGAATGGAGGGTTTGCTGCAAATCCGGTAATCTAAAGCTGGGGAGGAACCGTGGGGTGTGGAGCACCTCAAGCACCCCTCACCTCTCGTACCCTGCCACCTATCTGGGTCTGCCTGGACCAGTGGGAAGTAGGGGACACAAAGAGTACTTCTCGGTTCGCCTGCACGAAACCATCACCTCCTCTTCCTCCTGTTCTGTTTCACCCTTTTATCTCCCCTCAGTTTATAACCACGCTTTCCTTTCAAAACAAGTTGCGCTAGAATTCCCCGTGCGTCTCTCACCGTAGTACTACAGCGATAGTTCATAGCAACTCGTCATGGCGAGCCGAAACCAACATCCCGTGGTATCGTATCAACCACTGAGACTTTTATTCCAGCTATCGTATCTCTTCACCATTATCCCACGCCTACCCTACTACATTGCCGTGGCCTTGATTCCGTTGTGGAGGCCACATCCGACATGGACACCTAAACAGGCCTTCATGACCCGCCTGACCTACCCGATATTGGATATCATATCTCGAGTTGGAATCACAGAAACGCTGACATTGCAAGCGGGCAAAGAAGGTGAGCGGTTCCAAGTTGTAAAGCCGTCTATTTTGGACGTTTACAAGGGGCCGCTGGCGAATAAAACCACCAAACCCGCAACGATTGGGGGTACATGGTTCCCAACAGTTCCCGGTGCCGATATCATTTCCAAAACCGTCGTGCTCTACCTCCACGGGGGAGCCTTCGTACAAGGCGATGGTCGGGACGCGCAATGCGGTTCCATCGCTGAAAAGTTGCTCAGGAAGGGCGGCGCGAATGCTGTCTTTTCTGTGCAATACCGCCTTTCTGGATATAACGGCCTGAATCCGTTTCCGGCCGCCTTGCAAGACGCGCTATCCAGCTACCTGTACCTGCTGAATGACCTGCACGTGCCTGCATCGCAAATTGTTCTGGCCGGTGATAGCGCCGGCGGCAACCTGGCGACAGCGTTTCTGCGGTACCTTCACGAGTTTGGGAACGGGATCAAAGTGCCCCCACCCAAGTGCGCCGTGTTACTCTCTTCGTGGGTTGCACCCTATGAATACCAAACGACAGGCAACCCACACCGTGGGACCGATTTCATCCCGTCGTCATACCCCAAATGGGGGGCGCACGCGTATGGGGACGGCCTACCGAACGCTGCATCGGACCCGTACATCACGCCACTGGGGAATCCGTTCCGCACGCCCGTGCCCATATTCTCCAATGCCGGCGCGGCTGAGTTGTTCTATGAGCGCATCGTCCGATGGGGCGATGAGATGCGCGGGATCGAGGGGAATGTGGTGGAGACGAACTTGGAGCCAGCCGCAGTCCACGACACCTTTTTTGTAGCCGATGCGCTGGGTTTCGAGAAGAGCGCCTGGGACGTTGCGGCCAAGATCGGGGAGTTCGTGCGAAAATTCTAGCTACGTGGTCTTTCCATAGGTTCATACGCGTGGTATGATATGCTTTGCCCGCTCTGGCTCGTGTAAACAGGGTTTTCGGGCTACGAATGGACGATTATCACTGGCATTATGATTGCTTGTTGTTGATGTTTGTCCCTGCATTTTTGCCACCACCATTGCAAGAACTACATTTATCAGTCTTGTGTCGGATCCCGCGAGTTACTCATATATATTCATCTGCAGCCTGGCAATATGCGTCCTCAGCCTGATCCGACACAGCCAACTTTGGATATTGCCCGCTTGGGTCTAATAACACTTAGCAGCCTACCAATGCACATATCTCTTGCTTGCATTAAGAATGGATCTGGTATACCTTTCATCGGTTTGACTCAGTAAGAAGGGGTTTGTGGCAATTGGCTCTTACGTTCTGTCTCAGTTACCTTCGTATCAAACAAGGTTTGACTAAGGTTATATATGCTTTAAGAAAGGCCACCCGCAACCCTGTTTGGCTGGACATAGGAAAAGTGTCTCATAATCCACTTTTCGAATTGAAAGTTTCAAAGCTCTCGAACGCTGCTTACGGTAACGATCTCAAGTGCCCACCTTGCCGCGTTCACTCGAGAAACAGACACCACACATACAGGAACTGGGTACGCAGGAAAGCACAATCAGCTTTCCAATCACAAATGGCACTGGCGCTTAACATTTCAAGTCCACTTCACTGTATTGGAGCTGGCGCTTGCGGCAGTGTCTGGTCGACTGCCGCAACCAACGATGATAGTCAGGCGGTAGCATTCAAACGGGAAGACGGAAACGTGGGAAGATCTTTGCTAAACGATTTTGAGAAGCATAAACGACTCGCAAGTAACGTAGTCAACTGTCCGCCAGAGGTCCGCTCATTTCTACTTCCTCACTACCACGGCTTCCTCGGAGCAAACTCGGTGAACGAGGATCTTCTGTGCCGGTTTCCGGATGGCTTTCGCAAGCCATGCAACACGTTGACAATGGAGCGCATCCCACCATTGGGTAGGCCTGTACGGGACTTCATTGCCGAGATGTTCTGTCCGCCGAGTATGGTTCAAACGGTCAAACAGGACATTAGATCTAGAGACTGCCTAGTGAGGCCCTACCTCGGCCGCAGACGACACGCTCCCTTGATATTGAAGTCATTCACTCTGCGCAACTACATTCTGACAGTCGACCAGATGGAGGTACTGGGCTTAGACAAGGATACATACGCGAAGGCTATGGCAGAGGCACTTGCTTTCATGCATTGGAGTGCTCAAATAGATGCAGATGATGTGGAGTTTATCCTCGCACCACCTCGGGAGAGCACAGATGCGCGCTGTTTCTGTTCGGGCTCGCTTGGATGTCATTCTCTGTGGATTCTTGATTTCGATCGATGCCGAGCAATGCCAATGAACGAGGAAGGCATATTACTGGCAACCACGGCATTCTACAGGAACGACCTCTACTTCCCCAGGCCTGGACGAGAACACATAGAAGATCAGAGACTATGGCAAGTCTTCAAGGCTAGATTTCTGGAAGCCAGCACAGTAATCATTAATTCCGGAGAAACAAATATTGATCAGAGCCTGCCAGCCAAACTCGTGGCGCAGATCGAAGCTCATCATCCTCAAAGAGGAGGGAAAATTGAGCCCTCTTTGACATGAACCGACATCGCCCAGTCAGAAGGGAAGAGGATGCAGGATTGCTCATCGCGGGAACGAAACTCGGTACGACTGGCGTATAATATCTCTTGATCTGATTTGTTGAAGTAATCAAGGCAATACATATGTCATATACAACTAAGCTTTATAAAAACCCCCGATCTTCCCTTCGGGCAGGGCTCGTCACAGGGCACAGCAAGAGTTATTCTTCTCTTGTGAAGAATCAAGAGCTTTGCTTGGTACTTCTCCGTCCTCCCTTCCCTTCTCCTCCACTTTCTCCCCTGCCTTCTCCACTGCCTCCTCTTCTGCCTTCTCCTCACTCTTCTGTTCCGTCTTCACCTCTCCCTTTTCTTCCGCCTTCTCTTCCGTCTTCCCCTCAGCATTCTCCTCGATCCAATCTTCTGCCTTCTGCTGGTCTACCTTTTGCTGGTCAAACCGCACAACATATTTCCCCGTGGTCTGTGTAGAAGTGAGCAAAATGCCTCGCTAGTTCCATTGATACAACTTACCGTGGCGACACGATCAGCCACGTCAGGTAGTTCATTCAGAGATATAGGGTGAATTGCTGGTGTTACAACGCCCCTCTGCACGAACTCTAGTGCCTCTAGCGTATCCGTTCGTGTTCCAGTCACACTTCCAATAATCGTAAAACCCTTGTCGATGAACTGAAGCGGGTGTAGCGTCATAGTCTGGTGCGGAGGCGGGATACCGACGCAGACTACGGTTCCAAAGGCAGCAACGATATCGAAAGCATTCTGGTAAGCAGCCCCGGACCCTGCGGAAACGATAACGGCCTTCGCCCTGGTTCCTTTCGTTGCCTTATTGACCAGGGCTGTTACGTCCTCCTTGGCGTCCACGTATACCTCTGCTCCAAGCTTAAGACAGTACTCTTTTTTGTCCGTACCCAGGTCGATGGCGATCACGCGATATCCCATGGCTTTAGCATATTGTATCGCTAGCGCGCCTACACCACCTCCAGCCCCTGATACTGCGACCCACTCCCCCGGGGTTGCCCTGCAACTCTTCAGGGCATTGTAAGCCGTTACTCCTCCGCATAAAATTGGCGCGACCAGCTCGTCGCTAACCGTCAAGTCGTCTGGCAGCTTCAGCACGTACCTACTAGGCACGGCACAGTATTCGGCAAATGTTCCGTCGAGCTTCCTTCCCGAGTTGAGCTGCTCAACGCATCTGGTCTCGCCCGCAGGTACGCGACAACACTCGCAATCACCGCAGGCGTCTCTAACCCAGGCCACGCCGACCCGATCTCCCACCTTTGCAACGGTCGGGTCCACGCCCGCACCAATGGCTTCTACTCTGCCTACACCTTCGTGACCAAGCACGTCGCAGGATGGACCCAGATGCCCGGCAGCCAGCGAGATATCTGTCCCGCAGATGCCCGTGGCCGTAATGTTAACCAAAATCTCCCAAGGCTTCACCTCTGGTTTTGCAATTTCGCGGACTTCAAAGCGCGACGCCCCATTCTCCCTCTGCAATTGTGTGAGCTGCCGCAGGTCTGGGTTCGAGGACAACTGGCTGGAACTTACAACGACCACAGCGGCTTTTTGGAGTGTCGTTGAACTCATAGCGGCCGCACCCGACTGCACCAAGACGATAACCAATATCGAGGGATATCAGGTGATAATCAAGGTGGTATCTCAAGAAAATCAGTCTAGAGAAACTGTCGCGTGGTAAAGTGAGCGACTTTAGATGGGGTATTTCAGGTTCAGGGGGGTCAACGGTTTAGAAGATAAAGGCATTACTGACAACTACCCCAAACGCGGCCGTGTTGGAGGCTGCGCACTATTCATGTCAACCCCGCACACCCCATATATTACTCCACACTGGCCAGGATACAGGGTTTCAACTCAGTAAACCAGGTGGAAATTAAGGTTCCGCTAGCGCATCAGCTTCTGGAGCACGCGGCTCAAGCACTAGAATCTGGCACTGCCGTGGGAAAATACCGATCGGTTAGGGACTGCATGCGGCAGATTCCAGTCTTGGCCCTCGATACGTCGCGTGGCAATTGGCAGGGCTGACGTTTGGCCACGAGGAATGCCGCAGCTCTTATCTTAAGTCGCGGCAGCACCAAGTCTGCTTTGCCTGTGCCCCTGTTTTCGAAGGTTGATCATCAAACAAGGCAGATCTGACATTACGTATAGCCCTGCAAGTGGGGAAGGGGTTTGTTTTTACAGAGATCGAATCAAGATAAACTTATCTCGCATCTCAAACTGCCGTGGGGATGGAGTGTTTGACTGTGAAGTTAGCCGAGCTGAATCACCAAGTTGAAGCCTCGCCCGAGCCTTGCAGAAGTTAGGCAATCTGCACCTCTGAGGCTGGGCTGCAGCCAATGAAGCAGATGGTCAGGAGAGAGCTTCACGCCCCTGACCCAAGGCCGTTGCAACTCGATGGCTTGTTAGTACCGGGCGTACTGCTCAGAATCAGCCTAGTATCTGGCAAGTATTCTATCATAAGGTGGGGGTGGGGTATTACCCCGCACGCCACGGCCGGGAGCTATTGCGATGTACATGGCTCGGTACATGAACGGGAAGCAAATCTAGTATTTCTCCCCGTCTGGTATATATGCCGCGTGCGCTACTCAGTAATTACCTCGGGCAATGTGAATATGAAGCAAGCCACCGATACAAAACCATCAACTTGGAGGGTCGCTTATGGTCATGCGGTCATGCGTAATGTGTGACACCTGACGACATAACAAGCTATGCTATTGTCCACGATGAGGCGGTCCCCTATTTCAAGCTGCTCGACGCAGCTCCGGCGAGCATTGCTGGCTCCACGCTCCTTCTCCAAGTTTCGCTGTATAAGCACCACGATGGCCGATTTTGATCATTTTACCAACTGTGTCGCTGGCCAGTCCAGACAGGGGCCAAAGGTTCATCGTGGGATTGACCCGTCGACCGGAAAGTCTCTGTGGGACGTTCCCGTGGCCTCAGAGACATATCTCGAAGAAGCCATCGCTTCGTCGAAGAAGGCGTTCGCTCCCTGGTCGAAAACATCTTGGGAGGACCGCGCACAGCAGCTGCTGCTCGCTCGAGATGTTTTATTAGAGAACAAGGCCAAAATGGCAGAATTGCTGACTAAAGAAGTTGGGAAACCAGTATGTGCTGTCCCACTAACCCGTTCCGGGCAAAACTAACTACAGCAGATTCAACTCGCGCACCTAGAAGTGGAGCATGCCGCAAACTTTCTTGAATTCAATGGTGAGTCTTATTAGCCTCTCACATGCAATGTGCTTTGGCTAACGTTCGACAGCGAAACAAAAGCCTTTCAAGGAACGCATTATTCAAGATGATTCGGACCTCAAGCTTACAGTTGTGCAGAAGCCCGTTGGTATAGTTGCCGCCATCTGCCCTTGGAATTTCCCGCTTGTGCTGGCTATGGGCAAAATCGCTGCGGGCTTGATTACGGGCAATTGTGTTATTGTTAAGCCATCACCGTTCACCCCATACTCCATATTGAAGTTTGCAGAGCTCGTTCAGCATATCTTCCCGCCTGGAGTTTTGCAGGCGCTTAATGGCGGCGATGATCTGGGACCACGTCTATGCACCCACCCAGATATTGATAAGATCAGCTTTACTGGCTCAACCGCTACCGGGAAGAAGATCGCCAACGCTGCTGCTGGAACCTTGAAAACCGTGACGCTGGAACTCGGAGGTAACAATGCCAGCATTATCTGTCCAGACGTGGACCCCAATATCGTCGCGCCCCAGGTGGCAGTCGGGTCCTTCTTCAACTCAGGACAACTATGTGTTGCCAGCAAGCGGGTGTACGTGCACGAGGACATTTACGACCAGTTCCTGAAAGTCATGGTAGAGACCGTGAAGCAGTGGAAGGTTGAGCCCACTTCCAGTCTCCAGGAAGGAATTATGCTCGGTCCCATTCAGAACCAGATGCAGTACGATGTCGTCAGGCAGTTCTTCTTGGACAGTGCCAGCAATGGGCACCAGTTCGCCCTTGGCGAAACTCCCAAGGAGTCCCCCGAGAACTTCATCATAAAACCTGCCATTGTCAGCAACCCTCCAGACGACTCTTTGGTCGTCACTGGCGAGGCGTTCGGTGAGTAAGCACGATCCTGATCTTTACAACCGCTAACATGCGAAAAGGCCCCATTGTTCCAGTCATGAAGTGGAAGGATGAGGACGATGTCATTCGTCGCGCAAATGACACCCTTACTGGCCTGGGCGGTGCTGTCTGGTCGAACGACCTCACGCGGGCCCAGGCAATCGCAGATCGCATCGAGGCGGGCACAGTGTGGATCAACAGCTTCGAGAAGCCTCTACCCCAAGCGCATCTGTCGGGATATAAGGAGAGTGGGTTGGGTGGGGAGTGGGGCCGTGAGGGCCTCTCAGCTTATACCAAACCTCAGGTCATACATTGCTATAAAGCCCCTGTGGTTGCGAAATAAGTCTGCAGTAGACATATGCATTAATGGATCAAACTGTAAATAACTTAGACACTGCATTCAAGCCAGGTGGCCGGTAATGCAGAGGCCTCATAGAGGTTTTGCTGTTCATATGGTTTGCAAACTTTCCATTGGGTTCAGAGTGCGAGCTGGCATTACGGTCTTCAACTGTGCTTTTGAATCGCATGCATGATCCATGCAACGCTGGACTAGGATGGGCTATTAACACCTTTTTGATTGCTCTCAAATGGTAAATTAAAGGATACCTGTGTCCTAAGTAACAGGTATATTGGGAGTAATCTTCCGAGCCACTGACCAGAACATGGTGTGGAGTAAAGGAACCGATTCTGTGTGCTCGAGCATCCCTCAGTCGTCCGCTTTACTCGCGAATTTAGAAAAATCAACCTTGGTTCGTACGTAACAGTCTGTCTATGATCTGATTGAGCTTTTTGCGTCTATAAGTGTCTATGCTAAAGGTTATCAGGGCACCCACCCTTCGTGAACTGTATCAAGACCAACTTTGGTGCATTATTGAAATTTGGTATGGGAAAAGAAGTAGGCTATGGAAGATAAGATAACAAAGCTAGATGTCTCCGTCTTAAGTAGAGCAAGCAGCCTGGCACGTATGCTGTCGACAATAATGATCCAACATAGCAATAGTTGACGCTTAGGCCGGCGCTTGCAACTGGAAGGGCGTATCGAGGTTGTTGAGGCGCATAGTGAAACCAGTGTTTGTGTAATCTGCATAGTCTAGTTTATTGAAGTTTGTTGAAGTTTATTGAGCTTGAATCAAAAAGGAGGCCCACGTTTCCAATTGTGAGTATGCAATAGACTCCCAGGCCCGCAGCTAGCATAGCCACCACGGCCGTAGAAGCCATGGGACAACCCCCCATCTGTGCCCCACACCCCACAGAATCTGGAAGACGAGGACTGATTTAATCCGATCCCGCCCCCGCCTAACTTGAACTGTATACATTTAACTCAAATCTGAAGATTCTCCATCGAAGGGGTTGTGTATAATTCGCAATTATACGAAATGAGGCCTAATGTCGCAGCATCAATCGAAAACCTACCGTTGGAGCTGCAGGACCTCATCCTTTGCATGCTTCCAGATGTGAGGTCTCTTGCGAATGCTGCTGTATCATGTCGTGCACTTCACGCCCGTTTCCAGAGTGACAGGGCCCGCCTAATCCTCCAGGTCCTCTCAAATCAACTTGGTCCAGCCCTACCAGCAGCACTTCTTGTTCAGTCATGTCGCTCGCCACCTATTAAAAGCCGCAACCGCCAGCCCAGTGGTCCGTCCGACACTGACAGCCATGAGTTAATGACATATGCCTCCAGCTTCATCCGGAACGACTTGCGGAGGCCCACGCAAGATGAAATGGCTGTCTGCAACATGACCGACGCTCTTGAGATAGCGAATTTCTACTCTCACGTCGAATTCTTCACTGAGAAGTTCCTTCAAGCCTGCTCGGAATCCAATCCACGAGTCGGGGACAGTTTCGCACGACCTCCAACATCACGTGAGAAAGCGAGAATTGCCAATGCCATGTACACCTTTGAACTCTTCCGGCGACTGTTTGGAAATCTAAGTCTAGGGGACCTCTCCGAACTTGTTCCTCTGTTTTTCTCCAAGCTCGCCCCGTGGGAAGGTGCCCAACTTGGCTGCGTTCATGACTTCCTTGCTCGGGAGGTCATCCCAGGTGCGTACCATATCAGAGCTGTTTCCCTGCCATTTTTAACTCATGAGCTGACTAAACTGTAGCGATAGCTTACAATGAGCTTGCGATGCATGACATAACCTGGGCGGAACACTCGGTCGTCGCCACTTGCGATCTATCGTCGCCTCAGATTCAGTTCTTTCTGTCAAAGGGGCTGCCAAATCTGCATGTCATAGCAACAGCAACCTCATATGAAGAGAAGGCTCTCGCTTTTGCCACGAACACGGGACCACCAGGAATTAGTTATTATTTCCTCATGGCGGCACTGGAAATGATAGATGCCGCAGAAGACCTCAATGAAGATGAGCTCACGTCCATCGTCACAGCACACCCTCTCTACGAGGACTGTGATCCTGGCCCCAAACAAATATGGGAGTTATCAAAAGGGCAACGTCAAGTGGCGATTTACGGATCACTCGACTGGGCATACCGCCGGTGGGGTTATGTTATGTGGGACTGCGAACGACTTGACGCGCTGGGTGCTTTAGATGTTTGGAACCCGGAACAGGAAGAAGAGCCATATGTCGAGGCCGTTTCGCACGAGAATATGTGGAATTCGATCAAGTGGAGGACGGAGATATACTGGGCCGGTGGGCGCGGATGGTGGGATGAGAACGACCAATCTCACATTGTTTGGCCCGACAGGGAAAATGGCGAGCCCGCGGCTCGAGGTCAACACGTGCCAGCTACCCTCGATGAGGCCAAGAAACTCTGGCGGCACGTTTCCAGGAAGATTAGCATGCGTTGAGCTCGGGAGGGAGGCACAGATGCATGAGGAACATAAGAAAACGTGTCAAATGGGTACTGTCAGCAGTACTCCCATGTTCCTACTAGACGGTTGGTATCTCGTAATATCACCAGGAGCCCCGAGACGTTTTGGTGGTGGACTGCGCGCTGTTCGGGACCGAGACCGAAGCAGAGCGAAATTATTCGACATCGTGATAGCACCGGGAGTGAATGATCTAGTATGGTCCATCAATTTGATTCAACAATAAGAAATATTGCTGTTCAAGTCTTGTAAAGGGAAAAAACCACCCAGCTAATACAACTGAACATCAGATCATGCAGTCCGCTGCATGAAGGGCTTTCGGGCTACCTGGCGTCTTGGCTAGCGCTACGTAGATACACTTGACTATAGCCGAAAGTGTGAAGGCGTAGCAATTGTGGCGGCTCAGATTCAGTCTAAGTCAATCAGGGCTTGGTAACCTCTGATCTTCATGCCACTACTGGTGAAGTGGAGCGACGGTAGACAGAACGATAATGTTTCTGCATCGTATCCGTCGTCGGCACAAGCAGAAGTCAGGTTGAATGAGCAAAGACTCGCTAGCAAGGATCTCCGCCGTATATATATAGTTTCTCACTTTCTTTAAATCTAAAGGGAAAGGTGTGTATGAGGGACGAGAGCAGCATAAGCGGATCGAAGGCCCAATTAACCAACCAGCTTTCCACAAAAATGGCGTTGCGGGGACATGACAACGACTGCACGGCGCCTCTCGCAAGATACACATTGCTGGTTATCCCAGCATGACCCGCATGCCTGATGAGCTACAGTAGACATAGAGTATGTAATGATCGCTATAACCCTCATCGATCGAGGCATTGAACATCCATTTCCTTGGTAGGAGACGCTGCGAAGTGAGAAGGGAGGAAGGCCGCAATGAACCAGGTGGTGCCGGCTGCATCGGTGAGGTCAGACAAGGGTAAGCCAGCATGTGGCGTGTTCTCCGCACTTCAGCGCTTATCCATGGAGACCAGACCCACCTTTAGCTCAGCCTCGCCACCGCATCCAGATGGCATTTTTTCTAGTTCACCTCTCGGGAACCCGCGACAGAGTTGGATGGCGGGAAAGGCGGACGGGACAGGCAGGACAGAGCCAAAGTCAATGGCTGTTTCCGGCCGCGCCAATGGAATGTGCGTGAAACCCTCGGACACCTCAGCGGCGATGGCATGGGCGAGGGATGCTAGTGAGCCTTGTTGGGGAGCCTCGCAGGTCGGCCTCTGGCCACAGCCCGGCTGGCTGTCCAGTGTGCGGTTCTGGAACTTTGGAGAAACGACGGGCAAGAACAAAGGGTCTTCAGGGCCTCGAAGCTGCAGCGGCCAATCAGAGGGGCCGCAGGGCGGCGGGCTGCAGGGGGTGCTTGTCTGGGCTGGTTGCCGGGCACGCACAGCACGGGCCAGGGCCCAACCCAGGGCGGGCGCCGCAGCGAATCAGCGGGCGCGGGTGGCCCCAGCGCTAGCGTCCCCACCCCGGCAACGCCTGTGTGAGCTTGCGACTGCCTGATGGAATCGCATCGAATTCTTTTGGCGGTTGCCAGTCGGGAGCCTACAAGAAGCGGCTTCGTGAGCTTTTCCTCCCCTTCGTCCCGCCGACCTTCAGTTTTCCTCCTCCATTTCCCCCCAATCCCAATCTTCACCCCATCTTGCACTTGGCACTGCCTACTCGTCGTTGTAGACCTGTTGCAGTTACCCGCTTGATACCCCTCCATCGTCTTCATACACAACACCCATTTGGTAAGTCGAGCTTCCCGCCTCTGCTCTGCCCTCAAGCTCCCCCCGCCCCTTCAGCCTCGCCTCGCTTTGCTGCACCGGGTGTCTCTGGGGCCACGTCAGTGTTCCTAGGAATTATCCAGTGCGGTGAGTTGAGACCCCAGCAACCCTTTCGACGACTTGTGCTTGCCTACCCGATTATTCCCAGCCTGGGAATTGGTCGGCATGTGCCTGGAGTCGGTAGGCTGATTTGTTTGGCGTCTGCAATTGGGAATCGTCACATTGTCTGCCTCTGGGAGGTTTTGCTTGTGATAAAATCATTCCCACACAGCCATTGAACAATTCAAATTGCGATTCAATCCAATTGTTGGCTGTGATTGCATTCACTTGGCTAGAAGATTCTTCTCCCACTTGCCAATTTCCATATCGTTGCAGCTTGCCATTTGAAAATCTCTGCAAGCTGCCCCTCTTCACGAAACGCAAACGCTATCCATTTATTCCCAATCCCACCGGCTCTGCGCTTTCCTGCTAACGCAATCGTCCTCCAGAAGTCCGATTTCCTACCCCTCCACCAAGATGTCTGAGACCTTCGAGTTCCAGGCTGAGATCTCTCAGCTGCTCTCGCTGATCATCAACACTGTCTACTCGAACAAGGAGATCTTCCTGCGAGAGTTGGTGTCCAACGCCTCCGATGCCCTCGACAAGATCAGATATGAGGCCCTCTCCGACCCGTCCAAGCTCGACTCGGGCAAGGACCTCCGCATCGACATCATCCCCGACAAGGAGAACAAGACCCTGACTATCCGCGATACCGGTATCGGTATGACCAAGGCTGTAAGTTGACTACACCCGGAACCTGAGACCTTGGGGGCCCCGCAGCCCGTCATTTTCACGTTGGCTGACTGTTTTGGTTTAGGACCTCGTCAACAACTTGGGTACCATTGCCCGTTCGGGTACCAAGCAGTTCATGGAGGCTCTGACTGCTGGTGCCGATATCTCCATGATTGGTCAGTTCGGTGTCGGTTTCTACTCTGCCTACCTGGTTGCCGACCAGGTCACCGTCATCTCCAAGCACAACGATGACGAGCAGTACATCTGGCAATCATCTGCCGGTGGTACTTTCACCATCAAGGCCGACACCGAGGGCGAGCAGCTCGGTCGCGGTTCCAAGATGATCCTTCACCTGAAGGACGAGCAGGCCGAGTACCTCAACGAGAGCAAGATCAAGGAGGTCATCAAGAAGCACTCCGAGTTCATCTCGTACCCCATCTACCTCCACGTCACCAAGGAGACCGAGAAGGAGGTCCCCGATGAGGACGCCGTCGAGGAGGTCGAGGAGGAGGGTGACGACAAGAAGCCCAAGATCGAGGAGGTCGATGACGAGGGTGAGGAGAAGGAGAAGAAGCAGAAGACCAAGAAGGTCAAGGAGACCAGCATCGAGGAGGAGGAGCTCAACAAGCAGAAGCCCATCTGGACTCGCAACCCTCAGGACATCACCCAGGAGGAGTACGCCTCCTTCTACAAGTCCCTCTCCAACGACTGGGAGGACCACCTTGCTGTCAAGCACTTCTCCGTCGAGGGTCAGCTCGAGTTCCGCGCCATCCTCTTCGTCCCCAAGCGCGCTCCCTTCGACCTGTTCGAGACCAAGAAGACCAAGAACAACATCAAGCTGTACGTCCGTCGTGTCTTCATCACCGACGATGCTACCGACCTCATCCCCGAGTGGCTCGGCTTCGTCAAGGGTGTCGTCGACTCTGAGGACCTTCCTCTCAACCTGTCCCGTGAGACCCTGCAGCAGAACAAGATCATGAAGGTCATCAAGAAGAACATTGTCAAGAAGGCCCTCGAGCTCTTCAACGAGATCGCCGAGGACAAGGAGCAGTTCGACAAGTTCTACAGCGCCTTCTCCAAGAACCTCAAGCTCGGAATCCACGAGGACTCGCAGAACCGCCACACTCTGGCCAAGCTCCTGCGCTTCAACTCCACCAAGTCGGGCGATGAGCAGACCTCGCTCACCGACTACATTACCCGCATGCCCGAGCACCAGAAGAACGTCTACTACATCACTGGCGAGTCGCTCAAGGCTGTCCAGAAGTCTCCCTTCCTTGATGCCCTCAAGGACAAGAACTTCGAGGTTCTGTTCCTCGTCGACCCCATTGACGAGTACGCCATGACCCAGCTCAAGGAGTTCGAGTCCAAGAAGTTGGTCGACATCACCAAGGACTTCGAGCTCGAGGAGACTGAGGAGGAGAAGGCCGCCCGTGAGGCAGAGGAGAAGGAGTACGAGGAGCTCGCCAAGGCCCTCAAGAACGTCCTTGGTGACAAGGTTGAGAAGGTCGTCGTCAGCCACAAGCTGTCCGGCGCCCCTTGCGCCATCCGTACTGGCCAGTTCGGTTGGTCTGCCAACATGGAGCGTATCATGAAGGCCCAGGCCCTGCGTGACACCTCCATGAGCAGCTACATGAGCTCCAAGAAGACCTTCGAGATCTCGCCCAAGTCTCCCATTATCAAGGAGCTCAAGAAGAAGGTTGCCGCTGACGGTGAGAACGACCGCACCGTCAAGTCCATCACTCAGCTCCTGTTCGAGACCTCGCTCCTTGTCTCTGGCTTCACCATTGACGAGCCCGCTGGCTTCGCCGAGCGCATCCACAAGCTCGTCTCCCTGGGCCTGAACCTGGACGAGGAGGCTGAGGAGGAGGAGGCCACCGAGGCCCCTGCCACCGCTGATGACGCTGCTGCCGCCGCTGGTGACAGCACCATGGAGGAGGTTGACTAAAGGAAGCGTTAGAATCAGGATTCGGGATTTGAAAAGTTCCACGGAGTTGGCTGGTTGGGCTTCCTTTTGTTTTCCCTCGTTGGTTCCATGCATTCATCACATAATGCCTCATACCCTCAGATGATGTACTCTAGTTGACGCGTTCACGATCATACAGGCCGGATGAAAAGATCCGTAGACGAATGAAATGTTTCTAGATCAATTATGCCTTGTTCTTTTGTGCTTATATGAGATGTGAAGAATATACATAGTTCTCGGGACGAAGGATTGCGAAGTGACAACTCCTGCTGCACGACCATTTAGCGAGAACGTGGTCCCCATTCGGAGGAATGAGAAATTCACTAGACTGAAAACTGAGTGACACCGAGACGGCGGTTAACGCGGGTTGAAACTACTATGGTATACATCTGTGTTAGCAAGCTATCCAAGCACCAGATCTGAAGTTACTTTGATCATGGACTTGCTGTCAGGGATGCATGATTGCCGAGTGGACAAGAGCCAGACTCGCCCTACAAATTGTGCACAGCCTGCATGGATAGCGAGCAGTGCCACCCCGCCCACCTTGATTGATTACAGGTGATGTTCGTACATACCCACCGTGAGAATTGGTATAGCACACAGTATAGGGAGCCCACTCTCACTGCTCTCAATACACGTTAGCGGTATTCGATCTGATGTTTTATTTCATATTTCCACGGGAACTAATTAGTGACGTGAAGTCATCCCTGTTGGTACCTGTAAGGCTGAAAACACGCATTGATGGCTGTGAAGCTCTTGGCGCGTTAAGGCGTCACTGTATCGATACACGTTGACATGTATCATAAGGCTGTAGACGCGCAGAGAAGAATCCTCTCACTTTCTACCCCGCCTTTCCGCTCACATCCTGAGTTTATCATCTTGTATACAGTATGGCACGAGATGAAACGACTGCTTCACAAATTGCGCCGGCATGCTCCGGATGAAACAAAGCCAATTCCTTCTTTTCCCGACGGAGTCAAAGTGCTTCATGACTGCGCTGATGCCGCCGTTGACATATGCTTCGTACACGGGCTAACGGGCGATCGGGAAAACACCTGGACCGCGAGAGGCCAATCTGAGCCCTGGCCGAAAACGCTCTTGCCGTCGAGGCTTGCCAATGCCCGTATACTCACATATGGCTACGATGCCTACGTGGTACGCAAAGGCGTGGCGGGCTCGAACCGACTCATCGACCATGCGACGAACCTCCTACACGACCTATCCGCGGAGCGGCGTACGTCCAGTGCAGAGGAGCGTCCTCTGATCTTTATCGCACACAGTATGGGTGGCCTTGTCTGCAAAATGGCCATTCTCCGCTCGCGGAATAATCCTGCAGGCCACCTTCGTGGCATCTTCCAAAGCACCAAAGGCGTTCTCTTCTTGGGCACCCCTCACCAAGGGTCATGGATGTCCCACTGGGCTCAGATACCTGTCAGTGCGCTCGGTCTTGCGAAGTCTACCAATATGACCCTGTTGGGCATCTTGCGGAGCGATAATGAGCTTCTGGAGTCTATCAGAGTCGACTTTTCAAACTTGATACGAGAACTAGAGAAGGAAGGCCGGACCTTCGAGGTTACGTGCTTCTTCGAAGAGCTGCCTCTTCCTGTCGTTGGAAAAGTCGTTTCAAAAGAATCTGCGACATTCCAGGGACATGATCCAATCTCCATTCACGCAAACCACAGCGACATGGTCAAATTTGCTTCTCCGAATGAGACAGGATTTCTGAGGCTGGTTGGAGAGCTTGATAGATGGATAGCTCAAATTGGTACAGTCATACGGCCTTGAATAGTAGAGAATGAAGCTAATTGCCTTGGAGCCCCCCGTTTTCCTGAAGCAGTGCCACAGCTGTCAGAAGCACACTACGGTTGTTTGAGATCTCTAGCCTTTCCAACGATGCACGAGCGCTTCCACAATACCGAGAGAGCAATCGATGGGACATGCCAGTGGGTGCTTCAGCATCATGCACATCGCCAATGGGCCACCTGTGACCGCGCTTTGCTATGGATCAAGGGAAAGCCAGGCTCTGGAAAGTCCACCGCCCTCAAACACATTCTCGAGTATTGCGAAGCTCAAGATAATAGTCTCATTCTCTCTTTCTTCTTCCATGGCCGTGGTCATGAGCTACTCCAAAAAAGCCCTCTCGGCCTCTTCCGCGCACTTGTTCACCAGGTCCTAGATAAGGCCCCTGAGTCATTGCCAGGTCTGCTGAACACTTTCGAACAAAATTGCAAAGCAATGGGCGCACCAGGAGAAAAGTGGCATTGGAATCAGGCCGAGCTGCAACGCTTCTTTGAGGCATCACTTCCTGAGGTGCTGAAGGCCCGCCCCGTTCTCCTGTTTGTCGACGCCTTAGACGAAAGTGGGCAGGAGAATGCTGTCAATCTAGTTGAAACCCTCAAGTCACTGGTCAAAAGTCTCCCCACTACAAAAAGCCAGTTTCAACTTCGAGTTTGCTTCTCTTGTCGACACTGGCCAATTCTTGACGTTGATGGAGCCCACGAAATTTGTCTCGAGGACGAAAATGAGATGGACATATCGACCTACATCATGAGTCGGTTGACTGCACTCCGCCATCCCAAGTCGTCATCGATTTCTGCCTTGATCACTGACCGTGCTTCTGGCATTTTCATGTGGGCGCGACTCGTTGTGGATCGTGTTCTAAGGCTAGAGCTCGAAGGCGCTGGGTTCAAGGATATCGAGGCTGCAATCCACAACCTCCCGCAAGCGCTCGATGACCTGTATAGAGAAATTATTGGGAACATGAAACCAGCGTCTCTAAAATTGATCCAGTGGGTCCTCTTTGCCCAGAGGCCTCTACCGCCAGTCGAGATGCGTTGGGCTGTACTGATCGATCCCGAGTGTCCATACACGACTTTAGAGGCATACCAAAGTGCAGAAGGATACGACAACACAGACACGGAAAGGATGTGTAGGCAAATCACATCGCTTAGTTGTGGCCTCGTTGAGGTTATTGGAGCCACATACAGCCGGAGTCTTGCAGGACCCCTGTCTACAGATTCCGTTGCATCAGGTTCCATATATGCTTTATCAAGTTCTTTGTCATTAAAATACTCGTCATCAGAGGACCGAGAAGTCGTCCAATTCATCCATCAATCCGTGAAGGATTTCATCGTTGAGAAAGGCCTGCGCATTCTGAAGGGCGGTTCGACGGAGGATGAGGCAGCTGCCAAAGCGCATTTGCGGCTGTCGCGCATCTGCATACACTACCTCAGGATGGAAGAAATCACCCAGGCTATCAACTACGAGCATGATGTCTTCCCTTTCTTGCATTACGCTGCGACCTCATGGGTTGCGCACGCGACGCAGTGCGACAGGCATGACCCACAAGAGGATCTCTTGGACTTGTTTTCCTGGCCGTCGAACTCTCTCATGGAAGTATGGATACGAGCGTTCAGAGAACTACACCCCTACCGTTATTATTGGCCGGCAGAAGGGACCCGTCTCATTCATATCATGGGAAGGTATGGAATGTTAATGCCACTAACAGCCGTTCTGACTAGGATGGATCAAAATGTTGGAGATACTAATTTGCTTTCGGGCGCCAACGTCGATACCATAGATGATAATGGCAGAACGGCGTTGTCGTGGGCTGCTAGTAATGGGCAAGAGGGTGTCGTCCATCTGCTCATTGAAAGTGGCGCCGACCTTGAGGTTAAAGACAACGATGGTCAGACGCCGTTATCGTGGGTTGCTAGTAATGGGCAAGAGGGTGTCGTCCATCTGCTCATTGAAAGTGGCGCCGACCTTGAGGTTAAAGACAACGATGGTCAGACGCCGTTGTCGTGGGCTGCTAGTTATGGGCAAGAGGGTGTCGTCCGTCTACTTATTGAAAGTGGCGCCGACCTTGAGGCTAAGGACAACGATGGTCAGACGCCGTTATCGTGGGCTGCTAGTAATGGGCAAGAGGGCGTCGTCCGTCTACTTATTGAAAGTGGCGCCGACCTTGAGGCTAAGGACAACTTCGGTCGGACGCCGTTATCGTGGGCTGCTAGTAATGGGCAAGAGGGTGTCGTCCGTCTACTTATTGAAAGTGGCGCCGACCTTGAGGCTAAGGACAACTTCGGTCGGACGCCGTTGTCGCGGGCTGCTAATTATGGGCAAGAGGGTGTTGTCCATCTACTTATTAAAAGTGGCGCCGACCTTAATACTAAAGACAGCCTCGGTTAGACGCCGTTGTCGCGGGCTGTTAATAATAGGTAAAAGGGTGTCGTCTATCTGCTTATTAAAAGTGGCGCCGACGTTAATACTAAGGATGATGATGGTTTGACTCCGCTACGGCATGGTATTATAACTATAACAAAGAAGAGTACCCATACACTTCTTGAAATTGGCGCCGATACCGATGTATAAGGTTAGGGATGTAGAACAGGACTCAATCTCATAAAGTACCGCCCTTTACCTTCTTTAAGGCTAAGTCCCCTGGCAGGAACCACATCTATACCTACTACTTCTACTTACTTTACATCAATCCATTTAGACATCTTCACTCTTCACATATCCTTTAGTTATACTCTGTTACATTGGTTGTCGAAGCCAACTGGTTCTAGTGTGACCTAACAACGGCTATCAAATTTTGGTTTGATATCATGGTGTTGGTGAACTTCTCATTTCACACTACTGCACCTGTACCATGCAGGCATGTGAGACAAGATTTCTCTCGGGGTATTACTGTCATTATCTTGAATATACACTCACAAAATGCAACAACTTAGGCTCCTATCTTTGAATTAGCACGATGGGATATTGGGCAGTATTGTAGCAATATCTCTCAGTAAGCTTCGCTGCAATCCATAACCATGTTTCTCTATTCTCATCCGACCCTTCGAAGAGATTCTAACCAGTCATGATGCGACAATGCAGAAAGACTGGTGATCGTTGTTGGGTCTACAGAAATGCAGGCGCGCGGCGGAGAATGAAAGCTGGTTTCCCACGGTGGCTACCTTGCCCTGTGCCATCAGCAGTAGTCAAGGTTATACTTGTCCCGCCAAGCATGTTTGAGGCCTAGCTAGGTATAGACAGTCATTAAAGCATGGGTTGTAAGATGGAACGGCCCGAACATCCTGCCCTGTTGTCGTTCTTTGCGATGAGCTAGGTTTCGTGCCTCGAGAGATTTGCCATATCTAATGGCGTGCCCAGAACGACTGCGACTAACAGTGATATGCACCTGTAGTCAAGAACCTGCTTCGATGAAATTAATCAACGCAACGCTGGCATCGTCACGCATGTTTTATTGGATTCTATTGGATGCAACCGATCGAGTACGGTTGCCAGTCAGCATGCAGGCGCTCTCTAGCCAATTACGCGACCAGGAAACAGTCATTTACATGCAAGCCACGTGCGAGAAAGCCTCTATGGCGGGCCGTTCGGACACGATCTTGAAGCTATTTTAAGACCATTTGTCGCGAATGTTGGTGTTTCCCACTAGGCAAGGGTGGCCCTTCAAATGTGAAGCTAATAGGGCGGCTACCGATTCGGGAAGGCCGCCGACAGCGTGCTCGCCTACGGCTGCAACCTTGTGCAACGTCCCAATTACCACATAATGGAACCCGCAGCTCGGCAAGCTGCAATCAATTCTTATCTGCAGTCAGCACATCCTGGACCTCGTGAGGCCGACCGAGTGTCAAGGTGTGCTCGACAATCCTCCCAACTCAGGAATGGCGCATCTGCATCTGCCACTGGTGGCCGGGGGTTAATCCGCGCCTCAGTCCCCAATCTGGCCGGGGTCCCGATACCGTTTGGCGCCATCAGCCCCGGAACGGGCAGGTTGAGGACATGGCCCCACTCGCATACCGACTGGCGGCCCAGGGGTGCGAGGCGGCCGAAGTCTCCGGTGCAGATCGAAGGGGCGGATCGTCAACTCTAATTTCCCTCCTGCGTTGTACTGCAGCAGGAATACGACCAGCTCGCAAAGCTTATCGCAGGTTGGATCCGAGCAGCTGCCGGCCATGGACCTGGGCTCGATGCCGGGGCATACATAAGTTAGATATGAGCTCAGTGCCGATCGCCCGTCGCAATGTCGAGGTCCATCCTTCAAGCTCAAGCCCTTCGCCGTGTCTCACCGCACTGCACCGAGTTCGTTCACTAGATCGTGCCTAAGTCTTTCGTTTTTCCACCACGATGCGGTATTCGTTCACCATCGGCGCGCTCGTCTCGAGCGTCTTTGCGACGCGCCCGTTCTTGAATGAGCCCGATACCGGCCTCCTCGACAAGATCGGGTACAACTTCCCGGTCGGCTCTCTACCAGAGCTTGAAGATATGGTCGGTCTGCCTGACTTTGAATGGGCAGCCAGGAATTACCTGCCCATCGTGAACTACACCTACTACCGCAATGGCGCAGCAGGCGAGTGGTCGTACAGGAACAACCTGGAGGTGTACCAGCGATACCGCTTCAAGCCGCGGATGATGGTTGACATCTCGGGGATCAAGAGCACGCTCCCGTACGTCTCCCCTCATAAATACGTCCTCGGATACCACCAGGATAATCCTGACAATTGGCAGCACTACGATCCTGGGCCATAACTTCTCAGCTCCGTTTTACATCAGCCCGTGCGCGAAGGCCGCGTATGGCCACCCCGATGCTGAGTTAAACCTGGTCAAGGGAGCCAACGCTGGTGGTATTCTTTACATCGTAAGCTCATGTTTCTTTCCATGTTAGACCATGGCACTAATCCGAGCGCAGCCATCCAGATACTCTAGCCTCAAGATGGAAACGATCGCAGAGGCTGCTGCGCCCGATCAAACGCTGTTTGCTCAGCTGAAGCTCAGTAATGATGACGTTGCCAGCAAGAAGCTGTTCACTCGAGCAGAGGCCGCCGGATACAAGGCCATTGTGTGGACCGTAGACGCACCAGGCGGCTCAAGTCGTCAGCGTGCCCAGCGCTTCGATGTTGGTGCTTCGTAAGTCACTCACTACTTGGAGGTCTATGGCTGAGTAGATGTGTTCGTGTGCTTACATGAGATGCTTCCAGAGACGAGTTCACTGTCCAGACCTGGGATAAGCTCCAGCAGTACCGCAACTGGACTTCTCTCCCGATCGGGCTCAAGGGCATTCAATCCGTCGCCGACGCACGATTGGCTGTCGACCACGGTGTTCCGTTTATCATCCTCTCCAACCACGGCGGGCGCAACCTTGACGGATCTCCGTCTCCACTTGAGGTTGCGCTAGAGATCCACGAGACCGACCCCTCCATTTTCCAGGAAATCGAGGTTCTCGCCGATGGTGGAGTGCGGTACGGCACCGATGCACTGAAGCTGCTGGCTCTCGGTGTTAAAGCAGTCGGCATCGGCCGGCCGTTCATGTTCTCCAACGTCTACGGACAGGAGGGTGTGGAGAAGGTTATCGATATCATGAAAACTGAGATTGCCGGCGATGCCGCCAACATCGGGGTTGCGGACCTAAAGAGTATCAACCCCGACTACGTGAAGTGGCAACCCAACTTTTGGTACACCTAGGGTAACATGGCGACGTATCGGGTGTCCCATATCGTCTTCCACTGACATGTATGACCGAGAAATAATTGGTGTAAAGGCAGTAATGATAATGTATTTCTTTGCCAACCAACCAACCTATGCCTCAGCTACCGTGACCATCTGGCATACATGCCGGAATGATCTGCAACTTCCGCACTCCCTACACCGGCCGCCACTGCCACGTGCAAAGACTGCTATCTTCCCAGTGCTCTATCCGCCCTGCAGCTCTTTTTCCACTTTCGACCATTCGGTAGATAATGGAGACTTTGGTGGCCGGGGGGGATCTCGATGCAAGCCTCCAACTTGTAGAGCAGTCTCACACAATCGAAATAAGGCTTGCTGGCGAGATGTGTTCCATCCGAGTCTGGTGCCAATTCGCGACAATTGGAATGATTGATCTAAGATGAAAGAGCCCCAGTCAAGAAGACACCGAGTCCTGCGTAAGACATGGCAAGCATCGAGCGACGGCTTTGAATGAAGCAGAAGCTCTCGCTTTCTGACCAGTACCGAAATCAGGGGGCTGTTTCGGCGTTTGAGTCAAGGGTCTTCAAGAGTGACGCAGAGAGCTTCTCATGACTTGGCTTGGAGCATCGAAACTTCGTCTTGTACGGGAGGCTTGCGAAACATGCTCACGGGTTGCCAAGTCGGTGTGTGTGGGTTGGCTGAGCAGCACCTCGATGCATTCATCTAAGACCACGTCCAAATCTGGAGTTTAGAAGGCAATGCAAGGTCTACGACTTGAAAGATGTTTTCCTTGATCAATAATGCTGAAATGAATTCCGCTAATGCATCAAAGTGGCCGCCCTGGCTATAATACTGAGATGAGAACTGGACGCTTGCGACAAACTGTTATGCCACGGTCAGTCAATGCGAGTATTGGCATAGAGTTTACGGTCAACGTACCAAATCTGAATGAGCGACCAAAAAGGAGCCCATTATTGCGCCTCGAATGTGCCTGAGGGCTGGTCGCGCTCGACATACACAGCGGTCCCAGATACCGAGATCTGCGCAAAGCCCAGGATCTCACTCTCTCCGAACCCCATACCGATGATGGCATTACCGCCCCGTGTGATGCAGTCCATGACCATGCGCTCCGTCGCCTGATCTCGGGCGTTATAGAGCATGTGCGTCAAGCCCTTAGCCTCCTGCGCGTTACCGACCGACTTCAAGAACGACTTGGAGTCCTTCCGGGCACACGTCGCCATGCCGTACACCGTGCCGATCAGCTTCACTGTGCGATAGCCAGGCAAGTATGGTGTCGTGGATGTGGGAACTGAAGGAGTCCTGCAGTGAGGCTCGGTCGTAGGGTCGTCCAATCCGGTCAATGGAGGCAAGGCGCCTGGAGCATAGGCCGACCTCGGGCGGCTGGGTTTGGTGATGGGTGCTGTGGGAACATTGAGCATGGAACGTCGGTTGGAGAGCATTTTGGCAGATCAATTAGTGTAGTAGTAGGGATAATGATATAGTGGAATGAGTCTGAGAGTTGCGAATGTACGTGAGAAACGCGAGACGATGAGTCGAGAGGGCGACATGATGCGACCGACGGGCCATGGCACAGATATATACGGAGCTGTCCATCTCCCTGGAACTTCGCGAGCCGCTTGGATTATGACGTTGCTGAATGCGCCAGAAAGCCTAGATCACGGTTGCAATTGCCCGTCTGCAGTGAGGCCAAGAGTCTTGGTATGTTCTGGTGGTGTTAAAAAGGTCATGTCAGGTCACGGCTCGACTTGCTGGCAGGCTTCTGAAACGGTGTGTGCCACACCACCCAGCGCGCCCGCAATGCTGGGCCGCGAAAACCTGCGCTGTCGCATTGCCAACGGGCGCGGACCAGATGCACATCAAACAAATTCCAGAGATTCAAGAAGGAGTCTCGATGTGATGCTTTATTTGGCAGTGTGCACGAGCCTCACGTTAGGCGGCCTCGATGGCGATGCTCGCCAAAAGTTGTCCTGAGTTGCTTGCGCCCTAAAGCTATAACAAACCTTTCATGCACTCTGTTCAGAGGAATTGGCTGCCTCACTTTTGCACACCCGCAACTTCAAATGCCCTTTTCGAACACACTTGCGTACTTTTGGTATGCCTCAGCCCTGCGAGTGGGCTATGTTGATCAACATGCTTGCCTCGCCATGGTGCTCGGAACCGTTACGTGGTGTTGTGACTTGACATCAGAACTTTACACAAAACTCCACGCTGGCAACCAGTTGAGTGCACTATAAGTATACCAAGTCTATTTCCGCGACGGAGGGAGCGTCGACTACCGAATGATAGATTTCCTGCGCTAAATATACAGCTGAAAAAGCCAGACGCTGCCGTCTTGCTGGGACACCAGAAATGACTGAGATGCAGTCCCCATTTGCCTGGGAAACCACTGTCCATCTAATAAAATACAAATCGAGCTTTGCGATTGTCAGTTGTGCTGCGTATAATAACTCAACCAAGCACCTTGTATGGGTACATACAGAGTAACATCTGGTTTGAGTCCTTGGACCAATGTCTTGCGGTGCTCAGATATTGGTGCAGTCAGGTCCTGAGCTCTCCGCCACCCCTTGCCAGTAGGTATCGGTGGAGATCGCGTTGTTGAAGGTGAAGAATGCTACTGTGACTGGTCTGTTGTCTTGGAAAACATGACAGACGATGCAGCGTGGTGAAACGGAGAGAGATTCAGGCCAAGTGAAGCGCGAGGTGATATCGGTGCGTAGAGGGTGTTGTTGGAGACTTTCGATTTCGCCCGCCGAGCGAGTCTGCGATGCAGCGCCCGAGCGACGTCCGCGAGGGATGACCGTGATTGATCTGGTGCCCCTTCCTCCTATCCTTTTCGCATTCCCATCATCCAGAGTCCCTCTATAGACACAGCTCTTGGAAGCATTTATCTGGATTCCGCCATTGCCCTACAGCACACTCCAGTAACGCGTCCTCCGTGCAGGTATCCGAGTTATCTTGGCGACGTCGGAGTTCCACGGCGCCCATATTGGCGCAGACCTGCGCAAAGCAAGCTGGGCCGTCGAGACCCGTATCCGCCACGCATGTATCGATGGCGTCGACGCTGCAGGCAAAGCTCTCCGTTCCATCAACTTCGATTGGTGCCGCGAAAGCAAGACCGACGCCCAAGGCGAGGACAGCGAAAAACCTCATGGCGTTTACGGGGACTTGCCGGTTCTAGCGGGCGCAAGTATCTCGGAAATGAGTGACGGTAGCGGAGGAAGGCTACTGGCGGGAATATATGGGAAAAAGAGCGTGTAGAGTAGTGATTGACAGGCAGATGCGGAACTGCATGACCCAAAAGTGATCTGCGACATGGCCCAACGATCAGCATTATATATAGAACTTGCGGGAAGCAAATCTGGGTCGAGGAGCTGCAGTCTGTGTGTAACTCCAGCGTGCGCCGGGCATGAGACCGTCGAGGTGGTGGGCTATGGTGCCGTGGCAGCGGGGGCCACGGCGTCTGAAACTCGTCTCATGATGTTCTTGGGGTTGTGGTCCACGGGCCAAGCCAACGCGATGCGGCGAGTCACCTCCAATCACTGCCCGCACCATGAGTTTCGAGTGTTTCGAGAACCAAAATTCGCTCCCAGTGGATGATGTGTCCAGCAAAGCCGGAGGATCATTCGATCAACGGGCGATCGTGTTCGTCGTCGTCATTCTTGCACCACGGCATGTCTAGAAGGGCGGTTCTGACGATACGATGCGGATTCTGCCGGGGTTGAAACGGCGCGATCCTCCGTACGCGGCCCGGCTCCGCATCCCGCCAGCTGCTCTCTGCTAATCCGATCTTGGGCCTTGATTGCCGAAGAAGAAGCGACGAACCCTCCGACATGGGATGGGCAGGGCAGATGCGAGGGCTGCACGTCTGTCTCATCGTGACCCAATAGAGCTTGAACGCGATTGTGCTTCGCCCTTTGGCCAAGGACTTGCTGAGTGAAGAGCGTGCATTCTCTCGACCCAGCCTCCCCCTTAGCACCGTGCAGGGCTGCGGCCTATCCCTGCTGGAGATCCTGACTTCAGCTTATGCGTGACTGAGACCAACAGGATGCACCCAGAGGCACCTTCTTGGCGGCGTACATAAAGCCTGGGGATTTCTTTCGGGTTTCACAATTCCACCCCTTCATTTGTTGGAGACAAGGCTCCCTCCATGACGAGACGGTCTTCCCTTTTCGGCACCGCGCCGCGGTGACATCGCCGCTCGCCATCGCCAATCGCGGTAAACCATATAGACGTTCTCAAGGCCGATTGTCCGGACCTTCGCGAATACTGATTCTGCCCGGGCACCAAAGAATCATACCACGTTCAATACCTGTAAGGCTTTTCAAATCCACAATTTTTATCTACGGGTTTCACCCGAGACAGGTGCATGGCGTGTCATCCAGGTTTCCCTTATCCTATTTCCTTCGGCCTACTAATAAATGCAGAGGATGCCGCGTAAAACGTGACCAACAGTAGTTAAGGTAGATGAGAGTGTTGCTCATGAACGAAATGACTCGCACTGCCGTGCCTTTGGGCCAAGCCATTGCAGCATAAACATTAGACACGCAGAGAAGGTCAAAGTGGGCGCAGCGCATCTCCCGATGTCTCAAGATGCATCATGGCAGTCCCTATACCAAGTGCCGAAATTTCGGCTGGTCAAGAGAATACTCCTCTCCCTAGTGCATATGAGATGGCAGGAGGTTTTGTAGTCATCAGTCAGGGCTTCAATGTTCTGGTACTTTTTGACAGCCATACGATAAAAATTTTACCAAGTGATGGTGCTGATTCACGACGACGCGGCTTTAAATGGCAGTTTCATGTTCCATTGTCCATTCCTACAACATAAACGAACACCGGCACTTATGACTCTGACCATCGCGCTTCGAAATCGCAATCATGCACCAAGCATAGCAACAAAAGGGTGCCACAATTTTGGCTCAGTCTGCAACACTGACAAAGATCTCCTGCATACCATAAAACTTCCATGTAGCTTCAGCATATTTTCAATTTGATTTTGAACTCCTGGATAGTCCTGAAACCTGTCACTCAAGTGGTGTCATAAGTATTCATGGAGGAGGCAATGCTAGCCAGCTCCTAGCTGCTAAGGGCTCGTAGCAGCCAGAATGAACATACTTATAAGCAAGGATCCATAAGGCAGTCCATCGCTCAATGACCAAAGCTCTCCGACTGGTCAACAGCAGTCCGATGGAAACCATTCTTCAGTTATCTACTTACGAGTGGATAGGCTCATATGAGTTGCAAATGTATAAGAGCCTCATAAGACTCACCAACTCTTACCTTGATGGACCAGTCAAGCTGCCAACAGCGCAGAAGAGGGACACAAATCTAGTCCTCCCATTGGTTTTAAATACATAGGAAGCAGCATACGGTGAGGACTAGTACAGGATTTGCTGATGTATCATAAGGCAACAGTGCTGAATTAGTCTATCATGCTCAGCATGATAATGCAAGAAGCTCAACACACGCAATATGGTTCCCGTCCAGCGACTTACTACAATGGATAAGTTGGCCAGAACCTTTCTATTTACATCGTCCAAACATTTATATCGTCCAAATTACTACACTGAGTGGTTTGATGGAACGAAGAAAAATGTGAAGAGACAGGACGCTCACAATGAAAACGGCCGGTTGCTTGCATACTACAATGACGTCGAGGCGCATTTAGCGAACAGTCTGCTACCACAACAAAGGAGGTATGTAGCCTTATGCAACATCTACCATGGGCTTTTGCTATGCCACCTCATCTACCGTACAAGTCGGTCGAAGCGATAGGTCGAGGTTGGAGTAAGCCTCCGGCCGGTGTGCTAACCCCGCAATGCCGGCATCCTGTCAGGCACCGGGCTACACCCCGAGGGTCTAGTAAAGCGTGCTATAGGGTTACTCTAAATGGCAACTTCGCAAGGACTCTCCGGGATTTAGATGAAATCGCATGCAAACAAGCGACGTGGCGAGACCAAGTCCCTGGTCAACACAAAGCTGTGAAAATAACGGGCTTATTTCTTGAAAGCTGACGATCCTCGAGGAAATCACCATCACGGTTGTCGCCAATTGAAGGGGGGTAACTGAGACATTCGTGGCCACTTCCGCAGCAGAATCCGTTTTCCCAACGAAATCAGCCTGGTGGGTGTTGGGGCTCTTTTGCCTATTCATACAGGCAGACTGGGAAGCCTGCAGAAGCCACCTCACTTCCGTACCTGGATACGACGTGCAGGGCAGGGGCTAGGTCATCCCCTTCGCATGTCCGATTAAGCCTCCTAATTGGGCCCCTATGGGCCCCCCTGTCTGGATCGCTGATGGTCTTGCAGTGAGCACCCATGATACCCGTTAGAAGCAGGCGAATACTGATATACACGGTAGTAGTTTAAAGTCGCAACGTATCCGAGCAATTTCACACCCCTTTATTACGCGATTGGAACGATTTGATTCCATCACTCCTCGCAATTGGTGGTGTCGTTGAGGGAGGCGATCGAAGGGAGACATGAAATCGGATTTTCCAGGTCACAACGCTCTGTAGTACAGCGGATCATCATCAATCCTTCTTGCACCACCGTGTGACGAATCGTGGCGCCAGAACCCTTGCTACAATTTGCTTGTGAATGATATGACCGTCGTTGGTTGACCGGTTCCAGAGCAGGCCCATTCCATATAAGACCGCCTACGACCTTCTGGACCCCAAATTGGCTTGTCAACCTAGGCTCCAGATTGCCACAGCTTCTGTCGGGAAGACGCATATTGTCACGTCACAGGGTCGAGCCCATATATTCACCACCAGGAGTTCCCCTTAAATAAAAGAAACTTGGTTGGCCCGCGCTAGACTAAACTACCTAGATATTTCGTTTTCCCCCGTCATCTTTCATCATTACCCACATTCCAAGCTTCCCCTAATTCCCAAGCCGAGCTATGGGCATATCTAACGCATTCGCCGCCCTCGTGGCATTCCTTGCAACCGCTGCCATTGCGTTGCCCGCCGCAGATGCTAGCGACAAGGCATGCACTACTGGTACCGCAGTTGTTACCGCTGGCTACACTATCAACTACGCCCCTGCCACACCCACCGCGACTGTTGCTGGTGCAGGATACCATCCAGAGCCAGCCTGGGAAAGCGGACGTGTGGTGGCGACTTATGCATGTGTTCACAGTATGTGATGTACAGTCCACGTCTAACACAGATATTAGACGTACGGCGTCCCAACCCCGATCGAGACAGGCTTCGCCTACGCGCAATTCAAGTGCCAGTACACCTGCAACGGTGCCAGTCCTCCCGGGTCGAGTTTCTTCGTCAAATACGGTGAGTGGCATTGATGTGTGCAACCAAGCTGACGGACATTTGCTAACTCTCGTGCCAGTTGGTGGTCAGGTCGGCTCTCAGTGCACCTGCTACAGTGACCTGCAAGTACCTCCCTTCTAACTCCAAAAAGAAATGACAACTCATATGTCGACAGGTTGAAGCCAGAAGCTCTAGTTCCATATAACCAGACGGTCGTTGGTGCTTGGAATGCCATTTGCAAGGACTGAGAAACTTTCCACTGCGCGCGATCCGACTGGGTATCTGGCGTTTTAAAGGGATATTATGATGCCGAAGCATGTAGGAACAGGCTTAGGTTATCAGAAAGGGGACATGCGAAGATACCACGTTTTTGCTCGCACGTGGAAACTTTCACTCTCGACACCTGATATGGGCTTCAGGGTTTAAGTACTCCTGGTGACAGAATCAATTGATCTTGGCACCCCTCTCTGTCCTTCTTGAGACATTGGCACGTGACATTATTGAATCATGATGCCTATACCATGCTTGAGTTTTGTACAGAGCGCTATGCGAGGGAGCCCTGCTCACAAGGTCGAGTAATCGTATGACTGGTTTCGAGATATATCATTGGTGGGTATGTCACAAAGTGCGAAACTAGGTAGATAATGGAATGAAAACAATATTTCGAGCGCCTATTTCATTGTTATTCAGTAAGTCAATTTCGAGGCGTTGCAGAGTTGAGGTGTACAGATACTCTACTGGGCTATCTGGCTATTTAATGTACCCAGCCTCCAAATATAGCGCGTCGTATACGTAAATGATCGGACCCAACACCTTTTTGACTGAATGCATGCGCAGCATTCCATTGGACGCTTACTGGACACCGCCTTGCAATCAGTGGAAATCGCTCTCGTTTTCAGTTAGGCAATCCGTGCAGAATTCTGTCACTTCGTATAAGTGCAGCTTGGGGCGACATTGGGAAAGTGCCATGCATGTGCCGATACTCTACATATGCAAAGGCGAAGTCTCATTCAAGTATCTAAATGCGTTTCCTTCGGGGTAACACGGTAAGGACCTGACCGGTGGTCTGACTCTCATGGTACTAGCATGCCGCCCCCAACAATTAGCAATCATTGGCCGCGCCTCGAATTAGGTGCATAGATGAGGCCCTGGGACTGACCGAGGATATGGTACCTTAGATTCGCAATACATTCCACTGCCTTCTGACGAGTCGAGGAATTTATGCTGAAAAAGTCTCGCAATAGCGGAGATCATGCTTGTGGTTGCCCTAACACTGCTTCGTTCTGACTTTAGAAAAGCTTCCAGATCGGCCTTGGGGAAGGTAGCCCTAAACGGGGCTGAGAGGCAGCAGCGGCATGGAAACAAAGCAAAAAGGTAGGACGGAATTAGGATTGTTGACAGTAAGGCTCATTATTTCCTTGTCCCACCCAATGTGCGTGGACCAATGCAATATTCTTCCTTTCCGCCGAGCCTAGAGTCTTTAACACTGCCTGCGCAAGCTCATTTTCCTTTCACGCCACATTGCCTTGTTGAAATAGACTCCTGGCCTTTGCTTCGGTGAGATTTCTGCTTCTCCCAATTGGAGCCTTCTATTGATGATAATGAGACTACCGGGAATCGACCTCTCTCTGCCCCTAGGCCGGAGCAACAGAACCTTCCATGGACCGTCTCACAATCTCCCAGTACCGCTTCTCATCTTTTCGTAGATGTGCGACATGCGCCGAGCCCTCATATTTCTCTAGTTTAGGGGAAAATCCTTTAGTCTTAGCGTCGGCAGCATGTGTCTCAACAGCTCTGTAGTCAATCAAGGCATCACTGGGGCTGTAGATACACACGCGTCGAACCTCAGCTTTGTTCCCCGGATCGTTATTATGCGCCTTTCCCCAGTCGCCCAACGAGTCAGGTAAGAGACCTAGAGCCATAAAGGCAGACCATACAACGGCCCAAGCATAGAGGATAGGCGCGGCGATCAACTGTTGAACAGAAGAGAGGCTGACACTGACAAAGGCGACGGCGTGGGTGATGCTGTAGACGCCTGGGCACGAATCGAAGATAGTAACGTGCGGGGGAAGCTGCTTCTCATCGTCGGGACCTGCCATGATCCTATATTGCTCATATAGGTTCGCGATGCTGGAGGAGCCGCCATTGGAAAACATATGAATTAGAAGAGGCGGTGATGCAGAAGATGTCACTGTCGGGAAGGTAGAGCGAACGACAGAGGCAGCGCGTTTCATAGAGGGACCGATGAGTGATGGACGGATAATGTGGTTCATGGTGCTTCTTAGAAGCAAGATCTGGGAAGCTGGATACAGTGCCTGATACTTGATAATATATTTGGCGATGTGTACACTTCTGGCGCCAGTCCAGCTAGCGATGATGATCAGTCGCGGTTGGTGGCCTGCGCCGTAGCTTGAGCTAGAACTTGACGCCTCTGACGGCTGGTAAAGAGAAACGAACGGGTCAAGTATCTCCATGAAGCAGACAGCGTTTGCCCCGGTTGCTGATGCTGCCGTCGTTACGGATGACATGGTGCTGTGGAGAATAACAGGTTGAGGTTGGCCGCTTTGCAAGGAAGGGGACGAGTGACAACAATGAGACAGTAGTTCATGAACGGTTGTTGAACCCCGCCCCAAATGGTGCCTTCGAGATTACGTAGAAAGACTATCATAACATATTCGCCTGCAATCTTTCTCCCTTGCAGCGGTCCACAAAAGTATCCTGCCCGAGGAAGCTAAAGAGCTATCCCGGTCCCCACCCAGAAAGGCACAGCAGGGCTTGTACCAAGCTAGCTTGATACGTACCGTATGACTCGTTACGAAGTGGGACAATTGCTGTGGTAGAGTGTGAGGTACATTAAAAGGCACCAAAACCGCTGGAAAGAGAGTATTTAGGTCAACTCAGTGTCATAGTTCTTGTGCTATTGGGAGTGCGTTAGTCAGAACCTGCGACACGCGGACGATTCAGCCTTCACCTATTACGGCCCCCACACGGCTCACGTGGGAGAGGGACCCAGGACCTTACTGTCTGGAGTAGTACAGTACAGTCATTTTGCCGCTGCAATTACCAGCATGCAATTGGACCCCCTTACTTCTATGATTTGGATGCAAGTAGAAAACCTCTGTGTGTCAAACTCACCTTGCTCGACTTGCGCCAGTTCTAAAGTAGAGAACAGACCCAGCTGTCGACAATAAGCATGATGTCATTGAACTACCAGAGTACATAGGTGGTGGTCTTTAGTCTCGAATCGGTGTTCATTTTACTTCATGCCTTGTGATTTAACCTCAGAAGGACTTAGATGACATGACTGCTAGAACTTGTATGAGGTTCCCTTCAGTTAGCAGAAGTACGTTACTATATTACCGTCGCTGCAATATAATCATGAGCACTGAAACATACAACTGTGAGGATCGAAATTCATAAGGACAACAATGCATTGCTTCGGAAGGCTGTCGGTTTCAGTTAGAACCATTCTTTAGTCTCATACTGTGATTTCTAGCCTTTACTTTTCGCAGTGTTTTGTCAGGTTCTCCGAAATCACCGAAAAGCTTCCGAGACTGATATTTTGTTCACCATGAGATCTTCCGAGCTCCATAAAGTTGGGGAATTAAGGCTTACTCGGAAAAACACATAAAACTAGCCTTACTATTTAGAGTTCACGAAGATAGTGCATCCAAATTTGCAAATATTGTAATCACCAAGTTACTTCTCGGCTGACACGTAAAGCTGCCACTCTTCTCTGCACCACGAAAGAAATTCTATTCCGTAGTTTCGCTCAACATGACGGAAACAGTGCCAAACAAGACATGGGTATTCCGCGAGGCCCCAACCGAACTACCCAGCTTTGGCATCAATACCGTAATTGAGGACAGACCACTGAGACTAGTACCACCTCCTGGCGGCCTGGTAATCAAACTCCTTGTCGCCGGACTAGATCCTCATCAAAGAGACCGTATGCGGGGAGCTGGCCACGTGGATTATGTTCCTGGTTATGAGCCCAACGAGCCAATCACAAACTTCTCGGTAGCCAGGGTAGTTTCGTCCGACAACGACGGCTTTGTGGAGGGTGATTTGATCCAGGGCAGTCTGCCGATCTCAGAGTATGGGCTGATCCCTAAAGAACTTATTGAAGCCAGGGCAATGGCTTCGCCTCTTATCTGGAAAGCGACTGGGTCTGAGAACCTAGGCTTCGAGCATTACGTTGGACCGCTTGGATTGGCAGGTATGACAGCTTGGAATTCATTCTACGGTCTTGTAAAGCCCGTAAAGGGTGAGACAATTTGGGTGAATGCCGCGTCAAGCTCTGTCGGGGAAGTCGTGGTTCAACTGGCAAAGATGGAAGGGATGCGGGTAATTGCAAGTGTGAGCTCGGATGAAAAGCTGGATTATGTCCTGACTGAGCTGGGTGCTGACGCTGGTTTTAATTACCGACGAGAACCAGTCTCTGCTGCGCTAAGGCGGCTCGCCCCTGACGGATTAGATGTGGTTTTCGAGAACGTTGGGGGCGAGCATTTCCAAGCCGCAATAGAGAATATGAAATGGTTTGGGCGTATTATTAGCTGCGGGATGGTAAGTCAATTCTTTTTGTTTGGCTGAGTCTCAACTGACTGCCCAAGGCGTCACAATACAACCTGCCCAGCGACAAGCAGTACGGAGTAACCAACTTGTCGGAGATTTTCCGTCGCCGAATTCATGTTCAAGGATTTATTTTCTGGGACGAGAACATCTACACGGATAATATCGAGAGTTTCCGCAATCAAATGCCCCGCATGGTTGCAGAGGGAAGGATCAAATCAAGATATACATCATTCCAAGGTATCGAGCAGGCCAACAAAGCATTTCTTTCCATGTTCACTGGAGGAAGTTTCGGTAAGACTATACTAAGAGTTGCCGAAGTATGATGGCCTGGTGTATCTCGTATATTGTCTGGCTATGTGAACAAAAAGGGTTGTGGTTCACGGAGAAAAGATGGAACCCCTAACAGGCTTACTAGCATATTGATACGATTCGGTCATAAAAAACGAAAGTCGCCATGCTCGTAGCCTCATCGGGCCTTGAACGGTGATCGATTTTTTTCTTATTGTATTGGTTTTTCCGGCTAGGTTTGATCTCTTCTCGTAAATGGAAGATAAGAGGCTGATGAACTTAAATTAAACTATGTCTTTGAACCTTTCTAGGGACAGACTATCTATCAACCCGTCAGACACAGCCCTTGCTACCCGAATGGGATAAATTGATCGAATCTCGGTATCTAGGTCCAACTCATTTATCTTCTCACAGTTTCCAGAACTCCATGGCCTATAAAACTGGCCGGTCCAATATATACATATGTTTCTGTGTACGCGTGTGAAGCCGAATTGTGCCTCGCAGACTGTCCGTGACCTGTGTTTGCGACCGTTCGATGGTACATACCCATTTACTCGCCTCCTCCCCGTCACGCCGTCCTCCAGGCATAGCGTCATTGTGTACAATGATAGGATCACGGAATATGGGGTTGAATTGAAATTGTATCCACACATGTGTATTCACCCACTCTCTTGGATGTGAACGTACTGTGAAGCTCACTCATGCATTCTCAACCGTCGAATTCCGTGTTATTACAAGACACCGAAAATTTTCCTCATTGTGCGAGTTTCCGGCGCGCCTACCGAGTGGCCATAGGATAGGCGTGCATGGGAAATTCCTGTCACTCGTTTCACACATGTGGCGTCTCATGATGACAGGAAGCTTACTAACTGGATGCTGAGAATAACTCCCGGGCATACCTTCCGAAACCCTCCGTACTTCTCCGAGGCGACCTCGGGATTTGGTAATTGCGACCGTACGTCGACGATCTTCTCAGTGGATATTGCGCGAGGTATTGTAGAGCAGCAGTTGGTCACAGATGGCGCCAGTTGCCCTCTGCACACAAAGGCATTGGTTTGGGCCTGTAGGGCGGTCTGTGCCCACACAGTACAAATTGAAACCCCACTACAAAGACAGGCATCTCTATCTGGACAATACACATCTTTCAGGGCCGTTTTGCGTAAGATTGTCAGGCTATTACTACTTGAATTCTGCACTCCATACATGAGTATTGCCTTCATGCTATTGCCATAAGCCAATTTAGGGGTCCGTGACATATTGACCTTCCACCTGGAATACAATACTGTTAATACAAATCCAGCGATCGTTGAGAGTGATGTGCCTTCAGAGAAGAACATGTATGGCGCGATTGAATTCGTGGAGCATAACAACAAGCTACCTCCTACAAATGCGCAAAACAATTCCCGAGTCAGAGTGTCACGGCACCACAGGTGTGTCATGGCACCACAGGTGGGATCGAGGCTGTGCTGCAAATCCTGTAGTATTGCAAAAAAATCCAAAGCTGGGAGAGAGAGGAAAGAAGAGCTCCCTTCACAGCTGTGGCGTTTGCCATTTACAGGTAGGGTGGATCACCCCTCGTCCCCCACCACAACAACCACCTGCACTAGCCAGCCCGGAACACAGCAGATAATCTATTCACATACTTTGGTGGAATATAATGTGTCCAGCCGCACAGTCCATCATTGGACGGGTTATAATTCTTAATAGTCAGTCTTGCCGCTCGGATATCTTTATCTTATTTTTCTTCCATCTTACTACACGATATAATATTCCAGTAGGAATAACCATTGATTTTGTGTATAATCAACCGTGAACTCGATTTTCTGCTGCTCAGAACCTTTGCCTAGATGAAGTCCTTGCTGGGTATAATTCTGACTGACAGGGACCTTTGTTGATCTCGTCTTGTTTCGACGGAACTCAATGGGTCCGGAGTACGGACGTCCACCACAATTCAGATTATATAGATCCATAAGTTTATAGAGTCGCTCGATTTGTAGCCGCTGTGAGTCGTTCAAGTCTAACGACTGGATCTTTTATGAGAAACTCTTTACAAATGTATTCAGAACGCCGAAACACCGGCCTCGAGTGAGCCCCTGCGCAAACAAATGCTAATGATCAATGGCGTTGAATTTTCCCCTAAAAATCTTTGATCTGTCGCATTTTCACCTTCAAAGACCGAATAGATCTTATGCCATCATGATTGCCATCTCCGTCTTCACCTAGTTGAATTACAGCAACCAGCAGAGGTTGGCTATGTTGGCCCCGAAATAGCCCCATATCTCCGCCATTGCTGCTCTCGTTGGATTTTGAAGAAACTCTGTAGTGCTCAGGTAGGCCCATGAGCTGTTCGATGGGCTGTAGTTGGTGCTCTGTTAAATGAACAAGAAGACTGCCGGGGAGAGTCTGGTATAAAGGTATCGGCAGACCTCCCAAGTACATTTTGGGAGCAGGCGCTTGGAATGGAGTCGAAGCCCTTGCATTTTTCGTCAGATAGTCTAAGACCTTGGAAAATATTATGTCGTAGATAGACACGATCTGTATGTAGCAAGACAGGGCCGTAAGGAGCTGGGTCGTGCTTATGCGTGGTGAGAAGGATGGCGAGTATGAAAATGTGGGGCTCGTATGGTCCGTAGACGCCGGTAGTCGAAGACCTGTCAGCAAATTTTCTAGCTCTGTTGATGCCTTCGACACTTGGACAAGGGGGTGCGGCTCAGAGATTTCCGTCTCTTCGGTATTGCTCTTGTGGGAGAAAGTCAGGAGTAAGGCGCTTTTGACGTCCCATGGTACCGATCTAATGTAGTATAGCTGTTCAGAGAGTTCATAGTGTAATTTCGAAAGTAGACAGCCCGCATCTTCTACACGACCGTGCGTCGTAGGATCCATCTTAGGTATACTATATTGGTAAGGATGCTGAGAGGGGCCGGGATCCCCTAGTGCCGGTGGTGGCACTATTGATGGTGCGGAATGAGGAGGAGAGGCGCTATCAAGCAACTCGTCACTCGTACCAAAATCAGTATGCTGCATCCCAATGCTGTCCAGAAAGGTGTCTAGGGACATGTCGTAGTCCACCATATTCATGTCAGCACCGCTCTCGGAGGTAGCGGTGTGGAGAGAATTGTTATCGTTCTGCTCGACCCTGGTAGGCTGGCGTGAGGGAGGGCGACCGGTTGGCCGCGCCTTGCTGGTAAAACACTTCACTTGCGACTTCAAGCATCTAAGACAGGTGTCAGGAGATTGGTCTTCGTCACGGTGACATCGCAATTTCTGCGCGCGGCAGCGGTCACAGGCCGAGCGCTTCCAGGGAGCCCTGGACGAGAAGTTGCCAGACATGTCTATGACTAGAGAAAGGGGAGGAAATAAAAGATGAAGCCGAACCTCATCAGTAGAAGATACGGCTCTTATTGAGGTTTCAACATACTTATTATGATTCTAACATGACACGAAACCCGCATAATAGGCGCTTTCCTTGTATTGGTATTGGTTATCCCGGTTCCTTATTGCAGCGGGACTGCAAGGTGTTGTGCATTCGTCGGGGATGGCACGGCCCGCGCCCAGATCAATGAATCGGAATGCCGCTTTTTGAGCGACTCTCTCCACATATGTCTCCTAGTTCACCGCCGATTCGATACAGGGTACGGAGAACGCTACCCAAAATCGATCCGCCAAGAAAGTCTGTCTCTTCTCAGCTCCAGCTGGCCCCCACTGTGGCATAGCAGCTCGCTGGTGGCAAGGCGGATGTATGTTCCCTTTCCTTTCTCATAACGAATTCTACAGCCAATTATGCGAACAGTCTTTATACGCGGTTTGGGTACTAATAAAATATTCTTACTAAGTATACAAACCATGCTGTTTTGGCACTACTTCATATATATCTTGTTACTGAGTCATTTTTAAGTTTTCATGCTACAGGTCACATCGTGTTTTACTAGTCCAGAACAGCTGACTGACGCAACCTGAAGACGTGCTGTTCGGATAATCCTTCTTTTCTCGGCGGATGGGTACTTTTGGCACTAGCTCACTGCGCGGGGAGTCGGCGGCACCAGAGGCTTACTCTCCAGCTTTCACAACATACAAAATACACACATACGTTTCAGCGTCGCGTCGAGACTTCTTAGCCCTCGGCGCCGATTGCTAAGCGAGAAGGAAACTTCGGTCCTACATCATCCTTCACGCAACGGCAATGGCATCCGCCCCCAATCGTCGAAACTTCTGCATTAGTCTTCGAGTCTCGCAGCTAAGCTGAGAGGAATTCAATCCTCCATATCCATACGTCGGATAAAGCGGGATCTGACTACTCCTGCACCTCTATGTGCGTCGTGCATCTCACAGTGGAACGAAGCTCCGTGCAGATACTCTTGGGTTTGCCAAAGTTTGCGGTCAGGCTTATCATCTTCGTCACCGCGATGCACCATGCCCGCAGAGTGCTAGATGTTCGTTAATCCTGGCATGGCTATGCCGAATAAGGTTGCCGAAACTGACACGCCAGAGGTAAGACAGCTTGTCTTCCCCGCACAAGACTATTATTGCGTTCAATTATCGAGTTTACCAGCCGAGAAACACCCCAGAACTTTAGCATACTCCTCTCATGGGGAAAAAAATAAAATAAAATGCGATTATACGCAGTTCGTTCGTTGGGCAAAATATTTGTCAAATGAGAGTAAGAAAACAAAGTGGGGAACTATGAGCCATAGTCTATCTGCAAATCCAGCCTTAGGCTTTGACAGCTGCACATACGTGATACATTCCTATTATGGCAAACGCTGTAAAAAACGAACTTAATAAGACGCTGACTTCAGGATAGCATAACTAACCCCCAAGGCTAAATCAATAAGCTCGATTGTATGACCATGTAGAGTTTCGTACCGCATATCTTAAACATTCATCTCCCTGGCTGTCAATCAAAAACACAGTCAAATCAATTACAAGCTAGTAAGATTTGATACTCCTTAGAGCACGATGGTTCTTGTTGAAAGTGAGGTTATGCCAGCTATACGTGAACTCTAAGCCATTCACTCCTCGAATACAGCCAACACCAAACAGTCTCAAGATATTGGTTGCATAATGTGCTTTGGTTAAAATTGTTCAATGACAGCCTTCCATTGTCAATGTGCGACATTTTGGTCACTATTTCTCTGGCTTTTGGCCGATGACCACCACTCTGTTGTATTGAAACATGGCCCCCTTTCGTGATTGAGAAAATGCCACGTCGACCAACTGGTCAATTTCTGACGCCTTCTCCGGATTCACTGGTCTTAACTTATCAGCGACCATCTTGAGGGTGGGTAGGTTGCACCAGTGTATCGAGAGGCATGTGTGACGCTTTCCTATCTGCCAGTCCGCTGTGACTCCTACTAAGCCTTCATCTTCAAACATTCGTGGTAACTCTTTGACCCATGTGGGGACCATAAGGGAGTCATTGGGAATTGCCTGTGCCCAAAGCGTTTCTAGCGAGTTCGTTGGTACATCTGGCGAAATGGTTTCGATCCGCATCGATTCCATATCCAATTCGCACCACTGCAAGTATCCACCGGGCTCTAGCAATAGGAAGTAACGTTAGATAAAGTACCTTCATGTAGACCCTGCAAAGGTTAAAAGGGCTCATACTTAATAACTTGGTGAGTTTCTGCAATACGGCTGCAGGGTTTGTCTCAATTACCCAGCAAAAGAGGCGTATATTCACGATGTCGAATTTCCCAACAAGGTCCTCTGGGACGTCCGTGAATACACTCCACTGTCTAATCGAGAGATTCTGTGGGAGCCATTCGGCAGGCCCGACTTGGGTTACATCCGTATCAATTCCTACGAACTCCGCTGAATCATCGTCCAATTGCGATGCCATGTCCAGCAGCCATATACTTTGGAAATGAGTTAGTTAGTTTTCACATTATTTTGAAGGAAGGTCGACTTACCCAGTTCCCGTGCCTACATCAGCAACCTTCAAACTCTTTTGATCCCGGGGGACCTTAGGGTGGAGGGCGTAGCCAAAGATGTCTTTCCATAGGTAATGCTGAAGATTGAGTCTTAGGTTTCTGAGTCAGTATATACTATGTAGCAAAGTTGAGAAGCAGATACACACCTGTTGAAGTCAGATAAATCTCGGGAAAGGGGGTATTCCTTGATGCCATTTTTTACGTCTGCCATGTCGAACAAAAGGTAGCGATGTAAGTATAGGTTGTTCAAAGTGGTGAATTGACGGGTTCGAGATGAATTAGATGGTTATTGCTCCTGTTCATGTTTATGGCCATGTTCCTATATACCAGTAACCCAAGAGGTACATCTTAATGTAATTGGTGACAACGCACTGCGCTGAATGTTCCTGCGCTATTGGGGGATAGCAGAGATCCACATCTTACGGACATTCGTACGATACATCATATCGGATGGCGTCATCATACCTCGCGCATTGATTCGCCCCACTCATTCGTTAAACGCGTATCGGATGATAATATTTACTCGGATGGTTATCGGATATGAAAGGACTGACAGGGGACTATATCGGAGGGTTCGGAGGACCTAGAACGTCGATTTACAGTGAACTGGGCAATGAAGTCCTCCGTCACTTGGCAGTGCTTAGACATGAGAAGCAAACGCTCTACGGGGAACTGTATGCAACTCGTGCTAATCTCAATGTCCACCCACAAAAGTTGCCCAATCACTGAGTTATTTTCTCGTACGGAATTATTTGTCTGGTCAGAGAGTCCAGGCCTGATTAATTCCCTATCCAGCTAAAAGAATCCATGCGACAAGTTTAGCCAGCACAATTTTGCTCTAAAGCAGTACCGCGTTGCATATGGCTGTTGCTATACTACTTGCTAGCTGAGCCTGACATGTAGTTCGCATGTAAGGGAAGCTCTGACTGTGCTTGCAGCAGCTTAGACGGATGAGAGTAGTTCTCCGTACATGCGCACCTGGGAAGATGGTGACTTAATACATCCTCACAGCGCTGCTATACCTGCTTTACCAGCCAGTTGAGACATTGTGGTAGATACACCACACATTGGGTAATAATTGATAATATGACTAAGAACGGAATTGAAGATAGGCATTATAACACTACATAAGCAGGCACATTCTGCCTATGGGTATAACTATCCCTACGCATGCTGACTGGAAGATCGGGTGTACTGCGTCCAATGGTACTTGCAAGAAAATAAGTTCTGGTGCATGGTATAGGCTTAGACTAAATACTTGGCATTATTCTATCTTGTGACTTGATGTCAATGTGGAATGGCTTACGGTTGAAACATCATGTGAAAGCAACGTTTGTTAGCCAACGAGCTGTGAAACCTTAGTTGAAGTTTATTCACCAAAGACATGATCTACCAGGATCGCAACCTACTGGGTAATTGAGCTTGTGCGGTGGCAGGGATCGTCGAAGTCTCGACTGATACGTTAGTATTAAATATTTTGCTAGGCGCCGTACCCCTGTGGTGTGTTAGGGAATACAGAAAGCAGGTCACCAAATAAAGGAAAACATGTTGTGGCTAGAAGCAGTAATACGATTAGAGTTCCAGTTACAATTCACCATCACTAATGCTAGATCCAAAGGCAGCAACCACCCACAGGCGAAAGCTAGTGCCTGCCGTGACAGCCGGTATTTCGAGTCTGAGCCAGGATCAGTACGTGAGTTGCGACCGAACTACAGGTTCAGCATTCTTATAATATCGAGAAAGGGTTAGTGAACGAGTAATATAGACACCTATAAGACCAACCAACGAATTCCATTGAAGCCCCCTTATAGCGTCTTCCTAAATTCAAGGCCGACTGTCGTAGAGTTGTAGCAGTAGAGAAATTTTGATCAGTTGGTAGACATATACTTCCCTACAAAATTACCGACAAACATGATATACCGTGAATTCAGAGCATTTTTGTTAAGGCATAGGAGACGGTACGATGGAGGAGATTGATCTAGTGACTCAAATGACAGTTATGGAGTAGTGCGTTGTACGTTCAAATATATACGTAGTGGATGGAGTCGCCAGTCCCTTATACTTGTAACTTCAAATGTTGAGTGTCTCATCTTAGTATTCCTAGGGCATGATATCGTCCCTGTTAGAGAATCATTCCAATCACAGTGTTGCAAATCCCCCACGGATTACACCGATGCTGAGTCCTAAGCTTCCCTCCCTTTGAGTTAATTCGAACATCTGATGTATGGATGGTCGTTTATGTCCTCATAATCAACCCTTCCGCCTGAAAATGGTCAGATTGAATCAATATCAAACTCTACATTAGTCCTTCTCCGCATCAGTAGCTGCGCGGCAGGGTTCGAGTTCGATCGAGTGCCCGTCATCGCGGGCTCGAAGTCCGTACCAGGAACTAACTTCCAGTCATATTTCATTATCATGTGACATAACGTAACCTTGATCTCGTTTGCAGCAAAAAAGCGCCCCGGGCATGCGTGTATTCCGTGGCCAAATCCAAGGTGGTCGTCACTTGTAGCCACGAGTTGCGACAGGTTCTCTTTGCCCGGTTCTAACCTTTTTTTAAAGAAGCGATACCCGTCCCACTGGTTGGGATTCTCATAGAAATCCGGATCCCTCATTCGATATAGGTCCATTTGGGTACAAGTACCCTTCTTCAGAACCAGCCCATTAGACAGTCGAACATCGTCAACCACGTTGCGGCGCATGCCAACTGAAGAAATGGATGTTAGTTATATCCAATACAGTATTGAGCGCGATTTATCATACCAATGCTGAGCGGTTTCATCCGTGAAGATTCTTTGATACAGCTATCCAGAAGCTTCATAGAGTAAAGCGACGTCTTTTTCCACCCTTGACTTCGTAAGACGTCTCTGATTTCCTCTCGAAGAGGTGCCACAATTTCTGGATTCTGAGCAATATCTAGTACACATTGGTCAAGCAGGTCTGTCGTTGTGTGTATAGCCACCAAAGACAAGGACAGCTGGAATACTTCTGGAATGAAGTCCTGACCAGCTTCTTCTTCTGCCCATTGCAATGCATCATTAAACTCGGGAATCGGTTTCCCCGACGCAAGAGCGGCTCGTTTAATTTCTCGACGCTTCTGGACGACTGGACCTATTATCTTCCTAGATTCTTTGGCTAATGCCCGGACTCTGGTACAGTGAGGCAAGAACCAGTGAACAACTTTTCGAAGTGAACGGGGCCATAGTCGCAATTCGGGAGCTGCATTGAAGACTGAAAGGGCGTAAGATTTAGTGACACGTAGCCAATCCTCATCTCTGCATAACTCTTCGCCCAAGAATATTCGTGAAGACAAACGCGCGACGATGCTGAGAAGCGGATCTTTAATAGTGATTTCGTGCCATTCTGGTAGTTCCAAAGTTAACACCAATTTGTAGCAGTGACCAAACTTATCAGCAAAGACTACCAACCTGGGTTCTCGCCAAGGTGTATAGACAAAGCAAAAGCAGCCTCCTGAGACAGAGGTGCAGTCATCTTGCCTAATGCTGAATGTCAGTTCCTGTAGTCGCACAAAAGTTGGAAGACTGAAAGTTTACTCAAAGACAAAGTCAGTTGCTTCCTAATAACGGACTGCAGGAGTAGATCACTTCGAGATTCCGATTCGATAGATTCAAATCCAGGAATTCCTCCGTGAAAGTCCTAGATGACGGCGTTAGTCTCTTTACTGATCAAATGCTCCCGGATCACATACCATTTCGAAAGCTTTACTAAAGCTCATCTGCGGAATGTTCCGAATTTCACCAATGACGTCGGGAGGTAGCATCACGATCTCCCCTAAATCGGACAGGATTCTATAAGGCTTCCCTGGGTACAGAACTCTAGCTTTGCTGACAATCCCTTTTGCAGAACTGAGAAAGGCTTGCTGTACCAATGTGATGTCAGTTCGCTCTGTTGGCGGTAATAGTGTTTAGCGGGATCGAAGCGCAACTTGCCTTCGTTTGGTAATGGGAGAACAAAGTTGGTGGGTTGAGGTGAGGCAAGCTCTTTAGGCTGTCCTCTGGCGATCTAAAATTGTATGCTACAGCTAGCAACATCAAAGCTGTAATAATATACAAAAGTGGATGCGTCATAGAAGATTTCAACCACGTGCTCCAGTCCCCGAGCGAGGGAAACGTAGCAGGAGAAGCCATTGTGCGAAGTGAAGTTCGAACTGGGAAAGGTGATAAGCTAATTGTGCACAGGGATCTGCATACGAACAAAAAAAGTGAGATAGGTTGTAATGATTAAGCAGCTAGTGAAACCCTTGGGTTTCGTGGGTTTGTACAGAAAATTCGCCTACAGGTTATCTGAGAAACGAATTCACGCTCAACGGATATACCAGGACGTGGTGGCTGGAACATCTTTAAAAGATACAAACACCAACGACATGCCCCTTGAGTTAATATGCTGAAACTTGACTGGCATTCGGCAAGGTAAGCGGCCGAAATGCGAAATAGCATTCGTGTAGAAACCCGTCGATCGGCGCTGCCAAAAACCTTCCGATCGCATTTCTGCCAAGGCCGTTTCGACCAATCAAGTCACCCATTTCTTCGGCAGCATATACAAGGATTCAGGAATGACTCAGGTAGATACTACTCGCATCGGGATGCTGTTCAATTTGACACTGTGCACTTTCGAAGGTGTATTGAATACTATTCCTACGCTGCCATACCCACGTGACACCATAAACTCGACAATTTGTGCTCATTGAGTCACAACAAGCTACATGCGGTTGATAATTCCACGCAGGGTTTTTCTGATCTACTTCGCAAGTAAACTCCATGCAATATTGTCTCGGAGGGCTCGGCGGGAAGTACCCACTCGGACGTGTTACTAGTCCTCGAGTGTCGGAGCCTCTTGCAACCGGGACATTGGCCAGTTCACTTTCATCCCATATTACCGAACTCATGTAGTTGGGATTTGAACGGCGTTGTTAAGTAACACCAGGGGGCCATGTTATATGAACCGGCTCATCTGAACCCACCCAGCTTTGGTCATCGAGCCATTGTCTAGCTTTATGATTACAAAGACAACGAACTAAATCACCTCGTCTGCTAACCTTGAAACAGATCATGGCTTCAAATTTGGCTTCGTCAAGCTTCGGTCAACGACTGCTGCCAATGGTAGTAGACCACGCTGCGCAAAGTGAGCCGGATCGTGTCCTGTTCTGCACTCCACGTAACAACAGCCCTTCTCAAGGTTACACAGAAGTTACAGCCAAGACTTTCTGTAATTCGATCAATAGATTATGCTGGTGGCTTGAGTCAATTTTGAACTCTACAGCAGGGTCCAAAACGATAGGCTATATTGGGCAAAGTAAAGTCTTTAGCAATATTGACAGAATTTTATATTGATGCTTTCTTAGATGACTTGAGGTACTTCCTAATGATGATTGCGGCAGCAAAGACCGGGAACAAGGTATGATCCATCATCCTCGATACGCCTTTTTCTACGTGCCACTGACAGGTTGTAGCTCTTGCTTTCCTCGCCTCGGAACAGCGTTGAAGGGCACATTTCATTAACTAAAGAGTCCGGATGCGAGTTCTGGTTTACTGCATCAGGAACCGATAACGATGGTTTCATAAAACAACTTCAGATACCATCTGCTGAAGTACCAGACTTACCTGACCTTTTGAGTTCCACTGTGGTTCCTTTGTATCCTTACGAGAAACAGTTTCACGAAGGGTATTCGGATGTTCTTGCGTTGCTACACACCTCTGGCTCCACGGGACTGCCAAAGCTTATACCATTATATCTCGGTACCGCAGCGACTATCGATGCGTTTCATGTCATGGAACCCATTGATGGAAAAATGCCGAACCCTGTAGAGTGGTAAGGACAACTTCTAATCACAAAGTTTCTTCTTGAAATTACGTTGGTGTATTTTGTTACCCACTCACTACTCTCCCAATATTGAGTCACATACAATTCATCTCGCCCCTAGCCGGAACGAGCAACTAACTATGCTTACCACCAATAGGGCGGGTACAAGGATGTTGTGTGCGATGCCTCTCTTCCATGTAAGTGTCAAATTGTGTTGCGCACTTCGAGGCCTCAGGTTTATAACATCACTTTAGGTTGCCGGTATCTGTCTTGGGCTATTTTCCGCTGTTTTCTTCCGGTGGACTGTCATCCTGCCATCTACCGGACCTTTGATGCAGCATCTAATCGAGGATTCATTAGACAACATCACAGTAGATTCGGCGTTCATATCCCCCAGTGTGCTGCAAGATATTTCTAAATCCCCCCGCATATTGGAGAAGCTCTCGAAACTGAGGTTCATCACGACAGCTGGTGGCCCAGTAGCTCAGTCTGTGGGAAACTCAATACATTCGCGCGTCCCAATATACCAGACAATGGGCATGACGGAAGGACAGTGGCTTGCGTCTGTGGTAACACACCCAGATGATTGGCAGTACTACCGCTTTCACCCACGGACTGGATTTGAGATGCGACCTTACTCGGATACACTGTTCGAATTGGTGTTTGTTAAAAGAGAGAATTTGGCGTCGACTCAACCAGTTTTCGTCACGTTTCCAGATCTTGACACCTGGGAAACAAGGGATTTATATTCTCGCCATCCTACAATCTCGGGCCTCTGGAAATACGAAATGCGCGCAGACGATCTCATTGTGCTGTCTAATGGGGAGAAGTTCAACCCGCTGGCAGCTGAAGGGGTATTGATCAGTCACCCATGGATATCATCAGCGTATATTACGGGGAGAGGTCGATTCCAGGCCGCCGCATTGCTTTATCCAATTGCGGACCTTAAAGCATCCGATCTTGATATCATCGACAATGTTTGGCCTACCATTGAGCACGTCAATACGATTCTCCCGGGATTTGCGCAGATCCACCGAGACTTTGTTACGATCGTGCGAAGCCCATTCCCTCGAACACCTAAAGGAACATTATCCCGGAATGATACGGAAAAGGAGTTCGCAAAGGAAATTGAGGATATGTACCGATTGCCCAGTGATTGCCAGCCTTCCGTTATTATTGATGAAGCCAGCCAAGAAAGCATTCGTGCTGGAATCAGGGACGCAATCCGAGTCGTGTCCAATGTCGCAGAGATCGATGACGATGATAACATTTTTTCCAAGGGTTTCGACTCCCTTCACGCTATCCGGCTGGAGAGGCTTCTCAAGGCATCCTTCGCCCAGCGCATCAACGTGAAAGCTAATACGATTTACCTACATCCTTCCATCAAGCAGCTAAGTGAGGCAGTATGCATATTGCTTCACCAAGAGAAACTTTCAAGATCCCAAGACAGTACGTCCAATGGGCTTATAACGTCTCAGATGGTCTCAAAATACCTGAATTCGTTTGAAAAAGGCAGGAAAGAACTAGAATACATCGTGCTTACCGGCACAACTGGCTCAATTGGTCCGTATCTACTAGATATATTCTCCAAGAGTGGCCAGGTTGGAGGTATCTGGTGTCTCAATCGCAGCGAAAATGCACAGGAGAAACAAGTAGAGCTGGCCAAGGTAAAGGGTCTCTCACAGGACTGGGACGGTAAGGTCAAGTTCGCCCAGTGCGATCTTCCATCAGAGGCTCTTGGCTTGAGTCACACAGTCCTTCAAGAGATAAAAGATCGAGCTACCACCATCATACGTGAGCAAGCTCCTGACTTGGAAACGCAGATCTTTTGCTAAGTTTCTCACAGACAATGCCTGGGAGGTCAATTTTAACTTACCACTAGCTGCTTTCGAGCCTCACTTCATTGGTCTCAGGGAATTAGTCAATATTTGCCAAAACACACGAAACAAGGTCAGGTTTTACTTCACATCGTCTATCAGCTCTGCGATGAACTGGTCATCCAACAAGTCAGGCCCAGTCCCAGAGGCCGAAATTAGTAATTTCGATGCCCCTATAAATGGCTATGGGGCATCGAAATTGGTCGCAGAACACCTGCTCCATACGGCGGCGAAAGCAGGTGGACTGAACTTCTCATCCTTACGAGTTGGTCAAGTTGCAGGGCCTGTCCAAACGCTTGGCAATGGCGGCGCGTGGAACAGACGAGACTGGTTGCCAGCAGTAAGCAATAAACAGCCTCTTATACTTTCTTCCTTTCTTGTTCCTGAATCCGCCAGCCAGCATTCTCCTGTACAGAACTGATCTTCTAAATATAGTTGATTGATGCTTCTGCTTATCTCAAGATGCTACCATCAGATTTGGGATCTGCTACCAACCTTGATTGGATCCCCGTCGATTTGCTTGCTGAGATTATCGGACAGCTGGTGGTGAGACCAATATTGGGAACGCGTGCACCGGAAATGTATTACAACATACTCAACCCTAGGAAAAGCTGTTGGAGTGATGTTCTGTCGATCATTAAGGGTCGTTTGGAAACAGCAATGTCCGAAAACATACAGGTTGTCCCATTTCAAGAGTGGATAAATTGTCTGCGAGATGCTGACGCCTCTATTATTCGTGAGGCTGATACTGGGTCTTCTGAGACTGCGAGAAAGGCTCAGACTGGACTCATGCTCATTTCGTTCTTCCAGAACCTGGCGGATAAAGGCTCTTCGCCAGATGTAGGTGCATATGCTGGCATTCAGCATTTGGATTGGGCCATGAGCAACTCATTGTCGCAAAGTACTATTCTTGCCAATTTGGCACCTGTATCTGAAGCCTGGTTTGATGCTTGGTTACAACAGTGGGGCTATTGAAATTTTGGGGTCGTTCGGGGTACTAAGATAGAACTATCAAATGCCGGAGAGTGTGAACAGACAATCGGTAGCCATTTCAAGACATAGAAATGCGTATGAGATGTACATTGTCAGGTTATGTGTGGTGTATGCGCGCAAGACCATAGTACTGGTACGTTGGCTAGAAGCTATCAGGACCAACGCACAAGTCAATCATACGATTTAACTAGGCAACAAATCATCCCCCTGCGGCTGCTGCGACAAGTGCGAACGGCAAAAGTCGTTAAGGAAAGAGAGAAGGCTCTACTTTAGCCTCATATCTCAGCACTGCAAACATATTCATAGTTGACAGAATACGTCGTAACGAATCGTTACCTCGAGCCTACCTGTCGCACGATGAAAAGACCCACCACCGCGAAAATCCTTCAGTAACCCCGCCTCGATAATATCTTGGCTGTAGGAATAAGCAGAAGGCACCAAATACCATCTTCTGCCATCCATGCTTAGATGAAACCTACTATGCGCAAATCGTATGTTGTGTTCGTTTACGTGTTCAATAGCTCACTATAACATGCAACCTGCTATTACCCACGTAGATGCAACGCTGCGGGCGGGGGTTCAAACCAAGCTAGGGTGGGAACCCCTTCTACTGTATTTACATGAGATTGTGCATTAGTGCAACCTAACTTGAAAGTGTATTGAACAATTAGCACTGTCAGCTCCGCACCAATCGGAGCCCAGACTTGGGAGGATGAGAACTAATGAGAACACTCCGCATTATGCGAAGCATTCCAGAGAAGATTGTGCAATTTACTTCGCAACAGGCCTCTATTGAAACACGTCGTACTTCATGTCTCAAGTCTTAGCAAAATTTACAATTATCCGACATTGGCTACTCTAGAATGTAACTCGATAACCTGCGTATATCATGGTTATAAACGTAAACTTGGCCCATGCCTACGGAACGTTGGCAGAATTGCATAGAGCTTGAATACTGGGTCTCCGGTACTGTTCCCTGCTGGATCATCGCTGGGAGCATTGTAGAACTCCATTCATACTCGGTATTTTCACAATTCGCCGGGTTTTTGGGAATAACTCTGCATGCCCGGCCGGGGGCACTCGGAACCAGCTGCATAACCTGGCGCGGCTGGTGGGTCATCGGAAGGTTATCTCTCTGCCTTCCAATCCACTGAAAGCCTCATTGCTCGGAATTTTGTTTACATACAATTTTACAAGAAGAAAACGCAGACTTGGTGTCCGACTGGCTGACTCGGTCACTGGAGTCTTGACCTTGACTGCATGTGCCACTGTAGCGAACCGATATCGACTGACTTGAGGTCGAAAGTCTCCAACTTTCTACACTATATAGTAAACACAGCAGGAGCTCACGACTGGGTCGAAGTTTTTGTAGTAAGCATTCCGAAATAAAATAGATAAAATATTTGCACACATCTAAATTCTTCGTCCGTGGACAAGCAAACTACTTGGATCACCGCAGAAATGGCAAATTCTGAACGTGCTTGCTCGCAGGTTTTCTGCATCCAGGATCTGAAAGAAGCTGCATCGCAAAAGATGTCCAAGATGAATAGGGGTATAATCTACATTACCTTGCGTCATCGGCATTGCTGATGCCAACGCAGATTATTACAACGGCGGAGCGATGGACAACATAACGTGAGTTGCGATAACGACAGACCCAGTGCCATCAGACTAAATGAGCCATACTTGGTAGCCTGGCGAACAATGAGGCCGCATTCGACCGCTATTTGATACGGCCTAGAGTTTTACGTGATGTATCGAGTATTGATACTAGTACTAAAGTCTGGGGATCCACTGTGACATTTCCACTCGGGTTCTCTCCCTCTGCAATACAAAGACTAGCACACAGTGACGGCGAAGTCGGCACATCAAAGGCATGTGCAGCCCGCCAGGTACCCATGTGTCTGTCAGGTCTCTCCAATGACCGTCTCGAAGACGTCATCACGCAGAGTACTGATGGATTGACTCCTTACGCCATTCAAATCAGTCCGTTCAAGGATCGTAAGATCATGTCGAACATCCTCTCCCGAGCGCAAGGTAGGTCTTCCCTCAATCGCCCAAGTCATGCTTATGTCACCTTCCGATTAATACCTCCAACTCCTTGTAATAACTAAAACTTCAGCTTACGTCGTCAATTTTAGCTGCTGGGTACAAGGCCGTGGTCTTGACTGTGGATGCACCGATGTTTGGCCGACGGCTAAGCGACTTGCGCAATGGTTTTAAGGTGCCAGATGGCATGACCTTTCCGAATCTTACCTCGCAATCCTCATCAGAGTCTCAAGGTCTTGGGGGCAACGTCCCCGACCTCTCCTTTGGTATTCGTCCATGAGCATTACTTTCACGGATTCAGATTCTCATGAATGCCCAGATACCACAGCCACGTGGGAAACCGAGATTGCATACCTGAGAAGTGAAACGAACATGGAAGTTTGGGTTAAAGGGGGTGAGTTGCCAGCGCTTATACATTGGCCTTTACTAAACTATGCAGTGACAACTCCTGATGACCTTGCACTGGCAATACAGCACGGCGTTGACGGAGTCATAATCTCCAATCACGGTGGCAGGCAATTGGATAGTATGCCTGCAACAGTGGATATCCTTCGCGAGTGTGCACCGATTGCTAAAGGAAAAATACGTCTCGCTATTGACGGAGGCATTCGACGTGGCTCAGACATTTTCAAAGCAGTCGCGCTTGGTGCTGATTTTGTCCTGGTTGGACGAATTGCAATTTGGGGCTTAGCAGTAAGGACACAAATCTATAGCAAGTGCAGGTCGCTAACATGTGTTGATAGTACGACGGCCACAAAGGGGTAGGGTTGGCTATCGATTTGTTGCTCGCTGAGTTCAAATTATGTATGGGGTTGACTGGCTGCAGATCTGTAGCGGACATCAGCTTAGGACATTTGTCGATTTTGCAAAGCAATGGAATCCTGGGAAAGATATAGCAGGTGAGACATTTCAAGGATACAGGAGCTGTTGGTCAGGTGCTTTCCGCTCTTTGTAAATAAACAAGTACATCTTTTACGAATGATCCCTTGAAAGCCCTAGCAGGCCAGAAGTAGATCTGTGTTGCACATCAGAACGGGGATAGAAGCCGAGCACGGTGGATCCGTCTGTGTCCCCGGCAACTTATGTTTACTAAACCTCTATTCAATGCACAACAGGTCTACTATCATGGTAGTGAGCATTCCACCTTCAAGCGAAAGATCACGTATCTTATATCCCTGGGGTGTGCTCTTTGGAGCTTATATAGATGAATCACGGGAAGAATCTCTTTCATGATAGTTTGACTGCACCACAGGTGAATCGCGAATACCCAAAATCCTGTAGTGTTGCAGGGTCTAAAGCTGGGAATGGAAACAAAACCCCTCTTACAAACTCAGTAACAGCAAGTGTATGGCTCTCACACTCAATTCATCAAAGAGAATTAAGAACGTATGGCTACAGACTTAACTGTATTTGATACCGAGCTATCACGCAAGCTGCGATACGAAGATAATACTTCTTCGGAACAAGTTATCTCTCAACTGAAACAAGCAGGAGAACGAGCACGTGGGGCAAGGCCCTTAATGAATCCAAGTCCAAGGACTGCGTATGCAGAAGTCTAACCTCAGAAAAGTTCCGCCTCATTGCAATAATGTATCTGAGCCTGAAACATTTCAAAATCGACATCTAAATCCGTCTACCCATCCCTTCACGTGCTCGAGATGAAATTATCGTCCAAGCCAGCGATCCATTAGCACCGTCGGTCTCGGTTCATTCATTAGTCAACAGTTCTGCATGTAACTGGTTGATGGCACGTGTGGCATCCTTCGCTGGGATAACGCAAGAAATGTTGATCTCGCTAGCTCCTATAACACATTAAAGTCACCACATAATTCAACTTAATAGTATGTCCGGCTATAGTTAGACGTACCTTGAGAAATCATTTCAATGTTGACCTGTTCATCCCCTAGAATCGCGAACATTCGCCCGGCCACACCGGTCATATTTTTTAGTTCCTCGCCCACCAGGCTGAGTATAGCCATGTCGGGGAGCACATTGACCTTTCCCGTTTCTGTTAGTTTCGTACATGCATCCTCTAATTGAGTGACCTCCGTGTTCGTTCTACTGATAGCCATCGAAATGCAGACTTCAGAGGTAGAAATAAGATCCACCGAAATACCCTGGTCTTCTAGGATGGTGAAAACCTTGGCGAAGAATCCGTGGGACATGGACTGTTTGTTGCTACAAATGTTGATGACGGTGATACCTCTCTTGATTGTGATCGCGGTGGGTTTGCTCGAAGTTATTTCCGATAAGCACGCGTTTTCGGAAGAGTCTGTACGCTTCATCTGTCGTATACAGTGCTTGACCATTTTCTCAGCAACTACAGTGCCTTCGCTTGCTGGATTTTGCACATTTTTGACACGAATCTGGATGGGGGGCTCGGCTTGTATGGCTAGGGCCAGGGCTTGATGGTGGATGACTTCGGACCCGTAGAACGTCAACTCAGCTGCCTCTTGAGGAGTTATCGTTGGCAAACATCTCGCCTTCGGTACTTCTGTCGGGTCAGCAGTGAATATACCGTCCACTTCCTTCCATATCTGGACTTCCTTTGTCTGGAGACCAACCGCGACTAGAACTGCGCACAAGTCGGAATAGCCTCTTCCGATACCGCCGTTCGTCAAGCTGCCTGGGACGGCGCCAAAGAAGCCAGTAATGATGGGTACTTTGCCATTACATGCCGCCACGCGTTTCCCGAAAATAACGGCGGCATTTCGGAAGTAGATTGGTTTCAAGCTACCCGAACTGCTGGCGAATATAATTTCAGACAGATCTACGTATTCAGCCTCAATCTTTCTGTCTCTCAATATAGCCATCATGAATCGACAGCTGAGTTTTTCGCCTAAGCTGACCACCTTATCTTTCGACCTGCCATTGATGTCGAGATCAAAACTGCGAGTAGCATCAACGTAATCAAGTAATTTTTGGCAGTCCTCTTCAATTCGCCGAATAGTCTCTCTTCTTATTTCCGGAGAGTGTACGAAGGATCGTAGTGCAGAAATTTGATCATCTTGAATGTCTCGGACGATACTCCGTAGATTTTCTAGAAGCAAGCTCTGCATGTCGCTGTCATGTGCGGCCGAGACAATCCGTCCCAGCGTCCGATATACCTCGAGTAATCTATATGCGATGAGCACATTCAGTACATATGCATCTAAAAGATAAAATATAGCTTAATTGCGTTCAAGGGTCACGGATATAACTTACCGACTTGTTGTCCCGAAGGCCTTGTTGCTAGAGCTGCGCGCGGAACAGACCACAGCAGGTCTGTAGCCGTTGGATTTCGCACTGATCATGCTCATTAGCCGGTCAAATTGTGCGTTTGGCAATCGAAAAATGGTATTTACGTTATTATGATATCTGCAACCTATAGCGATAAGTTTGAGTAGCTATCATTAAAGAAGACGAGAGGAGATAGAGGTCCAGGACGCACTTTATCTGGGAACTTCCCAATACTGGTCCCTCCAAACTTTTGAACAATCCAAGTATTCTTCCTGAGATCATGCATCTCGGTATATTCCTCTATATATATTGCAGTATTGTGTGGTGGAGTGCTTAATCTTCGTTTTTGGTGTTACAATGGTTGTCAATCTAACATTTCTTTCCAAAGGAAGATAAAACTGAAATTGTTGCCACCGTGCCGATATAAACCAAAAGAGCGAGAGCAAATTGGCACCAGATTTGGGGAATATGTACTGATATGAATAAAAAGTCACCGACCTCCTTTTCGGAAAGCGTCGGAGCAGTATAGCCTATCTGTTGTTCTCGGTAGAAACACCCGAAAGCCACATATTTTAAGCCCGGATGTCAACCTCATTCTTAAGTAACTCATTGGGCTCATCAATGTATGTCTTGTCGCAGACCAAGTCATTTGAGTCATCGCTGATGATTGAGAACTCTTCCGGGCCATACGGCAGCCCGCCTTGGATATCATGACCGATCGGCATCCCAGAAGATGCACCCAAGCCGCCGTTTACACAAAACACAAGACACAATCTGAGAAGTGTTGTCAGCCCAATAGTATGGGAAGAGCACTGGAATCCATCACTTCGTTCCTTGCGATGAGACTGAACATCAAGACCTCGGTATTGCCGATGCAGTTGTTTTCAGTCACAAGTTGGTTTTTATATATAACCGAGACCAAGTCACCAGACTGACTAACCCCAGAGTAAGATAATTGACTAGCTGAACTAGAGAGCAATTTCAATTCTAGCGGCGCTTAAGATACTTTACTTGGGAAGTGGCAGACAGTATCACAGTAGAGCATGGAAAGTTGGTTCAGGGGTTAGGTTCCTGGTGAGAAGCTACCTGTACTAAGCTTGTAGTTGCAACCTAGCGCAGTGATGTAAGGCTTCAACATGTTATTTCTCCAAAATCATTTGCTCAAAAATGGCCAAATCATTGCACGATCAGCGTTCCAGACGCCTGCTTTCGTGAAGACATCCTTCTTTATGATTGCCTTGATCTCTTCCTCACTCCGAGCCTTAAACACCATGATTGTCCCATTCTCGATGGGCTGCTCTCCTTCAACACCATGACGACTTAGCGTGCTGCCAAAGAAGGGCACACGGCCGGCCTTGACCAAGGGTATCGCGTCTTCATTGTGTTCTTTATTGGTGGCCAGTCTGATAGATAGCGTATTCGGATGATCAGGCACGTGGACTAGATAATCTCGTAGAGGCGAGGTGTCCGTGGTGCTCATATTGGGCTAAATGAGTAATGGTGGGCAGAAGAGGTTGCGTTGAGCGTCCCAGGATAACCGTAAGATCAAACAAACTGCGATAGCAGGCCTCTGGCTCCAAAGTCGAGAGGCTCTGTCAGACATATTGTGGGCGAAGCTATCAGAATAATGGAGCTGGTCGGAAGCTTGCTCGGAGACTTTACACACAGCATACTAGCCTGCCGGCTGAGTTTGACTTTCGTTTTCATGCGACTGCATGCCCGATGCGTTTTGAAGGGGTCTCGGAGGCTTTGAGTCGCATAACGATACCGGCATCTGCTAAGCATCCGAAGCGCGTCCGATTGCAGATACCAAGGTTCGTACTACTCACTTGCAGTTATGGCATTATGGTCCGTGGCTGGAAAGAATGCCCTGTTGTTGCTCCATTCTGAAGGACCAAATGCCCCCCATAAGGGTAACAGGTGCTGAATTTGCGGGGCACAGGCCCCAAAATTCAGCGGCCTGGCGCTGGACCACTGATAGTATTCATTACTGGAGAATGAACAAAGTCACACTTAATTTACGCAATGCACATTGGATCTCATCATAGCCAGGCTTGTGATACGATTTGAAATTGATGACTATGACTCAACCAAGGACTGGACGACGATTTACATCAGATGGTTACGGGGTCTGCGGTGTAGCAGAGGTGTGGATGATTCACAGTGCACATCAGCTGGGTTAGGCGATACGTCACAACCTCGCTTGCTCTGCTGGTTTTCTGTCGTAATTAATTGGCAATGTGATGGAGCTTTGACAAATTATATCTCCATCGTTTATTTGGGTTAATGCTCGATTGCGGTAGCGGCTTCTTCTTTAAATAATAGCTGATGAAAGCAGGGCAGACTTTGCAGTGACCTTCTTCACGAGCCCAGTCATCGGATCGTTACTTACAATGTCGAAGACTGACACATCCGCTTCAAACTCCTTCAAAAGCCAAGTGCGTATCTCGATAGCCACAAGACTGTCAATGCCAAGGGATGGAAGCGACTTCCTTGGGTCCATATTTTCAACATCCATCTTGATGATTCTTGCGACACCTTCTTGAAGCTGAGCCAGCACAAGTTCGTAAACTTCATCCTTAGACGTAGTCGCCGCGAGCAATCCTTTCCAATCTTGTCCACCGCGAGTGCCGTCGGTGGTGGTACCCTTCCGATCTAATTGACGGATAACAGAAAATCTGGAATCCGCAAACCAGTACGGATCAGGAGCTCCCATCTCTTCTAGCTGACCACCAGTAGAGAGCCCCATGGCCACCTGCGTGGGAGTCCGTCCTAAGACTGCTGCTTTCACTATACTGAGAACATCGGTCTCGTCCATACTCAGCAACCCGCCGTCTTTCAATAGTTGAAAAACTTCACTTCGCTCGGTCGAAACACCAATGCCGACTACCAAGCTAAGATTAATGCTAGTCGCGGCCAAGCCTGCAGCTGCGCGATGATTCATAAGCGCATCTTGGTACGTATTGCCTATGAACAGGATCAGTCTCAACGTGATTTGAATAAAGTCATACACGATTCATACCTGCATTGTAGTTACCCTGGCCTCGCGATCCAATGATGCCTGCGATTGATGACAAGCAAACGAAGAATTCCAGGTCTGCAGGCAGGACCTCATGAAGGTTTCGCGTTGCCCGTACTTTCGGACGGAGAGATAGATTCCAGTCCGTAGCCGACATGTTGCTGTAGGTGGAATCCTTGTCCGAACCGTTAGATGAATGAGCAAGTTCGAGGCCGGGAGGACTTACTCTCAGATCCATTGCACAGTGGATTACTCCCTTGATAGGTGGGAAACGTTGCTTCACCTCATTGATTGCAGCCAGTAATTGTGACTTGTCAGCGACATCACATGCAATGGTAGTTGCAGAGGTACCCTGAGACTGGAGGCTCTCTATCAGAAGCTGAGACTCTGAGCGGGAGCTCCCCGATCTTGCCAAGAACACCAGATTCCTGGCTCCCATCCCTGACAGCATTCTTGATATGGATTGGCCGATACCTCCAAGACCACCAACAAGGATGTATGTGCTGCCTTCAGGCAGCCGAGAGGTTTCAAGGCCTTCAGGAACCACCTGAAAATAGGATTAGCAGGTTTGAACCACGTATTCCAATACAAACTCACCGGAATTATGTCATCAGGCCCTGGACACAGGACAATTTTGCCAATGTGGCTCCCACTTTGCATCAGCCGAAAGGCCTTTTCCGCATCCCCAAATGAACAGATGGAAAGGTTCCTAAAAGGGGCTATTGCACCTTTCCGCGTAAGTTCAACGACCTGATTTCCTATCTTTTCGAAGCGGTCTGGGTATTGTGTGACTTGTGCGAGAATATCAAGGCCAGCGAAGTTAATATTCCGCAGAAAAGGCCGCATCTCGAGGCCTGTGTTATCCAAAATATCACGTTTTCCAAGCTCGATAAATCGACCGAAAGGTGCAACACATAACCACGTCTTTCGAAGCGCTTCTCCCGCCAACGAGTTGAGCACAACGTCAACACCCGTCTGGCCCGTCATACGTAGGATACCTTGGGCGAAGGAATGGTCACGGCTGTTGAATACATGCGTTTCATCTATCCCATACTCATCCATGAGGAATTTCTTCTTCTTCTCGGATGAGACGGTCGCGAAGATATCCGCTCCGAGGTAACGAGCAAGCTTGATTGCAGCCTGCCCTACTCCACCCGCAGCTGAGTGAATCAAGACAGATTAGCCGCGTTGCAATTTAGCCACGTCAATCAAAGAATGAACGACGGTGGCGTATATGCACATCATTGACGCTGCCTCCTCGTTTCTCAAGTGCTCGGGAGTCTTTTGGAAGGTCCGAGGATCACCTCGTATGCGTGTCTGGAAACAGCCAGCATGCATGCCAAAGACACGGTCGCCGATCTTAAATTTCCGAACACGATCGCCGACCTGAGAAACCACCCCGGCGCATTCGATGCCGAGAGTCGAGTCCTCCATTTGGCCCATAGCCACCATCACATCTCGGAAATTCAACCCCACTGCTTTGACCTCTATCTCAATATGATCATCCGCTAAGGTTCCGGACATGTTCGTTTCGCCGACATACTCCAGGGTGTCCAGTAACCCAGCATCTCGGATGCAGAGTTGGAGATCTCTCCCAGCCCGCCGAAGTGGAATATCGACAGCTGGGAGACGACTTTCAGATCTTGACGAGTCCAACAGAGTCTTGAGCTCTGGGTGGGGAACTAGACGTTCCACGAAAATAATGCCTTCCCGAGAGATATATTCTGAGTCCATCGACTCCTCCAGACTCTTACGGGAGAGTGTTCCCATGATTCGGCCGATGATGCTCATATTCGAGTCTGTCATAAGAGGTGCTCTTGGATCAAGTCCAAGTGTGGCGAAAGATAATTCTGGGTGCTCGGCTCTAATGGTCCTTCCAAGCCCATCGGCAAGACCGGATTTGTGGTGGGCATCAAAAACCCCGTCCACAGTCAGCCACAATGTTCCTGTCGCATTGAGAAGCAAGGAACGCATTTTTGAAAACAAGTCCTCGTTGAGAGTTTCGAGAAACGATGCATCGAAATCGAGCATCGCAAGGCATAGGTACGGTGATGGCTGTTCGGGCATGTCGGATAAGGACGCCGTGAAAACATCGTAGCTCAGGCTCCTCAACGTTTGCTCTACTTGGGTAATCAAGTCACTCAGCTCTTGCGATTGTATTTGCGGAGTCGCTATCAAGACCTGTCGGACTGGAGGTTCCACGATTGACGTCTGTTGTGCAACAATGAAGGTTGACGGCGAGTCAGCTGCTCTGGATGAGTCCGAAATGTTGATATTCGTCGTGAAACCTGCAGATTGGAGCATTTGATCAATGCCATTGCCACGGGGAGACTCTTTTGGCTCTTTGGTCTCTAATGAAAGTAGTTGCGTCAGTATTACGATCCTGTAAACAGTCTATGATGTACCTACCATACGGGTGGTAAGTGGAAATTACGTCGGTGTAGTTACCCAAGATCCCGACTACCAACAAAACTCCCCAGCTACAGAGATTTAGTACATTTCAAACAGGGTTTTGGGAAAGCGATGATGATTCACTTACGGTTTCAAGAGCTTTCTCCAATGCTCCAAATCAATCCCGTCATCGCCATGTTCAACACTTTTGTCCCAGACCACGATGTCGTACGAACCCTCGACAAACCCATGCGAATGAATATTGGAACTCTTCTGTTGGACAGAGTCAATGCTATTCATATCCTCCAATGGGTTGACGAGAACGTAAGAGCCCACGTATTTGGTTGTCTTAGCTTCCACCGGCAAGGATGCCAAGAAGTTCGCAAGCAGGCCTTCAGTCGAAGTATTGTATTCAAGGATATCCAAACCCGGGTGTTTATGTGCGAATAAGGCCACGTAGCGTTCCAGAAATGGATTAACAGACTGCGGTATACCTGCGCCATTGTCGGGCGAAGACGTCTTTTCTTGCCCTTGCTCGATGTCACTATCGGTAGATTCAGTCAAATTCGATAATTCATTGCTAATCAATGAACTCTCTCCGTGTAGCGTTGAGACCGGGCCTCGTAGGAGTGTTTCCAGCTGGGAAGCATCTGCCAACTCCACGTCAGGCGCCATGATCGGGATACAAGGGACGTGCCCGAGAGAATGTCCCCGGCTCAAGCTTGAAGCTTTACTCTCGGTTTTGCTATCTGTTGCCGCACCACGAAGAGGTACGGTCTGGCATCCCTGGAGGATGATCATCGGTTTGGCTAGGTCATTACCAAATGCTACAACATCACTCATCATGTTGAATTGGCCATGATTTCTGGAGGAGCTGTATCCGAAATACTCGGTCCCTTCGGAGGAGTCGAAGTCTGCCGAAACGTATAACGATGCAGTGGAAACAGGGACTCTTGCTTTAATTGTGTCCCCATATCCCGTGCTAGAAATCAAGAGGTGTACGAAGACATCCAAAACTGCAGGATGGATTAAGTGAGGTGGTTGGAACTTGCTGGGTGTCCATTTTCGTGTATCTGGAACCTCCATGGTAAAATGGGAACTTGAGTTGAGTATGTTGAGCCTCTTGGCACCTCTGAATGCTGGCCCTAAACTGAAACCTGACTTATCCATCTGAGAATAGTTAGAGAGTATCCATCACTAGACGGAGACATCCGTTTCAACTCACCTGGGTATAGAAGGCAGCAGAATCAAGCGTTGGTAAGTCAGCTTGTACGATGCTGTCGTATAGTCCTTTGAGTTGCGATCTTCTCTCGCTCTCCTCGTCGACAAAGCCTGCGTTCACTTCCTCCCGGTACGAGTTTGCAATCAGTCCTGTACAGTTGATCGTCCAAGCACCGCTCTCGTTACGACTGGATACTTGAAATTCGGTCCAATGCGATGTTATTGTATGGCATCCAGTGCGCCATGGCGAAAGTTGTAATCTTGTTTCAACCGTCTGATCGTTGGGCACGACTACTGCACTGCGAATATTGACATCACGTATGTGATAGCCCGAAACATCCTGTCGCGTCTCAGTTTGACGCATTGCCTCTATTGCCATGACAATCATGCCAGCCATGGGATAGATGTTCGTGCCTTGGAACTGGTGATGTTCAATCCACGGCTGTTCCGAGATCCGTAAATAGTTACGCCAGCAAGGTTCAGACTCGGTTGACCGTTCATCTCTTGCTCCTAGCAACTCAAGCCTAGGATGGTCTCTTTTCTTGTACGCAGCGAGCGCAGCCGATTCATGCCAGAAGCTGTTCGATGTATTCCACGCGTATGGAGGGAGATCCGTTAGTGCAGACATGACGACCTCAGTATCTTGGTAACCATTTGCCAGCGAAAGGTTCACCTCGTGACCAAGAACCTGCAATTCCCCAACTACCTCTAAACATGTTTGGACAGAGTCCTCGCCACGTTTGATTACTGACAAGTACCGATAGCTGGAGTCCTGTGCACCGAGGCTGCCCATAATCTGTTTCAGAGGACCCTGGAGTGCAGCGTGCGGGCCTATCTCAATCATCACGCCTGAATTTCCCTTCTTGGCTGAGATATTTCGTTTTCCTAAAGCTCCCGTCTGCATTGCTGCTGTTACGGCTCCAGAAAAGTTGACGGGCTTTATCAAGTTCGCTACCCAGTATGCAGCACCGAGTTGACTGCCCTCGATTACTTTGGCCGTGACTGAAGAGTACATGACAACTTCCGGGAGGCCATCCTTAGCCTGGCAACTATCTTCCAACGAGCGAAGATACTCTTCTGCAATTGCCTCCATGTGATGGGAGTGATATGCTGTTGATACCCGAAGCTTTCTTGCAAAGATTCCGTCCGCTTGTATAAGTTTTGTGACCTCATCTATACCCTCCGTATCGCCCGATAGTGTGACATTGGAGGGACTATTGATACAAGCTACCACAACCTTTCCCATGGTTGTTCGGGTAATGTATTGTTTGGCAAGTTCGGGGTCCAAACCAACGGCGGCCATTGAGCCTGTTTTCGGGATCCCGCTCGTTAGAAGGCCCCTAAAATAAGAAGCTTTCATTGCAGCTTGTTTGTCCAAAGAGCCCTTCGCATAGGCTGCTGCAATCTCTCCACTCGAGTGACCAATGACTACCTTGGGGCGTATGTTAAATGAGGTTAAAAGGTCGACTATTGCGAGTTGCAAGGCGGTACAAGCTGGTTGACTGATCTCAGGGATGTCAATTCTCGATGTGTCGGCGCTGCGATTCAACTCTTCGATCAGATCCCAGGAACTCCCAAATGATTTCAGATACGCGTTTGACGCATTCAAGGATTGTTGGAAGATCGTGTATCGGGATAGATATCGTCCCATTGCAAACCATTGGGCACCCTGGCCAGTAAAAATAAAAGTAAGTGCATGCTGTTTCGAAGCTCGTGTAACCCTTCTTGACGCAGCAGAGAGAGCCTGTCGTAGATCTTCCATACTCGAGGCCAGGCAGTATGTTTTCCAGGATAGAGTCGATCGTTTCTCTGATAGGGTGTACGCCAGACGATGCAGGAATATCTCCTCATTGTCGACCTTTCCTTCCACATCGTCGAGATAGCTCTGGAGTCTTTGGCAAAGGCGAACAACACCCGACTGCTCATGAGATGAAAGAGTGAACATCCGTGTTGGACTGCCTCTGCCGTTAGCTGCCTGGCCCAACGTAATAGCTCTAGGTATACCATTCTGGACACTAGTGAGCTCATTGTGGGATCCATTTAGTGTCAAGTCCTCTTCAACCCTGGTGTTATGATGGCCGGCAAGTCCGTGGTTCTTGAAGAAGTGATAAGCATCATCAAGTACACAGTGTGCATTTGCCCCACCATAGCCGAAGCTGCGATGGTCAGTATTTGGGAACAGATCATATTTTGGTGTTTGCTTTACCTGTTTATACTCGCTCTCCTAAGCCCAAGAGGCCAATTGGTGGTTTGTGTTGGAATGTCGATCCTCCAGTCCTGCAGGCGAATCTTGGGGTTCACCTTTTGTAAACCATGAGTTGGTGGGATCAAGCCGCTCTCAAGACTGTAGATAGTCTTTATAATGCTGGCAATCCCGCTCGCCCCTTCGAGATGCCCTATATTGGATTTTACTGAGCCGACGAGGATGGGATGCTGCCTCGTTGGACCAAAGACGGAGCCAATGACCGAGCATTCGATGGGATCACCCACCTTCGTGCCAGTGCCATGCGCCTCGAAATAGTTGGTATCATCAAACTTCAGGCTAGCTGAAGCATATGTTCTGGTTGATCATAACACGTCAGTGTCCTAGGTTTTATCATATCGCGTAGAGGGTTCCTTTCTGTGCCTCTAACGGTAGTGTGCTCCTGCTATAGGCTAGCCCAGCGTAGAGCTTGCAAAATCATTCGAAAAGAAAAAAGGGCACATCAACATGGTCTTAGTACTTACGACCGAATCAATTCCTCTTGTCGCTGAGCCGAGGGCTGCGTGATTCCCATAGTTCTACCGTCTTGGTTGATCCCTGTTGCTCTGATAACGGCGCGGACGGTATCGCCATCTTGGATAGCCTTATCGAGTCGCTTCAACACAATAAAGCCACCTCCTTCTGCCCGTGCATACCCATTTGCTTGGGCATCAAAGGAGTGGCATTTATTGTCTGGACTAAGGAATGACATGGAGGACATGAAAACACCGAAGTTCGGAAGTAGATGCAACCCTAGACTTCCAACCAATGCCTGATCAAGTATTAGTGGCATGTTATCAGAACCATGTGGAACCCCATACCGAGTCGCACTCGCCATTGCGGATGCTCTGACTTGCGAGATGAAGTGCAGTCATTGAGGATGAACAAGCTGTGTCAATCGTGACACTTGGACCCTTCAGGTTGAAGAACCATGAAATTCGATTTGAGAGCAATGCTGGCCCTGTACCAGTGGCGGTGTATTTTCTTCATGACCGTTAGAGGGTATACTACAACGGACCGCTAATACTTACGGGCTACTATCCATGTCATATGCTTGCATGTCCCAGTAGTCGTGCTGGCATGCTCCCACGAAACAGGACATGTTCTGGTCTGCTATATGATCCATCTTCAAACCAGCTGCAACACGTGGATTAATCTCAAGACTCTTCCACAGATATATAATGCTCACGTACCATTTTCAAGACCTTCGTATGCTAGTTCCAGAAGAATCCGTTGGACCGGATCCATGCCTTTTGCCTCTTCTGGGGTGATGGAAAAGAACCCGGCGTCGAACCTATCGACGTCCTGTTTCAGGAAATAACCTCCTTGAGTGTTCATGGACCCTGCTCTTCCGCCATCTGGGTGATAAAACCCTTTTGCATTGAACCGGGATTCTGGCACTTCGCCTAGAGCATTTTTCCCATCCCGAAGCAGATCCCAAAGTTTTCGCGGCGTTGTACCATCGCCAGGGAATCTTCCAGAAACACCTATTATGGCAATTGCTGCAGAGTATGGAGTTTTGCTCTGACAGGAAGTTACACCATTGGGGGTCCGATCCGGTCGGGTTGGCTCCTCGGTTTTATTGGAATGGGCGTTGAAGCCGCCATTGGTGTGGCCATTGGAAACTCCAATTGATGTACCGTTAGCAGCTTCGTGTGAATCGACAATGGAAGGCATCGTGATACTGATCAAGAAATTGAATCTTGAACAGCAAGAGTTTCGCCTTGCAGCAGTGGTGTCCCTCTTGAGTTATGAAGGAATAAGCAGAGGACAAGCCGGAACATCATACCCAATACGCAACCCATGTCAGACTAGTCACCAGTCGCTTGATAAACTTTGCCAATAATGCAAAGCCGTGGCCAGCATCGGGCCTAACGTTATGGAGAACAGGCATTTTGGGTGCTGGTCCTGTTCGGATGTCCTCGATTAGGTTGATTCGGAGGCTGGTGGGAATAGCATCGGAGGTTACGGAAGACCCAGTGAATGCCGTACTCCCGAGGTGGGTCTCGCAGACAGCCTGGCCCCGAGAGCTGGTCGTGATTTTGACATGGTAGTTGTTCAAGACCTTGCATTGCGTCTAGAAACCCTCCGTCGCAACTTTCTTGGTGCGTACCTCAGCATGAGAAAGGGTGTCGCATCAGGAATCAAGATCCCACGGCTAGGTGGTGATCCAACTACTTACGGTCCCCAGCTCGGCTTGAGCCAGTCGTTAAAAACAGGGGTTTGGGGGGAGGGGGGGGGGGGCGTGAACAGGGCCTGTCGCGAAGCCAAATGAGCTACTCTCCACATCACTCCATTGTAGTGCCCCGGCCTTTCTCCCTGTGGCTTTCCCCGTGTTTTCCCCGTGTTTTCCCCGCCGATGGTGTTAAAAACAACCTTCAACCAAGCAACGAGGACTCTTTCTCTTTTTGGAAAAAACCCTTTGGTATTTTACCTTTACAAGACAGTTCATCCATCAGTAATCCTGAAGGTCAATAATCCTCTGGATCTCGCTTCGTGTACTAACTTATTCTCGTAACTAAACAAAATTTTACCTACGACGTAGCCTCATTGTAATCATGAATACTAGTCGCCCAGATGCCGTGTGCTGGCTTAAGCTCTTCCCCACGAACAAATCTTTGTAGTCACTGATCCTTCAATGATACCGGTAGGCCCTTTTAGTTATGACAATACACGAGATGTAATATGTCTTCAGCAGTGGTCTTTATAGCGAGAATAAGAAGAAATTCGTGTCATTCGTCTAGTTATTAACACCCAAAGATACCAAATTACAATAGTTTGCTTGAAAACTGCCCTATCCAATTTGAGAATGATATTCTGGAACAATACCCCAAGGGATATATATTTCGTACCTCACCGCTATCTAGAGCTAAGAGAGAACTAAGAGGGATTCAATCAGAACTGTTAATGTGAAGCATCCCAGAGCCGAAACATTAGGTAATGGAACAAGCTGTTTCGATGATCATTTCGGCAAATCTCACCAACTCTTCCGAAAACCTGGGAAAGTGGTGACCACCACGATGTGTCATGTTTCTAGATGTATCGGAGTCGAATAAGGCGAGGACAGAATCATCCACAAAATGATACGTATCCTTGAGCCCGCGGACATGAACAGATGGTATAGTCATCTTTTCGAAGCTTCCACTGGGTCTATGCTTGAGTAATAGATGAACAGGGAACGCTATCTTCTGCTGGTTCTCCGCGAGTATATCGAAATCGATTGACGACCGTGGATCGGTCCTCCAATCCACATCTTTTCCACAGGAAGACTCGCATGACTCTCCGTGTACATGTGTTGCGAGCAGCTTTTCGCCTTCGGAGAAGTCCCACGTGATCAAGCCAGAGCTGAAGCTGTGGGGGAGGAATGCCGACACGAAGATGGCCATTTTGAATGGGAAGCTCGAACCGCCTGTTTCTGCATGATTGTTGAGTAGGAGAAGAGCAGCCATCGATCCCCCCTGTGAGAACCCCCAGACTCCGTCAAAGGGTCCTTCCAATTCAATGAAAGATGTAATGCGTCTATAAGCCCGATCCACATCCTCAAAGAAAGGCAGGTTGTACCAACTGTAATTTGGTTTTGGGGCCTGATCTAACGAAGCTGTGGTGACATTAGCCATATAGATTGAGATACGGCATGTCGCTTGACAAGGACTCACGAAGCATCAACTCAGATGGCTCCATTTCCGCATTTAGAAATTCATATTCCCAGTCGCTAGGGAGTTGAGCGATAATCGGCTGCATTTGCTCCTCAAGAACTTCAGCGCTTGTGGCATAGCCATGAAGGCACAAGAAGCGCATCTTGATATCTATCAAAACTTATACTGCTGTCCAGTCGTCGCAGTCGTTCAAGGAGTTCCATTCCCTCTGACTGAGAAAGGCGCTGGTATGCCAACTTTATCCAACTGTGGATGATTTATTTTCGCGGTCAGCGAAAACGGTGGCAGCCTTCCTACTCGTATTGACCTTATCATGGAATTCCTCCTTGAACACTGAAATCCCATTGCTAGACGACGGTCATGCCTTGATAATTCAGTGTCGGACTGGTGAGCTTAGTATCCGACTGTATCAGCGGTTATACCGAAGCACAAAAGGTTTACCACTACAAATATTCCGGGAAGTTAAGTCTCTGCCGAGGGAAAAACAATTCATTTTTCGTGTAGTTGGCTATCAAATTGTGTCCGGTGTCCGTCAGTACGGAGGTATGCGGGGCTTTCGGGCCCTTTCCCGAATTGTCGGAGGGTGCTGTGACACCTAGAACCCTGGTACCGCGCGGAATCCCCCCGACCGGCATGAAGGAAACATAGAATTCCGATATCTTCCCGAGTTCGCTGTGTCTGTAATTACGAGACTTGGAGAACAAATGGAGCCGTCTTGGTGGATTATGAATCCACAATTCTATATAGATGTATAGCAGTGGAACGGAGGTACGGTCTGTCTGACAAGACTATACCGGGTCTCTCACAACCTTCATTGTATACTCCCTTGAACATTCACAGGAACGACAGTATGACAGAACAAAGCAAGGAAAAGTTCGAAACACTGCAACTGCATGCTGGGTACGACCCAAAGCCTCTCGAAATTCGTTGCATCAAAGTTGACCTGTCTCTAGTTACACGCCGGATCCCCATTCCAGATCCACTGCGGTGCCCATTTACGCGTCAGCTGTCCGTTGCATTATTCCCAGACTTTCCAGATTCATGGCAAAACTAATAGAACCCAGAGTTTTACATTTCATGATTCATCCCATGGAGCGCGACTTTTCGGTCTCAAAGAGTTTGGCAACATATATAGCCGCATAACAAATGTAAGCACCGAAGTAACATCCCCGGCTGGCACTCATGATCGCTGAGAAAATGATCCTCCCAGCCTACTGTCGAAGTTTTCGAGAAGAGAATTGCTGCACTGGAGGGTGGTATAGCTGCGCTCGCAACTTCCTCAGGTCAGGCAGCTCAATTCTTGACGATCGCTACCCTAGCACGGGCCGGGGACAACATTGTTGCCAGTTCCCATCTCTACGGTGGCACATACAACCAACTGAATGTGCTCCTTCCCAGGTTCGGCGTGACCACCAAGTTTGTCCGAAGCGGACGGTCTGAAGACTTTGCCGCTGCGATTGACGAGAAGACAAGGGCCGTGTATATCGAGAGCATGAGCAACCCCGACTATGTCGTCCCGGATTTCGAATCAATTGCACAGATTGCACACGAAAAAGGCGTGCCTTTAATCGTGAGTCTTTACAGTGAGGCAGGCAGTGAGTACTGTAGTCTTCGAGCTAATCGTCACTATACAGGTGGATAATACTCTTGGAGCGGGTGGTTACTATGTTCGCCCCATCGAACACGGCGCGGATGTCGTCGTCCATTCGGCTACGAAGTGGATCGGTGGACATGGGACGACTATCGGCGGCGTTATTATCGACTCTGGCAAATTCGATTGGACTAAGTATCAATCGCGCTTCCCGGAGATGGTCGAACCTTCACCGGGTTATCACGGTCTCAAGTTCTCGGAGACTTTTGGGCCGGCGGCGTTCATCATCCGTGCACGGGTGGAAATGTTGCGAGATATCGGGGCTTGTTTAAGTCCCTTTGCCGCACAGCAGCTTTTAATGGGTATTGAGACTCTGAGTCTGCGGGCCGAAAAACACGCCGAGAATACCGCGAGACTCGCCGAATATCTGCAGTCCAATCCACATGTCGATTGGGTATTATATCCGGGATTGTCGAGCCATCCAAGCTATGAACACGCTAAGAAGTACTTGACACGGGGCTTCGGTAGCATGTTGAGCTTCGGAGTGAAGGGCGGATCTGAAGCAGGGAGTAGGGTTGTCGATGGACTGAAGCTCTTCTCAAACCTCGCCAATCTTGGTGATTCGAAGAGCTTAGCAATTCATCCATGGACAACGACACATGAGCAACTTTCGGACGAGGAGAAACAGGCTTCAGGGGTAACGGAAGACCTGATCCGTTTGTCCGTGGGAACAGAACATATTGATGACATTATCGCTGACCTCAAGCAATCTCTGCAAGGTGCCTTGGGCAACGAAGCGCTCTGACAAGCAAATAGAACCGGTTGTCTGTTGACGGACTCTTTCTGTAGTACAACTTGGGATTATTTCCGGTAGTATCCATGGATGCTTGTGTTCCAGAAGCAGCGTGAATCAGTAGCCCACAATTTCTATCCCAGACCTGCTTTTGATGTCGCCCGACGCCCTGTTTATTCTTGTTTATTTTCATTTTTTTCCATATAAATGTTATCAAAGTCCGAGTCGAGCGTAATAAGATCTCATGCACTTGCCTTGTCTCGCGCATTGTGGCTAGTCACGGTAACACGGGTGAATTGAAGCTTTACGAAAATTTAAAGCTTGGGGGGGAAGCCCTTCCCCAGGTTTGCTAAACTAACGCCTGTGGGGGGACGATCCACCCCCACCTCTGGGACCCCACAGTAATTACAACGGGCCAATTCATAACATTTATGGAAGTCAAGTTTTGTCCTTTATGGAACCGTGCTATCTTTATACCTCTCTCTAATGAACAGGGCCAAACATATATCAAGTCAAGTAGTGCCTGGTTGTATTAACCTCTGAAAGGATGGGCCTAGTGCAGTCCAGCAACGATTGTTCATACGCCGATCAAATGCAGTTCTACCGCCCAGAGGTCTGGTGATGCAGTGTTGGATCCACAACGCCTGACCCTTATATGTTGTAGCGTGGTCGGGGATTCTTTAGTTACCGATTATGACATGGGATTTGTTCCCGGGAACTTCACTTTGTCTTCCAATCACGGCACTGGGCGAGCAAGTATTCTTAGGGAGTGTTCCGACATATCCGCGCTTGATCTTCAGCACTATTGATAGTCTAGCGACCTCTTGGGATGCTAAGTCCACTTATCGACAACTTACCACACTCATAAAGCGAGCCTGTCTGCTTCACCCTTTCATAGAAAGAATCCTACCACTTGGGTCTAGCGAACAGGTAACACGCTAGCAACAATCGCAGAGACTCTTTACGCGATGTTCAGCGCATACACCAACGTGTATGCTATTGTCATAGTTCCTTGTATCGCATACCTGGTTTATCAACGCTACTTTCATCCCTTGGCTTGCTATCCGGGCCCGTTTTGGGCCTCCATAACAGACTTGTGGCAGGTTTACCAATTTTGGACACTGAGACAGCCTTACACGCTGACAGAACTTCATGAAAGATATGGACCATTCGTCCGCTATGGCCCTGATAAGCTCAGCATCACGGCAGAAGAGGTGGTTCCTTTGGTATACCAAAAGGGCGGACGGTTGATGCCAAAGACCGAGTTCTATGACGCTTACGGAGCCAACATCCCCAATGTGTTTGGGATGCGGGATGAAAACGTAGGGGAATCTGCACGAAGAGATGTTCAATGACTGATGGTAATCTTTAGGCTCATTCGACCAGACGTCGCCTAATGGCGCACAGTTTTTCAATCACGACCGTCAAGGGAATGGAGCAATATCTCGATACTAATATCGCAATTATGAGACAGAAGATAGCCAAATACGCTTCGGAACAACAAGCCTTTGATCTTTGCCAAGTCCTGCACTACTACACCATTGATGTACTGGGAGAATTAGCTTTTGGACAGTCCTTTCACGCACAAATCAACGATAATGAGAAGTCCGTGCCTCCGGTCGTCGAGCATAGTTGGCTTGCGGCTATTACTGGGGCTTGGCCAATGATGACAGCGATTCTGAAAAGATGGCTGCCCTTTATCCCACACCCGGGACTGCAGAAGCTATTCAGAGGACGTGCAGATTGTGCAAAGCTTGCAGCAAGGAACGTACAGCGCAACCTCGGTGAGCAGCGCGTTACGGAACAGGCGTATGAAAAAGCCCCTCCCAGTCAGGAAAGGAGGGATATTATCACCAGCCTTATAAAGGCAACCGATCCCCAGACTGGGAAACACCTGGCCCAAAAGGACCTAGAAAGTGAAGCATTTGGCTTTATGTGGGTGTTTTGAGTATCAGCCTAATTGATTCGACTAACATGGTTGCTACAGCATCGCTGGCACTCATACAACCAGTGCTACGACGTCGCTTTTATTCTACCACCTACTCCATGCCCCCGAGATACTGCAACGATGCATCGCCGAAGTAGATCACAACCTCGGGCCTCTGGCATCAGATAAGCCAGCATACTCAATGAATGAAGTGGAGAGCTCCTTGCCGTATCTCAAGCTTTGCGTGAGAGAGAACTTTCGCATCACGCCTGTCTTCACAATGCCACTGGCACGGCGCGTCACTTCTCCTGAGGGAATCATCGTGGCTGGGCGGCATATCAAACAAGGTGTAAGCTGAGAGAAGAACACTGCAGTATTGAGAAGCAGTCGTGGCTAACGATCGAGATTCGCATAGACCTCGGTTGCTGTTTGCAATCATGCGTTTCACCACAATGCGGATATCTGGGGCGCCTCCCACAACCATTTTGACCCGTCGCGATGGGACGTGCCGGAGATCAACCAGCGAGCTAGATATCTCATGCACTTCGGGCTGGGCGGGAGGCAGTGCCTTGGGAAAACGATAGCACTGACTAATATCTACAAAGTCATGAGCACTCTTCTACGCGAATTCGATTTCCAGCTTGCAGATCCTATCGAGCAGGAAAAGGTCAGCAAGGGAGAGTTCGTTGGCAAGTTACCGGAGCTTGACAGTGTGGGCATCAGTAACTTGAGGCAGCCGCTTTGGGTCACAGCAAGATCAAAGGATTGATATTCATAGCTCATACTACCTTCCTCACTCGCCAACTACATGGCACAATGCATTCAAGCTAGGCGAATTGCGTCGCTGGGGGAAAGCAAGCCTCATTCTTCCGCATACGACAGACCTTGTCTTTGGCGCGATCTGCTGATTCTTAGATGCTTCAATAGAATTGAAGCACCGTAGGTGCAGTGAAATCTAGAATCCCGGACCTTTCATATGCGTCATGCTTGATTCCATATTCTCGCAGTTGGCAAAGCCGTCACTCTAGAGTTTATGCGTAGCCGGTCGTGCCTGCGTGTGCCATATTCTTCCGATAGAAGGAATCGCCAGTGAAGTTGGTAGCACCCAGACCGGGGGCAGCGCCAAACAGATGGATGGCATCGGGCTTCAGGCTTGCCCCGGGTTTGGGTCTGCCAATACCTTACCAAGTCCTGGGTCAGGGTTGATGGGACCTCGTGCATCAACCTTATCCCACGCATGCGGCATTGCGTCTCTCTCTTCTCGGAGACGACCCGCATCTTCGAACGCCTCTTCAACCTTTTGGCAGGTGGGCATAGACCTAAGGAATTGACGACTACCAGGCAGGACCTGTCGCTGTCGTATCAATGTGGCTACATACACAGGCGCTCATATGCTGCCATCAATTGAAGTTGGATTCATCGTGGCTGTGATTGGTTGTGATTGGTGCACCACCCACGACCCCCGCCCCACCACGTTAACCGGAGCCACTCTCGACGCGTCTCCCGCCAACGCGCCGCGACTGAATTCAATTCAATTAAACAATCCATCCCACTGCCCGTAACCTGCGCCCAGCAGACAAAGCAGAAAATACAGACGACAGTCCAGCACGAATAACCCGATCCCGCCACGCGACAACGAGCTCTGTGGAATCCCCCTACACCACGGGCACGAGAACGGGTGACACCCGCAGCCATCACCGTCACAATGCTGCGATCCGACTACAATCGCATCGACCCGAAGCGGCGGGCCAATCTTGACCACCGCAAGAAGCAGTTCGCCGACCCGGCCTACAAGGACACGACGTATCCACACCGTCTGAACTTCTATGCCGTGCCACCAACCGCCGACATCACCCTCGAGCAGTTCGAGCAGTGGGCTATCGACCGCCTGCGCGTCCTGGCCGAGCTGGAGGCATGCTCCTTCCGCAACAAGAGCCCCGCCGAGACCGCCACCCACATGGAGCCCCTGATCAAGAAGTACCTCCCGCTCGAGTCCAACTCGAGTTCGAGCACCCAGCTGTCCGCACAGAGGCAGAAGGACCACTACAGCCACTTCATCTTGCGCCTGGCCTTCGCCTCCACCGAGGATCTGAGGCGGCGCTTCAGTCGCGTCGAGACCATGCTGTTCCGCCTGCGGTTCAATGAGGAGAACTCCAAGGAGAGAAAAGACTTCATCAACAACCTGAGCCTGGACTGGGAGGAAGTCAGCGCCGAGGAACGTGCAGAGTACGTTGCGCAGCTGGCCGCACTGGCCCCCTTTCGCAAAGGCGTCCAGGAGGAAGAGAGCTGGTTCAAGGTTGACTGGGAGCGCGTGCCCGACCTCGTGGAGACTAGAAGGGTCTTCCTCAAGGCCGGCAAGGCCTATGTGCCCTCCAAGGAGCAGACCAGCATGGTCGTGGCTGAGTTCACGCAGAGACTGGAGCGAGCGCTCGAGCTAACGGCAAGGGCGCTGCCGAGACTGGATGAGGACGACAGGCTCACGCCGATCCTGGACCATCTGTCCAAGAATTTTGTCACCCCGGACGCGTCTTACAGCAGCAGTACATCATCCGTACCCGGAGCCGACATCTCGGCGAGGAACATCGACGCCCTTTCGGCCAGCTTTCCCCTGTGCATGCAGAGTCTCCACAAATCCCTCCGACGCGATTCGCATCTCAAGCATTTCGGACGTCTCCAGTACACTCTGTTCTTGAAGGGCATTGGGCTCAATTTGGAGGAGTGCCTGGTGTTCTGGCGCAGCTCCTTCAACAAAATCACAGACGACCAATTCAACAAAGACTACCGTTACAACGTACGGCACTCGTACGGTGATGTCGGCGGCGACTCCAATCGCCGTGGCGGAGGTTACTCCCCCTTCTCGTGTCAGAAAATTCTGACAGAGCACCCACCTGGCCCGGGCGAAACCCATGGATGCCCGTACCGCCACTTCAACCTGGATAACCTGACGGCCCTGCTGCAAGGCGTCGGCATTTCAGACGGAGCCGTATTACGAGGAGTCAAGGAGGATAAGGAGAACCAGAAATTCCACATGGCTTGTAATCGGTACGTTCCTACTGCTTCTACTGATCTTGTCAGACCTAGTCAGAGAAAGTGCTAATATAGTATAGCGTTTTCGAGTATGTTCACAAGAAGGAACTCAAGCGGGCGAAGGATGAGGGCGTCATGACGTCGGCACAACTGGAGACCATTGTGCACCCTAACGAATACTTCAAGCGAAGCTACCTGCTCAAGAACCTGGGCAAGGATACTACAAAGACCGAGGACATCAAGATGGAAGGCTAGCCTTGTTCCGGCAGTCGATTTTACGGTGGCATGACTGACGTGGGTTGACATGGGTAATTACACGATCTCGGACCGGCACGAGTTCGTCGGGCGTTACGGTTGAATATGCATCCTATACTGATAATTACGGTCTGGGATGAGTGACAGCTTGCAGGCTGCTTGGGAGGCATCCGCATAGCCGGCATGAGACGTACAAAGCTGCGTCACCTAGTATTGCGTGGCAGGGCCGGCTCAGCTGGCTGTAGATAAACTTAAAATACGTCACAGGCTCTTAGCAGGTGAATGCAGCCGAAATATTCATGCAGGGCGACCCGAGACCTCGGTCAGTGCGAGTTACTTGACGCTAGATATGCAGAATACGTACGCTGGGTGCCGCGGATATGGGATCTCATTCGACGCAGGCTACCAACTAGTGTCGAGATCCCGCAGCCCGTTCGTGCCGACGAAGCGGATGTCGCGGAATGTCAGACGTACCTGGACTCGACCCTCACTAGCCCAAAATAGAGTGATACGGCCGGGAATACCGCTGTAATAGAAATTGGTTTGACGTTGTTCAGAGCCTTCTTAGGATATCTGTCGAATCAATCAAGTATTTTGCTGTGGATAGGGCTTCGCTAGACCGTAGAATCGAGACAGGCAAATACACTAACCTAAGCTTCGTCAACCCACGTTGAAGACGTCTATCACGCTCCTGGACTCCGTAAAGCTCTCGCTCACTCCAACGAACGGCATACTGAGACCGAATCCCTCCGGCCCGCCGACGTTTAAGCCCGCGGCGCTTTTCCAGAGCGGGTGGGCGGGCAGCGCGATCACGTCGACCTGCAGCCCGTAGCGCAGGTCCTGGGATCCGATGGCCTCGCCGTCCTGCCCCAAGATCGAAATTAGGTCCGGCACCGTGCAGACGACCTCTTGCCCAGCCTCGGACCCGTCCGCCGAGAGCGCCGCGTACAGGTATTCGTTCTGAAACGGGATCCGCATGCGGCGTCGATCCCGCGGCGGAGCTGATGCGCCTAGCCGGCTCCGTCCGGGCGACGAGTCTACTTCTCCGTCATCTGCCGGTGCAATGATGACGGTGCCCATCGTGTAGCCGCCTCCGATGTAACGCTGCACATCGACGATCTTGCCATTGTACAGCAGCGTTCCCGCAACCTCAGCAAACTAGAATCGCTATCAGCCTTTCATCGTGATAGTACCGTAGAGGGGACTCACAATAGCGTCGACGTGACTGGTCTTCTTCCTTCGAGCCAGATGCACGGCTTTCCCCAAGAACCATGCTTGCGAGATCGTATTTGGCACCGCATACTCCTTGATCACAGAGCCAGCTAGAGGCTTCGCGCACACGGCGCAACCAAGGCCGAGCTCGATCGCCGTGGTCCGTAGAATTCTCTCCAGTCGCGCTGGTGTATCCGTATTCTGGAACGAGCATGTTAACCAGATGATTCCCACGTGATGGAACAATTACAAGGGTATTTACCATGACGACTGATATGTTACCGCGGGCATCTGAGAGCACGCAGGGCGCTAGACTGTGCCCATATACACTGAACGTAGCTGCACAGCAGTGTCAGTGATTCGTACTCTTTTAGAGACCGGGAGACCCGGGACAGCAGTGTTACAGTGGTACATGGTTGGGTACGCTCTCCCCATCGAGTCTCCGTCCACGACCGGGACGTCAAAATGTACGGCCGGAGGGAAGATACTCAGCCCATTGCCACCACCTCTGAACCGGAATCAGCATGAGAAGGATACTTCAACCGGTGATAGTCCTTTGCCACTTACACTTCGTCCAGCAGCAGAACATTGAAGGACTTGTTGCCCTGTATCTTATTGACAGCCTCAATACCTTCAATGATCTCATTGCCTCCCGCGATACGCTCGTTGATGACGCTGGGACTGCCGTACCAAGACCCGAAACTGACGATGTCATTATCCCGGAGCGCCTTTGGTGAGATGATCCTCAGTTTCCCTGGCCGACTCGTACGCAGGGCGTGTAGGCTCTTCAGGAACTCATGGTGTGTGGGCCCGCCGCCGCCGGTGCCCAGGATGCCGCACCCGGTCGAGATCATCTCTAGGTCTGCCTCTGAAACATACCAGACGCCGCCGCGGACGTCTGGGTAGTACGAGTCAAGATCTATGTTTAGACAGGGCCTCACGGTGGGCTCCTGGGCATCTGGTAGACCAACCTCACCACCTGGCTCGTCGTCCTCCTCCTGCTCCCGGTCCGCCTTGCCGTCGACTACCAACGACTCCATAGATCGCGAAGGCAGTGATTCCGGAATAGCCAGGGATCCCACGGCCCTTACCTGTATCCTCATAGCTCCATTATCAACGTACTGGAGGGGCGTTTTGGTAATCTCCGCAATCTTGGCATCGTCTCGTCTGGCCCCTTTAGCTACGGCCGCTTCGATTGCGCTTTGCCGCGCGGCGTCAACGATGGTCTTCTCGTCTCTTCCGGCAGGAATCTCTATGGAGTCTACTTCGCCAGATACTTTGGCTATGGCAGCACCGACGGCATTAGCTGCCCCTTCATGGATGGGCCGAATGCATTTGTCTACTCCTCTCAGGTTCTCTGCTACAAGGAGAGAACCGCCACCCACCAAAAGAACGTGAACGGGAGCCGACGATACTCGCATCCGTTCAATAACACCCTCAAGGGACTGCTTGATCTTCTGGTGCGCCCTCGCTACGGTGGCCTGTGGAATATCTCGGACTATCTCCACGTCGCCTAGTTGGGCCTTACCAAGCGCGACCATGATGTCGGTGGCCGTCACCGTTGAGCCTCCGAACACCCGGGCCTCCTCCTGGATCCGGTGACCGACGGATTCGGGGCCTACCATGACCCCTTCGCTTAGCTGGTCGCAGAGTTTCACCTTGCTGCCGCCGCCAAGACCGATAGACACGACTTCGGGCATGGAAAACGCAGTGCGCACACCACCGACCTCAACGAAGCCCGGCGCTTGCCGGGGGAACCCTGACGGCAGCAGGGCGCAGACGTCCGTCGTGGTGCCTCCTATGTCAACCACAAGGACCTGGGGCACGGCGGAGTCTTCTTCGTCAGAATCGACAACCGCTGCATCGTTCTGGGTTTTCCGATCAATACCTGCCAGGAAGGCAGCCCCCGTCATGCTGTTAGTGGGACCGCTGGCGAACGTCTTGATCGGGAACCTTGCCGCGGTGTCCGCATCGATCAGCGTGCCATCATTCTGCGAGAGATATAGGGGGCAGGACAGACTCAGGCGCACCATGGCCCTCTTGAACCCTCCTGTCACCTGGGCGCCCGTCCGCAGAATCGACGCGTTAAGGATGGTAGCGTTCTCCCGCTCGAGCAAGCCCGTAGGTCCGATATCGCGTGAGCACACAATCCTCAGCCCCGGTGTCTCTTGAAGCATCAGCTTCCGGCATGTCTCCTCTTGCAGACCCTGATGGTCCAGCGGCGAGAAGACGCCTACAAGTGCCACGGACGACACGCCAGAAGCGACGATATCTCTCGTGACGCTCTGGATTTGCGTCGGATTCAGCGGTAGAATCTCCCGCCCATCGATCTCAAACCCGCCGTCCAGGTAGTACGCGCCGCCATCTAAGATCCGGCGCAGTCCAACCGGGAAGTCAGAAAACGGCGGGATCTGTCTGGTAAAGGGGCCACAGAGACGAAAGACTGCGACCCGGTCGAGTCTCCTAGCATCCGCTTCCACCAGGGCGTTGATGAAGTGCGTAGTACCCACCGTGACACTCAGCATACGGCGTTGGTCGACACCAGATTTCGTAAGCACCGCGCGGATCGCTACTTCAATGCCGCTGGTGATGTCTACGGTCGTAGGGGCCTTATGCGAAGCCAAAACTCCCCTTCCCGGACTATCGGCGGCGGTCACGTCCAGGATCGCGGCGTCGGTGTTAGTGCCGCCTACGTCGACACCAATTCTGAAGAAAGACATGCTCATATGTGCCTATCTACTCAGTCTCCTGCGATGTTGCAGTGTGCCCTCATATTTTGTGTATGTCCTCCCACTCACCTAAAGGTCAGCCTTGGAACAGGCGGAGACTCGACATCGGCCGAGTTCCGACAGCTACATAGGTACTGACATGTACCAAGATAGGTATAGTGGAGAGGGTCCCTGGAGTCCCGCACTGAACCCTGCTATACCGATAAGACTGAGGATCACAAAGCCAATTAAAGGCCTGCACACGTCGGCAGGGCCCGTGGCCGGTGCATGGCTTATGGGCGTTGCCGCTGCTTGAAATAGCCTGGGGTCATCGTTCCACAGCTGTAGATGGATTTGTTGCGGGAACTTCCCAAACACCATTGTCTGTACGACCTACACTTCCGAGTGGAGAAACGTCAATTATAGACATGTCTTCAACTCTTCTTAGTCGGATCCAGCTGGAGCATGGATCCATGTGGATTGTATGTCGACTATCGCTAGATCCGCAGCAGATTTTTTACTGACTTGCGGGCGTAGAATGATGATATACGACCCCTCGAGCTGGGACGGCGCACGTGGGGTTTTATGACCTTCCACAACTTCTGTACGCTCGGCTGGCTCTGCTTGGGAAACTGCGCTTTCTCACTGTTCTTATGAGCTGACTGAAACCTGCGACAAGGGCTCTTGATCAACTGCAGTATCGCAACGTACCTCACCGGCAGTGCCCTCATCCCCCTAGGCCTCACATGGTGGCAGGCCATCATCTGTAAGCATTCTCCGTCTGGCTCGGAGTTTCAAGTAATCACAAGTAACCTGTTTAACGCAGGTATTGTCATCGGAAATATCATCGCTACCGCTGCATTGCTGGTCAGCTCATTGGCCGGCGCATACTATAATAGTTAGTTTCATGGACTACGCGTCATAACATCCTCAACTATGCTCATTAAAATTATAGTCGGGTTCTCTGTGTACAGCAGGACCGTCTGGGGTGTCTGGGGGTCCCAGTTTGTTATCTGGAATCGCGTGTTTCTTTCCCTTGGTAAGTGCAGCTGACCCTTTCTTTTTGACGCCATACCAGCGTGCTAACAGACACATCAAGTATGGTCAGTACTACCAGTCTCGGAGTTACTTACCTATATCGTAATGAGCGTATGAGTTGATACTGAAGTGTGTTCAGGTATGGCTTTCAAGCATGGGTAGGCGGTCAATGTGTCTACTGCATCCTCTTGTCTTGGGATCCGACTCTTGAGCAACATGTCCCGAACACCATTCCAGCTGACACGGGGATGACATCGGCGCAGTTCGTCGCGTACGTGATCTTCTCCGTGGCTTCCCTGCCGCTTTTATGGATTCAACCACACCGAATACAGAAGCTATTCAACGTTTCCAGTGTAGTAACCCTCGTCTTCTTTGTCGTGCTCTTGATCTGGGCCCTAGCCACCATGGGCCCAGAAGGATTCGGCTCCACTCTTGGTTCCAACACGGAGCTTCCCTTGACGGGAGAACCTTACAGTGTTGTTTGGCTTATGATCTCTGGCATCATGACGACCATAGGATCCATTGCAGCTGGTATACTGAATCAAAACGACTTTGCACGTTTAGCCAAACGTCCAGCTCATGCGATATGGGGCCAGGCGCTCTCTTTCCCCATATACAGCATCTTTGCTTCAGTTCTGGGCATTCTGGTCACGGCCGCCACCCAGAATCGACTGGGCGGCGAGGCAGTCTGGAATCCACCGACTTTGATTGCGAAACTGCTAGAGATCAATGGCAGCGCGGGTACGCGCGCCGCGGTTTTCTTCGCCGGTCTGGCTCTAACTATCTCCCAAATCGGTGCCAACATCCCCGGCAACGCGCTGGCGGGTGGCATCGACCTCGCGGCGCTCTTTCCACGGTACATTAACGTGCGCCGGGGAGCATATATCACCGCGCTCCTCAGTCCGATTGTCAATCCCTGGCGATTAGTCAACACTGCAACGACTTTTCTTGTGGTCCTGTCCGGTTACAGCGTCTTTTTAGCCCCTATGACCGGCATGATGGTGGCGAGCTACTTGTTGGTCAATAAGCAGAAGCTCCTGACGGAAGACCTTTATCGCGGCGACTCGGGTAGCATTTACTGGTATACCGCAGGTATCAATTGGCGTGCTCCTGTATCAGTACGTTCTCCTTCGTTACGGAGGCTTATCTCGCCTGAATGAAGACTAATTTGGCGAATAGTGGATCGTTGGCGTTGCTCCATGCTTACCGGGGTTCATCGCAGCCGTGGAGACGTCCGTAACCGTTCCTGACAGCGTCGCCGAGTTCTACAGCCTGAACTACGTCTACAGCTTTATTTCCAGCGCAACCTGTTACACCCTTCTCCACCGAATCTTTCCAGCCAATGACGTTGATGCGTTCGTGACGGGCACTCCCGACGCCAACGAGACAATATACCAACACCACATGCGATGGGACACAGCCTCTGAGAGTTCGGCCGCGGCCCAGCATTTTGTATCTCGTGATGCTGAGAGTATGAAACAGAGTTGCGGGGCTGTGGTTCATTAGTAGCGCCCCTGGGGGAAATTGAATCGATAAGTGTGCATTTTGACGGGATGCCTCTAGAGCTACGATAACAAACTTGTGACATATCAATTTACTATGAGTAATAAAATATTTGACCTCCCTTCTCATTTGATTGGTCTGGTTTCCATGTGTTAGATTTTTCCAATTTTCCTAGAGTTAAAGATTAGATTCATTGCATGTTGTGGCGCATGTTGTAATTCAGCTTGATGGGGACGAAGTTAACACAAGGCGCTGTAAGTTAACACCAAGCATGAAAAACCAAACCAACAGTTGGTAAGTTTCTGCAAACAGATGCAATTTTCTTGGTCTCCATGGAATTGAAGATTAAATGACAGAACACCGGCGCGGTAATAGGGCAAAAATAGAGCCCCGTGATTCGTACTTGGATGCGTATTTGTGCGTTGCTAAAAGGTTGATATAACCATATGAGTCAAGTTCAAGCCATATTCAAAGCTCTACAATACTGAACCAACTGTTATTTAAAGGGAGATCCATTCCATAGTCATTGGTCTATGATGAAGCTACGGACTTTTGTGTATCCATACCTTGAAAGCTTTGGCTAAACACAATAGCAGAGCTTTTAAATCTCAGATCGTACCAACGCGATCTACTTGGTTTTCCTTTTAGGCGCACCAATGGAGTTCGACACGGCATCTTGATACATGATTGTCTGATTCTCTAGAGGGGCCTCTTCGTTGGTTTTTGGGTCGATGTATACTAGAACACATTAGTACACCGCCTCACCAAGGGCTGCGCAATCTTTCACTTACACAATGCCCAGAAACTATCTACATTGCCTTCATCATCCAGGAAAGGTGTCGTCGTACAGACGTTGTGGTCCGTGACGCGATCGCCTTCACACACGTCGATGTCGAAGCCAACTCTGCGTGGAACACTTTCCTTATGGTGGGTGTTCCGTGCAAGATCTCCACAAGTCATGACCATCTTTGGCCAAAACACCCATCTGCTCCGATACGCCGGGTGCTTCTCGGGGTCCCTATCTATAGTCCTGGTTTTAGTGCTACTTTTCGACCCTGAGACATGTCAGCTTTTCCACGTCGCTATAGCGGCGGTTGAGGTAGGTTCGTGCCCACATTGAAAGCTAGCACCACCCCCTATGGCATCTTCAATGGTTCCTTCGAGTCCAATCTCAAAGCCCATGGTAATGGTCTCTTCATCGCCTGAGCTGAGGCCGATTGCATCTCCCTGCAGTTGCAGTTGGCCGAATTTGCCAGGGGCATACTGCCGGTTGCCGAGGAATCCCGCCCTGCGAATCTCGCAATAGAATTTGCAGTCATTTTTGGGCTGCAAATCATCTTTCGTTCCGCAAAAGCCGTCGGAGCGTATGTTGTGTCCAGCCGGCTTATGACAGTCGGTTCTACTAATTCCTGAGAAATCGTGTGCACAATCCCCTTGCCGGCGTACAAGAGAGTCCCAATCCAAACCGCTTGGAATTGTCATGGCAGAAGCCTTGCTTGTGGCCAAAACTAGCAGGGTAATCAACGGAAACATCATTATTGTGGTCGAGAATAATCTGTTCTTTCCAGAGAGAATTTGAGATATGAGGATACGAAAGTGTCAATTAGGGGTTGGCGTCGAGTGTAGCGACTTATATAAACATCTGGGGACTGGGAGCAGGTCTTCAAGCGTGCCTTCAAACTGAAGATTATTGTGCTGATCATTGAGGCGAACTTGATCCTTTGTGCAGTAATTACACACCTAGGATCAGGAAGCAGAGTACGTCCTTTCAACTCTCAAGCAAGCATCTCTATGATAACCCAGTTTTGCCCCGATCCTACCATATGATATGACCTAGTAGCAACACACTTGAAATCAGGAAGTCAATTCTCTTGGGAGACAGCAACATTACTTGCCGTTTTTTCTCATTATTCAAAGCCTGCAATTCTCCATTACGCTAACATGTTCATATCAGACTTAAATTCTGAGGGCTATCACACATTAAGAGTGCCACGATTATCTCAGAATCTTGTCGAAGTATTCAATATCACTAGGAGATTTACTCATCGTTTCTTTCTGTGTTACTTGATCAAACATTGGTCGCTTCTGTCTGCGATAGACAAGTCATGATCATATCGTTCCAGCCGGTACGTCATATCCCATTTTTAAACAACCACACGCTATGTTTATGAAAGAACTCGTTGTTCGGATTTCTAAACTTGCAACGAGTTAGGAGCTACATGCTAGTCAGTGCATAACCGCCTCAACATCACATCTGGCTACGTCACCAAGCAGGATTGACTAAAAGCCCATACATAGCAAGGAATCCTTCACCTTTGACCAGACTGAACAGCTCAAGGCTACCTCAAGCTAACCGTACAGAGTCCAAGTTCCTTGCAGTACGGAAAGGAATGCTGTTGGTGTTTCGGAGGCGAAAACTGTCTGCGGAGTGATGTGGGTGGTACATGAAAACTACACAAGAGTTGCGTGATTATATTATGTCCAATGAGCTAGTTAGACTTCCCATCTGTAGATCGTTTCGGCCACCTCGGTCATTATCTATGCCCCCATAGTACCGCAATACTGTCCAGCGGATAGCAATGATAGCTCGCCGTGCCTGGCATGAACAGAGTAATTTCTTGTACCTATGATAGTGTGGGGGCCGTCTGTGATTGTACTATTGGGTGATCTGCGTTTGAAGTAGTACGATAATGATATGAGCAATAACTGGCTCATTTATCATGTTGGTCGTTTAAATCGGGCGTTTGCGTTGCTGCACCAATGAAGTTTGGTTCTATGTGCCATATAATGACACGTCTGACGTCAAGGGAATCACTCTCCTGTAAGCGGGCAAGAGTCATGGGCGTGTTGCAGGGAGCAGAAAGTTGTTGGTTCCACAAAAGTCTGTTGGTGGCAGGAAACCGCGCCTCACCAGTGCCTCATTCGCCTTCTGTTTCTCATACGTCATTAATGAAATCTTGAGACGGCTATGTATAAAGTCAATGTCTGCAGTCATTTGAGGATGAAGGTTAGTGTAAGAAGAACAAAGAATCATTCACACCCTGTTCATACCCTGTGCCACTGGCTGTAATCATGAGTAGTTCTCTGAATACACAGATTTATGCTGCGAATTTCAGCAACGAGATTGATGTAGGTTTCTTCTTATTTAATTCCTCCGGGCCTCTTCAATAATTGTGCTGATCTTGAATAGTTGCAATACGGCTGGAAATACCAAGCAACTAGCTGCGTGAGGCCAGCGCCAGATTTGGGCATTCCCATCATATGCGGAACATCACACTCATATAGTGATCCTAAATTTGCCAGCGTAGGAATTGCCTACGATACATTCGCAAGATGCTGCCCGAGGGCAGACAACAGCACAACCCAGTGGTTGGCCGCGATTCCGTGCGAGGAGCAGTTCTGCTTTACTTATAATCAGACTGTAGCCACTGGGTTTGATCGATGCATCAGAGATGCAGCGAAAGCCAAATTTGAAGAGTTGGGGACAGCCAACGTCACAGAGTCTTACACCGGACGCTGCGAATGGATCGATTATAATGAACTAAGAAAAGGTTTACAAGAGCCCGGAAGTAAAACATCGGAGGCTTCCACAGGTCTCACACTACGGTCAGGTCTAGTTTTAGCTGGAGCAGTGTTTGTTAGTTTGATCTTACGAGCATAGGCGAAATTCAGTATTACACAGAAGGGAATAGCGTGGGATTGTAGAATATACCAGATTACCAGGCTTCATCCGGCTCGCAGCAGTCTATGATCATGATGCAAGACCGGAGCAAATTTCGTTAGTATGCCACTTGCGCTATGTTTCACGATGCAAGGAGGGAAGCCAGCCAGGGCGATGAATCCATGACATGAGAAAGGACAAAGCGGTTATGAACTGGCGTTTACTTACCATCTCAGCAGTGAACTTGTGTGCACGACATCACTCGCTTAGATTGATAGTTATAAGCGCATCTATTTATGGGACCTAGAACTCAAGTTTTGGACGGCATTGTGCCTTGTGGAAAACCTCTGTGTAGAAGAATTGATACTGCAGAAGGCGAATGGACTGTATCTGGGTCCAACACCTCCCAGCATCATATCATTCTTCCGTCATCGCACAGCTTTGCGCGGGCGTCTGGTGTGTGGAGGAACGCCGGGCTAGCTGACTTGCCATGGGGAGAGCCCCGGACATGTGGGGGATCTAAAGGCTGATTCATGCAGGGGCACGTCTTCATCCCGCTGCCATCTCGAGCCATTGACCTTCGCCCACCCTCTCTCCACGAAATGAAAGCTCCAACTTCATAATCAACCAATGGCGGTGATCATAGTACATCAAGGTGGTTGCTTGTACTGTACGCTTCCGCCAGTCTTCCATCCTTCCTTCTAGTCCACCGTACCGCACTTGGTTCAGGTCCAAGATCATCCGACAAGCAGGGGCCAACGGAACAATGACGGCATTCATGCACCTTCCCTTTGATATCAGGCAGCACGTGTATCGTGACGCCGGTATGATTGCGGGTGCCACAATTATTCTTGAGCCACGGAAAGGGGTTCTCAGCCCTTATGCGTATTACTCGATATACTTCCAAGCGAACGGAATGCATATGCGAAAGTATGAAGGAAGGGATCCCTCATACTATTCTCATTTCACCAGCATCGAAGACGAGGCGTTTCAGGTAACTTATAGGTTACTGACAGTATCCAAAGATATCTCGTCAGAAATCAAATGTTTGGTCTGCGCAAAGAATACCCTAGTCATATCAAACGAGTCTCCCGAGACGGGCCTAAAATTCCTTCAGTCCCTTGCACCTTCAGAGGTTCATAGTCTTCAAAGCTTGTTCGTTCACCTGTTTGTGAAAAGTCCTCTTGTCGATAATGGGTCAAGCAGCCTGTTCAACGCTTCTCTCCATCTCACAGTCGAACGGATCACTCTGTGGCAGCACGCTGCTAGGCACATCCTGTCACATGCGCAAGGCTCCAACTTGAGCTTGAGTTTGATCTGCGATACAGGCAACAATGTCAGCACGCTGCTAGGCACATCCTGTCACATGCGCAAGGCTCCAACTTGAGCTTGAGTTTGATCTGCGATACAGGCAACAATGTCAGCACATCAGCTGTACTTTCTCCGCTGCTGGAGTTTCCTGGTCGTTTGCGTGACTGCCAAATCCGCCTTTACCAGGAAAGAAACAATCATCTGAGCAGCCTAGCTCAAGAAGTGGCAAATCGTGCCAAAGACATAGCTGGTCCGGGTCATACGCAAGAGGTTTTCCGCTTCTTTGATCTACCACCAGAAATTCGGCTGGCGATTCTACTATACACTGATCTACGAACACCTAGCGGCCTCGTGTACTGGAACCCACAACGTGGGTTCTACTTTATGATCTCTTTGCAAGACCGGCACCCGTACGACAAAAATTCTTACCATTTCCTAAGATCATTCTTGAAATGTGGCAATAGAGAGTCACCTATGACCGGATGTTTTTGTCGTGCCCGCAGAAGTGCATACTCATCGCGCTGCCAGTGTTGGACAGCGCCGTGGTCTCTTTTCCTGGTCAACAAGCAAATGTACAGAGAGGCGCTCTCGGTTCTGTACTCCTCCAACCGCATCATTGTGATGCTATCACTTGCTGCTTCTTCGAACTGCGAATCTCGTGGACCCTCACACCTGCGACTAGACTCTTCGCGATTCATCACCCGACACATGTGGCCAGACATGCTGCGAAATTTGCGCAACCTGGAATTAGTCTTGCCCCCTTTTGATCCAGAAATACCCGCTGAAGCCCCTAGTCCTATGTACCTAGATTGGTGCTTCGCTGTCGACCATTTGGCGGCCCACGCAAACCTCCGAAGCCTGAGCTTGGTCATCCAAGTTGCCCTCCGTTCCAATTTCGTCAACGGAGATCCACGTACAGAGTTCCGTCACTATGTGACCCATGACGGAGAGAAAAGCACGCCACTGCTGAGGAAGCACATCAGCTACTTGGCGCCCCTCCGCAAGCTACAAAGGCTGAAAGATTTCTTCGTATTTCTTCAATGGCCATGGTACTTTTCACAAGACCCCGACCCCCCTATCTTCTTGAACATGCTTTATCCCCATATACCAGAGTTAGAACTTTGCTTGGAGAGATATGTGATGGGGCAAGGCTACGACAATTGGGGCAGGGGAAAGCCGGAGAAACGACCGAGCGGATGGCTCTTTGAGGATTATCACGAACCTGACCAGATGTGAGCAGTGATGAGCCTAGACGCTTGCCTCTAGCTATTGGAATTGCTGCCTTCGTTGTCCCTCGCTGAAGCTGGTATTGAAACTACGTACATGCGCTACAACCGCCCAGGCCATAGCAAGTGATTGAATAATCCCGTGACAAGAAGGTTTCGAATTTAAAAAGTCATGAGCTTCATTGCGGATGCGTGGCATGTTATCTGAAGTCATCATCCCTTAGGCGTGACTAAACTGTGATAGCAGACAAGGCCTGTGAGTGTGATCAGCAAACAACACAGGTCGAACCCCCTCTTGCTTGCTCGCGTGTACTCTCAGACCATCGAGGGGAATGTCG